GAGTACGAACTACAGCAAAAAACCCCCTGGGGCAAGCAGGCACAGGAAGATCTCGACTTTTACGGGATCCCGTTCCAAGTTCTGAAAGACGCCAAGCCCTCGGGCATAGCAGTTCGACAAACACTGGAGAAAAACAGAGCGGCCCAGACCCTGCAGAAGAAGCGACGAGGGGCGCCGGCAGGGCGACCCAAGACAGCAAAAAGGACCGCAATGGAGGAACAACGACGCGAACGACTGGAACAGCAGCGTGCGGAGAAAGAAGAGCAAGAGCGGAATTTATTGCAGCAAATTTCCGGTAAGGTGTGGGAGAGGCGGCCCAGGTCCACCTACAACTACACGGCGCGAAGCGACAACGGCAGCATACTAAATTTTCGAGTAAGCAGTTTCTACTTCTGCGAGAACTCCGGCATGGAGGAGGCGGCGGTCTGTGGCACAGTGTTCCAGCAAGACCGACAGAGCAAAATCTGGGCCGCCGTTGACCCCATGGCCTAAGGGCGAAGAGGAAAAAGAGGAGGAAATCGAGGAGCGATCCTCAGGCAAATAGATAGCAAAACACTGCACATCTAAAAGAGTTCCATGAAAAAACGAACACGAATATACTTAGATTAAGCAGAAGTTCAGTCAGTCAGTCAGTCGAGACCCCTGCCCTGACCGGGAGCACTTCAAATTCGTGTGCGACAGGCATACTTAATTAGGTCGCTCGTGCAACAGGCTGTGCCTGTGCCGCAGCCGCGAAGAGGTGTTTGTGTACGGCAAATATACAAAAATCACCCATAACTGTCAACAGGAAAATCTTCGACCAGCGCCGCCCCGCGCCTGAATCCGACACAGTGGACGATATCCACAGTGATTTTTCTTCCCCCGGCCGCGACGCCATCACCAACACCACCGACGACAGTTCCATGCTGCAAAATTACCGGGTCGGGGGATTGCCCGCACGCTCCGGACCTTCGGTGTTCAAAAAGCAGCGACACCGCCCCTGGGTTGCCTACCCGGTGGAGCCACTGTTTGCGGAGGGACGGCAGAAGTACGGGGTTTTTGTTCAATTTCTTGCAGTAGAAAAAACACTTGCTTCATGTAAGTAAGTATGATATATCGAGCTGTCCGCAGCGCCACCGTGGTAAGTAATCGTTCCACGGTGTACGAAGATCATATATTACAACCACACATTTCATCAGGTTCATGTCCAAGGCTCACACGGCGTACACGACGAACTTTCTCGAAGAAGCTGAAGATTGGACGTCAGGGAGGAAAAAGTGGGATGCGAATGAGATCATCGATAAAGATTTCATCGACTCTTTGACCAATGGCGCCGCGACCAGCAAGGAAAAAGCGCGGATGGCGGCTGCCGCCGAGGAGGCACGGAACAAAGATATGCGGGCGACTATTGCAAACCGCGGGGCGGCGGTGTGAGTAGGGCGCGGAGGGCGACGAGCTTGGAATGGGATTGTGGACAATTACTTCTTTAGACTTTTTTTGTTCTTGTTGAGTTTGCATATTACGGATCCTAGTGATGCGGATAGATTGAAAAGTACAGCAAGGTCGACTTTGTTGACCTTAGGGCTGTTTCAGATGATCCACCAGTTCGACTGTTAGTTCGACTTCTTTTGACGTTTCCTTGTAAAATTCTCCACTTTGTGATATGAACGTGCAAAATGCAAAAGGGGTCAACCCAAACTAAGAAGTTTTTTCGCTGTTTGGGCAAAAAAGCTTTTCACTTTCGGCCGTATTTGCTCTCGCCAGGTGCCCCTTCGCCGTGCAATATTGAATGCTGCGAACGTATCAAGGCGCTGAAAAATGAATCTGACTGCCGCGCTCTATCTAGGTTGTCGCAGGCTTTGGCCTTGCGCGGTGCTGCAGATGAAGCGCTCCTAGAAGGTGTCTCAACAGGTGGCGCGCGAACCTATATACCGGCGCAGCTGCTTGGGAGGTTGAGGTGACACACCTCCACCGAGGCGCGCCAACTGTGTTTCTCAAGGAGCTGGCAGCTGGAGGCGCGCCAGCGTTTGCTAACACTCGAAAATGCTCTGCGCAGAGACCGCGCCGCCCAGTCTGCCGCAAAACAACTCCAGAAAGCACCCGCGCGAAATTGCTCCTTGAGAGTGTCCAGGATCATCTCCGGACACAATACAGGTCGCATCCGCATGTGGGAAGGCGCTTATCCTGGCCAGGGGCTCACGCCGATCACGGAGCTTGCGCGACACATTGGAGCCGACATTTCTCGCCTCCTTTCCTTCTTCGCCGAATGCCGCTCGAGGAGAAGAAACTTCTGACTTTGGGGATGTTTTTGCCGGATTTTGCCAAAACTTCGCCAAAAACCCGGATTTTGGCGAAGTTTTGGCAAAATCCGGCAAAAAAATCGCCAAAGTGAGAAGATTCGTCTCATTGAGCGGCTTTCGGCGAACGGGGAAGGGAGAGGTGAGACCTCTGCTACATCGTGTCGGGCAAGCTCCGGGATGTCCGAACCCCGGGCCAGGATTAACCCTTTTCCGCATGTGGATGCACTCTGGCTCGCGTCCGAGAATAGCTCTGGACATTTCCCCGGCAGCCCGCGGAGCAACTCCGCAAGGGAGCTCGCTGGAGTTGCTTTGCGGTAGATTGGGCTGGCCGGTCTCTGCGAGAGGGCCGGCGCTTCGAAAATCAGATCAGGAGGCTGATGCAACTGCAGCGGCCGTCACGCTTGACTTGCTTGAGAGGCACAGCTGGCGCGCCACGAGTGGGATGCGTCATCCCAACCGGCCAGCGAGTTGCGTCTTTAAGTTCCCGCACCACACGCAGATGCGCGCTGCAGGATCGCGCCAGCTGTGGCACTGCGCAAGGCCTGCGACCACCTGGAACACGACAATCAGTATTGATTTTGCGCAACCTAACACGCGCAACTCGATCCAATATCGCGCGGAGAAGGGGCAGCTGGTGCCGGCAAATGCGCCCGAAAATGAAAAGCTTTTTTGCCCAAACAACGAAAAAACTTCTCTGTTTAGGTTGACCCCTTTTGCATTTTCTTTTGACGTTTCCTTGTAAAATTCTCCACTTTGTGACGATGGTTCTCTTGTACAATCGAAAGGATATGATTTAGCGTGTTGAGGAGCCTGTCCTGAATAGTAGCCTGTACATTTCTCTTTATTCACAATTGCGTTTCTAGTCTCTCGACTTCACTTTTTCACTTTACATTGCAATATCTACGAAAAATGCCACTTCGCCTGTACATCACAGAAATTTTTGTTGTTTCGTGTTGTATCAAAAAGATATAGCTTCGCTCTCCTGTAGCTGTAGCACGCATACCAGTTTCGACGTAATGTAATTATTTGAAGTTTAGCATACTGGAGGTTTTCTAAATTTTTCTCTGAATCATACTACCCGAAATTCATCGCAAGTTTGTCTTGTAACATGCATCTGCCGTGGCTTTCACGTTTTGCCGCGAACAGTTTAAGATACCTGTAACAAAATTACATTGAGGAAGAGGCCGCGTCAAAATTTTCGTATACAATTGAACCTAGTTGGCTTGTGATCGGCGCTCTCCTCCTAACTTGAATGAAGTTTCTGCGCAGAACGAGTTTCTTACTTCCGTACTACCTGTATTTCTATTTTGACAGAAAAAAGCGACTCATCTGGAAAATTGCACCTGCATTATTGGCACACAAAAGATGACGCTAGATTTTCTATTGTTGATTGGCGTGTATACAAGATAGAATCTTCATGCAACGAGCTCGACGAAGGCAAAATAACGCTTTCTGGTGACTTTACAACGTGGTTGCATTTCTGCAACGAGCTGTTGCTGTATTTGCTTTTAAACGAGCGACGAAAGGGACTTGGGAGAGACTCCGAACCAATCATGAGTAACTTTTGTAATCACGACCAAAGTCTACTATTGAGAGTCAGAATGAGAGTGAGAGTAAGTCCACGAAGTTCTACCATCGATTTCTTTTTCCCGTTGTTTTTTCACTGCGTTTTTTCTCGTGACAAACAAACAGGCCCTCTGTGTTTTTTTTGCACCTTTTTTTAGCTCACTAAACTCACGTCGGCTCCTCTCATTCGGAGACCATTCATCTAATTCCGAATTCATAAACTAGAACTACACGGGCAAGGAACTTCTAAGTACTCAGCCTGAGGACGGAAGCAAGCTCCGCTTTCCATGGGTCTTGGTCCGTCCGTAAACCACAACGACCCTGGGCTGGTGAACATCCAGCCCCGGGGTGGTTGCACCTCCCGACACGGGCAGTATGCGTGCTACAATCCCTGTTCCAAGCCGGAATTCGAGACGGACTACCAACTCGCGGACCAGCGGTTGTTTCAGCCCGGCCTGCTCAGCCCGCAGCAGTACCAACACGGGCTGGAAAAGGTGAATAAGAAGGTTTACGCTGGCCACCCCTGGTTGATCACCCACCGTTTCTGGTTCGTCCCTCTTCCGTTTTTGATCGCCGGGATCGTGTTTCTGACCATGTACGAAAAAGAGCGGCTGGAGTGCACCGCCGCAAACGGCACCTGCGATTTAATCGACAATGGGGGTAGTCGGGCGTACGACACGGGGGTAGTCGGGAGCGCGATTCCGGAAACGTTATGGATTGCAAATATGTCTGGGTCTGGAAGATTCTTACATTTGTCATGCATGTCTGACAAGACTCGAGAATCTGTGATGCATGGGCACGAAGCTGTCCTCTTACCTGTCATGCAAAAACGCAGTTTGCCATGCGGAACACGCAACATATAGGAGCCCAAAAATTTGTCATGCTTGGCTCCGTATTGCAGTGGAACTCTCATTCACTTTTAGCATTACAAGTTTCCAGACCCAGACATTTTTACATTTGATAAACGTGTTGTGCCTACTACTGCTGCGAGCGGTCGGACGAGGACCGAATTCGGCTACTGGAGGACGAGGAAAATAAAGCAGATTCGTCTTCATCATCTCGTCCCTTTGCAGCTGCGTCGACGTGGTCTCTTGCGGAAAATTCGCCATTTATTTCATCCGGCCATTTCAACGCCCGGAGCCTGGACGCTATTGACGCTCCGAATGCGCAGTGCAAAGTGATTGAGGCAACGGAGAATGCGGAATGTGATTGCAAGAAGAAAGGTAGTGGAAAAAACAAGGACAAGGAAGTTTGCAGCAAAGACACCAAGATTGTCGGTACTTTGTTTGGCGGAAGTAGTGATGTTTTGGTACGCGGTTTCTTTCTTTGTTTCCACACTGGAATTGTTGACTCAGCTTGTCATAGTTAAGTACTGGGCCAGGTTTTTGGTACTCCCTACTTTTAAGGAAGTCTTCTTCAACCCTAGGTCCTCACAAGCGCGTCGACGCGGTCTGGTGGCCGCTGCTCATTGGTATTTTGCTGATCGTAGGTGCGGTGTTGATACCCATGATTTCGCACTTGCTGGTACGGTGTAGCGAGGGGAATGCGATCAAGGAGATATTAGAGGAGGAGTGGAACACGGGGAAACCGCAACGCCTGCAGCTACGGTTCGAATACGTGATGGGGGGCAAGCATCACGAGACCAACTTGAAAGTGTTACCGCAAGTGAAAAAACTGAGCTAATGGTGCCCCCAATGTGTATTTTTGCGGATGTTGATGTTGATCGACTCTTGGTACAAGAGTTTTTTCCGCCATGCTCGACGACATGCAACGCAGTCGCTGCTTGTACTTTGGTTTCATTCCTTTCGCTCCTCGCGACGCATAACAGGCTCTTCATGTTATTCTTCGTCAATTTGTTCTGCTGTGCTGCATGTTGAAAATATTGGACGCTGAGACAGTTTTTTCGGTTTCTGTTTGCATAAGTGTACCTACCCGTGCAGTACACGCAACAAGGCGTGACGAACTACGGGTACCAGCAGCAAATGCCGAATCAGCAGCAGCAGTACTACCAGCAACCACCGAATGCATACAACGAATACGGGGGACCACCAGCAGGACAAGGGAGATACAGCCAGGGTGGTCCCCAGCAGCCGCATGTCGGGCAGTTGATGCAGGGGGTGGACCCGGCGACAGGGCAGACGAAGTATTTCCGCATGGAGATCGACCCCTCCACCGGGCAGGGGGTTCCGCGGGAAATCAGCGAAACCGAGGCCAAACGGGCGTTCCAGGCGGCGGGATGAGAACCGCTTCAACTACGTGGCTCAGGCTGACGCAGGGAAGTCGTGTAGATATAGGAGTACGAGAGTGGGAAATTATATTTTTTGCTACGAAAAAGTAAGACTAAGAGCAAGGTGAAGAAGTTTGATTTACGCACGAGAAGAAGCACCGTTTTCGTTTTCGCACTTTTCAAAGTCTCGCTTTCTGCAGAAGAAAGAGGGCTTTTTTGGAAGGAGAAAGGGCGGAAACGTCAATGAAGGAATTCGCTGACTTGGATGGTGTAGAATTGGAAGCAAATAGAAGTAAGTATTATCGCTGACGCAAGAAGAAAAACTCCTATCTCAGCGGGTCATAGAGCGCAGCGTGGAGATTGTGGGAACGATTTTAGTTTCTTGAACGGAATAATGGTTCTATTCTGTAAGATAGAAAGTCAATCTTTACTCTTTTTCTTCCACCGACGTTCGGTGTTTGCCGCCAACTGGGATTTCGTTGGTCGGCGAGTGTTTTGTCATCACCAGCAGGCGCCAGTCCTGGTCCGAGGTTTCGTATCATGTATCCACGATCCAATAAAAGCACGGCTCTCGATCAAATACGAATTCTTGAAAAGAATCGGTATAGGAGGTATGTAGGGGCGGGAGGTCATGTGAGCGGAAATGGACACTATTTGAAGAGTTGAAATACTCGTCCACAACCACGACAGCTCCTGCACCAGATGCTCGCACTCCTCATTTCCCTTTGGCAGCAGAAGATTAGAGTGGATAGATCTTCTTGGCGTTTCCTTGCACCGGCGATCGTCGGTTGATTACAACTGAGCTCCATTCCAGGACCACATTGATTTTTTTCCCACCAATAAGAAGGAACAAGCTGTTTCTGCCCCCACATTAAAGAAAGATGCATTTATTTCGTCTACTGTCCATCTCCTTCTCTGGAGACAACGCACAACAATCATCGTAAGATCCCACCAGAAGTGGACTACCAATCCAAAACACCTCTCCAAGTTGATCTTTTTCACAAGATTTTGCTTTCCACAAATATTGACTTCCCGGATCGAGGATAAGCACCTCTGTTTGTTTCAGCCAAAAACAATTCCGGACCAAGTATGACAGCTGCAGTAACAAGAATTTCCCCCCCCTCGTCCCGCACCAGCTGCCCGAGAAAAGTTTTATCAACCTACGCCACCCGAGCCCAGCGACAGTTCCTGAGCAGTACAGCATTAAATCAGGCAAGCGCAAGGCGTCCGTCGCTCGCCTGGAACTTTTGCTACAGGAGAGAGGTGGGGGCTCCTGCATCACCACAGCGTGGAAATAACGGAGTTGACCTCCAAGAACCTCCGTATCTCCTCGTCCGACTGCACCACGATCCGGATTTTCTTTCAGCCTCTTGGTTCTCGTCTTGGCACGACGGCGCAAATTCTGCAGTAGAAGGACCTGCAACGGCGTCGTCGAACGACCTGGCGTCGTCATCGACCTCAGTTCCCCAGTGGCGCGCCGGCCAGTTGGACCAAATTCTAGAATTCTCCCGGTCAAATAAAAAAACTGCTACCCACAATTTTTACCTCGTGACTTCTGCCAACGAGGCGCTGCTCGGCACCGCGTTTCCCTATTTCCCCCGTGGCGGGTTCCGAAACAAGGCGGGGCAGCAGGAATGGCCCAAGGACTGGCAGAAATCCTCGCACTGGTGCGGCATGGAGAGCGGTAACGGCATGGTGTATCCCGAGCAAGCGGTGGACGGGTTAGTCCACCGGACGTTTGGTTCGGCTGGTCTGGAAAAAGAACTGGAACGAGCTCGCGAGTTTTTGACCGTGGAACGGGAGCGGATTGAGTCGGATTTGGAGTTGGAGAGGGAAAAGGAGCAGGAAAAAAAGGACAGGGAACAAGAAGCGGGCATTTCCTCTGGTATAACAAGCTCCGGTGTGCGAACTTCAGCTGCCGATGTTGATCCCAGTTCGCAAAGTAGAAGCACCTTCATCAAGGCGACAACCTTGTACCTCAACGCGGTCACGAGAATGATGAGCTTTTTGCTAAGTGCCAGCAACTTGACGGTGCCAGCAGAGAGAAATCGGGGGAAAAGTGGGGGAAAACCAGGCGGAAGCACCAGGGTAAATGGCAAGAACACGGCTGCCGGCCTGGAGAGCGAAGCAGCGCAGTTTCGCCTCTGTCCACCGGGAAACTTCGTCGTCACGGACATGGGAAGGCACGAAATGACAGAACAAGTTGGTGAAAGCCAAACTCCTACTTCCCCATTTTCCAAACTCGTGCACGCTGTCGCGCCGTACTATGATGGAAAGAGAGCGAGCCACGACAGCGCGCACAAACTTTCGGAACCGAAGATTAATGATAATGGAGCCGCAGCTTCCTGGGAAACGACGTTGAAACTTTGCTACTCGAACATGATCCGGAAAATCCTCTTTAGAGACGTGTTTTTCGAGTTGCCCAGATCAAGTACTGAGAATTTTCGACCTGAAATGCAGCAGTCCAGCCTTTCCGACCAGGCGCTCGAACTCTCCATAGATCGATGGAACGATAAGCACTTGCTGAATAAAGGCAAAGCAGGAGCGCAGAACACAGCTTCTGCTGAAAATATCAAAGTTAGACCCCTCATCGCACTGTTCACGCCATTACTCGGAACGGGTGTGAAGGCCGTTCCTGTGAAGGAGGGCGCACGCTTAGCGGCAGAAGCGATCGCGGAGTTCCAACCACCCAAGTACGTTTTCACGGCGATATGTGACGAAAGTGGTACCGTCGACGGGAGCACTTCAGAATCGGGATCCACAAGAAGCACGGAGACTTTACTTCTGCGAGAGTTGAATTTTGTCACCAATGACGCGGAAAAATTTGACGTCTGCGCAAGCGCGTTTCGAGAAGTGTTTCAGGAAAAAGAAAAAAACTTTCTTGAAGATAATAATGATGGCGCTGCTACTTTTGCGACAGAAACAAAAATTTCGATTGTTGAAGGAAAAGCGTAATTTTTCTGTGGGAGTCGACGAACTCGTTCGCTGGTATAGGCAAGAAACCACGAAGACATTTGTGGAGATTTCTTTGTACAATCTTGGGACCACCGTGTAACGATTTTAGAATTTTTTTTCAATACGAAGCTGAACTTGAACTGGAGCAAGAGAAACCAAAACACGCGATGTAATCCGTGCAAGAAAGCCTCTGGCGTTTTGCTTTTGTCACTCACAACAAAGCGACGTGTTTGACTTGATTGTAGGCGCGCCTTTGTTCTTTAGGAGAAAAACAACATTATTGCGCTTCCGAGCAAACACTTCCAGATTTTCTGATGAAGTTTCCCATTGAAATAACAGAAACATCAGATTGTAAATGACGGAGCGCTCCGAGGAAGCCGCGCTGCTCGTCGCTTTCTCGCAGATGTCGACGCGTGACGAGAGTTGCAAAGCCGCGAGCTATACCGACGGCGCAATACAAACTGTCCGCCCACAAGTACTTTCCCTCTGTCGTCGGTGCAAGAAGGAGTTCGTTGTGGCGCAGAACAGCGATTCTGCGTGCGTGTTCCACTCGGAAAGCTACACGCAGGAGACGGCGCAGCGCTGGCTGGAGCCGGGGACGACGGAGAACGGGTCGCGCACCGAAAGTTTCTGGACCTGCTGTGGAAAAAAGGACATTGATGCGGAGGGGTGCTGCAGGAAGAGGCACATCTCCTACGACGATCCGGATGATTGAAATGGGTGCGGAATGAGGAAGAGTAGACGAAAAAAAAAAATTGCTGCAGCGCGATTGTTTTTGTGCGAATCATGACAGTTGGATGGATACTAAAATCAATCAAAAAACGCTACTCGTTGTTGAACAGAAGGATGAACTCGAAGCAGGACCCAAGGCATTGTCCAGTACCTACTGGTTGGCATGGAAAAATTCCGAAGTGAAGCCATCTTTTGGATATGAAGTACGATATTCAGATGAACTCGCTGCGCCTGCCGACGTTGGGGCGGGCCTAACCTTGCTCGCCGAGGCTAGGATCAGCAATACTATGACCTGCATCAACATGATCAATTCTCTGGAAGCAGTTATCGTGGAGGTTGCAACCGTCAAGGATCTGACAGATCTTGATATTCGAAAGTGAACGCGGCATATCAATTTATCGAGCAACGAGTTTGCTCCTGGTCTTTTTTTAGCTTTTGCTTGATCTCTGAATCAATAGCGGGTTGTAGTACTACTCACACATCACTCGATTTACAACAGCCTGCCTATGTATTGCTCGTTGATCCGTCAGTTTGGTCCTCGTCCTTCTACTTGAAGTAATAGTATCTACAGGCTAGTACTTTCACGGTATCTATTCTCCAGTCAGAGGATCGCCATTAGCATATATCTGCCAGGAGATCTTTCTTCATCGAAATCTAGTTCACTTAGCAAAAAGATCCTCGATCGTCTCCTTATCAAAATCCCGCTTCTTCGCGGAAACGTAATTCTTTTCGGATCTGTGAAAACGTGGTCCGCTGCGAGGAATACGCCAATTCCATATTGAAGCGATCCACGATCGTCATCTTTCATGACCGCATGGTCATTGATCTTGATGCCGATCTTGACGTAGTATGTACGTGGACGTTGCTTTCATCTTCTGTCTTGGAGACCGAATTTCTGACACTCTCTGTTTTTCTTCCGTGCAGCCAGAAGTAGAAGTAACACTACCTTTTGAGGTGTGTCACAAAGTTCGAAGTTGTAGAGAAACGAAAAGGGACTTTTCGTGTCACTGAAATACGAAGTTCGTAAGCTGCACTAGCGGTGGTCGCACGGAGACCTATTGACGCAAATACGCAGGAACGCCAGATCACATCAAGGACAACGCTTTTTAACCCTTACGTGTGACGGAAGTAGAAATTTTCATCATCCACCCCTTCCTTCCTTCAAGGAAAGAGAGCTGTGCAACCCAGCCCTCCAGCAGCCACGACAAAAAACGCGGACCAAGAAGAGAACGTCCACGACGATGACAGGTAGGAAGCCGCGTAATATCGCCAGTGCCGCGGCGCTGGCGTTTTGCACTTTTTCCGGGCTGCATCAAGTGCACACCGTGGTTTCTGCGACGAAACTGCACCTCACTGCGGGCGTCGTGGGCAGTCGGGACCACAGCGGGGCTGGTTCATCTTCCAGTGTCACTGGTCACTCGTCCCACGTGGTGACGAAACCGCAGAAAAAGTTTCGGTTTCTGGCGGCGAAACCGACCACCTTGTCGATGAAAATGGCTTGCGCCACGACGTTTGCGGTGGCGATGTTCTGTCCGACCGGAAACTGTGCGCCGCTTGAGACGGTGCCGTTCGTGAACAAGAAGCCGCTTCTGAACCAGTCTCGGTTCATCTCTTCGTACACCGGCGGGCCGCTTATGAGAGTGCACAACTCCCTCTCCCCTTCATTTGTGTTGCATGAACAGCAATACAAACACCTGCAGACGTGGAGCCTGTGCATGACAAATTCATGCGCCTAGTGTAGTACTGTTTGGGATTCCGGAATCTGTCATGCAAACAGTGCCAGAGGGAAGCACTTGGATTTGGGGTTTCCTTCGCATGACAAATGAGTGGGAGGGGGAGTTGTGCACTCTCATACCGCTGCCAGCCGACAACTGCCCGATGTCTTATCCGTCGAAAGAAGGGGAGGAGAGCCAAATTCTGGGAATGGTGCAAGACGTATGACTAGTGAAGTCAATCGCTCCTCTTCATAGGTCACCTATTGTGCGCTTTCTATGTTGAGTGTCTAGCTTGCAGGTTGTCGGTGTGTCGGGGTAGAACGTGTGGTACTCAGTTAAGCAGGATCTTCTACAGGATCCATATGATAACCGAGCAGGTCTAGTACTGACTTCCAGCTCTTCCTGGCGCAATTTCGAAGTACTTATCATTCTGTGTTGATTTTTTCGCGCAGAAATGCAATTGGAATTGACAAAAACGGAGAAGCACATTGGTAGCTGCTAGGGGACAGAGCGATAGTATGTTTGCATGTAATAAGACGAGACTGTGACGGAAGCCGGCGCTTTTCAATCCGCGTGGCCAGCAAAGATCCTGAACGGGAAATGGTACGCGAAATTTGGAATGTAGCAGTCGGGTGGACGACGAGAAACGATGGAGAACTTTGTCATGCCAGATCGGATACTGGTGGTAGTTCCGACAACAATGCAGTTTATCGTGCAACAGGCAAAGATGAACAAAAAATGTCAGGTACGTTATCGCCGCCGCGGACGCGTTTCAACCGACGGAGGAGTACAAATGCACGCACTACGATTACAAATTCGATCCTATGCAAAGTCACCGCGGCGTGTTGATAAAGCCTGTGCAGCGACGTCTTCGTGTTTTTCTACTTTCTTCGCATGACAAGTTGCGTGTATCGCTTTCCTTCGAAAGGGTCGTGACAACATGTACTTACTAGGGGTACAAACTTCGCGCCACATAATTGTTTGTCTGTGACGCAAAGACGCAAACATGATGACAAAGAAAAGGACATCAGCGGCGGTCTTGTGTTGCTTTGCAATATTCCAAAATTCCGGGCTGCCGCGGGCGGTTTGGAACAGCTTCGACGTGGACAGCAAGCAGTGGCAGAAGATTCCCTTGCAAGGTTTTTTTGTTGCAGCTTTGCTTTTGCTCCTGTATCTGCATGACAGAAGCTCCTGTGTCTAGCTCTACCTGTGCAGCCGTTCCTGCATATCATCCTATACAAATCACGGCGCTACTTTGTTCTCTCAGGTGAACTGATGAAATCAACCTCCGGTACGTTGATTCCCGGGGGCTACCGAGAGACTCCGATGCGCATGGGCGAGAAGCAGGACCCGTGGTTCGTGCCCATTGTGCACTTCACGGATGATACGCGAGGGAAAGTTTTTTTAAAAGATTTGCTAGGCGTACAATCCGCATGACAACGTGCCAAGTTGCATGTTACTTGTCATGCATGCAGCCACAGGTAGGACTAGTCTAGCAGAAAACAAAAGTTTCTCATGCATACTAGAAGGGGAGCAGCAGGACATTCTGGTCAAGTGGGGCTGCACGAAACCGCCTCAGGGAAATGTGAACTTTGTGGAGGTACTATATTCGTACGGTGGTTTTCCTGTTAGTCTTAGTTTTGCTATGCCGAACAGATGAAAATGGCAAGGAGTGTAGTCCCCGTTCGAAATTGATAAACAACGGGCACCATTGCGAAAACGAGATGAAGTCCACTTTCTCCACCGAAAAACCTAGGTTCTTTCGCGGAAGCCGAATGTGGATTACACCGAGGTGATCGAGGCGATTGCCCACCTGATGCAGGAAGGCCAGGAAATCACGCCAGTGATTGAGAACATGCGGCCGGTCACCCAGGATTGCCCTGACGTGGTGCCGCCGATGGCCGGGATGGATCTCTGCCGCGGCCCGGATTGCGACGAGAATCGGGCGCGGGGGAGCAGCTCCAAAGAAACGGACCTGGGGAACGAACAGCAGTTGCCGATTGCTCCTACTGGAACGCATCTCTGCCGGGGGCCGCACTGCGATGAGAATCGGAAGAGCGTGCAGTTACCGATCGAGCCGACCGGGACTCATCTCTGCCGGGGGCCGCACTGCGATGAGAATGGGAAGAGCGTGCAGTTACCGATCGAGCCGACCGGGACTCATCTCTGCCGGGGGCCACACTGCCACGAAAATGGGGTGGAGGTGGAGGATGGTGGCAGTATGGTGCATGTCTAAAGTAGAAACTAATGCACGAAGTCTACTCAAGTGTACTTCTACTTCATCAAGAGCCGCGCCCTTGTAAAGCATACGCAAAATAACCTATCTTTTTCCGAAGAAGTGGTGAGCTCCTGTCACTGAAATTGACAGATATCAGGCAGTGGCATGGCTGTCTGATCTTTCTACTCACCAGGGCTGCTGCGAGGGTACTACTCGTTGTATGTAATAGTACTGACGACTACGCTTAAACTTAATGAAAGTCATACGGATATACATATACACAAGAAGAATATGCCACTTTTCCTCCTCTCATCCACTACGCATCAAGTTATGTAAATCAGTCACCACATCTAGCGATAGAGTTGCTCCTCTAGGAATTTATTACGGTACTCACACTGAAGTCGCAATAACTACTGCGGCTGCAGCGGCGATTGAAAAAAAGAAACACCAGCAGCACGATGAATGAGCCTCGTTGTGACGGTGTGCAGCAAAGCAAATGACAGCCAGCAAGTGGTTCTCTCCAAAAGAGCTAATGTTACGGAAAACGAAAGGGAAAGCCAAAGCTATCGAATTACTCGTGAATGTTGTGGTAAATTGCGCCGCGACGCCCCCTCGTCCAAATTTGAAAGTGATCCGTGAAGATTCGGTTACTTTACCACAGAATAAATCAAAAAGAAACATGATCAGTCATTAAGAAGATCCATGGTCAACTAGATTGCGCGTGAGAACATCAAAAAACGAGATCTACTTCCATGAAAAACACGAAAAAAATGCGCGAAGATCTTGGAAAGAGTAAAACGAAGCAGCAACTACTAGAGGACTCGACGAGAAAAAATCCAAATCTTCGTCTTGAGTCGGTGCAAATGCAAAATTGTACACGATTTGAGCACTCAAACGGATTTCTTTTTCATCATGCCCATCGGTCATCACCCATTTTCGGAGAAGTTGACAGTTGAAAGCAACAAACTGACATTTATCCTCACGTTCGTCGTGCTCCTCCACCTACTGCGCAAAACTTTCTTTTTGGTCTTTATACAAGGCGAATCTCTTCTCTTTCAACAAACTGTATAATTAATTTCTTTATCTTTATCTGTTAGCTGTCTCTTGAGTTGTTGTACTCTGTCATTTTCAAAGTGACAGTAGCTTCCGTGCAAATCTATCAAGATAAATCGACACTTCAAGAATTACAAATAGCGTTGCTCCACTCCGACAACTTGGAGCTTTACTCCGACAACGACCAGCACTTTATTATCGCCCCTTACTTTCTACGTACTTGTCCTTTTCTGTGGGAATACTAAGCTTGAGTCGTACAAAACGAAACTTTTAGCTTTCGTAGCAAGAAGATCTTTAAGTTCTTTTTCTTTCTACTCAACTACGATGATGTCGCTCGCCCGCGGTTTTTTGTTCGCACACTCCCTCCTTTTCTGGTCCCTGCTCCCGCGGACGGCCGTAGCAACGATCGGCGCTCGCACGTTACAGCGAGTTCCGGAAGCGCTGGGCCTCACGGATGCAGGTTGGCACTTGTTGCCTGACGCAGGACGGATTATCGCCGAAAAGCTGGCCACCGATACCCAAACCCGCCTGCAACAGTTTGCGGCGAGGGTGAGGAGCGCCGCAGGACATGCTCACCTTGCCGCAGTGGACGAGGCGGTGGATAAGGGGAAATTGCCGACCCAGGCCCTGTCCATCTGGGATAAGGAGTACCAAGAAACGAAGAAACAGTACTGCCAAACCAGACATGTGCGCTCGGGCTCGCGGCAGTATTTTACCCAGAAAGATAGCAACACACTCCTCGACCCCAACGTGCACAGCTACAAACATTGGATTCCGAACAAAATGAAGCAAGCCTACTTCCTCGACTGGTGGACGTGCTACGTGGCGCGGAAGCTGCTTTATCCGCTGACGGCAGCACAACTAAAACCTGACTACGGTCACGACCAATTCGCGGAAACAGCCCTCAGGATCGCGAGCAAGTTCCTAGAGACGGCAAACTTCCCGCCAAATGTTGTTCCCATCGCCACGGCCACTGCTGGTCCTGGTGGAAGCGTGGTCCCGCCAATGCAGAATGGTATCGCTGCCGCGGCCTCCCACCAGCAACGAAATTCGTTCACAGCTTTGTTCGCCTGCCACACGACCACAGGCGACGAGGAGGTGAGTAGTGCCTCAGAGGGGGAATCCCGAAGGTCATCCTCCGATGCAGCTGCTGCTGCACCAAGCGGTCAGCGAAGGAGCTGCAGCACAGGTCGGAGTCGGACGAAGCAAAAGAAACAGAAGCGCCGCGCCGCGAGCAAACAAGAAAAGGGCTCGGAATTATTCAGAGAGACCTGGCGAGCTTGGACGAAAGAGGGCAAGTTGGCGAGACTCCCGAGTTGTCGTTCTCTGTTTACGGGCAAGTCTCCGGACGAGCGAGTCAAGCTGTATCGCGCGCTCTCGGCGGACTGGGTGGAGCGCCGCGCGGACACGCTCCTGGATTATCAACAGGACATTTTTGAGGAGTTGTTTGTGGAACCGACCGCGAGGCACGTGGAAAAATTGAAGCAGGCGTTTGAGCAAATTCAAACATTCTCCCGGCTTGAGCGCCTTTCGGTCGAGGACGCCCGCACGCTGCAACGAATCTTGGCGGAGGAGAGCGCGCTTGCCAGACAGGTAGACGAGGGCGCGAAAATGTACATCCGCGCACGAAACGAGGGGACGGCGCAAATTGTCGCGGAGCAGAACGCCTTTGCCATGCTTGTCCGTGCCGGCGTGGTGGTCGACAAGACAAGGACTAAATCAGTGCGAATCGAGGAGGCGTCCCTAGAATACGTAGTGTCTCTGCAGCTCTTCCGGGAGGATACCACCGCCGCGGAGCTGCTGCAGAATTTGAAGACCGTGTTCGCGTACAGCGTTTACCGAGCCACCAGCTATCATGGCCTCGTCCTGGAAAAGTTTTGGAAGGTTGCGCCGCCGTTCCTGTACACTTTATTGATGTATGATGCCTACAAGAACGGATACCCGGAGATGCCTGCGTTTTTAAATACTTGGTCGACGAAACCACCGCTGCAGAAGGTGGTAATGGAATTTCGCCATGCCGCGTTGTGGGTCCTCGAGGATGGGAGAAAGGCCGCACACGATAAAGTGTCGCTCATCTCCCCCACTTACCGCGCAGAGTGGGACAGAACGGACAGGTACCGGGACGGGATGCGGCAACGGCAAGCCGAGGTTCGCAAGCTGGTGGATACCGTCGTCGACACCGCAGACCCGCGTAAGGACCCGCGCCTTGCAACTACGTGGAAAGACAACGAATTTGCTCGATCGGCAATCGACGTCTTGGTGAAGAGGAAGACAATAATTAAGCCAAAGCCTGTCGATATTAGATCAGATATTGCGAAGGGCGGCAACAGTGCCGTACTCAAGGAAAGCGACGACATTGTGCGCACCGCCAAGCACCTTCTTCGAACGGTTTACGAAGCCCAGTGGCTGCTATCGAATTTGCAAGTCCGGGCTGTGGGACTCTCCCTGGAGGAGGCATTGCCCGAAGATAACCGCGAACATCTCCGGGAGGAACTGTTCAGGAACTGGGCGGAAGCAGCAGCCAAGCTCTCGCAACGCGCTACCTTGCAGGTGCAAAAGGCTGATAGTCGTGGTGTCCCATTGCCCCCGGTCCCGGTGCCAGCCGAAGTTGCTCTGCGAGTGCGGCTGCCCGCGTCCATGGAGGGAGCTTGCCAGGAACTCCTAGAGCAGGAAACACAAACAGGCGCAGCACCAGCACCTGGGGGCCGCGCAAAAGACGAGGAGGACGAAACTCGTCAGAAATCCGAATCCGAATCCGCTGAAGAGAAAGCTTTTGACGAAGGGGCTTTGCGCTACGCCCAACTAGCGAAGTCTGAGTGGCCGAAATTTTTGGACGAGCTGTGGGAACCCCGGAAAGGAATGATGCAGATCATGGAAAATTTTCGGAAAAAGAAAGGCAGTAAGGACGTTTTTCCGAACGGTGTCCATCCTACTTGGGAACGAGTCAACTCTTTATCCATCTTTGCAAATGCGTCTGGTTCGCAAACAAGCTGCTTTTGATCCTGAAAATTCAACTGTGGATGAGTATAGGCCTTTTCATCCGGTTCCGGTCGTGGACCGAGGCATGACAAATCTTTTAGAGGTTTGCTCATGCGTACTACAGCGAACTTGTACAGCTGCTGTGCGTTACAGATTACAATCTGCGTTTGTGCATGGATGTGTGCATGGATGCAACACTCAAAACGAACTGGCACTCTAGAAGTCCTCGGGCATGAGGCAATAGAGATTCTACCGCGATTCGAGACGCGCAATATCATCAAGGCTGCACTTGTTTTCCAGACCCAGACGTATTTTTTGCAATGCATGCACTTCGCTTGGTGGCAAGAACAGAACCTCGGCTGTGGGGTTCTTGACAAATTTGGATGGGCATGCGCTTGCGGCCGTCAAAAGAGGACATAACTCCCTCCTCTAACCGCTTTCCGGAGAAACAACAAGCCAAGCTGAAAGGCGGACGAAAATTGTCTTCTTCTCTCTTTCGGCCCGAGCTACGTCGCCGGCGCGGGCACGCAAAAGGGCCGGCCCCAGTACGCGTGTAGCCCGTGGCTCTCGACATCCCAGCGGCACGAAAATTTCTAGAAGTAGAAGAGAACGACGCGGCCGAGAGCCTTTCAGCAAAAAAAAAGTAAAAACAAACTCATGCAGTCTATCACTCATCTCTTTGGCCAAAGGCAAAGCGAAGCCGCGTCGCAGGTGCGGCGCCTCTTGAAACAGAAATCATTTTTTTCTTCTTATGAAACTCAAACTTCTAAACCTCAAATTTACTTTTATTCACATTGCCAGATGCAGATGAGATACCTTCTAGTATGCTCAACACTTCTACTTCAAGCAATATAGTCGGATCATTCCCCTTGGGCCAACCCTCCCAGAGATTCTTCGTGATGCCGAGAAGTCGCACAAATAGACTTTTTTGTCCAGATTGTTGGACTCCAATTAGGGCCGAAAAGAAAAAGACGCATGGTTTTGGGGGAGCTCATGCTCAATCCCATGAGGCGATGCAAGAAGCGCTTCTTTGAGCAAATAAAAACGCCGACCCCGACAAATTAGCATCAAATTGTACAGATTATTGCAGAATCAATGTTGTTGTACCAAAATCAAAGAGGGATAGATATATAAACAGCGCTACGTGTATGATTTTTTGATTTATTTAAAGCTAGAAAACGTTAAGAGATAGAGTGTAAACGACATCGAGGATTTTTTTCGGATCACGTCGTACCTAGTGCGACTGTGTTTCAAAAAATCTAAATCTCGATCGGTCGATGCACGCTGGAGTTAAAATGTTCACATCAAAAGACGCAAATCTGTAATGCAAATTTCGAAGAACCCACAGCACAAAATCGGAACAGAACTTTTTTACAAATCGTAGATGAAAATGCAACTCAAAGAAGTCGGCGCGTAGCAGAACGAAGGAAAAGCAGGATGTTGGTCTTTCGTATGAAATCGATCGTGCAAAAAAGATGCCGCGCAGTGCTACTAAGTGTCGTTTTCTAGAGAGTTTAAAGTGCGTTTTCAAGTATTTAGCTCTTCGAAATTGTCATACCAGGGTCGTGTCGTGCGCTTAAAGAATTCACGGTGGGCACGGTTAGACTTTACCACTCGAGCCCGTTTGTTGACAGCTCTCGAGTACATGACCCAAAAACTGCATGACAGATTTGAAAAAGACGGCGATGATGATTTAGAGACTTGAAAAAAGAAGAAAAACAAAAACAACGCCACACGATGGGGATTCGAGTTTGAAAATAGGCTTAATGTGTTTTGATTTTTGTGTTCTGCCCTTTGTACATGACCAGTAGACAGAGCAAAGGTAAGACTCTCGAGAAGTATTCCGCTGAATTACGATCGTCAATAGCACAAGGTTTCGGAAGACAGATCTCCTCGCATACTGCTTCGTCACGCTTTTTGCAGACGAAGGGTCGGGATCGAAGGTATCATCCGACAAATGACGATCGGTGCTGCGTGCTACGAGTGTTGTTTCATATCCTGTGTCTGTCGTGCTGCCTGCCCTTCGTGACGAAGATAAGTAGTTGTTGTCCGTCAGTAGGGGAGCGAGCGAATAATTTAGAGGCCCATTGCTAACTCTACTCCAGCAGAGCTGCTATTTTTTTGAAACTCGAAATAACTCGTCAGAAATCCGAATCCGAAAAAGAAAATGTGTCGACATGGTCCTCGCAAACACTCCAGAGGAACAGCGTTTCCTGCAGTCTGTCGCGCGGAATCAGCTACACGTGGCAGAACACCTGCTGCTCGGGCCGGGCGCGTGCAGGGACGAGGAAGCCGTGAAAGACAGTGAGTTGGGTAGTTTGCCACTGCGTTCGCGGTTAATACACCAGTACGAGCCCAACAATTATACCGATGCGTTGCTCTACGCGCGGGAAGTCGAGACGGGTGCCACGGCAGCCCACATTGCGGCCGAGAACGGGTTTCCGGAGATTTTGGAGCTTGTTCTCAAAGCGGCGGCGGCGAGCGAGGAAGATTCGGCCACGAAGGATCGGGATGTTGACGATGTGACGAGCAGTGAAGACTCGGTTGTACCAGAACACGACTCTCCCTACCCAAGGCAGGACCTCCACGGAGCGGCCAGAAAACAAACCAAAAATGAACGCAGCAAAGACGCTTCCGAACTGTGCAAGCTGCGCACCTTCCTACACGGGGAGACGCCCTTGCATCTGGCTGCGCGGTTTGGAAACAGCGACTGCGCAAGGCTTTTACTGGACTACTTTGCAGATTCCGAAGCGAAGGACCACATTTGTCAAGACACGGCTCTGTTCTCGGCGGTGCGGTACTACGGGCGGTTTTCTGCTCCTGGTGATGTTAGGCAAGACAGCGCAGCCGAAAATATTAAAATCGACGCCACGAAAACTGCGACCGGAGCAGAAAACAAGAACGCGATCAATATCATCACGTTGCTCCTGAACCACGACTGCTCGCTGTTCGCCAATGGCACGACGGCACTGCACCTCGCCACTGCCGTTTCTGCAAGCCGGGAGGAAATGAAGCGTCTGAAAGAGGATTCTCATGGAAACGCGGAAGTAACCGCTAGAATCCACACGAACGACACGATGGAGCTGCAGGAGGACGATCACAGAGACACAGAGATCTTCGAAGCGAGCATTGTTTTGAGTAGCTGTGACGTCGCCGAAGCTCGAGACTCTTTCTCCCCGCGACCACCGGAGGCCCCTACTAGTACCGATGACTGCAGCTTTGAGCTGCTGCGGCTTCTTCTCCGCGGCAGCCAGAGAAATAACATCGAGAACAACATCGCCGACGTGGCCGACATCACGGGGTTCGCGCCGCTGCACTACGCCGCCCGGTCAGGGGCGGTGGGAGTCATGAAACTGCTGGTCGCGGAGTTTTTTGCGGACGTAGACGTCGCGTCAATCAGCATGACGAACTTCGAACGCGCTCGCGTGCTGAGCGTGACCAGTGCGTCGCTTATTCCCGCCCCGAGTACAACAGCTGCGGCTGCTCGTACCAGCCAAATACTCGCGAACTCGTGGACGCCGCTGCACCTCGCCGCCATGAGCGACCAGCCCGAGGCGGTGAGACAGCTGCTGCTGCTCAAGGCGGACGCTGCGAAACGGGGCGGGGACGCGGGGAACACAGCGCTGCACCTCGCCGTGCTTTACGACTGCAGCGAGTGCATTGAAGTGTTGTGCAACGGAGGGGCGAGGACTACAGGAGGACCTGCTGTTTTCGACGCGGGTGGTATGTCGGACCGCGACAGTCTGCAGCAAACGACAAGATGGTCGGACCATTTGATGGAAGACCACGATGGTGCACATTTCCCGCCCCGTGACGAGCTGATCGAGAGTCGGATCAGTTACTTTCAGGAGAAAGCGCGCAGGTCCTCCACCGTGCAGCAACTCCCAGTTTTGCAAAACAAAAACGGGGAGTGCGCCCTGCATCTCGCCTGCCGCAAGCCGTCCGACTCGCTCAGCGACCAGAGTCTGGACGCGCTGCTCTACGGCAGTATAATGCGGTCGAGGACCTCCGAGCGGCCAAGTGGTGTTCTTGGTCCACCACACCAAACAGCAGAATCGCCAGCCGATGCCTGGGAAGCGTTTTACGCGGAAAAACTGAAGATGCTGCGCGTGCGGACCCGGGGGCGGAAGTGGACGCCCGTGCACATCGCGAGCTCCCGAGGGAATTTGAAATTGCTGGAAAAGATGAAAGCGTTTTGCGACTTCGTCACGACGACGAGTTGTACTGTCGAAGAGAAAGCGCCAGATCGGCCAAGTGACTCAACAAGGAGAACACATCTTCGCGATACGCAGATAGGACAAGTCGCAACGGACGAGGACTACAGTGTTGGAGCGGATGATGATCCACAAGCGACCCGCAACGACGAGGACGAGCTCCCTGGCGATCTGCCACATCAGAACTACCTTGAGCACCCCTTCTTCGCCGAAACCCTGGCTCTTCCGGCCCGGAACGGGCAGACCGCGTTGCACATCGTTGCCGACGCGGCGACGTGCAGGTTTTTGCTGGGCTGCTTGGCGGGCTTTCCCGGGATCAAAGCGAGGATTCTGCAGGCAGTGGACACGTATCACCAGACGCCGCTGTTTGCCTTATGTCAAGATGCGGAGGTGGTGAAGGAGTTTTTTGTGAGGGAAAAGGGGAATGATGTGGTTCAGGAACATGATGATCTCGAACAGGACGCAGATTTGGAGGAAGAATTGGAAACCTACCGGAACTTATGCGCGAGGAGAGTTTTTCATTTTCTTGCCACTACCAGCAATGTTGCCACTTCATTTTCTTGCTATTTTTTCATTTTCTTGCAATGTGTCATGGGAAGTGTGCAAAATTTGTATTTACGAGGAAGTAGTTGTAGATGTAGTTCTTGCAGTTCGTGCTCGATTTCTGTAGAAGGCCTCTTACAACTGCAAACGCATGAAACATCACAGCTCGATGGATGACGGCAAGGAATCATTTTTCATATGTACAGAATCGTATGGGCTTTGATTTTCTGCAGCACTGCGTTATGGAGGACGCGGATGAGACGGTTCGGTTTCTGTTGCAAAAACAGATGGCCAAACGGAGAATTCTCGTCGACGCAATTGTGAGCAGGTTTTCGGAAAAACTGCAAGAGGATCTGCTGCCCGGAATGGTGATTGTGGACGAGGACGTGCTGCAATTGTGTTTCCACTACGAAGAAGAAGAAGACGAGAAGAGCGAGAGCGAAATTGAAGCAGAAGGCGGAACAAAAGAATCAGATAACCAAGAGCATGTATCACGTCCTGCAGCAACTACGAATAACAAACCTCCCCGCCGCAAATCCATCACGGAAGTGATCAAAGCCCACAATACAACCGGATCCGCTTTGTCGCGACACGCCGCTCGCCGGACGAACAACGCGGACGAGCTGTCACGGATGTGGCAGCAGACCCAAAACCAGGGCCGGCGGGCGACCAAGACGCAAGAGCTATCGGCGTTCAAGTTGGCGGAGCAGTTTTCGAAGTTTGTGCTCGTGGACATATTCAAAAACGTTCTCCTGGAAGACGAGACCACGTGTAGGCCCAGGATAGAAGCAATTGGATCTGATTTATCCGCTCAAAATTTATCTAATCCTGGAAAAGCAAAAGGTCCGAAGGAGTTGCAGTTTCTCATTTCCGTTTTTCACGAAGAGGCGACTCTGTACCTCTCGCTGGTGAAGGTGGTGAGGAAGAGGAAACAAAATGCGACAGCAGCAGGGAATAGTGTAGTAGAAGCTGGCGGGATCATGGCGACCCGCAAAGGAACGAAGGATGGCGTTGACGATCAAACCTCCGGCGAACGTGTTCGTGAGGAGCAGGAACAGGCCACCTTGATCGGTTCGTATTTCGACTGCAGCGTCGTGTACTTGCGGTTGTGTAATCTAGACGTTGGAAAACTGCAACAGAAATCTTTCGACACAGTTTACGTGCTCCGCGCAAAGGTGACCACCGAAGTAGGGTCGTGTTGCACGGAGTTTCAGATAGGTGTGGATTAGCTCAGAAAAAAGGAATACATACCGTAAAAATAGAACAACGGAGAGTACTCGCGCTCGCCACTTCTGCAAAAGAGGTTGGAATAAAGGACTAAAATTGTACTATAAGCGCGGATAAAAATGGCCGAGAAAAGGCAAGATCGAAGTCGAAGTTGATTTGGAAACGCCGGTTCTTTGCGCTCAAAACGGTCTTGACCGATCTCGTTCTCGAGCACCAGGGCTTCGAGCACCAGGTTATTCTTTTCTCGTGTTCTGCACGTTATTTATCTGGCTTCGTGGTCGTCGCGCTGCTCCTTGCCCCTTCTACCACTAGTCGTGCTTGCACTTGTTTGCTTCCCTAGCTTGATGCGGTTCATCTTGGCTTATTGCGTCCACGTTGTTTCGTGATTACAGCTTCGTTCTGGATGGTAGTTCCGTGTTTGGCTATCGAACTTCTTCAGGAAAGCGAAGCTTAAGACTACCGATCCATTTTTGTGCTACTAACTCGGACTCTCAGTAGATGCAGCATTACAGCTTTTGTACACACTTCGATTAATGCGCAGCAGCATCACAAATGTCAGAAACCATGAACAACGACTCGACTCCGTCCTCTTCCTCCCGACCGCAGCGTCGGGTTCGGAACCTCTTGGCGAGCTATCTACGCATCGCAAAGGTGATCATTTTCTATGCAGCATATGCATGACAGGCGACGGCGGATTAATCAGAGTTTGTCATGCAAAAAATGGATTCCGCTAATGCTCTGTCATGCTCGAAGTTGCACGTAGAAAATTCACTTTTTTCCCCTCGATACTCCTACGCGATCGACGATTTTCCCAGCAGTCCGGAGAAGGAACGAGAAGCTGGAGCAGCGGCCGGGGACTACAATACCAAAACAGCCTTGTCCGGCGGCACGGCGGGTTCCTCAGCTTCCTCCAGCCAGTACAGAAATCACGATGCGAACAATCATCGCAATGGCAAACCGTCCCAAAATCCGTTTGACGAACGTGCGTTCGATGGCCATAACTTTTCCGCGGAAGCCTGGTTCCAGAGATTGATCGCGATCTCGACGTCGAATGCCGGCCGAGGAAGTAATAGTTACACAGGCGGGACGAGCAACACCAAGATCAGTACGAGAGGTCAACAACAGCAAAACTCTTCCTCGAAGGAACTGCTGCAACTTTCGAACAAGCTCACGTCGAAAATTCAGCAATTGAATGCCGACATCCAGACGCACGTCTACGAGAACTATTCGAAGTTCATCCGAGCGACAGATACTATCCACGCGATGAGCAATGTGATCAGCAGTCGGCTGATTCCGGTGGATTTGGAAGACCTGAAAAAGTCGGTGAACCGAATCAGCCTGAAACAGGAGAAAACGCTGTCTGCGGGCATTCTGGTCGTGAATGATAAAGGAGGAGTAGACCTCCAAGCCGCAACTACGCGAATGCAGCGCAACACTACTACGACTAGCGGAGAACAACAAGTCAAAAACCCTGGTTCAAGAACAGCGTCTCGCGACGAGGATGGAGGTGAGTGGCCTGATGTATCCAACCAGAATAACCCCTCGTTGGAGCAGCAGGCGGAGCAGATTTCGGCACTACTGCTGAAGCAGGAGAAACTGGAGAAGGTTCGCATGTTGCTGAAAGTGCCACTGGTGCTGCAGGAGTGTTTGCAGCAGCGAAACTACGGGTACTGTGCCGAAGTGTATTGCAAGACCATTCCGATCATGCGCAAGCGCCCGGATTTGTTTCGGGAAAAGATCCAGCAAATTGACAAGATCATGCTGGACTTGTGCGGGAAGCTGGAAGCGCGACTCGGCGAGACGGCGGCGACGACGAAAGAAGCCATCAACTGCGCGCAAACGTTGATCGAACTGGGCCAGGAGAAGCAGCTGGTGGCCGACAAATTTTTACTCGGGCGAAAAAACATGCTGGAGCTCGCCGTGAAGCAGGCCTGCGCGACGACTAGTACAACCGGTGCCGCAGTTTCAAGTGCTGTCGCGGCGCAGCAAGAACCGCAGGACGAGTATCAGCGGGAAAAATCCCCCCTCCCCATATTGAACGGGTATGTTTCCGAAAATTTGTGTTGCGGATTTGCGGCCACAAGTCACGTTCGTATTGCAAGAAGAAAGGTCAAGGGCAGAGGCTTCCGCCCCGCTATGGAAGCGATTTGTCATGCTGTTTGGCCTAAAGGGGAGCCGTTTGCCATGCTGAACCACTAGACCCATACGCCCCTCCCTAGCCTGGGGACCTGGCCGCAGTGCCTCTCTGCAATACAAAGCTGATTGGTGTAGTACGCAAATCCAGCATCAGAAACTACGTTTTTATATGGGGAGGGGGGATGTTTCCATTCGATAACGAGGAGCATTTTCGGTTGTCGGTGTCAAAGCTCCTGGATCGGTTCTGTCCGCAGCTGAAGGAAGTTTTGCAGGAGTTCTGTCACTGTTTCGACTACCCGGCATTCGCCGGCAGTGTGCGGGAGATGGTGTTGGCGGTGTTGCGACTGCTCCACGAGCAGGTCCTGCAGCTGCTCGCGGCAAACAGCATCATCAACCCAAGCACTGTAAAGACGTGTATGCAGGAACTGATCACGCTATTGGAGGTGGATGTGCTCGCTCTGACGCTCGCGACGAAAACAGGAGACAGCACAAAAGACTTGAAAAGCCTCGCGGAGGCCGTGTTCAAACAGCAAGTGAAGAAGCAGTTTGTCACGGACATTTCCCTGCTCTCCGTCGCGAAAACGTTCGAGCAAGCGGGGAAGCAAATGACCACACAGCTGGTGGCATTGCACGAGGAGCTTGTGGGCGGGAAAAGCGGAGCTGGTGCAGTTTCTAACGAGGAAGCGCTTGAGAAAATCGGTAAAACCTATAAGTATCTTCACTGTTCCTTTTCCGTATCGGAATGGTAATTGCTATTGCTTCTATGCATGTAGGAGGTTCCAGATCCAGCGAAACGGGAAACATGCATTGGAAATAAAACAACATTGATACCAGGGGCCTGCGAGCACGCGATTCTTCTCGACGGGTGTTTGTCGCTGACCGACTGCCAGCCGCTGCTTGACCTGGTCGACGGCTCGAGCACTGCGAGTCTCTTGGTAGACGCTTTGGTGAAGCACGTGAAGGAATTTTTCTTGACTTTTGGCGAAGTTTGCAAGCTGTTGTGCCGGGACAAGGGCGAGAAGACACAGTCGGACCTTACCGTTTTGCCGGTACAGAAACTGTTTGGCGTTGCCTGTTCCTTGCTCTTTTTCAATTTATTGTCATTTCGGACCAGAAGAAGCATGCATACATCATGAGATCAGTTCTATTTGCGCGCTGCGCAATAAATGCAGCAACAGAATGAACCTATCACCAATTCACAGCCGACCGAAATCTCTCGGATTCGGGCCCTTTCCTGGAATTCCATGTTTGCGCTCGGCCTGGTCCGCCTTGGCCGCCACTTGGAGACGCGGGGGGTGACTAAAGTTTTCAACGTGGGCGCCGATTTGTTCGGCAAAGACTCGACGTTCGCCCAGGCCGCGGATGACAGCGCAAACAGTGCCACCGTGGAGAAGATTTTGCAGCACAATTGCCGACAGGCAGCGGCCGAGACGCTCGCGAGAGTGGTGGAGGTAGAGGGTGCTAAATTGGCGCATTTGGTACGAGACAGTCTGTACGACTTGGAGCAGATAAGTACATTCACAACGGGTGCACCAACCGATTCGTCCAACGGCAAAGCTCCATCTTCAGCAACCACGACTAAAAACTCTGCGACGACCATTCCTGCGCAAACCATCCTCGGCCCGAGGACCGCGGTGAAGAAAGTGTTGGAGAAGATGCAAGCTTTCGAATCCCAAGTCGCGACGGCACTCGGGGACAAGAAGCGCGTGGTGGGCAGTGCGACGTCGGCCCACAACGTGCACACGTCGACAAGAAGCTTGCTGTACAACAGCAACAGTAGTACCAACGCGATCAAAAGCAGCCATCGGGGCGGGAACCACGCCGACGACCTGGAGGTGGACGTGGAGCGGCTCCTCGCCCGGTCCACCCAGATCTACGGGCAAATCGCGTTCAACCGCGCTGCCGTGATGAGCGGGGTGATGAAGATCGTGCTCCGCGGGTTCTCCGAGTATCTGCGCCAGGTGTCCGCCATAGAGGGGGCCAAGCAAGTGCACCAAATTCAGGTTGACGTGGCCTTTCTCGCGTCGGAAGCCCTGAACAGCATGTGCGACAAGGAGGACGGCAGCATTCTAGAAGGATTGTGCAAGGAGATTCTCGCCTCCGCGTGCAGTCGCGCCGCGGCGGCTCAGGGCGGAGTTCTTGAGCAGGGGTCGTCTTCTTTTGGGGGCGGTTTGCTCGCTGGCGGTGCGCCGCTCCTGGAATCCCATGTGGTGGAGAAGATTTTGCTGGACTTCAATAACAGCGCGCAGCAGGAGCACTAGCGTGGTTCTCAGATGAAAACGCAGGTGGAAGACGCGCAGACGGTATGGGGAACGTGAGACTCGAAAAAAATGAAAACAGCTTCTAGATCAGACGCAAAATCATGATTAAGGAGAATCAATCCACACGCTGGTGGCTCTTGCTGTTCCCTAATGGAGCTGTTCTGAGGATGTGGCGATCAAGCGGAGCGACGAGGCAGTGCAGAGGAGAGTGTTTTTTCATCTATGAATACAGTCCAGGAAGCCTATGGGGTGGTACTACTAGCTAGTCTTCATGATCATTGATACTACAATGCCGGTGCAAAACAACGTTGGGAGAGTCACCGCAAGAAAAAATTTAAACTTCAATTTACCGAAAAACTGTAGTTGTTTTCGCTTGATGGCGAATCTCTCCACCGGCGTTGCTGCTACTACATGAAAAGTTACCCGATCCGACCGTTCCCATTTGGATCAACATGTTGCGAACACTAAACGCGCAGCAGCATCAGCAGCAGTTTTGCGCCGCAATAGCGCGCAGCTCGCAAGCCGTATTATCGAGTTCCGGTGCGGCATCTTCCAGCTCTTCCGCTTCCGCGCGTGCGTTCGCCACGACACGCGTAATCCAAGCCGGGATGAAAAGAACGACTCTAGTCCCTTTCATGTCTGGTCGCTCGCACAGGTGTGGGCACCGGATAATATCAGCGGGAACGAAATCCTCCAGAAGCGCGAAGACGCAGCGCGGACTGTTGGCCGCGCCAGGACAGCTACTTTTCAGGAATGATGTGATGAGTTCTTCCCACAACCAAATCACAAATTCACTCTTCAATCGCGCGTTTAGCACCCAGCTTCCGTCTGCAGCCACGACACCCAATCCCGCAGCGACGGAAAAAGAGAGGTTGGTCATTTTAGGTTCTGGTTGGGCCGGCTACCGTTTGCTGCAAGATGTGGACCACGAGAAGTATCAGGTCAGCGTGGTGTCGCCCAGAAACCACTTTTTGTTTACGCCACTCTTGGCGTCCGCCTCGGTTGGGGGCTCGGACATCAGCAGTATTTGCCACCCTGTGCGGCCACTAGTGGCGGAAAAGGTATAGTAAATTTACTGTGGGTGCCATGGAATTCAATGCATCACAAAGTCTCGTTCCCTCCAGCGTGTCACTCCTGCATGACAAACTAATCACACGACCGGAAAATAATACGAAATAGCTCTGCATAACCATAAGTCCACAACATACAACAGGACGGGCGCTTTTACGAAGCCAGGGCGATCTCGCTGGATAAGAAGAAGAAGATGATTCAGTGCCAAACTTTGGATGGCCGGGAGTTTCCACTTGCCTACGACAAGTTGGTGATCAGCATTGGCTTCCAGGCAAACGACTTTGGGATCAAAGACTTAGGTATGAACATAGATCAACAACCTAGGCAAGTCAATTAAGGTTAGGTGACCATAGAATCACATGACACACGACGTCGTCGTTTCCCATGCCAAGAACGCACTGAACAAAGAGCGCACGACTGCTGATGAAAGTTGAAACCAAAACCCCACCCCTTCCCTACACAGACCAACACGCCTTTTTCATGAAGGAGACCGCGGACGCGAAGCGCGTGCACGATCACATCCTGCGTTCCTTCGAAGAAGCCTCTTTCATTCACATGCTGGACGGGGATGAGAATGTCTCGCTGGAAGAGGAGGAGCAGATTCGCGAGGTGCTGTCCTTTGTCGTCGTGGGCGGCGGCCCCACCGGGACGGAATTTTGCGGCGAGCTCACCGACTTTTTGAAACGGGACATTGCCGTGCAGTACCCGCATTTGTCTCCCTACTGGTCCGTTCACTTGATCGACGCTCTACCGCAAATCCTGACCCCGTTTCAGAACGCGGAGCTGCAGGCACACGCGCTGGAGCACTTGCGAGAGAAGCAGGGCGTGCAAGTACACCTGTCGCAGTTTGTGGACAAGATTGAGCACCACCGGATCTACTTGAAATCCGGCATGTCGTTTCCCTTTTCCACGCTTATTACAGTGAAAAATGCCCCCCCACCCCTAAAATTGGAAAAATTTGTGATGCGAAGTTTCCAAATGAAAACTTTTTGTCATGCATGAAATGAGTTTAAATCTTTCTGCTGCAGAATCCAGGCGTACATGGTATATCGCATCAGTTGCATGACAAGCGCCGCTCTTGCTGGGGTCTTTTGCAATACGAATCTTTGCCATTCACGGTTGGAAACCTGTGATGCTGATAGATGCAAGAGGGCGAATGTTTCATTTGGAAAGGTTTGCAATACAAATGCTCCCAAGTTCGGGGGTGGGGGCATTTTTCATTTTGATAACGCTCGTTTGGTGTGCGGGGATCAAGCCGCTGCCCTTCGTGGCGGGCTTGGACTTGGCGAAGAACGCCAAGGGAACGCAACTGTTGACGGACGCCCAGTTGCGGGTAAAGGGCGAGGAGAAGAACGGGATCTACGCGCTGGGGGATTGTGCGTCGATTGAGGTAAGTACTGAAAAACACTAAGAATGTTTCAGAAAGGATTTGCTTTTTTCATGTGGGGAACGAGCATGTGCATGACTGAATACACCTGGTGTCTTCATGCACGCCGGGAGTGTTACAGTCACTCTCACATAAGTGAGCAATTTCTTGAATCAACGGTATTCAAAAATGATTGTAAATTCGTTCTGGTCCTCCATCAATACAACACCAGACAATGCCGATGCCGCAGACCGCGCAGATTGCGTCGCAGGAAGCTGCTTACTTGGCGAAAGCCTTGTCTCTGGACAGCCACGAGGTGCCCAACAATTTCGAGTTCAAGGACAAGGGCACCCTCGCCTACCTCGGTGGGACCAGCGCTCTGTACCGAGTGCCGTCGAATCTTCCGGTCCCCCATCTGCGCGGGCTGCTGGGCTGGTTCACGTGGCGGAGCGCCTACTGGAGCATGCAGCTGTCCATTCGAAACAAGTATAGTGCACAAGGAACTCTTGTTCTTTCCATTTGTAGTGTATTTTCTTGTTGATGCGATCATTGATTCTGTTGAACGGGACAACAGCACAATGTGCTTGTTTTGCAATGCAGAAATAACGCCATGAAAAGGTTTATGCTGGCTTGGAACTGGATCTCCAACTACGTTTTCGGGCGGGATCTCACCCGCGTCGGCCGCCACTCTTCGCCGGTGGAGTTTCTGCTCGACCGAAAGGTATCCTCCGGGAAGAAAAAACGCAATCCCGCAAGGTCCGTGTCCCCCGAGGCCTCCAAAGCAGATCCCATTCCGGCCAGCAAGACCGCCTGAGGTTCGGTTCCGGGGGTTGTTGTGGTCGTTTTTCATGGGCGACCTCTGCTTTAGTTCACCGTTTGCACACACCGTTTCGACACATATGCACAGTACTTCTAGGGATGATTTTGAACAGAATTCAGAAGGTAGTTTCCGTGTTTTGTTGTGCTGGTTGTGGTATTGCCTTGACCTGCTCCTGTGTAATTACTTGTCCTTATTTGCATGATGATGAGCATGACGCCTTTGACAGCACTCCTGCCGCAGGGTGAATTTTGATAGATCGTATGATTTTCCGCGTGTGAAGACCGAAGCGGCACAAAAGAAAAGATGGAAAGAAGCCACTCTGAACAGAAGTTCTTTTTCAGATTCCTTTGCGCCTTCTGCCCCCTGCTGAGGAAAACAGACGCTCTTGCCGTGGCATAATTTGGTTGTGATTTACTGTGGTCGTAGTCGCTTTTATCTTCCGCTTAGAATGAGAAATAAACAGGACCACGAAAAATTCAATCCAAAACCACATGAGGTTTGAGTACTTACAAAAAACAAAGAAAAACGAAACTAGGAAAAACAGTGGACTTCTCGCATAAGTGCGCGACAGGAGTTGTTACCGGGTACATCGAGCAGTTGTTGGGTCCTATGAGGTTGCTCCTTGCTCTGAAGCTCTGTGAAGATCGCCTGCTCGTTGGCCTTGCTTTCGTGCACCCGTGTCGGCGATCAGTTCTCGGGTGCGCGAGCTTTTTTCGTTCTACATCTTGACGCTTTTCGTCACTTTCTTGTTGCTCAACTTTGCCGATGTGCCTTTGAAGGGGTTCTTTATTTGCCAACGCCAAGAAGTCGATCGCCGTACCAGACAAGATCAAAACTTCGAGAAACAAACATTGTAAAAACAAACATGACCCAAATGCTGGGTCTCGACCACGAGTAGCAACTTTCCGGCACCATCATACTTGTTGCTATCAACAAAAATAAACCATGCTTCGTCGTTCCCTGCCGTCCCTCGGTCCTCCGAAAGCGCCGCGCAACTGCTTCTTCCCCTGGTTCAATTTTGTGCTGGTTCGTTCCGGCGCCTACCTCGAACCGAACCGGATAGCGTTTCGGGTGCCGGTGCACATCACGAAGCCCGAAATTCGCGAGTACTTGCGGAAGATTTACAACATGAAAGTGATCAAAGTGAACACGTACATACACATCCCGAAGATCAAGCGCAACGCGTTCGGCGACTACATTAAGCAGGGCGGGATCTACAAAAAGGCGATCGTGAACTGCGAAGAGGTGATCCCCGACGAGGTAAAGATGTTTGCCAACAGCCGCAAGCCGCGAATGAACCCCGCGATAACGAAATATGACACGCCGAAGCACATCGCGCGGAAAAAATGGTGGTCGAAAAACACGGTGCGACCGGGGGTGAACAGGAGTAGCGACTGGCTCCCGAGGCATCCCCAGGCATACGCGGAGGTCATACCGACGTTGCTCCGCGGCGACGATTTTCCGCCGCCGCTGGAAACCAGCGAGAAGCTGGAGCCGCAGAGGTAAAATCATTTTGTTTCTTGCTACTGCACCAAAATGGACTTCTGGTGGAAATGCGGTAGTGATTCATGTGTTATGACTATGAGTTTTGAAAAAGATGATTGCGATTCGCAATGTCGATGCAACACAGGCACCTCCCCCACCTTCACCAAGGCGGTCCTACCCTCCCCGACAACGTTCCGTTCCAGGAATTCCCGCGTCCGGACCTGACGGTCTTACGCGGCCGGCACGAGGCTGCCAGACCCCGGACGGGGGCACAGATGCTCGACGGGCTCCGAACGCCCGCAGAATTGAGAATAAACGAGCAAACGCACGTTCTACCGCATGCAGAAAACCCGTTTGGCAAGAGGATAGGCTGAAGGAGGTTGGTTCTACATGTAGAAGTAATTTATCATGTAATGAACTTAGAGCAAAAAGAACTCAAACGAAGGCCAGCTGATTCCATGCCTGTGCTAAGGGCATTGATCCTAGGAGGTGTTCTACTTGCAAAGCCAAAGCCGAATCGGCTTCCCGGAGGTGGAAGATAGACACCACTCTCATCGTCACCAAGGCATCCAACTGCGGTTCACTGAGACGCGCGGAACAAGTGCAAATTACGTAGTCTGTCGGTACGGACTCTCTCTCGACTTCTATAGAGCTAAAGGAATAGGAACCAACAGCACTCTGATTCCACGAATCATTGACCACGACGTGAGCTTCATTGTTCCAAGATGGCTGCCAGCAGTGGCGCAGCGAACAGCTCTCGTTGCTTGTCACACTTGCTTTCCAACGTCTTTCCGAGTTCCGCGGCGAATTTGCTGCCCTCAAACAGGTCTCCAGGACCAGGCACGCACCAGAGTGAGGAGCCCGCCTACAACACTGCAAATCCAAATGCCCAACCGACAAGAAGGTTTGTGTACAATGAGCAGCTTGCCTTGGAGCCGGTGGAAAGCAACTTGCTCCGCGTCTCCCCCCTGGATGGCCGCTACGCGAGAAATAACAAGCAGGTTTCGGAGTATTTCTCCGAAATGGCGTTCATCAAGTACCGAGTGCGGGTCGAAGTGGAATATTTCTTGGGACTGGCGAAGATTCTGCCGCAGTTGAAGAACACTGTCTCGGAAACGAAGCTGAAAGAGTGTATTATAGGATGTGTAACATAAATTTTGTTCTGTCGCTTGCATAAACACAGTTTTTGCGTGTGTGCCTATGGTGGCAACGAGAATGAATACACCAAAAAGCTGCGTCATGCAATTATAGACATGCGTGGCGTTCACGCTCTAGGAGGTCGCCATGCTGCAAACTACATCAAGCCACACTCGTTCCGCATAACTACAGGTCGTCGCATCTACGAGGATTTTACGGTACAAGACGCGGCCAAGGTGAAGAAGACGGAGCAGGTGACAAACCACGACGTGAAGGCGATTGAGTATTTCGTGAAGGAGAAGCTGGAGGAGATTGGTTTGGCGAAGCAGGTGGAGTTTGTGCATTTCGGGCTCACGTCCGAGGACGTCAACTGTACCGCAAACCCGTTGGCGTTGAAGGAATTTCTGCAGGAAATCTACGTGACAAAACTCCGAGACGACGTGGTTGCGCCGCTGAGACAATTGGCCGAGGCGACTGCGGAGGTAGCTACGAAGCCGAGGTTTCTATGCATCGTTGGTGTCTAGGTAGAGGAGTACACCAATAGTAGTAAGTACTAGAAGAGGGTATACACAACTTCTTCTAAATCTACTCCACAGGTTCCGATGCTCGCACGCACGCACGGGCAGCCGGCGACGCCAACGAAACTGGGGAAAGAGATCATGGTCTTTGTGGAGAGGTTGGAGCGTCAGATGAAGCAGTTGGAAACCATTCCTTTCACGGGAAAATTCGGCGGTGCGACCGGGGGCCTGAACGCGCACGCTGTTGCGTAATTACAGTGTTTTCATACATATGTATGGTATGACATAGACACCACGTGACTTGTCCTTGCACAGGCGGGAGTCTGTGTCACGCGGAAATATTAGGCACGATAACGATAAGGGAGCTGTAGTGAATTTCTCCGCAGCTGCTGCAAACTAAATTTTACTTGCGCACGGAGAGTGTATTAACTCCGATTGGGTGGTAGTTCCTTCTGAATACTACAGGTACCGCGACATTGACTGGGTTTCCTACATGAACGACTGGTATTACAAGGCTTTCGATCTTCGCCGTCAGCAGTTCACCACCCAAATCGAGCACTACGACGACACCGCGGCGTGCTTCGACTGCTGCCGTCGCATCAACACCATTCTGCTGGACTGCTGCAAGGACATCTGGCAGTACATTGCTTACGAGTACTTTAAGCAGAAGGTGATGAAGAACGAGATTGGGTCGTCCGCGATGCCGCACAAGGTAAACCCCATCGATTTCGAAAACGCGGAGGGAAACTTCGGCATCGCCAACGCGCTGTTTGAGCACATGGCGGACAAGCTGCCGATCTCCCGCCTGCAGCGGGACCTGACGGACAGCACGGTCCGGCGGAACTACGGCGTGCCCTTCGGCCACACGCTGGTGGCTTTCGCGAGCTTGAAGCGCGGGCTGGGCAAGCTGAAATTGAACGAATCAAAGATCAACGACGACTTGGACGCGAACTGGGCCGTCGTCGCGGAAGCAGTGCAGACGATCTTGCGCCGGGAGGGCTTTGAGAAGCCCTACGAGGCGCTGAAGCAGTTCACACGGGGTAAGGAAATCAACCGTGATTTGATGCGGGGCTTCATCAACTCCCTGCAGATTCGGCCCGAAGTGAAGGCGGAGATGTTGGCGATCACACCACAAGAATTCGCGAGGCTTGGCCAGCTGTATGAGAAGTAAACAACGTTTAGACGTACGGCAGCGCCGTTTGGTCGGCCTTTTTGGTTTGCAAGTTTGAAGGAAACTACTTGTGCGGCAGCGTTGGTTTCAATCACGCAGCGCCGTAGTACGCACTGCAACTATCGGCACTGATGCGGGTTTCTTTGATGCAAAATTTGCGTTTGGCTTTGGAGTTGCGTCGTGTTGCATGAGGAATTTGTAGCAATACTGGAAAGAATTTTGCAAATTTTGCACAGAAGTTGCGGATAGCGTTTGTCGATTCATACGTGGCCGAGGACCTTGTGAAGCAGTGCAGCCAGCAGGTGTTGTGTCGGGAAGATGTCATCTGTGCGATGCTGATCAAAGAAGTTCTTGTCATGCCTCGCAGAAACACAGCTTGAGCGAGTTTTTTCGTTTTTGACTTTTGCGGTTTTGTATGAGCTGTTGATGTCGCATGTTTGAAAGTATTAAGGAACACTGCTTTTCTCCTGAAATTCGACCGCATTTGCGATGGACCAAAATTTTCCAAAGTAGCAAGACCGAAATATGAAAATGTTGTAGATACGATGCGATGTTGGCGATCACCAGCAGTCGCAGCAGGCTTAAGCCGCCTGCTGCAAGAAGACAGATCAGCACACGGCAGTTCTATTTTACCTCAGGAGGGGAGGAAGAGCAAGACCCTAGCTGTGAGTTTAGCTGTGGGCGACAGCCGTTGAGAGGTCAGTAGACGTACCGATGATCGAGCATGACGGAAAACAGGAGGTTAAGTCTGTGCTGCGCTGAGGCGGAGGGGACAGACACGCGGGAGCTTAAGTCGCGGCAGAAAATGACCTTCTTGAGAACTACGCAGTAGAGCTGCACGACCCGCCGAGTCGTGAGTAAGAATAAGAGTCGATATCCAAGATGCTGGCGCCAGCCGTCGTTCTCTTTGTTTCGTGTGTTTCCGTGCAGGTTTGTTCTGCACCACCAGGCACGAAAGCTCGCGCATGCGCATCTCAGTCTAGCACCGAGGATGTTGAAGAGATCGATGCGGGAGAAAAATCGAACGGCCCACAATCACCAGCTTCGCAGCTCCAACTGCCCGCAGCTGCAGGGACCACAGCGCCCCCTAAAGAAGCAGAGGCTCTTCATGAAGAGGATTTTCAGCCCGCTGAAGAGTCTTCTTGGGCCTGGCTTTGGCCTCCGCGTTGGAATTTGTTCTCCGGATGGAGCCAGAAAAGCAGTTGTGGGCAACAAGCGAAGACTTCTTTCGATGAAGCATTTGTCCAACAATCTTCTGCGGCGACTTCGGATAGCGCAAGAACTCCGACATCACTGGGGCAAGAGCAGGATACCGTGGTTTGTAGTTCAATCCTACAACAACTCTCCCCGGCGGCCAGTGGCAGTACACGAGGTGTCGTGTCCTTCACTACGAGTCCGCGCGGCACCGGCTCTCCAACGTGCCAGGACTTTGTCAGCAGCTCAACGGCAGCTGCGATTCTTGGTGTGAATCAGAACAGTCCCTATCCGGCTTGCGTTCGTGTGGTGAGCAAATTCTTGAACATTAAGAACTCAGAGCCGACCTCGCGTGTGAAGCAGCAGGCGTTGACTGCAGCGCTTAACTCCAAACGTTTAGAGTCTGGATCTGGCTCTGCACGGTCGCACACAGCAGACGAGGCAGTACTATCTGCTGGGAGACGAGCAGCAAGCCAGCACCAGCAGCCGTGTCTCAGCCAAGCGGAGCGGATCTGTCGAGAGCTGAAGAAAGACGTCAATGTTGGTAAGGAAATGCAGCTGGTGGCACATCAAGAATGCACAAGAACCAGAGCAGATGACGACTCTCCTCCCTCAGTCCCAGCTTCGCCGCAAGCCACTCAAGCAGCAGATTCTGTAGCCTGCCAAGAGAACTACGCGGATCGCAACGAAAAAGAGCAGAAGCACGAAAGAGCCGGGTCGTCGTGGAAGATGCGCGACGTTTTCAATAGAAACTTCCGCCTGGTTTCCTTCGCAAACGCGCTGGGTGGCCGAAAACAAGCCACAACTTTTCCGCTAACCACGACAGCGTTGCCGACGTCCCGCTTGCAGGTGGGTAGGAACAGAGCAGCAGCACTGCCTGTTCCAAAAGACCAGCTCCACGCGACTTTGAACCGGTTTGGCTGGGGCCACTTGGCGGAGGATCTGAAGTTCCTAAGCGACCAAGATCTCTACATGCTGCGGACGTTGGCGTACACTGGGAATGGTCGTAAGCGGACCAGGTCCAGCACTGCATCCTCGAGTACGAAGGAAAACCAAAAAGCAGGAACAAAGGAGGACGATCTTCTACCGGAAGAAGATGCATATGGCATCGAAGCTCTAAACCAATTCCAATCGGCGTCTTCCTCGTCTTCGAAGCAAAAGAGCCGCGAGCTTCAGGAGTTCAAATTCAAGGCTTTGAAACAGAAACTAGCCGGCAGCACGACTTCTGCTGCCGACGAGGGAACATCTACTACACTGACAGGTGCTAGTACAACAACTTTGCCGGCCAGGGATTCCTTCATATTGAGAAACATCCTCATGGCGGATTACTTTTTCGGCGGCTACAACGCGAATCAATTCAATTTTGACCAAAAACAATCCGTCGCGAGGGATTTGCGGACCAGTTTGTTTGAGGCGGGTGTGTTTTCGGACTCGCAAGTCGGGGATTTGGTGCAAACGCTGAAACGCAGGGCAGAAAATTACAAAACCGATTCCACTTCAAATTCTTGTGACGCGGGTGCGTTTCCAGCAAGTGCGTCGTCGGCCCAAGAGCTTCTTTTGCAGACGAAGGAAAACTACTGCGGTGGCTCTGGCTCGTCTTGCTGCGTCGACAAGGATCTGCGGGCCGGGTCGGTGCTCCGACTGGCGCCTTGCGAGCCCGACGGAGATGATCAGGAAGACCATCATGGAGGAGCAGGCACCGACGAATTGAAAGCCAGCAAGCAAACGAGTGCCGGGTCGTCTGTCGGAGGACAAGAGCTGCTTCATCTACCTGACAAGAATAACAAACTGACTTCTCGGAAATCACTCGGCTCTGACAGATCAAAATCCACCACGCTATCGACCTCTGCACCGAAATTGACAAACGCGGTCTCCCGGGTGTTCCAGTCCATGCAGAAGAATTTGAAGCAGCAACTGAAAAACAGTCGGAGCAACTTGAGTCTTATGCAAGAAAAAAACTGTGTAAGTGTAACTCTGTGATGCAGAAAGGGCAAAACAGTTACACTTGTCATGCTGGACATGCATCAGAAGCTTTTTTCGTGCGTGTTTTCACGTATTAGCCGCGCATGACAGGCTCTCTCTGTCAGGCAGAGCAAATTTGTGATGCTATTCCTCCAAGAAAGTTACACTAACACAGTTTTTTTCTTGGATAAGTCTGTTCAGCGGCCTGACCTCGTCCAGTCGGAGGATATCAAGCGCAAAAATGTCTGGGTCTGGAAAAATGTAAACTTGTCATGCAGATTTTCCATGACCACCCATATGGTCTGGAATGCGGGACCTAGGATGGCAGACTCTGTGAGGTCTCTACCATGCCCATCCTGCATGACAAACTCCCTCCCAACTTGGTCAAAAGTGGACAGCTTTTGGCACTCATGCAGCACAGATTTTTGCATGCTTCAGATTTACCATGCACAGATTTTTGCATGCTTCAATTCAATTCAGATTTACCATGACAAGTTGCCACCTTCCAGACCCAGACATACTTGCAATCCATAGAGGAAGCGAAAGTGCAAGAAAGATAACTTGGAGAACGACCCGGAGTTTTTTCCCAGGAAGTTTCTGCCCAAGTTCGTCTTTCTCACCGACGTCGACGACACGTTCTGGTGCAGTAACAAGGAGGCGAGCGGTATCGCCGGCACGGACGAGAGCATGTCACCGGTGGCGGCGTTTGTACAACCGAGTGGCGGGGGTAGTGGAGACTACCAGGGGGGATCATCTTCGCGACGGAATTCTAACGGAAGCGGCACTGGTACTGGTTCTTGTGAGCAAAATAAGCCCGCAAAGAAGCACGAAACGTACCCCGGTGTTGGGTTGCTCATGGCGTTCCTGAATGTGCAGAGCAGTATTTTGGGGGAGGGAGAAGATAGTTCCTCTGGGCGAAAGGAGAAGTTTTTCTACGTAGGGAGAACGAAAGTGGTTGTGCCTGCAGGAGGACAGGAGCTACTGTTTCCGCATGAAGATAAGAAAGCAGGGAAAAGAACATCAAGAATCAGTGCCGGAAGTAGAAGTGCGCTCACCGTCCCATCAGCACCTCCGCCGAGATTCCTACTAAAGCTGGACACCGAAGAGTACAAGTTGGAGAACAGCCTACCTTTCTACCCGGGCCTCCTTACCGCCCGCCCGGGAGAACTGATGGGAACCATTAAGCTGCAGGCAGGGTCGAAATTTGGCTTTAACAAGATTTGCGACCGAGACCTCCCACCCGCGAACAGCTTTTTTGATCCGGGTCTTCTTGGTGAGACAGCAGTGGGTGCTGGCTCCCTAGTTTCTGCCGACCCTCCGGGAGATCAACCGCAAATCCCGGCGGCGCACCAGCTGCCGTCCCTCCCATCGTCCCCGAAGAAACCGATCACGATTCTGCCCGGCGCCACCACAGTCCGACAGCTGCTTGGGAACGCGAAGGCACTGTACAGCTACGCAAACGACAATGCGGTGACCAAGCCGGATATCAACCGGGTGTCTTCCATCGGGGAGCGGAAAGTTGAAACTTTAGAGCAGTACTTGCAGATCTTTCCCGAGTTTGTCAACCGCGTGGTGTTTATCGGGGACGACGGCCAGGCCGACATGGCCGTCGCAAAGGCCATGCTGGACAAGGCCCGCGTGGTGGCGATCAAGCGGGTGTGGCAGAAAATTTTGGTAGGGAAAAGAAATAGCGGCGCTGCTTCCACGACGGCCGCCGGGACGAGGAGAAAGACCTTCGGGAAGACGCTCACGCTGCCCGAAGGGGCAGTGAAAGCTGCTGTCGGCAAAACTGGGAGCGCGGGCAGCAGTACCAACAGTGACATGAACAGCAAAACTCCAGCTAACAACGACTTCTATGCAGGAGCTGCTGCTGCAGGTGCAGCTTCTGGCGGTGGAACAACTGCTGTCGCGAACCGGTTTTCATCCTCTAACGGTGCGTCAGCAACACCAGGAGGAACTACCACCAGGAGAAACACGGCTGAGAAAAATTCGTTTCAGGAGTTGCCGAGTAAGTTCTTCGGGCGGTATTTCGAACAAGAGCCGCATTCGGTAGCAATGGAAATGAACAGAAACACCTTGCGCGCGGAGGCAGCGCGGGATGGCGCCACCATCCTTCGTGAAGAAGAAGGTCTAGCAGAAGGAGAATCGTCCGACGAGAAAAGTCGCGACTTGGTAAAGAAATCGCATCAGAAAGTGAAATTTTTCTACTTCGACCACTATGCTCCTGTGCATGAGTCGGACCCGGCGAGAGAGCGGTACGACGCCGACCTGGAGTTACCTGTGTGGGATACCGCGAACCCCTTTTCAGAGATAATCGAGTTTGCCGACGGGGCGTTCTACTTGATGGAGCAAACAACTACTGATGATGAAGGTAGTACTCCTGCCGACGATCGAGATGATAACTACACTGACGAGGAAATGTTACGAAGTACCAGCGCGCCGCGGCTGAGAAACAAGTCAATGACCAGAGTGTCTAACAGACTGCCAACGTTGATTGCTCAACTGCTGATCGCCGGTGTCATACCGGAAACGGGACGAGACAGGTACGTGCGCTTGGACGACTACTTTTGCGGGCCCACTGGTGCCAGTGGACGGTCAGCGTCCACGTCTGGGGCGCAACTTTTGCTTGGCAAAATGAACAGCTACTGCACCGCCCTATTTCACTCAGCGGCAAGGGATAAAAACGACGAGGACGAGGACCACAATGAGCAAAGTGGTAGACCGGGAAGCAGTACCGATGGAGGTCGTGGTGAATCAAGTAGTGCGTCTGCTTTTTTCCCCCCAACTCCTCCCCCTGAAATTCGGTATTGGGACCTGGTTGCGCCCAATGTACGACCAGGGCGGGACGAAAATAAAGGAGAGGAACTCCGTTTTCGGTACACAGTGAAAGAGATCGAAGTTGGAGCGCGCTGGGTCGTGCTGCACCCCGCGGTGCCTTTGGGGTTTACTACTGATCCAGTAGCTTCAGATGAGCGACAACCACAGCAGCCAGCTGCAGTTCTTGAGAACAGAAAGCAGGACGAAAAGAAAGATACTCAGATCATAATTCCACAAGAACATCACCAAGCACCACAGCCACGATTCTCCTTCACTGGCGGCGATGTTTCCCACAAAACCGATGAATTTGTCACGGCTCTTCAAGGTGACGAGGGACAACGCGACAGTATACGCGCCATCACTTCTGCTGAAGACGAAGACCACGAGCACGACCGGAGTACAGATTCTATCACGCCGCGAACGCAAGAGCGGCTGGACGCTGCGGTCGCAGAATCGATGTTTCTCACCGCGAAAAGCAGCAGAGCTGGAGGAGATGCGAGAAATGCGTTCAGGAACGTCGAGAGAGGTCCAAGTAGAGACGAGGAAGTCGAACTGACAACGAAAAGACTGCGGAAAAGCGGGGAACATGAACGAGAGCCGGAGTTACTTTTGGAGACAATTATGCCCCCTTCAAGTAACGACCTTGCAGCTCCGCTAGCCGGAAAAAGCGACCAGCAGCAGAATCAACAGCTTCTGCTTCCAGCTGTGATTCCACGAAGCCGTTTAGGAAATAGACCACGAACAGACGGAGGCCTGGTGGCGGGAATAATTAACGACGCATCGGCGACGGCATCACCGCAGAGCTTTTCCCTGTTCTCGCCACTTCCGCCCACCGTGCCGAACCCCCGGGGGACTCTACGAAGACAAAAACTGCAACAGAAACGCAGCATGTGGCGCGAAGCAATTGAAAGGGAAAAATCGAGGAAGGCATAGATTTTGGCACTTTCTTTGGAAAATGAACAGGATGCATCGAGAAAATGTCCAACGTCGGTAGTATGCTAGCGATTGCCTAATGAGGCTTGTATGATGTAGATTTTGATGATTAATAAATAGTTCTTCAAACGAATACTAGGATACTGGTCATGCCCGCCTCATGACAGTGAAAATGAGTAAATTTAAAGCAGTGCTTTTTACTAGCGCCAGCCTCCAGGACCGACTAACTTTGATGTCTGTGAAACCGCTCACTCAGCTGAAAGTCAGGGTGAAGAAGCTGGATCAGCACAGTATTTTTCTGACGTTTGCGAAGTGTAAATTTTGATAGCTGCTTCGAAGCTTCTACCGATAAGTCAGATTTTTGACAGGGTATGATGTTGTCTACTTCTTTGACTGAGAAGATGTCGTGTGCAGCTACCGATTTTTGAAGCAGTATCGGATGCTGTTCGTGCACTCGCCTATTTGAAGATAGGCTTTGAATGAACAGAAAGCGCGCATAAAGTAGATGGCATCTTCGCAGAGAGAAAGTAGCTGTGTTGATGTCGTGATGTCGTATTCTGGAATAATGTCTGTCAATGTGGCCGGTATGAGGATCAACAGCTCGAAAGATTTGGCTCGAGGGAAGGCTACGGTTTTGTGACATCGTAGCTTTTCTTGGCGGCGCCAGTTTGTCCCTCGATGCGTTTGCCCAGTGGCTGAAATTTGACGACATGTGTACGACTAGGAGATAGATGCATAACATGTGCATGTTACGGGAGAAAGCGAAAGGAAAGACAAAGATTTGCAACAAAGCATTTATCGCCTGTTATAAATCGTTCTTGACCAAGGAATCTAGACGCAAAATGACGGACAAACAGCACGGGTGCCCTCTTCCCGCCGCCGCGGAAGAACTTAACAACACGGCTTCCACCGACACCAGACCTCTGGGCCGCTGGTTCCGACTAGTGCCGAGCTACCCGATGTGGAGCACATCAAACAACGTCGCCGGAGGAACAAGAAGTGGGTTATTTACCCAGGTCCCGCCAAGAAGTAGTAGATCTTCATATCGTCGCTCTTTTGTCTACAACGAGGACATCAGCAGCAAACAGCACCGTCGAAAAAACTCGAGCAGTTCCAGCTCCTCCGGCCACAGTCCCAGCAAACACCACGACCAAGAATTCATCCATGTGATGCGCACGGCGCGCGAGCTGCCGACCGCGAGCGAGATTTTCGAAGCCCTAGACGCCAACGAGGACGGCACGGTGTCGGCAAAGGAGCTGGACAAAGCGCTGCGAAAAATGGGAAAGTCGGAACGCGTGCGGGAAATCTTGCTGCAGCGAGTCTTCAGCTACCAGGGGGCGAAAGTCTCTGAGAGTGGTGGGACGAGAAATAGAGATGAATCTAGCGGTGGTATGACTTCTGGTGCAGCTGCTGGTGGTTCTACCTCTCCATCTTCTGCAACAGCAACAACCTCACCGCGCCGCTGGAGCAACAGAAAGAGGTTTCCGGACGAGCAAGCGGCGGATCATCAAGGTGATTCTGAGCCCGACCCGCCACCACTCTCTAGAAGGTTACAGAGCATCGTGAACGGTGCGGGCCCTTCTGCCGCGAGAGGACAGCAACACACGCATAATAAAACCTCAGGACAAGTACATCAAAGCGCCAATCTGGACAAGGACCACCGGAAGACCACCCCGTTGCCGCCGTCAAACGTGACGTTTGCGGAGTTCGAGCGGTACTATGAATCGAGGAAAGCGGAACTAGAGCGGGTGTACCACATGCTGACCCACCAGAACAAGAATGATTTGAATTACCCGAGCAACGCGAAGTCCACTTTGGATACGAACAAAATGCGAAAATTGCTGCAACTGGTCGGGAAAAAAGTTTCCGACGAGGAGATCCGGCTGATTTTGCACATCGCGGAAACGGAGAACAACGGAGTTTTGACCTTCACGGAGTTTGCGCATTGCTGCTTCTTTGCGCCAGACGTGAACCCCGCGGCGGTCTTCGACAACTTCGAAAAGGACACGTTTTACGAGGCGGACGACAGCGCCAGTTCGGTGCCGAGTAGGCTGGATTACGGTCTGAACAAGGTGACGAAAACGGAGACAGGGGAAGTGCTTGACAATATCGTGAGGAAAAATCCCCCCCTCCCCATATCGGAAAGGAAATTTGTGATGCTGCATTTGCGTACACAAATTAATCAGTTTGTATTGGTAGAAGGTCAACAGACGCAGTTGCGGCCTTAACTGCAAGCAATTTTTCATGCTGTTCCCCATTTCGAGTTGCCTCCTGTCATGCTGAAGATGCAAGGCTTTCCCACACCGCCCAGCACTACAGTCCACTTCTTTTGCCTTCTAGCATGACAACATGACATGTAGTCGCAAATCATGCTACACAAATCCCCTCTTTGATATGGGGAGGGGGGATTTTTCATTTGGATAGACAATCAGAGCTACGACGAAGTGGTGCGGAAGCTGCTCTGCGGCATGGTGGCGGGAGCGACCTCGCGGACCGTGACCGCGCCGATCGAGCGCGCGAAACTGATCATGCAAGCCACGCCGATGAGCACGACGGGCGCGCGGTCGACGTTTTTGGATACGTTCACGCGCATTTACCGACACGGGACGCTGTACGACTACTTCCGCGGGAACGGGGCGAATTGCGTGAAGATCGCGCCGGAAACGGCGCTGAAATTTCTGTTGTTCGAGAACCTGAAGAAGCGGATCGCCCAGGAAACGGAAAACCCGACCACCGTCGAGCGGTTCTTCGCGGGCGGGCTGGCCGGGGCATTAGCCGGCGCGGCGATTTACCCACTGGAGATTTCCAAAACAAGATTGACCCTCGCGCCGCCGAAAAAGTACAATGGGGTGCTGCATTGTTTGCAGAAGGTGCTCTACCAGGAGGGGATTAAGAACGGGCTGTACAAGGGGCTGTCCGCTTCGACCATCGGCGTGATTCCCTACGCCGGGATAGATTTGGGCGTAAACTCCCTCCTCCGCGACTACTACAGTCTCAAATACGAAGAGCTAAACGAGGAACCCTCCATCGCCGTCATGCTGATGTGCGGGATGATCAGCAGCTCGGTCGCGATGACGTTCACCTACCCACTGAATCTGGTGCGGACCCGGATGCTATTGCAAGGAAAAATCCCCCCTCCCCATACTTAATGAAAAGGTATAGTTTTGGAAATTTGTGATGCTGATTTGTGGTAGCAAATCGCGTCTGTCTTGCAAGAAGGCAACTCCGCAGGCTCCTCCGCATTGTGCAGGCGGTTTGTCATGCTGTTCGGCCTACAGCGCGGACGTTTACCATGCTAAGCGCCTAAGCCAAAACCTCGCCACTCACCCCTGGCGTGGGCCCTCAGTGCTTTCCAGCAAGACAGCTCGGATTTGTGTACACAGATCCAGCGTCAGAAATTTCGCTTCGGTATGGGGAGGGTGGATTTTTCCTTTCAATAGATGCAGATGAGCGGCTTGACGGAGATTTTCACGGAGCGAGTCGCGCGCGGCGAACACTACACGAAAATGGAGCAGATAGGCAGTAGTACGATGGGATATAGGAGTACTTCTTCTACTTCGGCGAGTCGTGCAGGATCCTCGGCAGCTGGAGGAGGAGTACCACCACCCTCCAATGCGTCCGTCTCTGCCTTTCAAGTCTTCAAACACATATACACCACCGCGGGTGCTCGAGGACTCTATCGCGGCTTCTTCGCGAATTTGCTCAAAGTAGCCCCGGCGACCAGTGTGAGCTACACCGTGTACGGGTATCTGGACCACTGGTTTGGCTCCGGGGGGAGTGGCGGAATGGTGTCCAGGAGGTGATGGCCGAGACAAATTTTCCGAGAAATGATGACTGCGGTCGTGAACAAGCGCAAATTGATAGCGCCAGCACGCTCGCAGCAGATAGTCTCAGATAGTAGAGAACTACCTTCATCACTTCCTCTGCGAGTACTATTGACGTTCTTTTTTCTACAACTGCATGAGAATACAAGTTGTGCATTTCTAAAGTAGGCTTTCATCTCATTATTCGAGAGAAGCAAATGCAAAATTCGAGCACTCTTTTCCCTCATTGTTCTCGGCCCGTAGTTGCGCTTCATCTTCTCTTGGGGTTCTTTCGACATGTTTTCTTCACGCGAGCGGTCGTGGCGTAGGTTTAGCTCATCTTGACGGTTGCGTTTGGTAGTGGACGCGAGGAGTTGAAGATTGCAGTGTGGGTGATGTTTTCTGAGCGAAGCCGGAGGGTATATAGGTACCCCTTTTTTCAACATCCGAGGTTTCAAACCGACACCCAAGGTGGGTAGTTCCAGATTTTCAAAACCTACCAAATCTAGATGGCTATCGCATGGTAGCAGCAACAGAAGACCCCTCACCTGGTGAGGGGGAGGAAAAAAATAAGGCAACGCCATTGTCCACTCCTCCTGCGACAGGAGCAGGAGTAAAAGAGAAGCCGGACGACCACGAGGATCGCTTGGAGCACGATACTTGTAAACCCGAGGAACCAGCACGAGAACAACTAGGAGAGCCTTTACAACATAACGCAAAAGTGAGCGATAAGCACAGCAAGGCGAAGGCAGAAGCTGCAAGAGAACTACTACGTCGGCAACACGCTCCATCCTGCTGCCACTTTTGTTGTCCGGGCAGACCGTATCAAATGTAAAAATGTCTGGGTCTGGAAGAATGCAACTTGTGATGCTGCGTCTGCATTATCCAAAAAAGCTGTATTGCATGAACAGCAAAAGAGGTCTGGTTTTGGTCACGGCGAGAGGGCATTTCTCATGCGGTATAGGCATCAGAAAGCCCTCACAAGATCTGTGATGCTAGGGCATGCATCGCAGACATCAGGAGTCATGCAAAATGTGCATGACAAACCTTGCACCCTTCCAGACCCAGACATTTTTGCATTTGATAGACCGCTGTGTTTCCTGATTTTTCTTTTCCTCCTCGTCTTTGCAAGTCTATCCTTCTACGCCAAGCACTTGCAGCGAAAGCACGCCTTCTACGACGAAGGGCCGATCTTGTTGGGTCGTAGAAAGCGGGTCTTCCATCATGGCAGGCGCGGGCGGCACGGTGGAACGGTAAGAAATTTTCAAGCAAAGCACCAGTTTTTGAACAGAATCGATGACGACGCAGATGACGAGGAGCAGCAAGGGGAAGCTGAAACACGTGGTCGTCCAGGAGAGGGAGCAAGCACACCCGATCTTCCGGCAGAAGATGAGACCAACATCAACTACGAATACGACCACCAGGATCGGGAAGACGAAAATGAAAATGCGCCAGCAGAGCCGCAACCCCCGCCACGGTACTTTCACCGTCGGCACCTCCGTTCGGAACAGCCGACCGTGAACCCGAATAAGCTGAAGGGCTTCGACTACCTCCTTGCCGTGGATCACAAGCAACAGAAGCAGCTCGACAATGCTTACTGGGACATGATGGGCAGCGACGATCCCGATGAGATCGACGACCAGATGCACAGCGCGTGGCAGAAAATGCAAAGAGAAGACGCGTTGGTTCTGAAGAGAACGGCACCAAAAAAGGTGGTCGATGACGATTCAGATTAAACGAATAAACATCTGATGAGCACTCTCGTTGTATGTTGTAGTACTTTTTTCCGCGACCACTCGCAATTGCATTTCAGTTGGTTCTTTTTCTCAATCTCATCTCGGCGCAGGAAAAAAGAAAAAGATCATCATGCCGAATTCAGCCTCGAAGAGGTGCGAGCTCTTTGCACAACGCTTGTGCCGCTATTCATGATGTGTAGGCATCAATTTCAGACTTCCGTCATTCCTGTCATTTCGTCCGCAAGGTTTTTTTCATCTTAGTCTTGCCGGAGACCGAGAGGAGCAAGCGGATTCGAAGAGATTGTACTTACTTTCGCATCTAATTTTCAAAGAAAAACTTGAGCTGACTGTTTTTCCAAATTCTTTATGGTAGCTCTGAGTGAAGGTAGGACTACGAGCATCACAGGCGAACAATGAACGGCCAGCACTCGGTAGAGGAGAGGTCAGGCACTGATATTGTCTAACTTGGTGGATGGGGGTGGGGGCAAATCGAGAGAGTAGTTCAGCTTCTGTGCGACCATCAAATGCGTACATTGATTCCTACAGAAAATGCAAATGTTTTGCTCTTCGATGAATCGAGGAAAAAAAAGAGGTATAAAAATTCGAAAGTAGAAAGACCGCATAAATATAGAAGTAGGTCGTGCGTAATTAGCCACCGCCGGCGCCGGTGAGAATCACGAAGAGTGTGCTTGATTCTCCGGGTCCTCGACTGGTGAGAAGAGACCTGAAGTCGCGGCCACAGCGCACAGGCACAACGGAAACGCCAAACCGCGACGGACTAGCTTCGGAAAGGGTCCGGGAGGACGCTGAAACACTGCATCCTCTTCCACATCCACCTCGGTGCTACCCGAAAATTAATTGTTCCGAAAGAGCTCCTGCCACAGGATGAAGCTAATCCACCGCATACGGGCCCCCGAAGAAACGAGGAATGACTTCTGAATACTTCTTCTTCATCTGATCCCTAGGGAAGAACAAGAAGTATACTGTGGTGCAGTTCATCTGGACGAGGAGCTGACTAGAGCTAGTGCGCTGCATTTATCGGAAAGCAGTTACCTAGAAGCGGCACAGCAACCTGATCGAACTCGTACTCGAGCAGCTCGTGCATGGGTGATGCCATTCTGCCGGGCTTGATCAGAGAAAAGGAAGTGAAGGCGACACCGGTTATTTTGAAAGCAACTAGCGGAACAAATATCTTCAATCCGAACAAAAACCCTCAACAAGCGGCGCATATCAGCAAGATGAGCTCCAATACAAAACCGAAGCCCCTCACGGAGGTCGAGGGCGCCAATGGCGCGATGTGGAAAATCAACAAGAAGCTGGGATGTATAGCGTTTGCGTGTTTCGTCATTGGATAGGGTCGGTTGGAATTATTGGAATTCTTTCATGTTCATCTCAATTGTGCTACGTGTCCCACTGTGTTGTATCTATTCACTTTACCACCTACGTTCTTTCGCACATGATTTATTACGGGAAAAAAAAATACTATCAGCCGGGAGTTTTGGAGAAGTGTTTCTCGCAACGCAGACATCAGAACGACCACTCGAGCCAGGGACCGAAGTAGCAGTGAAAGTAGAAGGCATAAAAACGGCACACCCACAACTGGCGTACGAAGCACGACTTCTCTCACTTTTGAGGGGGAACACGGGCATAAGTCAAGTTTACCACTCAGGAATGCAGAAAGGGTATGATAAGACTTAGCTTGTTCTTCACGAGTTTTATTACCGTGCTGCAAGAAGGGAGTAAGCCTGGATATCGATCAATCAACTCTCTGTCTCTACTAATCGTTTCTGTTTTGAAACAACAAATAAGTACTTACAAAAATCAGCTACAACGTGCTCGTAATGGAGCTTCTGGGCTACTCTCTGGAAGACCTGGTGGTGATGTGCCACGGAAAGTTCTCGCTGAAAACGTGCCTGTTAGTCATGGACCAGCTCCTGTCAAGAATCGAAGACCTGCACGCCGCGGGCTTCATCCACAGAGACATAAAACCGGAGAATTTTCTCCTCGGACGAGCGGACAAGGCAAACGTGGTGCACATAATCGATTTCGGTTTGAGCAAAAAATACTGCGACGGTAGAACGCAGGACCACATACCCTACAAGGACAACAAAAGTCTCACCGGGACGGCACGGTAAGTAGAGTGAGAGATGAATCGCCGTCGGCATCTTCGTGCATGACAAAAATCAACCTGTTTCAGAATCTAAGTCCATGACAAGCTTACCCATTTTTATCAGGTATGCGTCAATTAACGCCCACAGAGGGGTGGAGCAGAGCAGGCGAGACGATTTAGAAGCCATCGGGCACATGATGTTTTACTTCCTCAGGGGAAACCTCCCGTGGCAGGGGCTCCCTGCGAAAACGAAAGACGAAAAGTAATGAATCAATAAATTCACGTGCTCCACATGGTCAGAGCGTTGTCTTGTTCATAATGTTGTGCTAGCAGCTTCCCACAATTTGATGGAAAAGAAAGCCACTTGTAGTGATCATGATTACAACATGACCCTTTCCCAGGTACCGAAAGATAAAAGAGAAGAAGATAGAGACTAGCATAGACTTGCTCTGCAGCGGGTTTCCGGAAGAGTTCGCCACCTACCTGCAATACGTGCGCAGCCTGCGGTTCCAGGTACGATAGGTTTAATACATGGCACGATTTTGGTGTCTCTCGGAGTTGATGTGCTTGCAGGGCTGATTTTAGTACTTTTTTACTTGTACAATCGGCGGCTTCGGGATCGCATGCAAGGACATGATCTGTGCATGTTAGACGAAAACAAATCTCAGGATCGACCGGATTATGCCTACTTGCGAGGATTGTTTCAGGAGAGGTACATCGCGGAGGGGTATCACAATGAACCAAAGGACTTCGATTGGACCGCGAAATTAGCACAGAAACAAGCCAACGAGGCCCAGGCGGCACAGAGCCGAGATAATCGCCCACCACCCAATTCCACCAACGCACTGCAAAGCAGAGGTATAGAATTTTGTTGTGAATAAATGATGACGTAACGACACGTACTACAACAACTTACGCGTTCTTGTTTTCAAGTTGAAGCGAAAAAAACGCATGACAGCGTAACATTCGAACTGAAAAAGGTGGCGAGCCGGCGAACAAGCAGGATGGCGTGGTGGCGCAGCCGAAGAGCCGTATGCGAAAGCTTTTTGCGCTCTGCTCCAAGGGCTAAATGTAATTACAGCTGAAGGTGGTAGTACGGTATCAAGACCAAAAAAAAAGTCTTGGCCCCCCTAGAATGATCCTTTTTTTATCACAAAACTACGCAGAGTGAAAGTCAATACTTTGAACACCATTTGAGCAAAATTAAACACCTTTTAGTTTATCGAAGAACGCTGTCAGGAGGAAACACGGATTCGACTGCGGTCGACTTTCGGCAATTTTGAGATAGTTATCCATTTACGCAATAGAATCGATGCAGCGCGAACTACTTCCGGCTTCGGTGGATTTGTGAGAGCTCTGTCGCAGCGACCACGAGAAGCAAGGGAGGTGCCCATGCAAACAAGGAGCCCGGAAAATAGTTTCGCGAATCTGCAGTAAGCGATACGTTTATGACTTACTTTTTAGACTGAACAATAAATTTAGCGATAGGTCGTGTCTTTCCTAACCGATTTCCCTCATCATGTCCTCTGTGTATGATGTAGCTTATGTCACAGTAGTTTTTCCAGAATGTTGAAAAATTCCGTTCCTGTTTGCTGCAATTTTTGAGTATTGCAACACAACAGATACAAGGATCCATTTATTGGTTAATGCACAATTGACTTTTTATGTATAGTTTTCAGAGTAGTTGTTTCACTTTCATCTACACGAGCAAACTTGTACCCCATAGAAAGCCTTTCGATCCGGAATGTTGATTGCTACCTGTTGTTGACACTACGCACAGGGAGGTCGAATTTGATTCATAGGTTTCAGACACTCACCTAGTAAACCATAGGAATCACCGATTATTAAACACAAAATGCAATTTGCTACTTCAAATTTGGTCACACTTGGAACAACTTATCTTCATTCTGAGCCGCATTAAAACCGGACTCCAGAAAGGATTTGCAATGTCTGACGTCCATTGTTGAAAATCTCTGCATTGGAGCACTTTGTTCTGAAAAGCCACTTTTGGCAGAAGATCTTTCTCAGCATTCATTGTCAATGCCATGCCGTCCATAAGTTCACGATCATCAGAGGACTGTACGACCACTTTCTATTTGTCGTGGAAAGATCATGCTTTTTTTACACACTGACTGACACTCCAGCACATGTTTTGCTCGTAACAAAGACAAACTTGATGTTGATCGAAGCTGTGTAGCACCTAAGTGGAGCACGGAAAGTTTTCCAAGTAGCGACATAAAAAAAAAAGTTCTTGGTTAGTCCTTGTCCTCTTTTAAGTGCTCCTCTGTTCTTCCCCAAGAACTTTCTCATCTACGAAAAGTACTAATAAATCCAAAAACCCACCAGCATGGCGACCCAAGCAGCATCCTCTTCCGCTCATCCCGGCGGACCTCAAGACGACAACCCGGCAACAAGCAACCTGACCCCGCAGGACGCGGCTTTTCTTCGGGAGCACGCGTACCTGGCGAAATTAGCGGAGAAGGAGAGGGAGATCCAGAAGTACAAGCAAATCGCGAATGACGTGCAGAACCGCTTCGAGGACAATTTCGAGAAAACTTCGCTGCGGTTCGCAATGGTGGACCCGGCGGTGAACATGGAGATTTTGCTATTACAGTGAAAAATGCCCCCACCCCCAAAGTTGCACAAATTTGTGATGCGAAGTTTCCAAATGAAAACTTTTTGTCATGCATGAAAGGAGTATTTGTATGAATCTTTCTGATGCAGAGTCTAGGCGTGTATCGCATCGCTTGCATGACAAGCGCCACTCTTGCTGGGATCTTTTGCAATGCAAATTTTTTCTATTCACGATTGGAAGTCTGTGATGCTGATAGATGCAAGAGGGCGGATGTTTCATTTGGAAAGATTTGCAATACAAATTTCCCCAAGTTCGGGGGTGGGGGCATTTTTCCTCTCAATATCTGCGGCTACGGCAAAAAATACGCTCCCAGGACGAGGAAATCGACGCACTGAAAATGGAACTGAAAGCGACACAGTTTAAGCCGACGAGGTAGACATAGTTTCATGTGTAAGTAAGTATTCCTTTATTGCACCCTGTAGAAGTTTTGCTTGCAATCTGTGTATTGCATCTACTTTCGTTTCCATCACAAAAGATCAGAAGCATTACACTTCCAATACTATTCTTTCACCCCTGAATATGAATTAACAGTATCTCCGGGCAAAAGCTGATGAAGAAGTGCCGCGCTCTTTTGGAAGAAAACCAGTCGCTCGGCCGCCAGATTTCCGAGGGCCCGATTCAGGATCTGCTGGTTGCGCTCGGGTATGAAATGCAAAAATGTCTGGGTCTGGGAACTTGTGATGCTACTTTGTCAATGGTGGGCGCATTGCAATATGCAGCCACGCATGACAAGTTTTTGAACTTCTGTGTGTTTCGCTTTCCGCATGACAAACTGCATATTGGCATGACAGGAGAGAGGGCCTTTTTCCTGCTCGTGCATTACAGATTTAAGAGTCGTGTGACGCAAGCACGACAAACTTGCACTCTTCCAGACCCAGACATTTTTGCAATCCATATCGGGAGCGAGAGGCAAACGGTGAAACAGTTGAAGGAGAAGCTGAAGCAGTCGGAAACCGCGCGACTTGAACTTGATAACGAGTGCGAGCGGCTGTGTGCCCTGGTGGAGTCAAACGGGGGCATTAGTGAGCTCCCCGCGATGGAAAACCCGATGTACAGCGAGATGATGTCCGGCTTGGGGTACAACAATTCATCCGCTGGTGTCGCGGGCGGTGGGACCCACTCCGCGTCTTCTAACGGAAACGAGAATTTCGAGAAGGAGGACGGCACGACGAAGTCGAAGAAATCCTCTACGGGAGAGAAGCGGTCCGGGAATGATAAGAACGGGGAAAATGGGGTGGACAAGAAAAAGAAAGACCGAAAACGAAGAAAGGTCAGTCCCGGGGCCAGCGGGGCGGTGGAAGAGAAAGAGGAACGGAGTAAATAACAGTTCGTAATGAACGGCTGGATATGAATGTGTTGAGCAGCGCGACATATCTACAAGACAATTCCGATTTTCACTGACAGCTTTTCACTACACAATAGACTGAACAGTTTGAGTCTTAAACAGAAATGTCTAGCAACGAGCTGAGTATCCTCTCTCAGAGAACTGAAGTAGCGCGCTCTACGGCTGTTTTCTCGATCGTCTGGCGTGAATTTTGTTCGCTTGTGGAACTGGATGGTTTGTATTTGTGCCTTCTAGTTCTATCAAATCAAAAGCGTGAAGCTACCTGCTACTCTTTCGTATAGTTAGTTGTCCACGCAGGTCTTCGTCTTTCTTTTTCGTCAATGTGATCTTCATCTTGCATTCGGTGCAGCCTCTCATGCTTCGTCCCTGTCGTTGTGGCTCTGTCAGGGAAACAAAAGAAGAGAAAGTCGGCAAGGTTCTTCGGTTTGCAAGGGTCGGTTGGGCTTGGGTACTTATTTGGGTCTGCATTAGGAACAAAGAGTTACACTCCTGCTCGGCCTGGGCATGCAAGAAATGTACGTCGGAATTCGTCAAACAATGTAAATGAAATCGTCCAGAATGTAATTTAGCGCTGTTTTTTTACTAAGTAGTTGATGTCCAGACAATTCAACCCAATTTAAGTAGGCTCGCTACATTTTGGCACATCTACCTACAACCTATCAATTTTCATCATAGGGTGGAGCCGCAGGGCAAGGTTGCTGGGGCGGATGTTTTTTTGAAAGTATGGGATATTAGCTACATACTTGTACATCAGTATTTGATGATGTTGAAGACTTTTTAGTGTTACCAGCTTCAGCATTTTTACAACTTGAAATCTTGGCTGATATAAGTACCATACTACAGAAGTTTAAAATGTCGACCACTCTACTACGGCAACAGCAGCGTCAGCACGACGACATGGAGGCGGAGATTTTCGAGGATATGTGCTCCATGACGATGACGAGTACTTCCTTGAATCTGGCCGAGAAGGGTTTTGACATTGACAAACTCGCGAACCAGGCTTTTTTTGAAGAGGACCTCCCGGGTTTCGCCCACTTTGACGTCGTGGAGCATGACCAGCACGGGACGAACACTATCAACGACTCGAGCTCGCTATGCATTGCAAATATGTCTGGGTCTGGAAGTCGATAACTTGTGATGCTGTCTTTGGATTCCAAAAAAATCTGTATTGCATGACTAGCAAGAGGAGTCCAGTTTGTGCCACGCGGGAAGGGCGTTTCTCATGCAGAATAGGCATCAGGAAGCCCCCTAAAAATCAGTGACGCTAGTAGGGCATGCATTACAGGCGTCGCGGGTCATGCAAAATATGCATGACAAACCTTTGGCAATCTTCCAGAGCCAGACGTATTTGCATTTCATACTCGCCCAACCGCTACATCTACAACGAGGCGGAACTGCAGAGAGAGCAGGAAAGACGAATGCGGCAGCAACAAAATATTAACCATCAAAGCCAGAACAACCAGCAGGTGAACAACAACTATTCCCAATCGACAAACAACTTCAGTCTAAACATGGCAAATCGACAGCAAGAATCACTTATCAAATGTAAAAGTGTCTAGGTCTGGAAGAATGCAACTTGTCATGCTGTCTTTGGATTCCAAAAAAATCTGTATTGCGTGACCAGCAACAGGAGTCCAGTTTGTGTTACGCGGAGAGGGAGTTTCTCATGCGGAATAGGCACTAGGGAGCCCTCTAAAAATCTGTGATGCTAGATCATGCATTACATGCATCATGGATCATGCAAAATCCCGAAGTCTTCCAGACCCAGACATTTTTGCATTTGATATCACTCTCCTTTCTGCGTGACCCGAGCTACACCCGCACGGTGTCGACCTATCCTGTGCAAAAGTATCGTACTCGTAGTAATTGCATTTATGCATTACAAATCTCTTTCTCAAGGTAAATCAGCACTACAAATTCAATTTGTAATGCTGGGCTAATTTGTAATGCAATTTATACTAGTACGATGCTTCTGCATTTCATACGACCGCGCACCAGACGACGCTGCTGTTTAGTCAGGAAAACGAGGACGAGGAGGCGTTGTCAGGTGAAGACGAAGAGAATATGCCCGGTGGTCATAATGCAGCAGCTGTAGAGCGAGAGCAGCAGGACCATGATCTTCACAGGGACGTCTACTCTTCGGATGACGACCTTAGGCGGATTGCTGCGAAGGCCGCCCCAGAGAACAACCGGAATATAATTAACAAAACTACCAGTCCCAAATCTAGGGCAAGCCAGAGTTATGAGGGCGAGCATGGAGATTCGCTGAAGAAAACGTCAACAAACAACAGCAACACAACGCATGAGCAGGACCACTTGCAGGGGACTCAGCAGGACACACAGATCCTCAACGACACGCTTTCCTCTCTGGGACAGCTCGACAACGCAGATCGGCCGAAGAACGACAGCTGCGCAAGCGAGTACCAGGTCCGGAGTCCGCCGAGGAGTCCGAAACAGGGAGCATTAAGGAATGACGAGGTCGGAGGTGACGTGCCGAATATCAACACCAGCCAAAAAAAGCAGCTACAGAGACCCGGGTCCGCGCCGTGCCTCCCGAGTCGGATCCGCTATTTAGTTCAGCTACCGAACAACAAGAAGGAGAACCACGTCGCGCTGGCCAACGGGCATTTGTCGAGGAAAACGAAGGAGAACTTGAATCTCGAACCCGAAGACTACCACCGCGCGTTAGACCACAACAGCCGAGTGCACGATTTGCAGGAGTTGTTGCTGAAGCAAAACATGAAAACGTCGAAGAAATACCACGCCTTCGTGGAGATGCTGAAGGACCGGAAGAGGAACGAAGCCAGCCGGTTCCCCCGACGGTGTGACCTGATGCAGATCGAGACGTTTTTCAACCTACGCGACTACAGCAGTTCCGAAGGGCCAAACATCGACTTGGCGGACTACAACGCAAGGTTCAAGCGGGACAAGCCCGGGACGCTGCAGATGATCTTTGTTTTCTACGCGAGGCTCTACACGGTGTTGAAGAACATTGAGGAATACCAAATCCGGCTGGGGTTGAACAACTACGACAGCAGCAAGGAATCGACCTCCTTTTTCCTGCCTTACGACATGAGCAAACACTCCTTGACACTGCGGGAGATCAAGGATTTCTGGCTGGACTTCAACCTGAAAAAGCACATCAACTGGTACAAGTGCACCCAGATCTACCAGGCGGTGAACACGAGGCCGACTTTGGACAGTCAGAACCGGGTTGGGTTGACCCTCGAGGAATTCGTGAAGTTTTTGGTCCTGATCGCACAGGAAATTTACCGATTTCAAATCGTCAAGCCGCACAAACGGGTGCAGACCTTGGTTTCCTTTTTGAACCTCCACAGGTGGGACAGCGTGAAATCCCATTTGCGGAACTGTTTCCGGTATGCATTGCAAATATGTCTGGGTCTGGAAGAGTCAAAACTTGTGATGCGCATTTCACAACACATGAAAATCTCTCATGCACAGGCAGCAAAAATTTCCCACCTTCTGTCACCAAAATGGGGCATTCGTGATGCGGATTCGGCATTGCGGAAGCTTCTCGAAAGCTGTGATGCTAGAACTCGTCCCATGCCAGACCTTCTGTGCCATGCAAAAGCAGCATTACTCGTCCAGACCCAGACATATTTGCATTTGATATCCGGGACCACCACCTGCAGAAGTACGATGAGTTGACGGATTATGGAAGTGTCAGAATCGGAATTGACAAAATCGAAAAATTTGCGATGCATAAAATCGATACCAGTTGGAGCCTCAGTTTGTAACTGGCGCATGACAAATTTCGGGAGCACCCAAATCCAGTCTGTCATGCTGTTTGGGCAAAGAAGACTCCTCCTTTCGTGCTACTCTGGCAGCGCATTTTATACCTCTAAACAGGCTTACAATCGGTCTCATTTCTTTGCCTGCTCCCCAATGCAGTCCTTACGTGCCCTACAATTTATGCATCACAAGTAGTTTTTCGATTTTGTCGATTTCGATCCTGGCACTCCCATACGGATTTTGCGGTCGTGGCGAAGCGGTTGTGGTTGTTAACGAAAGCGGCGAAGATATCGAAGAAAAAAAGTTCGTCACGATCACTCATGCGCATTCTTGCAATACAAAATTGTTTGTCATGCGTAAAAATGCATCACAGCCAAACTTCATTAGGGATTTCCCTAGTGTTTCTGCAATACAAGGAAAGTTTGTGATGCTGAGAAAATTTGTAATGCAAAGCCTGCAAGTTAGTGACTGTGACAAACTTTTTTCTCTCCATAGAAGACGACACCAAAGTTTGACGACGTGAAGATGTTCGACAAGCAGAATGGAATTGACGTGAAACGGTTCGGGCTATCAAACGTAAATATGTCTGGGTCTGGAAGAGTGCATGCTTGTCATGCTTGTCTGGCATGACTCTCAAATCTGTCATGCACGTTACCCAAGAGCGCTACTTTTCTGTCATGCAGAAACGCAGTTTGTCGCGCCGAATAGGCAACACCTAGAAGCTCAGAAACTTGTCATGCTAAGCCAGCACTTGTGGCCTCCTCCTCATGATACGCCACCGAGCATCACAAGTTTCCAGACCCAGACATATTTGCATTTGATACGGGCTGCACAAGTATCTGTGGTTAAATGTGGAGAAATATCAAATGTAAAAATGTCTGGGTCTGGAAGATTGCGAGACTTGTCGTGCATATTTCGGATCACGCAAATGGCGTCTGATGTAGGCAAAAGCATCACAGGTTTTGAGCACGCCTCATGATGCCTGTCCCGCATGAGAAACTTCCTACTTGCTTGCCAAGAAATGGACAGCTTCTGGTGCGCATGCAACACAACTTTTTGTGTGTTCCAGAGTTTGCATCACAAGTTCCAACCCTTCCAGACCCAGACACTTTTACATTTGATAAGAAAGAGTGGGTGAAGTTCACGGAGCAGAATAGCTACGCCAACGGAATTAACATGCCGCGGTTCGACTACGCGAACGCGAAATCTTTCAACTGCTCGGTGCTGCCGTTTCTGGACTGCGGGATCATCTCGATCGGAGAGACGAAGCACTTCAAAATCAAGGTGAAAAACCTCTGCAACCACAAGGCGTCCTTCAAAATGGAGCCGGATTACCACAACTGTCCGACCTTCGTGTCTGTGACGTACCAGTGTCCGCGAGGGGGCGTGGCGCAGGGCGGCTTCATCGAGGGCGTGGTCAAGGTCGCGCCGGATTTCGTCAAGGAAGCGGTCGGCAGCTTGGTGGTGTGGCAGAAGTCCAGTGCTGGGGAGTAGGATAGTGTTTCTGTTTGATAATTTTTTTTTAGTTCCGACGTTCTTTCGCCATGAAGTAGATCGATGTGCCGTGGTGGTCTCGGCAGGAATACATCAAGTTTGCAAGAAAACCTCCAAAGTGAAAAAGTCTGGACCTCTTCAATCTCACTGTCAGGTTCCGCGAGGCCCGCATTCCACTGTACGTGAAAGCCGTCGACATGGAGATGTGGCATGAAGGGGATCCGTACCCGTCGAAGTATCACACGCAAATCGGCACCGAAATACCCGCGACCGACGACAAGCTCCGGACGAATTGCCTCCCGGCGACCATCCCGCCCGCGTTCCACCGCGCGGACACGAATGCGGTGAAAATGCGACGGGAAATAAAATTTTCTTTGAACAAAAAGATTTGCCGCAACGACGACATCCTCCCGAAAGACGGGGCCAAGCCGGACAAGAAGGTCTACTCGAAGCAGAAAGTAACGAAGCTGCAGCAGAAGCCGGCGAACCGGGCGAGCGTCACGATGGGAAACTTGGGCGTGAGGACGGAATTCAAGATGCAGACGGAAATGGGCACGTTTTTGGACAACGAACCGGTGAACGCACAGAACTTCGGGGGGATAAGAAATAGCACGCGGCCGAGCACGGCGGGAGGGGTTGGGAGTAGCGGAAGCACTGCAGCTGCCTCTCCTGCTGGGATGAGGCAGCTGCCTCTCCGGACACTGCAACGACCGCAGTCCAGCGCTGGGATGATGACGATGAACGAACAGGCCCGGTTCGACAACCTGAATCGCATCCAGGCCGCCACTATCAAATGTTAAAATGTCTGCGTCTGGAAACTTGTGATGCTGCGTTGGGAATAGTGAATGCTCTGTAATGCACAGCCAAGCATGAGAAATCAAATATCTGCGCTTCTTTGTGTGGCGTTTTTCGCATGACAAACTGCGTTTCTGCATGACAGGCAAAGGGGTCTCTTCTTGGACACGCATCACAAACTTTTTGGTCATCCCAGACAAGCATGACAAATCTTGCATTCTTCCAGAGCCAGACAATTTTGCATTTGATAGCCACGTCAGTGCCGCGGGTTGTCGGCCCGAAGCGGAGGTTTCTGGGATTTTCGCAGGAAGAATTAGAAGAGAAGCACAACACGCGGGAGAGGATCGAGAAGCAACGACAAAACCAGAAGGCCACAGGCGTGATCAGCGGAAAACGGATCAAGCACTGCCGACCCGAGGACCCGACCCTGTTCGGAACGGCTTTCGAGCTGGACACCGAACTCCGAGATAGCGATGAGGAGCCTTTTGCGGAAGAGGAGAAAAAGCCGCCAAGTAGAATGAACGCTTGGTCGTCGGTGCCGCTTCTGCGGTTGACGAAATCGGACGCTTTAGAGAAGGAGCAGTACTTGAAACAGCGAAGACACGACTCAACGATTTCCAGGAACCGGCTGCGCAACCGGCAGATCGTGCAAAACTCCAAATTTTACAACTCGATGGACACGGCGATCAACGGGGAGCAGCAAACGTTGTCGACTGTCAATCTAGCTGCGGGAGAAATGATGAATACAACCTCCAATGCAGGAATAAAGAACAACGACCCTCATCAAGTGGATGACAAAAATTTCGCATGGAAAAAATCAATCCCGACGAAGGAGGAGCAGCAAGTCCGGGAAATCTTGACGGCAAATAGCAGGCCACAAAAAGTGTTGCACTACCCGGAACTGAAATTGTCAAATAGCAGTTTGACCTCGTCTTCGGGGGAGCAGCAGCAGCAGCGAAACAAGCAGCAAGCAGGAGGTAACTACAAGCAAGGAGGAGATTCATCGTCCGTGCATCAGTTTTACCCGGAGCAACAAGTAGACGATGATAACGACGAGCAGGCCCTTGCTGAGCAGGCTGCAGCACAGGGCACGAAGATACAACGACATGTTGGGCAAGTAGATCACGCAATGAAACTACAAAACCAGAAGCAAAAACCACCAGGGACTCAGCCTCCAAAGCGGCTCATTCTCGGGGAGGCGAGTGTTGTATCAAATGTAAAAATGTCTGGGTCTGGAAGAGTCATGCTGTTTTTGCATGACACAGAAGGTCTGGCATGGAAGCTCTAGCATTACAGGTTTCGAGAAGCTTCCGCAATGCCGAATCCGCATGACAAATCCCCCACTTTGGTGACAGAAAGTGGGCAGCTTTTGCTACCCATGCATGAGAGATTTTTCTGCGTTCTGAAATGTGCATCACAAGTTCGGATTCTTCCAGACCCAGACATTTTTACATTTGATATGTTGCGACGCCGGACGATGAGCAATCGCGGGAAGAACTGTTTTATCAAATGTAAAAATGTCTGGGTCTGGGAGCTTGTCATGCTGGGTAGCGTCTCATGATGAGGCTACAAATGCTGGCTCAGCATGACAAGTTTCTGAGCTCCTAGCTGTTGCCTATTCTGCATGACAAACTGCGCTTCTGCATCACAGAAAAACGCAGCTCTTGGGTAACGTGCATGACAGATTTAAGAGTCATGCCAGAGAAGCATGACAAACATGAATTCTTCCAGACCCAGACATTTTTGCATTTGATATGTTTTCGCAGAAGTTTCTGTGCGGGCCGGGCGCGGGACCAGCGGGGGGAGTTTCTTCCGGGCAGCTCGGCGGCTTTGGAATGAACAAAAAAGTGGTGCAGTGTATGGAATGGGGAACTTTTATTTTTTCGGGATTATGGATTTGCGATCTCACTCTTTGTTGTGCAGCCGTAGTTCATACATGACATGACAAGGTACGGCAAATCGATTCTGTATGTCATGTGCAGTCGGGAGGCTCAGAGTCAGAAGCAGACGAAGACACCCCTGTCAGCATGCTCTAGTCGCCGAGTGAGTTCTGCAATGCAAGATCGCAAATCCCGGATTTCCGTGTTTTTTCGTTTGCACACAGCTTCTCCGGCCGGAAGATTCGTCGTACATATCCGCATGAGAGGTGGGGCGCCGGCATAATGCGAAAAGCGCAAGAAGAACTTGTACAAGTTTATTTCTATCTTTGTTCGGTTTCATCTTTTTATTCACACATATTTACAGTACGCCAGCCAGCTCTAGCGCTAATCAAGTAAACTCTTTTTTGTGACAAATCAGTGCTGATGAATGTATACATAGAGGAACACTTCTGTAATTTGAACTTCAGCTCAGGCTTACGCTTACACCTTTTTGTTTCCTTTTTCTGTCAGCCATTTGGCATCATCATGCTGCATGCAACGTGCAAGGCCGAGCTTGGCGGTCTTTCCACTGGGGATGCATTGCCTTCGCATGATTGACAGCGACAAGACGCTTCTTTCGGTTGTTTCGGCTTGTAAAAATGCAGCGGGTTAACTATTGGTGGCGCCACTCAGACTGCAAGTTTATTTTTACTGTAGAATTTTGGACAACATCAAAAAGATAGATCTAAAAGTGCCGAGGCACGCGCAAATGCAGGGTTGGAAAGAGCTCAGGGTTCTTGAAGATCGATGTTTTTGTACATGTCCAAAGGGAACAAGATCAAGATCACGGACAGATCCACCTCTACTTATCGAGTAAGTAGCAGGACCCGCGCGCCTGTCTACAGGCAGAGGCAGACGACCCGTTCCTAAGACTGGCACAAGATCTAGTTTTGGACCGCCTATCAGGATCCACGTCAGATCAGTATCTCTGTCTTGCCTAGTTAGTAGCAGAATTTGCACGGTTTGCGGAGAACAAAAGGTCGGTAGTAGCGGTGCTCTACTGCGGAAACAAGTGTTATTCCAATCAGCGAAAGCGAAATAAAGAAGAAGAAAGCTATGATTGAATGTTTTTTTGTCCTGAAGAAGTACCATCAAAATCCACATTACCACCGCAATATGAGAACACGACGTTACCGCTTCAGTTTTTCTAGAATCTAGCCAGCCTAAGACTCTATGTATCAGCAGAAATCAGCCACTTATACTTCGTGATCTTCTCGTCCTGTCGTGTCAGAAAGTAATCCCGACGCATTGAAGGAGCAATGACGCGGTTATTTTCTAGCCCCTCCTGCGCAATAAGAGCCGGACCGGCTTTTTTCTTGACTGTACTACTTTTATTTTCCAGCGACAGTGGCACTTCTGTTCGTTCGGTCCGCATGGTGATCAACGGGCCGGTCGGCGGACAAGCGCGAGATTTTCTTCAGCCGCCAGGAAACCCTCCTCCGCAGCAACAAGACATGGGCGACGCCGCTTTGCGCGGGGAGTTACAACAGCAATTCTCGACGCCCGGCGGCAGCACGACCAGCGGGGATCTTCATCGTGGCAGGACGACGATTCTGAGGCCGATGACTGTGACCGACACTTCATCCTCCGAGTTGTTTAATCAGAATTCGTGTTGCCTGCTTTTCAAGTCGGATGTGACCGATTGCATTCCCGACCAGCGTGCGACGTGGCTGCAGACGCTAGGCATCGAGCCCGACACGGACATTGCCTTCGGGCCGGACCATGAAGGCAACGAGCGTGGCTGCCAGATGGCGAAAGCCTGCATGGCGCAGGCGTTTCGCTTTGCCCCGACGCTCTCGGCAGGCACGTTTTGCGTTGCGGCGATGTGTCATTCGGATCAGGCATATGGTGCCGCCACGGCGGTACTATATCCGAGTCTGGTGTTGAGTAGCCTCTCCGGAGCCATGTCGTTTTACACCGCGTGCGCCTGCTGCTCGCTGCGGTGCGTGTATTACCAGTGCTTACAGATACAGCCCGACCAACGGGTGGTCGTGAGTGAGGCAGACTGTGTCTGTTGCGAGGGTCTCTGCGTGCTAAAGAGCGGACACTGCCTGCCGCGGTTGCAGCGGGCCATCGAGATTCCCTTGTACGGGCGACGACCGGTGCCGCTTTTGACCCGGAGCGACATACATAGAAGCGACATACATGTCGGAGCACGCTCGGCCTCCCTTTCTCCAGCAACGGATTGGTCCACACCGTTCCCGCCCTTTCTGAGTCCGCGCGATGGGGGGCCGTAGCAGAGGACGCCTAGAAAATATATCAATGAATTACTTACGATCCAAGTGTAACTACCTTGTTTGCCAAGGGCGGGTTGCAGTGGGACACCATACATAGTCGTGACCGAGGACATATGGGAGTCGCCGTCGGGTTCAAACGTATGAAATAAGAAGACTACATCAAGAATCACGTATAAAAGGCATGTTCTTGTTTGACTTTGACCCGCACGACCAGGAGGTCCAAAGTCAATCACATCATCAGGCTCGCGCTCATCGCATTTTGAGCAGACCAGGTCCACGTGACACGATAGATACTTAGCGACTTTTTGAGGTGCCTCTGGAGATCGAGCTGTTTCTCAAATTTTGAAAATCAGGTTCTGTACTTTTTACCGAGAACGAAGCTGGCCACTGTAGTTTGTAAAAGGCGTTTTTGTTATTACATTTCGATTTCAGTTGTAGCAAAAACTGAAACCAGTAATTTTGTCTGTATCGCCATCGCGTCAGCAGGGTCAGCTATGACTTTTGGTACCTGTGCTCTGCTCTGCAAATCATGCGAAAGGCAAACATTCAGACTCTCTCCCTTGACGGCCCTTTCAGATTTGATTTATTGTTTCGCTACCTCTTTGACTTTTTCTTTGATCTATCATGAACTGCATGACCTAGGAGTAGGTTGTCCTCGTCTGCACTCACTCATCGCATATCGACGAGAAGTGTTCTTGAGCTGATTATAACACAGCACTACATCTTTCGCTGTGCATCGTCCGCCCACCCACCGCAGCGTTCGATGCTGATATTCGTTCGCAGCTGTCTTGAAGTAGTATCCATCACCGTTGTCGGTCGTTCATCACGATTCGCTTTCATCGTACAGAGCCGAGCGACCTCCATTTCTCATTCGTTCAGCCAGTAATGTAAAGAACTCAGTTCATGATCTAGTCGAACAACTCGCAACACTTCATAGAGTGACGGGGAGTAGTCTATAGTCCAGGGCACTAGTCATTTTCTCTTCGGGACCAGATCACGACGCGGTTTTTTTTTGAACCATTTTCCTTCACAGTCAGCATCCAAGAAGCAATTCTATTCATTGATTGCCACCACCGAAACCCAAATCTTATATACATAGCCTCAGGCGTTGCTTATTAGGTACAAACGCATAGAAACAGCCAGAAACACGAGGCCTCTTGTAGAGGTTACTCAGACGCATCCAAGAGGGCTGAGTGGAAGACAAGTAGATCGCTCGGTACAAGAGGGGGCCTTCAGTTTGACTCCGAACTTTGCGTTTATTGCGAAAACAACACTCGACACCTACCCAAACCCACTCGCACGATGGACATTGAGAGCCTTCGAAAAAATCCGACCGCGAATCAGCGGCGGATCGGGGAACTGAAAAAGCAGCAGAGGGACCTGTTTCGCGAACAGAGGACAGTAGCGCAGGAATGGAATAAAGCGCTGGAGCCAGGTACGGAGACTTCTAATAGGTTTGTTCTTGCGACTTCTGGATAGACTATGATGAAACCAAATGCACTACATACTTACTAACTTTTGTGAAGATGCAATCGTTTCGCACACTGAGACCACCTAAAAAACAGAGAACAAAGTGCAGACGAGTAATATCCGGCGTATGCGCGTCGCGGTGTTTCTGAGCACACAACCTGGGCAGATTGAGTACGGGCAGACGCCGCCGGATTTATCTCAGGCGTCCCGCTACAGACGAAGGACGACGCAGATTGAGCAGCTGCAGAAGCAAATAGAGGGCTGTACTGAGGAGATAAAGAGGCTGGAAAATGAAGAAAGAAAACAAAACGCCGAGAAAGCTTCCGGAACGAAGATGGGGTCGATACAAGAGTGGAATCGAGCCTACGGGATGGCCAAGAGGACGATGAGTATAAATATGGAAATTTGCCGTGACCTCGACCTGTTTGTGTTTTGCTCAGTCGAATTTTGATCATGATCTTGTTTGTGCATCGCTAAGTGTGCATGACACCGCAACGAACTGCTTTTCTCTAGCGTTTCCAGTGCCTGAGAGTTCTTCAATTTTCGAAAACAAATTAATTTTCCAGGTAAAACGGAGCGGTGGCTCTCCTACGTCAAACCGCCTTCGCAGATCATTTCTGGGGCGGAGAGCAAGGACGGAACAGTAAAGTTTCCGGGAAGCTTGAGCCAGGCGCTGCCGATGCGACGCGGGATGCTGACAGATTGAGCTGATGAAAGAGGTGTTGCTGTGCAATACGGGACCGATTGAATGGTGCCATTCGAATCATTCTTTCCAACATTCGAAATCTTCGAAATGCAAGGTTATCGACGAGAATACTCGTCACTGTAGAATTGGAAGGAGACGAATGAAACTTGTTTCTGTTTCATCAACAACGCACCTGCAGGACGGAAGACGGTCGTACTTCTGAGACGAGCCTTAAGTTGATCCATCGGCAGAAACTTCAGAGCAATAAGTAAGTACTTACAAAAAGCGTGAGTCGTCCACCGTGGCGCGACGAACGCTGAATCTGTTCCTGGAAAGCATTCCCTGTTCTGCCTCACAGGACGAGGCGGTCGAGAGAAACAAACCTGAAGATCATCAAGTTTGAAAAAGCAAATGCAAAAAATTATCTGGATGAAGTTCTAATACGCTTTAGTGGTGGCCGAGGCCGAGAGATAAACACGACTGCGAGGGTAAGTACGTCGAGAGGAGTGGCTTGTGGGGTCTGATCTTCAAAACAGCTGGTGCGCGGCGGCTTAGTATTCCTAGAAAAACAAGCAAAACTCCGACGTTCATCTTCTTCACTGCGTGAAACTGAATGTCCCAGGAGCTGTTCACCTGGGGCAGCGGCGCCTACGGGCGCCTCGGCCTGGGTGGGTTGGAGGACCACGGGGTCCCGCAGCGGCTCGGCGGGATCTGCAACGGGCGGCAATTCGCGAACGGGTCTTGCGGGTGGTACCACTCTGCTTGTGTCACCACGTCCGGGGAAGTTCTCATGTTCGGTACGAACGTGACCGGGTGTCTCGGCTTGGTCGCCACGAACGAGTACGGGAGCTTCGACAAGAACTCCGGCGAAATCTCCGGCTACAACAGCTTTTCGTCCGACACGAGTTCGTCGGGCTCGGATGACGAAGACGAGTCGGATGATATCATGTGTAAAAACATCTTCCAAAAATCTGCTAGACAAATCAACAAGCTTTGCGTTGATGTCGCGCATGATACGTTTGGGCGCGCAGTGTGGTGCACAGCTGGCGTAGCAGCAACACAGATCAAGCCTCTCATCCTGATTTAAGCATGACAAATTCCAAATCACAACTAGAAAATGCTTCATAGGCCTGCGCATTAGAAACATTTCATCAGGCATGCAGATTCTTGCATGACAGCTCGTTTTTATTCGGCATAGATGACGAGCTGCTGCAGCAATCGGACGACGATTACACCGAGCTGCAGAACATCAAAACAAAGAACAAAAGATTAGAGCGGAAGAAGCGGAAGCAGGCGCTGAAGAAGCAACAGTACAACGAGCGCACGACGGAGACGTTCGTGCCGAAGTTGTTGAAGATCTCGAACAAGTTGAACAGCCAACCGAGCCGCAAGATGATCATCGTGCAGGTCAGTTGCGGGGGCGACATGCTGGGCGCGCACACACTCGCGTTGACGCAGTTTGGCAGACTGTACAGCTGGGGCTACGGGCCCGCGACCGGGCTTGGGAAGGCCAGCGAAATCGTGCGAAAACCCACACTGGTCAAGCAGTTCTACGGGTTCGCGAGCAACAGCGGAAAATACGTGGAGCAGATCGGGCACACCAACGGCGTCGAGGAGATCCAGCGGGGGTTCGGGAGTTTCAGTCGCAAGGGAAAATGGCTCACGAAGGCGCTGAACTCCGGCGGCGCGCGGGCGGGGCTGCAGATGCTGTCCCCAAGAATCGTGAAGATCTCCGCCGGCGGGAGCTTCTCCATCGCCTTGAGCTACGACGGGCAGGTGTTCACCTGGGGTTTGTCCGCCGGGGGAAGATTGGGGTTCCGCACCAGGTTTCGCGCGCAGTTGAAGCCGCGGAGGCTGGAGTCGGTTTCGTTGCTACTCCAGGACGGCGGAATGAACTCCTCTGCTTCGGTGAACGTCGCAACCTCGATGGGCATATCGACGAGCGGGTCGTCGACGCAGCTGCAGCAAAACATCTTCAACCCTCTGTCCAGGTCGGACGGGGAGTACGCGAAGATCATCGATATCGCCGCCGGGAACGCTTTCGGCTTGTTGCTGTCCGGGCCGAATTCCGGGTCGAAGGTGTTCGCGTTTGGCGAAAACAGCAAGGGGCAACTGGGTGTGGGGCATCTGATGGACTGCTACGAGCCCACGATGGTGTTTTCCTCGCCGTTCGGCCAGAAGACATCGCTGTACCAATTGTCCCAAATTGCCTGCGGCGACGCCCATTCGTTGGCGCTGGACATGAGCGGCAACGTCTACTCTTGGGGCGCGCTTGGCGGGCCGGCCACCGGACACGGGTTTCCGAACCCAAACGCGTTGGTGGGCGGGGTCTCGGCGGTGTATTCGAGAAGGAAGTTGGACTTGCAGCAGTACAAACTGTACTTGGAAGAGTTGGAAAAGGAGGAGAAAATGGATGGGGAAGGGGTATAGGATTTTGCAAGTGATCCGATTTTTTCCCCATCTCTTCTTTCAGCATAATAAATAATCGATCCATTTATGCAGTGTATGCGACGAGATGTTGCTCTTTATTCTGGTGCATGAGAAACATGCTTGAATTAGAATTACTTAATACTTCAGACCCCCACGTCCTCCTCGATGAAAAATCGCAATATCGCGGACCCGGTCGCGAGACTAAACACCGAGGAGAAGTTCGGCAACCTCGACGGCATGGACAATTTCGGGCAGATGGTCTCCCTATCCACCCAGTTTCGCCTCCGCTCCGTTCCTTTCTGGTGGACGCGCCCCCGGAACATTCTGCACCTGAACAACGTGGTCCAGATCCAGGCCGGGTTCGCGCACTCCATGGCATTGACAAAAGACGGGCTGCTCTACCAGTGGGGCACCCAGCCGGCATCGACCGCGGCAGACGCGAATTTTCCGCTCTTTCAACTCCCCCCGCGGACGACTTTGCCCGGGACGTTGGCCGGGTACTTTCACAACGAGGAGCAGTTTCAAGACGTGGAAAATCACCAGGGGTTTACGTTCACGAAGATGCTGAGGCGGAAGTTGCAGAAAGATGGAAAGTTGTACGGGTACGACTGGATCGGCAAGCACTTCCAGGAGGAAGAAGATGGAGGTGGCAATGGAGGGAGCTCCTCTGCGCAGGAACAGCCTTCGACGCCGAGCACTTCTCGGAACAAGTTAGGTTCCGGCGGGTCGTCCTCATCCTCCTTGGAGAAACAAACAAACTCAACAACCGCCTCCTCCATCGCGTCTGATATGATGTTCGGAGGTGCATCAAATCCAAACGCGACTACGAATCAAACAGCGAAAAATCTTAGACCACCGGCGCAGCAGCAGCAGCAGCAAGTGGTCCCGCGGGGAAGTGCGAAGATCACCGCGGTGAGTAAACGGGCGGAGGCCTACTGGATTCCACGATTGGTAAACTTCACCCCCCACTGCCCCCTGCTCTCCATCGAAAACGCGACGGCCGGCGGCTGGCACAGCATGGGCATGGCAAAGTACGAGACGTTCTTTCTGAAGAATCTAGCGGTCGGAAAACTGAACGAATTCTGCGACGGATACTTGAAATGCCGAGGGGTGAACCTTCCTGTTTGCTCCGCGTTATTGGAAGCGAGGTTGAAGACCAAGGAAGCGGCCGCGTTCGGGGCTTGGGAGTGGGTGGCGGCGCAGATTGTGTCGAAGCGGGAGCTGAACGAAGAGGAGACGTTGTGCGATATGCTATTTCAGCAGAACAAAAAACTATATGGTGCTTCTGCGGGTTCGAATCTGAATCTCTCTACCTCTAGCACAACCGGGGGACATAAGCCCCTCTCCATGTCTCAACCGGTGTCCGTGAAGAGCTACGCAGACTCCCCCGCGAGCATCAACTACGGTGCGTCTTTCGCATCCACGCAGAGCCGCGTGCAGCACTTCCAGTTAAACAGTGCAGACGACGAGGACTTGTCGCCAAGAAGCAACTCGGTTCTTCCAGGAAATACAAATAAACAGGCGCGACCAAAGGAGATTGTCTTCACGTCCTCCTCCGAAGATGAGTCGGACAAGGAGGTCACCGCGAGTTCCAGCCGCGGACCTCAATCGGGTGGAGGACGGTCCAGATCCGGGCACAAGAGCGCGCGATCATCGAGCAAGCCGCCCAGAATCCAGAAGAAAAATGTGCCCGCCGTCCCGGACTTCGCGCAGCTTTCCGCCGCCGTGGTGGCGACGTTTCTCCACTTCATTTACATGGATCGGCTCGAATTCGAACTGATTGACGACGACGACGAGGCGTTTGTGGTGGAGGAAGCGTCTGGCCCCGACGGGACCCGGGCGAATGAGCGGTTACTGATCTACGACGAAGTGGTGCAGCTGAAAGCGTTGGCAGACAGGCTGGGCATCGACCGATTGGCGAATTTGGTCGAGCAGAAACTGTTGCAGATTGTGGAACCCGCGAAGGTAAGTTCCTCGGGAAAAAGTGGCAGTAAAGCGAGTTCTTTGACTGCTTCGGGAACTACAAGTAAAACTGCAGCGACATCAAACCTGCCGCCTCTGTTCGTCGCAGCTTCCGACTTGCACGCGGCTTTGCGGCGGCTGTTCTTGCAGACCTTCGACCGGTTCAGGATCTACACATTTTTGGTCCACCACCAGAACTTGGCGAATTACAAGATCCAGCAGCAGCAGCAGCTTTCTAGTGCGGGCCCAAGCGGAGACATTGTGTCCAGTACGAGCTCCAGCTCGATGAATAACCCGATGAACAAAGTGCAAACAAAAAGCTTGATCCAGCACGTGCAGCTCTTGGAAAACGAAGAAGGTTTTGGATCAGGTTCTTCTGCGGCTTCAAGTTCTTCCCTAAACTGCCTGATCCAGTGCGGCCCGGTCAAATATTGCCCGAGCTCGCACGCAGACAAAATCTTCTCGACCTCAACATCAACTGCGCTCACCGACACCATTCTAGCCGCGCACGCTGCAGTGTTGGTCGGAGAGTGTGAGGGGGGGTGCAACTTGGTGGAGCGGAGCTTGAGCGAAGAGATCAAATCGCCCGTGCACAGGGCGGTGTTGGGAGATGAAGATGACGAAGACGAAATGGACGAAGACGCGGAAAACAAGTACAGTTTGCAGAAAAATAGGATCCATAATTTTCGGCTGCGCGTGAGAAAGACCATTGAACATGTTCATCATTGTGCATTTACGTAACTGCTTCTTGTACATAGCAAGTGCGCCAAAAGAAGAAGAGACATCACGCCCTCATTTACTATCAGATACTACTTCCTGGACGTCTCCGACACCCCCCTCGACGTCGTCTTTACCGGTCTGTCCTTTCTTTACACGCAAGAGTTCGCCGACGTCGCGATGCCGTTTGTCCGGCCGCCGGTTTACAAGGACGAAAACCAACTGCTGGAGCAATTCTTCTACAACAGTGAGGAACTTTGGAACAGCCTGGATTTGGTCTCCACAGAGTACAACAACAAATCAAATTCCGACGACAATAACTCCGCCGATTATGGCGCCTCTAGCTCGTCTCGCAAGTCGCCGAACAAAATGCCGACGATTTTGACGAAAGAACAACAGCTGGAGAAGGCCATCAACATGCTGGATACCTACCGGACCAAGTTTATGTGGCCGCAGGAGCGGAAAATCAGTTTTTTCCTAGATCTCTTCACTTTCGCCGTGAAAATCAACGCGGTGGCGCTGAAAATTTACACGGAAGACGTCCTGATCGGGCTACTCGCGGACAATTGTTGGGCGGACATGTGGGTGTTTGCGGACGAGATCGGGTCTGCTTCGAACCAGCTCACGCAGCAGAAGGAGGCACTGAAGCTGAAGGAGGCTGCCATTCAGTTCGGCTTGCGGCAGATCGCGCCCTTTGCATTTTTGCGGTTTTTTGGTAAGAACGTGGGGAAGCGGAACAAAAACTTCGTCGACAACGAGAGGAAGAGGAACGTTACTCTGCTGAAAAACGACAAAAGTGTAGTTGATCCATCACTCACCACCCAGGGGGATGCAACGCCACGGAACAACGCGAAGGGCAATCCTTCCGGAACGACCAAACAGAAAACTCCGGAGACGGCAAGCCCGAGTAATAGGAATAGGAAAAATAAGAGCGGAGGTGGTAAGAAAGACACGACGAGCAAAATGAATACTTCTTCACTGGACGATGAGGAGGAGCCCACGGAGTTGTTTTTCTCCCATCAGTCACAATGGTTCAAATCGAACGCGCTCGAGAAATTCCTGTTCGACTTGGATCTACCGCACATCTCCCCGAGCGAGAATTGGACGCCGATTTTGCAGGAGCACTTCAACTCCAATTTGATGCAGGAGGTGAAAAAGCGCCGCCCGGTCCAGTGGAACGAGTTCAAAGAACGCTTAGTGCAGCTACTCGTGGAGTTTGAGAAGGTGGAGTACAATCTGGACCTGATTTTGTCTAAATCCGTCTTCCACAACGACAACGATGATTTACAAGAACTGTTTTCCGTCGCAAAGAAGGGGTTTTCGTCGTTTTTCTTCAAGTCCACGGGCAAAGTGCCGGAGAAGGTGGTGGATCTGAACGACGCCAACGCGATCAACAAGTTATCCGTGAACGAGCAGAACAAAATGCTTTTGCAAACCGAAGACGACTCGATCACGAAGGAGCAGCAAAATTTCATCCAGTTGACGAAGAACCAGAAGGGGAAATCCGGAAAAAATTCCTTCATCATTCGCTCGCGGGAGAAAATTTTGCCCATCTACCTCCTCGCAAAATACTTCTGGGAGTTCCTGGTTTTACTTGTCGCGATCTTCATGTACCGATACCGGGACGCGCTGCAGGACCGAATTCTCTTGGTCAACGCGGTTCGCTATTTCTCCACCGAGTTCTTCGCGAACGCCTTTGTCTCGACCGCGGAGGAAGCGGATTTTTTGGAAAATCTGCACGCGCTGCGCACGGTCGACATCATGATTCGGAACTTCTTAGGGGCGCAGGAAGTTGTGCACAAACAGAGTGATTTGCCGGTTTTGCTGCGGCTCTACGACTATTTCACGCTTTTGCTGACGTATTTGCACTCCTTGTCCGTGGCGATCAAACTGAACCCGTATTTTGTCATTATGGCGTTTAACGCGTTTTTGATCATTTCGGTGGTAGTTGCGTATGTGAAGTACGTGTAAAGGAGGCTCGAAGAATCGATGATAATTTTACGACATGAAGCTGCTGCTGACTGTGGAAACGATGTGAATATTTATCATCAACACTGGCAATCATGCAGCTCCTTGCATTTATTTTTCATTTTCGACTGTTTCACAACAAGAAACCTTTCACAACAAGTGTTGAGAAGATGCGATCAAAGTTGATTGCAGCTTTCTGCATCATATGAACCGAAGAACGACGGAGGTCGGATAAAATAAACAAAAGACGCCAACCGAAAATTGAAATGACTGTTCCCCGTCTGCCAGCGCTACTGCAGTGCTACAAATAAGATCAACTACTACCGCTTTTTCAGAAAGTTGATCCATCTCTTGTTCGAGATTTTTCCTTCTGCTCTATGCTTCTTGCACCCCCTGTTTCTGCAGAGACCTTTTTTTTCCATATTTCAAGCGACCAATAGTTCGACCCGTTTGTAAATACTTATGATTCTTTTTCCCATGTTCATACCAAAATTTTCCGTTTGAACAACGAGATAGCGACCGAGCCCATTGCCTCGCAGTAGCGCTTCGCTTTGACTGAATTTATTTTGATTTTCATCCATTCCTTTCATACATTCCCGCATGAAATAAATTCTCAATTGTACTAGGTAACAAGTAAGATACAACTCAAGTGAAGAACCAAACTTCCGCATTTTTACATCTTCCGTTCGATACATTCTCTGGAAAACGGCACACACACACGTCCATGTCGTACGAGACCTCCTTCTTTGAAAAAGTTGCCTCCTAAAATGACGCTGTTCGCCGCGACAGCGTCATCGGTGCTTTCTTTGACTACTTTTACGAGAAATTCTAGAACCCCCGCGGCCACCATGGGAGCAGCAGCTGCCCCACGCGGCGCGGGACAGCACTCGAGCAGAGCGGCGATTTTCAGCAGCTCGCTATGCTTCCTGCTTCACCTTTTCGCAACCGTCAGATCCCAGCTCGTCGGTCCCGGCGGCATGGTACCCTACGGGTCTGGCGGGGGCGGGAGACGGGTCAGCTACGGGGTGGTGCGAGACGCCAGCAAGGGGTTTTTCGTGGGCGGGTCCGCTATTGAAGACCTGAATGGCGTGTACGAGCGGGTCGGCGGGTTGCCGCGAAACTCGAAACACGTGGGAATTCACTACAAGGACGGCTCGTTGACCTACTTGAACGAAGCGACTGGTTGGTTCATGGCCATGGTCGACGCCAGTCCAGACGATGGGCAGGACCCGGGAGTAGATCCCATGACGGGGGAGCCGAAGCGAAAGGTAATGTATTGATTCACACGACCTGGCGGGTTTTGCTTTTGACATACATCATTTGTGTTACTGGTTCTTGCGGAAACGCGTTTGTCATGGATGAACTGCCAATCCCGACAATGAAAATCTCTAATCACAGATCGCCAGCCGCACCGAGTGGGTCTTCATTGATGAGAACGGCAAAGACCGTTTCTGGCACGAAGGTGAAACCATTCTCCCGGGCAGCGGCACCTCCTGGAAACACAAGCCAGCGAAGAGTGCCGGAGAGCGTGGCGCATTGTACTGATTCATTTTTGGCTTCAACAGTTTTATGATTGTGTGCGCGGAAAATTCATTCTGATGTGGACAAGTATAAAATTTGCGTAGTTGTTGAGTTTGGTTCCTTTCCTGTCGTGAAGCTGCAGCATCTTCCACACTCAAAAACAGCGCCGACATTTTCGACGACATCTTTCCTGTGGCCACTGCCGAGGACAACTTCGTCGATCTGGACGAGCTCCCATGGCAGGTCATCGGCGTAATGGACCCCGATATGCTGCACCGACTGAAATACCACAAGCGGTACCACCAGCACACGATCAAGCGCGCGCTTTCCGGTGGGGATTTGCCGCAGCTTGCGGGCCACTCCGGCAACGGCTTTGTTTCCTTCGATATCGAGATGCCAAAGGTTTTGGAAAAATACTTCGATGTCAGGAACATCTTCCGCGTTACGGATAACAGCAATTTTGGCGAGAACGGGGAACTGCTTGAACAATCCGCGCAACAACTACAACAGCCGAAAGAAGTCGACGAGGTCTTGACAAAGAAGATCGAGATCGACGAGTCCCTCCACGTCTTCACGAAGGCGAACGTGGAGGTTTTGGAAAAGGTTCGGGATTTGATCCTGAAAATTCGCACCGAGATCCAGGAAAAGCCGACGAGCTTTTACGAGGACGTGAATGATATTTTGGAGCAGTTTCTGAAAGATAACGAGGGTGTGCTTCAGTTCGAAGCCAACCGGAACCGGTTGATTCTCTACGCCTGGATTGAAGCCGGGATTTTGAAACTGCAGTCCTTCTTCCTGCGCAGGGTCAACAGCTTGACCGATCCGGCAAAGTTGTCCAAAGAGGCGAAGGGAAAGGTCGAAAAGGCACTCGCGATGTTTCCGCGATGGAATGCGGGGCTGTTGGAAAACGCAATGGTGCAATTCGACTTGGGAGAACCGGGGAGGGCAAGGGTAAGTACTAAATTAGAGCGTAAATCATGACACGGTTTATTTGTTGTCCTGCTTGAGGTCGTGCTAATTTTCGCACTGCGGGTAGTTTTGGTCCTGTGTAAAAATCGTAAATCCGTACTGTCTACTCGCGCTGTCTACTTTCCTTCTACGGCTTCATCAAAAAGTACTTTTCAAAAACAGCACTTCCTGGAGCAGATTCTGCGTTCCAACCGCAAGTACCCCGAGCTGTTTTCCTGGCTTTTGATCGCCCACACGCACGACAAGCGGCAGTGGGAGGCGCAGGTGGAGTACCCGGCGCCGAAATTTGGCGGGCTGTTGACGGACGAAAAGGAGAAGTCCAATTTTGACGACGAAAAGTCGTCGGATTCCAGTCGCGGGTCCTCAGGCAACAAACTGAAGAAAATCGAGAACCCGCAGCAGTTTCTTCGGGAGAAATCCAACTACTACCGCTTGCTCGCCGTCCCGGTCGATTTACTGTCCCCCGTGGAGGATGAGTTCCTGAAGAAGCAGTACCGACAGCTCTCCAAGGCGACCCACCCGGACAAACACGGAATCGAGTACAAGGAGCTGTTCCAAAAAATCGCGAAGGGGTACGAGACCCTGCAGTCCACGCAGAAGCGCCCGGAGTACGACGACGGGCAGGATTTGAGCGATTTGAAAGCGCAGCACCAAGTCGAAGACGAAGACGGGCACAAAACGAAAACTCTCAAGGAAGAAGTGTCCGAGAATTACTTCCCAGAGAAGTATTGGATGTTTGAAGCTGTTTTTATGGACTTTTTGGATTGCGCATGGATCATGCGCTACATTATAAATGAAAATATGGTTTTGTAGTTTGCATGAAATGATCTGTAAACTGCAGCAGGACTCCTGCAGTGCTACTTACCACCCTTCCCTTTCGCAATACAGGCACGGTTTTCACCCCTTCGGCGACCCCTTTGAGAGGAAAAAACACGAGGGGTACGGCGACAGTTACACGGGGTACAAGAAAACCAAAAACCCCGAGGAGTACACGGAGAAGACTCCGGTCAGGTACGCCTTCCCGCTGTTTCAAACCGGCGGAAACGACAATCCCGACCTGGAAAGACGGGCGGAGTTGTAAGAACACGGCGTGGCATTGGCATAATATTTTTGACGATGAGTATTGGTTCCTGCTCGTCGTCGTGTTTTTCTTTTTTACGCCGGCTCTGGTGTCGTACCTTCAAATCTTACCTTCACCAACGCAGGCTCTCTCATACGTCTCTCTCCAGCGAACCACTATTTTGAGAGCCGTTGTATCAACATCATGTATGTATTCATTGTAAGTATCTGTCTATCTGTCAGTATGTAAATTTCCAACACGAACATCAATTTTCCAACGCACAACGCGCGCGACTTTTTTGTATACGAGTGTTACTTCTCATCTTTATTTCGCGCAGCGAAACCAGGGCAAGGAACAAAGAACTTTCCTCAACGCAGATCGGAGATTGCTACCTCCAGGGGAGACGGTGAAAATAGCCTGCTCTTCCTTGTGGAACGACAGGAAAAATTTCTACTAAACGACAGAAAAAATTTCTACTAGCTGTGAATATTAATCGTAGGAGGACAATCAGGTGTAAAATTTTGTCTCGGCAAATTGTTCCGACTACAAGTTATATTTTAGGCTGTACAAGGGGTTGCTGTTTTCTTTTATCCTCGTTCAAATGCTTACTTCATCGAGCTTGGGTTTGTTTAAATGATTTTCCACGAAAAGAGCAACAACTACAACTACAAATGTTTCGGACGATGAAATAATCCAGAGTGTATGTAGAGAAATTATATCAAGGTCCTACAAGTTTTGTGAAACGTGCAGAAACTGCACTTTCTCTTTCGTCTGTTCGTGGTTTTTCACTGCTTTTCGCGTTGTTTCCAACTCTCGATCCCAAAGGGAATAAACAGGTCGCGTCTTTAAAAGTATCTATTGTGTGGACATTTTTAATATTTTTTGCATTGAGATGACACTGTACTTTCACTTTGCTGCGAATTTTCATTTGTTTTGCTCCTGCTCACTGACTTGTTTTAAGTGTCAGAAAATCTTCGATCTTATTTTGCCTCGTGCATCTAGAATATTTTCTGTTTCTCCCTTTCTAAATGCTTTTCCTTGCAAAACATGTGCTTGGTGTGGAGCTTTTTCCCGAGCACGCCAAGTGGAATAATACTTCAGGGGAGCAGCATGGTTCAGCTAAAACCTTCGCGGAAAAGCGAGAAGAAGTTGACCAGATACTGCACTTTTTTGAAACCGAGTTGGAAAACAAATACGAGGGGTATTTGTCTTCGTCGTCGGGGAGCAGCGGGGGTGAGGAGGAGGAACATAACGGAAGGAAAGCCTCCACAACGGCGAGAGCGCCTGCATCTGCCGTAACGCAAGACAAAGCTGATGCCAGCAACCCCAGCACATCATCATCTTCATCGTCCTCTCCCACCAACGAGGATGCGACGGCAGGTACTATGAAAACGCGACTAGTACCAGCGAAGACCACGAGGAGGTTCAAACGGCACAAGCTAGCCTCCCTGCGCACAGATTACTACAACGCGATCAATGCGGCCGATTTTTCCGACGAGGTTTTGACCAATTTGATCGAGGACGAGTACCTGATCGCCAAGAAACTGACCCAGGCAATCCAGAACGACGAGATTCCAAGAATTAAGAATGCGCGGGCCGACTTGGTGAAAACGGTGGACGCGGTGCTGAAGGCCGTGGAGTACCAAGTCGTGGCGAAGAACGTCCCGCCGATACTGCTCGCTCTCAACGGACACGACGTCCGCGAGTTGAACCGCCAAGCAGATTTAGCCGGAGCGGTCTCCAACTGCCGGGACTGCTACCACGAGTTTTTGGAGGTGCTGGCTACGGATTGGATCCCACTTGTCGGCAAAATCGCGGACAAGATTAATAAGGCAAGCAACTTCGCAATCTCGGCGGAGCACAGGGATTTTCTCGCGAAGGGGTGTTGTGGGGCGAAGGGGTTCTACTCCGGGCTGAAAATCCTGACAACTTCGGTAGTTCTTGGATCAGCGTCTGCGAAAGCCTCAAACAAATCTTCGTCCAAGGCCAGTGCTAGTAGTTCTTCGTCTGCGCGTGCTGCTCGTGGTCTGTCCAAAACCAACACCGGCCCGGATTCCTGGCTTTCCCTGCTCACGCGGATGGCAACATCATCTTCAAGGGCAACAGGAGCTGCTACATCCTCGACAGCTTCTTCGTTCTCCTCGTCAAGCGAGACACAACGACCTGCAGATCATGACAATCTGGGGGAAGATATCCTATGTAAAAACGTCCCCACCCCATAGTCAAGATGGGGAATCGGCTAGACAAGTCCACGAGTTTTGGCTGTTTCGCATGACAGATTTGGATTCGTAGTGTAGTGCTTTTTGAGCTAGCTTAGCAGCATCACAGACCTAGCAACTCATGCTGATTGGAGCATGACAAATTCCAAAACACGGATAGAAAGTGCTTCTCATGGGGCTCCGCATGAGAAACATTTTCAGCATGCAGATTTGCATGAAAAATATGTGCTGGGGACGTTTTTAAATACGATAGAAGAAGACCACTTAACTGCCGCAGCGGAGATTTTTCACAAGTTCCTCAGAGACGAGGCGATCTTCTCGCAGGTGTTAGAGCATCATTTATCGTACGGAAAAATCCCCCCTCCCCATACTGAATAGGTATATTTTTGGAAATTTCTGATGCTGATTTGTGGCCACAAACCGTGTCTGTATTGCAAGACAGCAACTCCGCAGGCTCCGCCGCACTATGCCGGCGGCTTGTCATGCTGTTGGGCCTACAGTGCGGCTGTTTTTCATGCTAAACGCCTAGGCCAGAGCCTCCCTGCTCACACTTGGTATGGGCCTGCAGTGCTCTCCAGCAAGACCGCTCGGATTTGTGTACACGAACCCAGCTTCAGAAGTATCGTTTTGATGTTGGGGGGGATTTTTCCTTTTGATATCATTCCCGGTCCAAGGAGATTAACCCTCTGAACCTAAACCCGTCCTTTCTCCAGTTTGTGCAGCACAACGTCGTAAGCAACTTGCTGCAGACGTTCTCGAAACTGTTCACGATCCTGAACAGCTATTTGAACCAGCTCCGGCTAGACATCGGCGACCGCAAAGCGAAGCGGAATTTCAACGAGATGAGAAGAAAGGAAATCGCCGTGGAATTGCGGCCGATGATTGAACACGTCATGCTCAGGCGATTTTTGGCGAGGGGGGCGGAGGAATTTGCAGAAGCGGCAGCAAGGGCGAACGGCGTTCAACAAAGCAGAGGTGCAAGAACAGATGAGGCAAAGATGAAGTACACTCAGGCTGGACCTGGTAGTAACAAGGACCATGATCATGATAGTCGAAGTTGTACTGCAGGTGGAAGTGCGGAGATTCCGAAAAATCTAGACAGTAGCATCACAGCCACGACGACTCGAAGACGAAAACGGTATACAGACGCCGAGTTGTCTGCTCTGCTCAACGACGATTAAACGCCCAATAATCTCTGCGCCCTGCGGAGCGAGGTGCAGAACTTCGTGATTGCAGCAATGCTGCTGGTGCTGCATGTTGACGCTAATGGATGTTCGTTTGTTTTTTCCAATACGGTGGGCATACGCGTACGTAAAGAAGTACGATCCTAGTCAGGGGTCTTCGGTTTAGTTTCACTTTGAGAGAAGATGAACTGCACTTAAAACTACTCTGGGTCCGCCCTGGCGGCCATCTTATATGCAGGAACTAGACCTACTCCTAGTCCTACCCTGTCGTAGTGTTCGAGCTCCGGCTCACCTTTTCGACGATATTTTTGCAGGTGTTTGTTGCAATAATAGAGAGCGTTTTCATCATCTCGATCGAGGTGGTGTCCCCCACTTGAAGTTTTTTTTGTCAGTTTTGAGCGACAAAAATACCACCGATAGTAAAAACTGCGTCTAGAATAGATTATACCATCTACTGCGACAAAGAATGACTCGCATCGACCGGTACCCCTTGCTGCCGGGCGTTTTCGCGTCGGTGTACCCGAATCCAAAATCCGAAACCGCCCACGATACGAGCAAATCTGACCCCGCGCCACCGCCGAACGCGAAGTGCAGTGCAGCCGATGTCGCGGCGATGGTGGCTAAGCTGGAGCACGCGGCGCCAGGTAGTCTACTTTGTTGAGATTGATGTTACCATGCTGCATGACAGACCAATGTTTCTGATGTAGAACATCTACTGCTTTTGGTCATCAAGATCAAGACCAACATCTTCAGTTGTAACATTTTATCAAACTTCAACAGGACCGCAGTACGAGGCCAACCTTTCGTTGTTGAAGCGGTGTGTCTGGCTTCAGAGCAAATCAAGCGACGAGGGCTGGGTGCAGTTGCGTGCGGAGCTGGGGCCGAAGGGGACGGACTTTATGTCGCTGAACCGAAAGGATCCCCGGGTGGATTTGCTTACCTACGGAAAGCCGCCAAATACGTTGTCGAAATTCGGGTTGTGATTTTTTACCAATCCTGATAGATTTGGTGTCGTTTCATCTCCTCGCGTGAAGACATCAGCCGCGCTTCGGTCTTGTTTGGGATTCAGATGAAAAGACGGCATCATCGTACTTTTCAAGCGAAATATTAGGGAATCCTGACGGAAGAAATAGAAACGCGACAAACGAGCGGGCTTTCGCCTTTGAAACAAGGTGATACACTTGCGCCGTGTTCCACTCTGCATGCTTTGCTAGGAAGCGGTACACCTAAGAACCTGCTTCACCTTCCTGCTCCTATGTTGTTTCAGTTCTGAACAAAGCACAGCTTTTGTTTTTAACGCGTGGTAAATTGAGCGAAGCGACACGAGAACGATGGAGAGTGAGAGCTGCGCGGGTGTTATTCGCGCTCGCACCACACACATTAAGGATCAAAGTCGAAGAGAATCTCTCTTCACATTTGATCTTCTCAAGAACAGCTTCCGCAAGGACGAGAGGTTCTGACTTTCTAGCAGCGGATGGCGTGTTGCAATATCAGAGTAGATGACGTCTATGATGAAATGATGAAAAATCATAATGAACCGCTTCCGGCTGAACCTAGCCCGAAACTCTCGTCCTCTATTTTCCTTTCAGAAAAGTGCAAAGCGAAGTGTCTCGCCGGATTCGTCTGGACGGGATGCGCTGTGCGGCTCGGAATGTCCCAGTATATGTGATGGTCCTTTTTTATGTTCTGTTTCCGTCCTGATCCTTCCATGATGCGCAGCATGTTTCTATTGGTGTTTAGATTCGTCGTTTTTACAGTAGATTGCTATGTAACTGGAAACATCGTATGAAAAAGGTCTTCTGGGCACGCCGCGCCGGGAAATTTCCGGTTCGTCAGACGAGAACAATCCCGCCGGACCGGGGGCGGCAGGAGAAATTTATCCGAATATCGGCCGTGGTCCGAGTAGCAAAACAAAAGGTGTAGTTTCAACAGCATCTTCGCAACACTACAATCAAGTCATCGCAGCTGCTGCGCCATCCTCCTCGACGCCTCGGAATCATAAGAACAGCCCTGGTCCTCACCAGCACAACAAGCCTTCTCTGCTCCAGTCGCTTGCCACAAGAGACGTCCCCGTGCCTCTAGCCAATGAGACAAATTCTATTTTTGCGAGTAAGAAGATTTTTGGGGAGAAAGATGGCGCGGAAAGAACAAATCACCTGACCAGCTCCGACGGACGCGATGGTGGAAATGACTCGTCGGCGACGTCCGACGAAGCGGCAGCGGCCGGACCGACAACGAACGCCGCGACCAACCGCATTCACCAGGCTCTGATGGATGATCCGGCCTTTGACGATTCGGTCTCGACCGGGCGCTCCGGGGATATGGAAAGTTTCACCACTTCGCAGAACAATCGGACAACTAGAGGTGGACCTCCACGGGCTACTAACAACGGTAGAAGTGCAGCAGCAGCAGCTAGGGCGGAAAACAATAACAACACCAATCTAGTGCTCAATAACAGCCGCAATCAATTACATCAGCAAAGCCAAAGCTCTAGCCCGGGGCAGACCACCAGCGCGCGGAACTCGCCCCACAACATGAGCACCAGTCGGAGCACGAAGGCGACCAGCGCAACGCGCCACATCCTGGCCGACGCCGCGGCGGCAACCGTATCCGAGTGTGAAACTTCCCCATCCCCCTTCATTTGACAGGCATGATGAGTAGCAACACAGCAAACATTGGTGGAAATTATGTGGCTTCCGCGTGACAATGACAAATCTTCACATCGATTGGGCGGTGCTGTTTGAGAAGATTTTTTCAATTTTGCCATCCTGCAGACTGTGGTCAGAAGCTGCACGCTGTGGATTTGGTATTTTTTAGTACAAATGTTGAGCGGGACGACGATGGGGAGTTGTGCACTTTCATAAACCGCAACGGCGCTGTATGCTGCGAGGGCGGAACGCGAGTACGGCTACAGTAGCTACAGCAACCGGTTCGACTCGCACTACAACATATGCATTGCAAATATGCTGTGGTCTGCAGTAAACTTGTGATGCCAGATTGTGAATGAGTACTTAAGATGACAGTCCCAGTAGCTGCATCCATGACAAGTTTTCGGGACGCTTGGTTCTCGTGTTTAGAGCGCAGCACTTTTATTTCAGTGCGAGCCCTTCCTTTGTCGAAAAAATAAAAACTACGCTCTTTTCGGTCACATGCAATACAGATCCTGCAGGACTGCAGGACACACGCAAGACAGATCCCGCTTTTATTGCAGACCCAGAGGACACAAATTTGCACTTGATATTACAACCTCTCAGATGACAATACATCTTCCTCGTCCGGAAGAGTGAATCAGTCCAGCTCAAACCCCAACCCCAATAGCAACTCCCAGTCCGGGACTGCGACGCAGCAGAATCAGAACCACCAGATGAACCCGCAAGCAGGCGGCGCTTTCGATAGTTTCAACTACGTCCGAAGAATCGGAAGTGGAGGTGGAACTAGTAGCAACCCTCTCGTTGCCCATAGCCACTCGCTGACACACTCCGCCGCGCTCCGGTCTTCCGGCGAGTTCAGCAATACTGCTCTCCGTGCGTCGGGCGGGTTGCTGAGTAATGACACATCGATTTCGATTTCGGAATTGCCTACCAGGGTGAAGAATAGTCTTCCCCCAACGCGGACCATTTCGGGGCGAATGATCGCCGACGGCGAGGAAGCGGATGGTGGCGGTACTACAGCGAGGCAGGTGCAGCTTCAACAAGGACGTGCTACTAGTGGAAATGTTCGAGGTTCATCTCCCCGGCCTAGCAAAGCAAGTCCGTCGAAGGGTATCGACCAAAGTAAGACTACCACCGTGACAACCTCTAACAGCCACAGCTCGACGGACACTAGTAACCGAATGCAGCAGAACTCAAACAAGAGTTTTTTCACAACGATGCTCGGCGGTGGGGGCGGAATAAAGCATAGGAATTCGCAGGATAAGCTTCTGAACAACGCCGCAGCTACGTCATCTACACCAGGTGCCAACGCACCAGTGGCAGCTGGCGGTGCCTCGCGCCGCGGCAGTCTCGCCTCGTTGTGGCTTCCATCCGAAGTTTGTCCGAGCCAGTCCGATCACGGCACTGCTGACGATCAAGGCTCCTCGATTCTTGGCGATATCGGAACAACTACGGCTGGACGACATCATGACAAAGAAGCCAGTACGTCGCCGCAAGACAGCGCTGCAGATCATCTGCAAAATCCATCCACACCTGCTGCGACTACCTTGCGAAAATTATTCTTCGGAGGAGGACCCGGGGGATCATCTTCAGGCAACACTAAGGACCACTCCGCAAGAACGGATCATACCGTCGCTGCACCAGGAGCTACTTCGCGTACAAAATATAGCGGCAAAAACAGTACGAGCACGTCCGGCAATATTAAAGCACAATCGATCCTGCAGCAGCCGGAAGAATATTTGGTAACCACTCCGAGTGACGCCTTTTATTCGACGAGTGTCGAACCGGCATCGAACGTGTTGAAGCAGATGGACGATGAGGCGACGGATTTGTTGATAGAGAAGATGAAGATGCGAACGGACAATCAGTTTCAAGCGCGAAAAATGGCGGATGACGATTTGTTTGAAGTAGACGAAGAGCGAGGAATTAGAAACACGAAGAAGATGAGCGGGACCGGCACTACCGCCTCCCCTATCACGGCGCGCCGCATACAGTCACATGTCGGGGAGCATCATGAGGATGAACACCAAAGAAACTACAACGAGAATTACATCGAAGGAGATGAGTTGTACGGGAATCTGCGTCCGACGTCAGGCGTCCAGGGCGTTATGCAGGGAGGTGGCCGCGGAACCACGCCGGTGGTTTTGAGTACTGGAAGTCGGCCAGCGTACCGGGAACTGGACTGGGACAGCTCCTCCGGATCGGATCACACCTACTACTCCGAAAACGCGTTTGCACAAATTCCTAATGGGAGGTGAGCATTATTGAGCACTTGCCGTTGTGGTCTTTCAGCCATCTGGAAGATCTGTGCCTGCTAATTATATCAGGAGCAAGAACGGGGGCTGCAAAAGCCAAAACTGCACGGGAAAATTGAACAAAACGGTGTGGATAGTACTAGTACCGACATGATCAGTGATCAAGCTGATGTATTAAAAATTCACTGAAAAAGTAATGATGTTGATGGCGCAAAGCTATCGGCGGGCAGTAAAAAAAGGAGTCTAGGAAAAAAATGGGCAAAATATTAAGAAGAGGAAAAACAACACATAGAATACACTCAGTCTCAAGCTTATACAGACCATATCCTCGTCGAGTGACACACGGAGTCATTGTCATTACTTAAAATGATTGCTGTTGAAAGGATTTACTTCTTCTGACCGCATGATCACTCAGTGACTTACAAGTGTACCAATCAAATGAAATTGGGTTTTCGTTATTGTGTGTTTGGTGTGCATTTTGAGAAAAAAAAGCGCTGTGCTATTGAAAAGTGTGACGTCGAGCACAACATGCTCGCGGAGGTTTTGCCTGGTATTCCCATTGTGTCGCCTGTGAATCACGATATGGAGGCTCCGCGAAGAAATATGTTTTGTGTCGAAGGCGTGGTTGGAGGAAATCAACTGTATAAACACAAGTAAGTACGGTTCAACGTGCTGCGCCGCTCGAGCAAAAGAAAAACCAACTTTATGCTGTTCTGATGCGGGTGATGGCATATTTTATTTTGAAAACGCGGACTTCGATTTTTTTCTTTTTTACGGTTGTTTTTTTTGTTGGCTCACCTTGAGGAGGTCGTCTGTATTTTTCGGGTTGCGGTGGGACTCTGATTTTTTTTTTTATTTGAGACTGGAGTAAGCAAATCTACCTACAGCGAGAGCGAGACGAGAGGCCGCCTACCAGCTGTTTTCATGTCGTGCTTATGTGTGTTTTTTATCTTTTCCTCCGAAAGGGATGCGAATCTCCCGAGCACTTCGAGTGGGCTTCTCTTTGAGTTTGCTTTTTCCGGACGGGCTGACATTCTGTTTGTTTCTTTACCTGCTGTTTTTTTACAAAAATTTTTCTTGTATTCAGTATGCAAGATCAACGACGTACAACGCAACAACATCTCGGCAGGCGAAGAAGAGGCCAGGCGGGCCAAGATCTTCCCATAGCTATCTCAATCTGTGTAGGGAATTAAACCGCATGTAAAAAGCAAAAGAGATTGATGAAGTCTGTTTCGTGTCTTGTTTAATAGGTGGCAGCGACTTTTTTTGTGAAAATAGTCCTGTAGTTACAACGTGTAAGTGTAACTCATGTGTCACAAGCACAGCCACATTGTCGGTCGTCAAACAAAACTTGTAAATATCGGTGTTGATGAGGGTTGTGAATTTGAAAAGCAGAAAAAAACCTTATGCTTTCTTGATGGATACCTGTTGTGTTTATCTTGAATTAAGTACTTTATATCTAAGTACCATGCGGAGATGAATCTAGTCAAAACGTTTTTAGCAACTTAGGAAGTTTGCAGAAATCTTCAAGAATTCACTTTCTTTACCGCTGCGACTTTTCCTAGCGTCATGAAATAACCCTTTTCAGCTCTGTACGTCTAGCATTATGATTTCGGAAAACTACAGCGGTGCTGGACCGGATACCCACGCTGCAGACACGGCGGAGGGAAACAAGAACACTGCTTTATTACAATGAAAAATGCCCCCTCCCCATATCAAAACGGAAATCTGTGATGCAGATTTGTGGTCACAAATGACAAATCAGCTTTGTGATGCTAGAAGGCAAAAGATGCGGACTGTAGTGCTGTCCGGCGTGGGAAAGCCTTACAGCTCCAGGATGACAAAAGGCAACTGGAAGTGGGAAACAGCATGACAGATAGCCTGCAACTTAGGCCGCAGCTTCGTCTCTTGGCCTTCTAGCAATACAAGTTGATTTGTGTACTCAAATACAGCATCACAAATTCGCGCATCTTCCGTTTCCGATATGGGGTGGGGGCTTTTTTCAGTTTGATATGCTTCCACAACATCATCAATCACACCAGTAGCTCGTGGTCGTCTCCGAGCAGAAGATGGTGCAACGACGACGGCTACAGAGATTTTTCAGGCCGAGAAACAAATATCCATCCCAAGAGAGGACCACAACTACGACGGCAGTACTAGTTCCGGTGCGGCTACAGCAACCTACTCTTCCAAGTCTCCACCGGGCGCCACTCTTTTAGAAGAGTTCGCGTTGCAACAGGACGTCGGATCCACAGGAGTCATAGACTTCCATATTTCACTGCCGGACGAGCAGCAGGGAGGACAGGCGCTGCATCCAGTTGACAATAGTACAGAGATGAACAATACGAGAGCGCCGGGCCTGTACGGCTTGATCTACTATTCCACGATCAGCGTTGCGGACGACCTAACTGCGACGAAGAACAGCACGTCGACCGCGCGCGACCCGTTGTTGTGTAGCTCCAGTTGTGTGATCCTGCAAAGACAGCGGACAAACAACAGCACAGCAAGCCGTGGAGCAGGAGACCAAGAGCTGCATCAAGGCAGTTGTACCAGCCACGTGGTACTGCACGACCACCTCGTCCCACAGGGAACAACGACCACGACGTCAAAATCAAAAAGTAGTAACATCAACACTTTGACGACCAGTTTTGTGCTCCCTGAAACAAGCGGCTCGCAGTTGCTACAACAGGATGCAGTTCACGATCATCAGCAGAGTCTGCAGCGACACAGCTTCGCCAACAAACTGCGGGAAAAACTGATCCCCACGGCTTTGCGCCGTGAGAACGAGCTTTATGCGAACAACGAAAGTAGCTCTGGTTCCTCCTGTCGGTCCAGTATGTTGGAGGAAAGCACCACCTGTCGGCAAATGCAGCGCTCCGTCCCCGGCCCAACGGGGAGCAGCAGCAGTTTCGGCACCGTGAGGAAAGTGCCGAAGCCGCTCGAGTTTTCGGATTTGGACCAGTCCGACCACACTTACCACTCACACGACCACGACAGTCAGAAGTCGGACTCGTCCTCGCAATTCACGCTTCCGGATCAACATTCCGCGCCCCGGTCCGTGCCGCGCTCGAGACAAATCAGTAGTACGGAAAATTCGTCGGCTCAACTCATGTTGACCACGCCCGTGCTCTCGGACTATTGTTCTGCATTGGAGCAACAGGAATATATTCTTGCCCGGGTGGCACAGTACAAAGAGCCGAAGATGACCAAGAGCCAGCGTGTCTTGATGCAACAGAGGCTGGACATCCAAGCCTACCAGCGCTGGTTACGGGGTCCGGGAAGGAGCAAGTCGGCGAATCTACCGATTGGAGCGAAGGCGGAAGTGCCAGTGCCGGTGCATCCCATACCAAACTTCTAGCCCAGAGAAAAAAGCTGTTACACCAACATGGCAGTCTTTTGATACCAAAAGAACAAGCGAGGAAGAAAACAAATATGAGAGAAACAAAAACGTCGGTCTTGCATAGTGCCTCAAATTATCGCATGCCACGGGCTACTGGCCCACGACAAGAATTTTTGTGCTGGAATATTTGCTTATGACATCATTAGCAAAAAATTACGGTACGCTGGCTTTTTTCTGTGTGATACGTTCGGGTCCGGGGCACCGATTTTTCAGAGCAAGACAGCGCCGCCGGCTCACGCAAAGTCTTCCTCCTCGTCAGCGCGCAGGGTAAACAACTGGACCGGCTACGAACAGGGGGAAATACGCCCGCAAATGACCCCAGCGCCTGTTGTCGGCAGAAATCCACGAGACGCCGTGGCCCCTCCTATCATGACCACCAGCCAGCAGCGAGACGTTTTGAATGAGTCTGACCTCATATGCGAGAAATAAACTGTGAATGATAATGGAGGTCCTCCTGGGAGTCGTGACAGCATGACAAAAATTTTGTTCCGGCATGTCAGATGAAGCCAGTCAGGCACATCTACTTAATGCTTGAAAACACATGTGAAAGATGACTTCAAGGCTGGCCAGAATAGCAATTGCAACTGTGATGATGTAGCGTGCTTCACATTTTCAGACTGACACTTGAACATACACAATTTTTTTGTTGCATACCTCAGTTGTGGCACGTCGCGCAGCATCGAATCGGTGGAAGGCCGGGCCTCGGTTGTCGCCTTTTCTCTACCCGTGAGGGATCAAGATGATCCGCCGCCACCCAACCAGCTGCACGCAAACCGAGCGTTCAACATCCCGGATGTGCAACGACGAGCGCACGATCCTAGCAGAAGTAGCGAGGATGGCGATGGTCTGCGAGGATGGTGAACTACCTGCCGACAGTGATGTTAGAACGTGAAATAAAACGATGAACACGAGCCGGTGGAGTAGTGGAACGTACAGTAAGTAGTAGGTGGCAAATTATGTCATACTGCTGATCGTTGTGATTCTGATACTGATTGGTTTACTAGGTACAGCTGGGATTCGACTTCTGGAAGACCTACAAACAGGGGTCTTCGTCTTGTTGCATGGAAATTCCCAGACCCACCAGTAGAGTAAACTAATAATTATTCCGGTATGGGATGTCCAATTTATTGCAAGTATTGGAGTGTGTGACGTTATCGTTCCTACAAGAAGTTCATAGATGCATTTTTAACACAAAAATGAGTGCCTACTTATAGTAAATTTCACTTTCAGTGGCACTTTGCCAGCCGAAACGTGCGTAATTCGCTTCGGTTGAGATCAGCGCTGCTGTACAAAATTTCGTAAAGTAGAAGTAGGGCTTGCACCTCCACTTTAGGAATTCGTTTCACACACGTCAGAGAACTGGAAAGTAGGTAGAAATAGAAGTTTTAGCGACGACAGAGCGAGTAGCAGATCTTGAGTTGAAAACAAAAGTAAGTATGAAAAAGGTGTGAAACTATAAAAAAATAAACAAAAAGACGATGAGTAAAGGACATAGGCATAGCTATAGCAAGAAGGGCTCCCGACACCACGATATCTTTTACCGGCTGTGTCTTACTTTGACAAAGAACGGTAATAGCCGTTTTTGGCTTGGCATTCGTTGGCACCTGTCAACGCATCACAATCCGGTCTTGAAAGGAAGATGCAGCAGTTCCGCTGGTGACTCAGTAAACACGAGGAGGCGTGGTCACTTTGCGGAATTTGGAGGTAGAAGTCGTGAACTGCAGACAAAAATCGACTTGTACTGCAACTACTGTCAATGTTGAAGATAGCGAACGTATGTAAGAGGACAGGAAAGGAATGTATCTTTTATGGAAAAGACGTGTGGACCGGAGTAAGGAATCAATAGGTCGGAGCTATTTCTTGTCATCTATGTCGTGTGGTACCCACTAGGGAAGAAATTGAAAAGTTTTTGTGACCCACCTGTATATAGGTCGTTCGAGATAAAATCTATGTAAAAACTCATCATCATCTCAAGATCCGATGTATTTCTTATGATTCGATTTGGAAGCTTCTCGCCGCATCCGCAAGTTCGCATACGTTCTGCACAACACGGACGTGCCACGGCCGCGATAGAACGACCTCGTCACCTTCTACCTGTTCTCTCCTGTTGTAAGTACACGCCCGAGCTAGTGTCGCAGATTCCACCGGTTCCACCTCCACCGGCTCGCCTCCGCCAAGGGACCCCGACAGGAGTAAGACAAGCAAAACAAAAACTACAAACGACAAAAGTACCACCGCGGGCGGTAGCATGAGAAGTAGTTTCGATGCAGCTTCATCGATTGCTCGCAGTCAGGAACTCCCGCAAAAGAGGAACTCCTGTGCTGCTGGCCACACTCCCGTGGAGATCCTGCCGCAGATTGTCGGCGAAATGATCACTGCACACGAGCAGCACCACTATCTTTTGGGACAGCTGTGAGGAAAAAGAAGAGAGTATTTGTGCTGCTCCTCTCGTATAGATAGTATGATGCAGATTGGATTAGGAATAAGGAGTTTTTTCCTTGACGAGGACAAAGGTTAATATTGAAGCTGAAACAAGTTGAAGTAACGGGCTACTTATGTGAAAAATTTGCTGACCGCGCACTAGACATTGATAACATTGTTCTTGAGATTAGCTAAAATGCGAGGCCCTTCGTCGAAAACAAGCGAAAGATGCCCGAGTCTGTGATGATAGACAGTGATAGAATTATGCCGCATTGCAATACCTACGACTAGCTCCCGCGGCATCAAAGCCGTTTGATTTTTTCTCTCTTTTGATGGGATCGGATTAAAGAGACATATGAATTACTCTTCTCATGTGGATTCGCGATCGTTTGCAGCATGTATGTAGCGGGAAATAGTGCACTTTATCATATGGAATATGTACAATAATTTGTTGACAGAGACAGGTCCGTCATCTGGATCGTTACAGTATCGAACTAATACACCTGCTGCAGTTTGTGTTATCAAATTTTATCTCATTTTCCCATGACGGCAAGACCACAGCGCAGGGCTAGTACGTCAGAAGTAGCATATGAATCTTATCCCCAAAGAACATCACAGATTTGTGAAAAACCGCACGGTGTGATAGTATATGCAGGCAGGAGTTTTTATTTCCGCCATAGGTGGTTTTTCAGAGTATTGCACTGCTACTGAGTCGTGTCGTCCCAATAGTCATATTTCTATCTGTGTATGAAATCGAAATAGTTTCTGGTTGCCGCCATGCTTTCTAAAGACTAGTGAGTGACCTTTTACATTTTGCTAAATTCTGGCTGACGCTAGCGAGGGGCGAATCGGAATCTATCATGCGATAGACCTGGTTCATATTGAAGCCTTGTTGACAATTTTGACTTTATGCGCAGAGAGAATCCCAACACTAGATCATTCCATGCACGACACTCGATGAAGCGTACATCCATATCTATGAAAAAGGTCGGAGATGTTACGGCTTCTTGCCAGCACTTTTGAAGCGGTAGTAGAGTACTGAGTTGCGATATTGCTCTTGCCACAGCAGAACTACCAGGCTGCAGCCATGTATGATGGATGAACCTAGCACCCTTCTGCCTTTCCCAAGCGGACTACGAAAATGGATGTAGCAGACCCGCCACTTTTCGATGCGATACTGCGTCGGACCTAATGGCCGGCGACGTAAACGACACACAGAGCCCTTTTCTTGCTTCTTCCCATTGAATGATGCTTTTTTGCTTTCCGGCACGGATAATTCCAACCAACACGCCGTTACTTTTGACGATAAATGAAGATGAACGAGAAGAGAAACAATATTCTCTTGAGGCAGACGGGCTTAGTACTCCGCGTCCTATGATTCATTTGTTCCGACAGGTCATTCATTCTACAAGTACAACTACATACGACTATATGACGAAAGAGATCCCTCCCAGGTGTTGAGTAAGTAATATGATCGGAGCTCCGAACAGAAAGACCAAGATCATCACCACGACCCATGTCTGAACTTATTTACTTCAATCCATCGGTGTGCAGTAAGTAGCACGCACACACCAAGAAGAACAAAAAGGTTCTGTTCTGGTTGCTGGACAAAGAAACTGCATAAATTTAAACCTCCTGCTCGGCAAGGATTTCATTCGAAAGAAGTATTGACAAGGTGGACATATCAATCGTTGAATGACAATGGCCGCCGAACAAACTCCTGGCGTCGACGCAAACGCGGACGACGAGGACGGCAGCTATCTGATAAAGGAAATCGACATCGACGATGATATCTGTTGCACGACTGAACGGGAGGGGAGTTGTGGCGCGACATCAAAGCGAACGATCAAAATCCATCAGGTCTTTTCGAACTCCCGAACAAATGCAGTTGTCTGGGACGCGGGCCTGGTTTTGGCGCACTTTTTGATGCGAAGCCGTTCTCTCGTGGAGGGCAAGAATGTCCTGGAGCTCGGCGCGGGCACAGGGATCGTCGGCTTGGTCGCTGGTTTCGTGGGCGCACGAAAAGTTTGCCTGACCGATTTGCCAGATGCGATTGCCTTGCTGCGGAGGAATGTGGAGCGGAATCATCTACATCACAGTGGGCGGAGTTCTTTTTCGGTTCCTTCTTCATCATATTCTTGTGCGGATGGGCTCGGCAGCGGAGGCGCAAGTGACGAAAAGGAGAAGGGAAGTGGTGCGCTCGCGGCGGCCTCATCGGTAGGCGTAGAAGGGAACACGAAGGACAAGAATGCCGCTTCAGTGCAGGATCCCGGTAGCTCCTCCTGCTCCAAATCATATCACGTGGCGCCGCTAGTTTGGGGCAAGGAGCATTTGGCAGGTCACAGTCGACATTTTTCTGGTATTGTTGATTTCTTCTGCAACGACGAGTATGAGACGAGCGTCGGAAGGATTTCCACCGAGAAAGTAGAAGCAATGGATATAGAGCAGAAAACAACGCCGCAGCCTCAGCCTAGCCTGAGTGTCGACGTTGTTCTCCTCGGCGACTGCCTTTTCGAGCCGGAAGGAGTGGAAGCGTTGATAGAAACCTTGGTTGAATTGAGGGCCCGAGCGCAACACAGCCCCAAGCCACTGGAAATTCTGTGTGCGTACGAAGTGCGCACCGAGGGGCAAAATAGAGGGCTAGAGAGGGGATTTTTGGAGGCGATGGCGAAAGATGGCTTGTTTGTCGCTGAAAGAATAGAACTCGCAAAGCTGCATCCAGACTATTGCTGCGAAGACATTCCGGTGTGGAGGTTAGTGAGCCGCAGCAAAGATGTTGTCAACGAGAACGAGCGAAAAGAAATTTGAAAAATGTTGGAGAAAGAGCAGCAGCCGTTCCTATTTCTTTGGGGTTAAGCTGCAGGCATGTTCTGGGCGAGCAAGTGGAAGGCTTGTGTTCACCGCGGGCATTTTTCTTGAGCTCATTTGACTCCGCCACGGAGATGAGTGATTGAACTTCGTAACCGACGCGAGATATCCAAGCGACTGTCTTTGCTTGGTAGGCCGCAGGAAACGCCGACGGCGACGACCCCACTCCGCGGCCTGGGACGCGCCCGAGGAACGACGTGCAGGGGGCCGGGTGGTTGTTGGGAGTCTGCCAAAAGTGCGAACCCCGGCCGCTGGTGACGACGAAGGCCCGGCGATCGCCATCGCAGCCGGCCCGCATATGCAGCGCGGACGGCTTTGGCTGTGCAGCGCCGGCCCGCGCACGCAGCGGGCCCGGGGGCTTCGCCGGTTGACATCCGCGGGGCGCCTTTGGGCTGGTGTGCCAGCCTTTGGGCTTTCGGCCACCGGCCGGCCTCTTTTGCGCTCGCCCGCCCCGGCCTTGGGGGGGGGGGGCGGGGAGAAAAGGGGCAGCGGTCTCCCGCGCAGCCTGCTTGGTTCCCCGTGCGGTTGGCGAGCTCAAAACCCCGCAGCCGGGCTGCCAAATACACCCACCAACAGCGCGACGGACTGACTTGGGAGCAGCCGCCAAGCGCCCTGCTGCTTTTGCGAAGTTGCGCCCTGCGAGGAGATCTGCCCGCCCGCTTACGAGCCCGGACGGCCAGACGTGCCGTTGCCCCCCCGGCAACCAAGCGCCTGCAGCCGTCCCGCGGGCAATTTCCGCCGGCGGACGTTCGGGGCCCGCCGAACGACTGGGCCAGCGTGCTGGCGGAGCTGATACAGCAGGCGCGCAGCAACGCGCACGCATTGGGTGGCCATTCTGGTGGAAAGGGAAGCGGCCGCGGTCGGCAAGCGGATCCCGTGTGGAAAAGGGGCCCGCGGCCGTTGTGCGGGCAGCAAGCCCAGGAAGAGTGTCCCGGAGAGCCGCACGGTGATCCAGCGAGCTGCGTCATTCGGCCGGGCGTGCCACGCCGCTGCCTGCCGCAGCCACCGGCGCAAACTTCGGAGCCTGGCGCATGGCTTTCGTGGCGGTCGAAGGCGGTCCGGTGCGCCGGATTGGGCCACTACGATACGGATAACGGCGCGGGGTTTGGCGGCGTTGGGATGTTTGGGGCTAAGTGGTTGGCCCGCCGCGAGCGACGCAGGAACGCGCGCGGGCAGTTGGGCGCCTGGCGTGTCGCATTGCTTGGCTGTGTCCTCGCCAAGTCGCTGCCGCGGGACGGCGCTCGCCTTTTGTTCCAGCGGGCTGGCCAGACGTTATGGAGGAGCATCACAGACCGACGGGGCGCCCGGCGGGTGGTTTCCAAGGCCCCCGGCGCCGTTTCATCGGGCCCAGCTAGCGCTCGGCCGCGGCCGGCGACAGCCCGTGGCTGCATGCGAAGCAGCCAGTGCCGCCAGCAGCTCGGGCGTACGCCCGCTAAGTTTATGCACCAAGGTACCGGCAGCGTTGCCGTCACCGGGCGGGACGGCTCCGACCGTCGTATCCGGCGCTCTGTTGCGAGCTCGTGAACTCAGCTGCGGCTCCCTTTTGACACAGCGGGCCTGGGTCATGGCTCCGTAAGTAGCGTGCTTCGCTTTACGTGTTGTACGTCATCGTGTTCGGTGTTTTTCTGTTTCCGAGTCAATGGGAGAGTGAGGCAGACAAGTTGTGCACCTCGGGAGATCGGTGAGTGAGAGCTACAATATCTGAAAACAAGGCTAAGAGTAGAGCGCGCGGTCTTCAGGGTTTATTTTTCCGCAAGCAACCTCGTCAAGATGGCGGCTCCTTCTATGGCTTTCCCGCTTCTGTTCTTCCACTTCAACCGGAACAAGGTTTGGCACCGCGACAAGCGGCTGACCCGCGAGGAATTACAACAGTTCCCCGAGATCTGGACGACTTGGGAGAGGCGTTGCTACCGCCAATTCCTCGACGAGGCCAAAGACTGGAACGCCAGCAAAAAAGATCAGCAGCCCAAAGTGCACATCCACTACAACAAAAACAAAGGCTCCTCCAGTTCTTCCTCCACTTCCAACATCGGGCGAGATAGCGAAAGCACCGAGCTGGGCGAGATGGAGCTGAAGCAGCAGCAGCTGCAGAAGATTTTTCCGCAAGAACACATCTACCACACTTTGCAAGAAGACGTGAAGAAGTGCCGAAAACGGATGCACTCCAATATCCTGAGTAAAAACGTACCCACACCAGAGTCAAGTTGGGGAATCAGCTAGACAAATCCACAAGTTTTGGCTGTTTTGCATGACAAATTTGGATTCGTAGTGTAGTGCTGCTTGAGCTAGCTAGACAGCATCACAGATCTAGCATACCATGCTGATTGGAGCATGACAAATTGCAAAACACGACTAGAAAATGCTTCTCATGGGGCTCCGCATGAGAAACATTTTCAGCATGCAGATTTGCATTACAACTCTGGTGTGGGTACGTTTTTACTCAGGATATCCAACGCGACACTGGAGTCCGCGCACGAGTGTCACTACCGGATCAAGGAGCTGATATTACAATGAAAAATGCCCCCACCCCCGAACTTGAAAGCATTTGTATTGCAAATCTTTCCAAATGAAACATTCGCCCTCTTGCTTGTATCAGCATCACAGATTTCCGATCGTGAATAGCAAAAATTTGCATTGCAAAAGATCCCAGCAAGAGCGGTGCTTGTCATGCAAGCGATGCGAAACACGACTAGAATCTGCATCAGAAAGATTCTTACTCCTTTCATGCATTACAAAAAGCTTTCATTTGGAAACTTCGCATCACAAATTGTTGCAATTTCAGGGGTGGGGGGCATTTTTCACTCTGATAGCTGACGGACGTATGTCTGTACGCCGGGGTGCACTTCGCAGACAGCGCCGCACCGGTGTTCGACGATACTGAGTTCCACAGGATAGCGGCGACGGCCTTCCAAAGGTTGGAGGAAGGGAGGGGAAGGCATGAGATCATGGGGGTAAGGGGGAAGTAGTAAGTACTTACTACAATTCGCTGATGAAGAGAGTGAAGACCTCGCTTATTTCTTCTATCCTGGATGCGAGTTGCATTCGTATTCGTTCTCCTTTGCACGCACATGCATGTTCGGCGTCTGATGCGCATACAATTATAGCCACTGCGCTTTGTAAGTAGACTGAGCAGCGTGCGTCTCTGCTAAATGTGCAGTTCTTGATGCCCACTTCTTTGAATTGCAGTGCCTCGGTCCTGTTCAAGTGCGTGGTAGATTTAAGTTGAGAGAGGGATGGGAAACAAGATCCAAGAGAAGATAGTTAAAGCTTCTGATGCGATCTTGCCGGTGATTGTCAGTCTGTAAGGTGCGCTGGCTTGAGAGAACGCACGCGGCGGCCCGGAGAGCGATGTTGAATGTGGGGACCTGATATATATAATCTTGTTCTTGCGCGGCTGTTGTACCAAGAGCAACACAGAATGAAAGTCGTTGGGAGCAGCGACGCCACTGCAGCATCATCTGCATCGTCCTCCCCCGCTGTTGAGAGTAGGAGCCGCGGAGTTTTTACTCGTCGCGTGACTACCGCAGCCCCTCTGCAGACCGCAGCAACGGCCGTTGCCCCCTGTGCAAAGCAGTTTCGCGTCCTTTTGTTACACGACACTGCTCGTCGTTCCTGCTGCTGTGAAGCAAGGATAGAAGGAGCAGCCAAGAGAAAAGAACCGCCGAACGTGAAGACCACTACGCCAGCGCTCGAGAAGTCACGAGCCAAAACTCGCTGGAAGCAGCGCTGGAAACAAGGTGGTGGGACGTCGAGTCGTCTTGAGACCTGTGTCCATTTATGCAGGAAGAATCTACTCTTTCGCGCAGCGCCCGCGATATGTTGTCTTCTCTGGAACTACATCAACTTTTTCTTCCTTTTGTCCTTCGCGAAGATCGAAAGCAAAAACAACACTCCGGTGGAGAAGAAGGTCACCGTGAAAGAGACCGTTTTTGACTCTCCGATAGATCGCATGGAGTGGTGCGGGGACGACAACGAAGTGGTGCTGATTTTAACCCGGAGGGGCAGACTCCATCGCTCTTCAGACGGCGGCGTTCGATGGGACGACATCACCGCGCAGCTCGGCGACGCGAACGACAACTCGTTCGACTCTTTCTTGGTCTCGCCGGCGGATAAAAGGGTATAAGTAAGGACCACGTATCACCAGTACAATAGACGACTATCACTTGATGTTGAGACCTATGTCTCCGACCGTATAGATACTTGCGTTTCATCATCCCAGGCCAGGGAGCCTCCCCTTGGTTGTGAGTGCATGTAAAAATTTTCGCCCTAGGTAGTCGCGCAAAACAAAAAAGTGCACTGCTTAAGTTGAACTTGCCTCACGATTTCATACACAGTATCTCGTCGCCGTGGGTACTTCCAAATCCCATTTCGTGTCTTCCGACGCTGGCAGATCGTGGCGGAAGTTGAAGCAAAAGGCAACGATCCACACCTTCGTGTTCCACCCAACCAAAGGGCAATGGGCTCTCCTCTCTAGTTGGACGGACAGTTGCAACGATAGCGCCGCAGAAAAGCGGACCAGCGCCGGGAGCAAGGCGGAAAAGGCGCTCAGCGGACGGGGGGGAAGTCAACAGCCGTGTGTGCATAACTTGTTCGTCACCAAAGACCTCGGTATTTTATATTCGATTGATGCGTGCACAAGCGGTCTTTCTTTTCACTGTACGTAGTAGAAGAGTGGTAGTAAGTACCATGATATCCTTGCCGGAGTCAGCACTAGGACTAAAATGGAAGGCAGCACGACCAGGCAGCGCAATTCGTTCTTTCGTTCAAACAAACTCCTCCAGGCGTTACCTTCACCCTCGTGAGTTCCTACGTGGTTCAATTCGCTTGGGGCGAAGTAGAATCCGCAGCCTCGACATCAACTTCGCAGCCACAAGGCGGAACGTCCGCAAGCTCCCCCCAGCAACTCCCTCCTTCCGGAAAGGAAAACCTCATTTACTTCTCCCATTTCAACCAAAAATCCGGCAACCAGCCGAAATTGCTCGCCTGGTCGCTCGGGGTCGACTTCTGCGTCACCGAGGACTTCGGCAGGAATTACCAGACCCTCGTCCCCGCCGGGAATAAGTTTGGCATCTTCACCGGGTACATTTTCGTCGCGAAACTGGACAACGCGGCCACGCAGAACGTCGCACTGATGGTGTCCACTGATGACGGAAAAAGTTTCGGTCGGGCGAAGATCGGCGAGCAATTGGAGGAGTATCAAGTGTAAAAATGTCTGGGTCTGGAAGATTCTGACACTTGTCATGCACGTTTTGCATGAGCCCTGATGTCTGTGATGCATACCCTAGCAATACAGTTTTTTTGAGGGCTTCTTGATGCGTATTCCGCATGACAAATGCCTTCTCCGCGTAGCAGAAATTACATTCCTTTTGGTACTCATGCAATACAGATTTTTTTGGAATCCAAATGCAGCATCACAAGTTGCATTCTTCCAGACCCAGACATTTTTACATTTGATAAGGAGAAGTCGTACACAATTCTCGACACGTCCGAGGGCGCGGTTGTGCTCCACGTCCACCTATCAAATGTAAAAATGTCTGGGTCTGGAAGAATGCAAGATTTGTGATGCAGTTTTTCCATGACCCGTAACCCCTGGAATGCAGCACCTAGCATGACAAACGCTGCGAGGCGTCTATCATGCCTATTCTGCATGAGAAACTCCCTGTCAAACTGTTCAAAAGTGGACATCTTTTGGCAATCATGCAACACAAATTTTTGCATGCTTCAGATTCAGCATGACAAGTTGCATTCTTCCAGACCCAGACATTTTTACAGTTGATACCACCACGGCCACATCGGCGACACGGACGTGGGTCACGTGTACATTTCTGATGCGAAGGGGCTGCGATACACCAAGTCCCTCTCCGCCAACGTGCGGAGTAACGATGGTACGTGTGACTTCGACAAGGTGGGCGGTATCGACGGGATCTACATGGCAAATCAGGTGGACACGGACGAGTTGTATGGGAACGACAACGCCGAGGACTTGCGGGAAGACGTCGCCGACGCGGAAGAGGAAATCGCCAACAAAAATATCGCGGGAGGTGCGGGACCCAGTGCGATGAAAAAGGGGAAGAGCGAATCCAGGGTGCGGACGGTCATATCCTTTGATAAGGGAGGCACCTGGAGCGTCATTGCGCCGCCGGAGTTTGATAGTTTGGGTACAAGAACTTCTACGCATAGATAGTTAGGTCCTTTCAGATAATTACCCTGTTTTCGCTTTTTGTTTTTTCTGTTCAGTGTTCGCAAAGACTTACCGGCTCTTCTTGTCATGGTAGATGTAGGCTGCGGATGAATTTGTACCACGCCTAAAATTTATATCAAGGTCAACGCGTCGACGCCTGTGACCAGCTCCGAATACAACAATCGTCCACTTCCTCCCCACAATCCTGCAGTCTGCATCTCCACGGCACCACGAGTGCGCTGATGGGGACGAATTTTGCGCCCTTCTACTCCATGCCCTCCGCGGCCGGGATTATTCTCGGCACGGGTAACGTGGGCCCCTACCTGCGGTACGAAGACGCGAACACCTTCATTTCCATCGACGGCGGGCTCACCTGGATCGAAGCGCACAAAAAACCCTACATCTACGAGATCGGAGACCACGGGGGGCTGATCGTGATGGCCCCCAGTACGAAGAAAACCCGGGAGGTCATTTTTAGCTGGAACGAGGGGACCAGTTGGTTTGAGTTCGAGATGGCAAAAAGCCGGATTGAGGTGGACAACATCGTGACGGCGCCGAATTCCGTGACCACATCGTTTCTGGTGCACGGAGCGCGGGGGACGTCAGGGGTGGTGTACCACATGGACTTCGCCGCTCTGGGTACTAGTTGAAAGGGTTTTTTCTTGCTGAAAATCGACGCTTGCTTCTTCGATAATGCAAACACTAACTGAGTTGTGCCAACATCAAGAAGTCCTGAGTGCGCAACAAGTTTGTCATATTACACAGCAGGACATGGTCCATTTCTGACATTCATTCTGGTTTACTACCAAGGTATGCCGACCTGCGTCAACCCTTTCGGCGCTGGCACTGTGGCGAGCGACTACTACAAGTGGAGCCCGAGCGATAACGGCGGTGCGGCTGCGACTGCCGCGACGACCCAACAGAGCCAGAACAACCCGAAGAAATGTTTGCTAGGAAAGCAAGTCATCATCACCCGGCGGAAGCCGACCTCGGAGTGCTTCAACGGGGAAAAGTTCGAAAGACCCGTTTTTCAGAAGAACTGCGAGTGCAGCCAAGTGAACTTCCAGTGCGAAATGGGGTTTCAAAGGGCGGTGATGAAAAACAGCTATGGAGGAGGTGGGCAGGGCGGTTATAACCCTGCTGGCGGGCCGCAGGTGGCTGAGTGTCTTTTAGAGGATCCGGAGCTCGCTGCGCCGGACGACTGTGAAAGTGGCAGGGTAATAACGCTGGACGCGTATAGGAAAACGCCGGGGGATACCTGTGAGGGAGGCTGGTAATGATAATGTTTCTAAGTAGGCTTGTTTCACTAGCAGTGCGAATACTTAATAGGATAAGCAACCACGACGCAACACACTGACTATGCCTGCACGATGTACGGCAAGAAATACAAAGCAGTACGTTGAGACTGGTTCTGGTCTTTATCATGACTCCGAAATAAAAAAGCTCCAACCCTTAAATAAACTAACAGGAAACCTGCCCCCGTCCAGATGACGTGTCCTAGCGGGAAGTCGTGGCTCTCGTTCACCACTCTGTTCCAGCTTTTCCTCTTCTGCACCGTCCTCTACTGCGCCTACCACTACCTACCCCCCGAATTCGTCTTTTTCCTGACCGATAAGTGCCACACGGTTTTCCAAGTCCTGCAGGTGATTCGGCACGGAAACCAGCACAAGTTTGGCGGTATCACAACATTCAACGACGTCAAATACGGCAACATCCAGCTGGACCAGCTCCCCGAGTCCGCGGCCGAGTCGGTCGGCACCCGGTGGGATTACGAGGGCACGATCGACGACGATTTCCTGGCCGACCCAACGGGGAACTCCCCCATGGAAGACGCCCCGACACTGATGCACTTCGACGCGCCGAAAGTAACGGAGGATATCCTAAACGGCGCGGAGCCGGTCCGGATCAGTCGCGGCTTAACGAGCGCCGCGACCTCGGTGCCGCGGTTAGATGCCCCGTTGGGGATGAGTAGTGCTGGAGGTGGAGCAGGTGGGGCATCACTGCAGCCGGGTTCTTTTGGAGCTGTGACCGCATCAACTGCTATATCCGCGGGTTTGAACAGCAGTAGTGGCTTCAATGCAAACGACGAAGACATCTTCAAAAGCGGCTCCTCCAGTCTAGGGGGCACTTTTGACGATTTGTTGTGAGCAGGAGAGGCTTGCGCTCATTTCTGTGTTGAACAAGAAGTAGAAACACAACTAACTTATTTAGCTGCTTATAGCTTTATTTTAGTCCTCTAATTAGTTTTTGCTGGTGCTAATTTGATGTTTTTGTCACTGAGATACTGAGAATGCAAAAATGTCGCATGTGATTACTTGATTTCAGGAAATGAGAGAGCCCCTGGCGTGCCACTTTTCCCGTCTGGGCACGAAAAAGAGGCCCTTTACAACATGGTAATTTTGCAATTTTCGCATGCACTTTTGGTTGCGCTTTTCGTTTTCCATGTATGACTCGAACAAGGAATGAAAATTCAGCACAAGATTCTTGATGTAAGTGGGAGGCGTTATTGTGGCAGGTATAAATAAAAACCCGCAGAGTTGTTTGTTCCTCGCGTCATCATTCCTACTTTTGTTGAAAGTCGTGTAATCTGCAAGAACGTGCTCAAAGTCGCCCCCCAAAGAAAAACCGGAATCATTCAAAAACGCACCAGGTTGTTGAGGGTGTGCTGCTGCCAAGGACGAAATCGAAAGCCAAATTTATTGATAAGACACTGCTTCGTCATGTTTCTTCGTCAAGCAGCTGGCTGCCTGGACCGGACCTTCCAAAGTTTGCTACAGTGCTTTTATCAGATCAAAGCAATTTTCAAAGAAGATGAAGATTTCGTTCACCAGCTGGAATTTACGCTTTAGGATTTTGCTGAATGAACATCAATCTGACCAAAATCACCTAGTTATTTCACTACCTGTTGCCAAAATGGTTGCAAAAGCTGGCTCTAAGGCTGCGAAGAAGAGCAGCAAGAAAGTTGCGCAGAAAGGCAGGGCAAGCAAATCTTCTGCCTCTCAGGGTGCTGCTACAACCATTAGAGGTGCAGGTGCAACTGCGTCAAGTAAAAAACTGACGAAGCAGACATCCAAGTCGAGCAGTGCCACGTCCACCGCTTTCGACGATGAGGATGAAGTATCAAATGCAAAAATGTCTGGGTCTGGAAGATTCCGGGATTTGTGTTGCATATTTTGTATGGTCCATGATGCATGTAATGCATGATCTAGCATCACAGATTTTTAGAGGGCTTCCTGATGGTGATGCCTATTCCGCATGAGAGATGCCCTCTCCGTGTAACACAAACTGGGCTCCTGTTGCTGGTCACGCAATACAGATTTTTTTGGAATCCAAAGACAGCATGACAAGTTGCAATCATCCAGACCCAGACATTTTTGCAATCCATATGAAGACATGTTGGAGCTGCAGCACTTGCCCCATTTCAACGACCTGGTCGATATGAACAACCTGGAGCAGAACAGCGACGCGCAAGTATCCTGAGTAAAAACGTCCCCACACCAGAGTTGTCATGCAGATTTGCAAGCACAGGAACATTTGTAATGCGCATCGCCAGGAGAGGCATTTTTAGTCGTGTTTTGGAATTTGTAATGCTGTAAACAGGATGAGCAGATGGATTTCTGATGCAGCTGGCCTTGCGAACCTGCACTACACTACGGACTGCAACTTGTGATGCGTGACCCCCAAAAGTTCTAGGTTTGTGTTGCAAAATCCCCATCTTGACTCTGGTGTGGGGATGTTTTTACTCAGGATAGCAAGATGACGAGCAGGACGAAATTGATCTCGAGGGATTTGTTGTTGATGATGAACAAACCGCCAGCCAGCCGCGGCGCTCCTGGCGCTTCAACGTCCGGGAGTACGACGGGACGAGGACGGTTGTCGTGGATTTCGGCGGGGCGAACAAGAGCCCCGCAGACGAGTTGGCCGCGAGGGAGAAAAAAGCCGCTAAGAAGGCGGAGAAGAAAAAAATGAAAGCGATGAAAATGAAATCTAAGGGGGCCGCTAGTACTGCTGGGCGAGCAAATAAGGGAAATAACAAGAAAACAGTTACTTGTGACTCTGATTCGGACGATCTGGAACAAGATTCTGATGAAGATGATTTGGGGAAGGAAGAAGAGGAGGCAGAGGCGATCGAATTCGGTGTCGGGGACGCAATTTTGTACACACAGCTAGTACAACCAAGTGACCCGGATTGCAACGGCAAAAATTCATCGTCGTCAACTGTCTCCTTCAACGATCTCTACCTGAATCCCCGCGATTCGGAGAAAGTGCAGTTAGGTTTCGTCATGGGCTTTGTTTCGGCAGGCAGTACTAGCGATGACGAGATGGAGGATCTGCACGCAAGCAAATCCAGCAAACGAAAATCCTCTAAAGCTTTTTCGACGAGGACGAAAGAGAAGAAGAAGAATGCGAAAAACCACGACGCAAAATCAACATCCGACAACGGCAAATCAGACCTCTTCATCAAAGTCCGCCGATTTGCGCATTCCGGCCAGCTCAACAAGCTGTTCACCACGAAGAAGGAAAAAGACGCGTTTGAAATGCACGATCAGGAACTAATTTTCACGGAGTGGGAAGAGGTGGTGTCTTTTCACCAAGTGGAAAATACCTGCGTGATCTACTCCGCAGAGGAATTTTTTGACGACAAAACCCCCGACGGTGCGATCGCGGAGACGGCGGACGTTTTGCTAGAGTTTTTCTGCCGCCGGGGTTTCACGGAAAGCAGCCAGAGACTATCACATGTAAAAATGTCTGGGTCTGGAAGAGTGCCAGACTTGTCATGCAGATTTTACATGACATATGACGTCTGTAATGCATAACCTGGCATCACAGATTTTTAGCGGGCTTTCTGATGCCTATCCCGCATGAAAAATACCCTCTCCATGATGTAGCACAAACTGGACCCCTCTTGCTGGTCATGCAATACAGATTTTTTTAGAATGCAGAGACCGCATCACAAGTTGCAATCTTCCAGACCCAGACATTTTTGCATTTGATAGAGACGGGGGTTTCCCGATTTGGAGTGGAATACGGTCAGCGAACTATTGTGAGGAAAATCCCCCCCTCCCCATATCGAACAGGCATGCTTCCGAAAATTTGCGTTGCTGATTTGAGGTCACAAATCACATCTGTCTTGCAAGAAGACAAGGGCAAAAGCTTCGCCCCCATTATGGAGGCGGTTTGTCATGCTGTTGGGCCTAAAGGGGAGCCGTCTGCCATTCTGAACAACTAGACCGATACGCCCCTGCATAGCCGGGGGATCTGGCCGCGATGCCTTCCTGCAATACAAAGCCGATTTGTGTACACAAATCCCGCATCACAGATTTCCATTTCGATACGGGGTGGGGGGATTTTTTCTTTTGATACGAACAGATCGTGAAGCATTTAAGGGAGATGAGTGACACGGCTAGTACCGGTGACACAGCACTACAAGCTGGCGCGGGAACATCATCTTCAAAAAGTGGAAATAAAGATAGAAGCAAGAAAACTAACACTACAAAAGAGCACAAGAAGCTGAAAGTCCTGACGAAAGTTTTCGCCGACGACCACGACGAAATGTCCGACGATTCCGACACGGAGGAGGACGAAGCGGACAACTTTTCCTACCTGGACAAAATTTACAACAACGAGAAACAAATGAAGCAACTGTTCCCGACCTGGTTTCAGCGAATGATGGAAGCACGGAAGCAGTTGTTGCCAAGCAGTATCCCGGAAGTGCTGCCCTGCCGGGAGAAGGAGAAGGAGGAAATCTACGCGTTTTTGCGGATGGCGCTGGAATCCGGGGACTACGACCACAACAAGGTGATGTTCATCGCCGGACTGCCCGGAACGGGCAAGACCGCGATCGTATCCGAGATTTTAAACGAGATGGCATCTTCTTCGACTTCATCATCGTCAGCTTCAAGTTCATCTTCGAATGCTGGGATAAAAAATACTTCATCTTCGGCGGGCATTCTGTGTGCTTCAAGCCCAGCACGAGAACAACCTCTTGGTGGTAATAATTCGTCGTTGTTAAAGAACACCTTCCGAGCTGCAGGCGGTGGACCCAGCAACTCAGTATTTTCCATGCCGGGGAACCGGATTATGCGGTGCAACTGCTTGAAACTGTTTGGCACCTACAGCCTTTACCTGGAAATGCTGATGCACCTGCAACAGTTGAAGAAGCGCCCCCTGCCGAAGAAGGCACTGTCGTTGCTCGAAAAGGCGTTCCTGAAATACAGCACGAGGAAAGAGAAACTGATTTTATTTCTCGACGAGCTGGATGCGTTGAAGCAGAATTTACTGTACCGAGTTCTCGAATGGACCCTGAAATTCCCGAATTTGATTCTGATCACCATCAGCAACACACTGAATCTCCCCGAAAAGCTCGCACCGAGGGTGTACAGCCGCCTGCGACCGAAAAGATTGCAGATCCAACCGTACAGCTACGCGCAGCTGCGGGAGATCATCCAGAAGAGGTTAGACACGCTGAAGTGTTTCCAGCCAAACACGATCGAGCTCTGCGCGGTCCGAATCGCGGCGGAAACCGGAGACGTAAGGAAGGCGTTGCAGGTGTGTCGCGCGAGCGTGGACTACAAAATGTTGGAAAACAAGAAGAGAATGCGCGAGCAGCTGGAGATATTGGAAAATAAGGAACACGAAGATGATGAAGGTGAAAGTGAAATAAACAACAACAAATCAAAACAAGTGGAAAAGTCTTCGGTCGAGATTTTGAAGCTGGACAAGGAAAAAAACCTACTGCAGAAGTACTTGAAAGCGGAGAACAAGAGACCCAACGACGTGTTTCAAATCACGCTCACCGACATGAACCACGTGGAGTCCGGGATTCTTCGTTCGAACTACAAGCTTCAACTGATCGAACAGCTACCCGTCAACGTCCGCTGGTTTCTCGTCGCGTTTGTGCACGAGCTGGAGCAGAGCTTCAACACTTCCAACGCCAACAGGACGAACGGAAACGCTCTCGACATGGAGGACGCGAGCTCCTTAGCGACCACCATTCTCGCGATTCGCAGCCAGATGACGGGGAGTCTGAACGACCTGAGCCTGGACAAATCGATTCAGACGTTTAACCACCCGTTGCTGAATTTTTCTGAGAGCGGGAACAAGTTCCACTCGGCTTGCGAAAGCTACTTTCCCTACGAGGCGTGCGTCCACTACTTGAAGTACTTGGAAAAGATCGGTGTTTTGGAGCATTTGGACGGGTCCAAATCTTCCAGCGCATTGAAGCAGGCAGCGAAAATTACCAGTTCCACGCCGGCGCGGAGCATTTACGACCAGGGGGCACTGGACGTGGTCCGGTTGGCTTCGGACTTGCAAATAGAAGACATTCGCTACGCGTTGACCCGCGCAAAGTGTCCGATAGGCAAGATTTTACTCAAGTTGATAATTGAGTGAACCGTAAAAGCGGAGGACAAGTGCTGGTAGATTAAAAATAGTTGCACCAATCAACGATTTTTTTTCTCGAACAAGATAGAGGCAGAGAAAAATTGAACCGCACAGAGCAAAAAATGAAGGTTGTAGTCGCCATCGACGCTACTGCTCTTGTACGTCGGGGTGTTCTTGTTGAAGCGGCCGCGCTAGAAGTTGTAAAGGAAAAAGCGGTCTTCGTACAAATTCAGCTTGAAACTCAGTTTCGGTCCGTGAAGATACGCTGCATTTGCATTTCTGTGCCGTCGGTAGGGAAGAACTCTAAGTAGAAAGTTGAAAGTATTTCGGTTTTGTCGTGCGCAAAAAAACTCCATTTTCCTGCTCTCCGCTAATGCTAAAAAAATCGGTCCATGAGAATGTGAATTTGACGTGCTGCAATAAATCGGTCATCGTTCACCTCCACTGAGCAATTAATACTCGTTCCATATGTCAAGAAGACAAGCATCGTTCCTTTTTCGTTTACCGATTCGTACGCATGATTTGACGTGATGATCTACTGCTTTTCAAGTCTCCCTCCGAGGAGTAGAGTTTCGGAACAATCTTTTGCCCTGGTGGTTGTCTTCTCTCAGCAGTTCTGTCTGTACCTTAATTCAAGAAACCCGGTACTAAAATTTCAATTTACAACTACGTAAAGGTAAAACTTAATTCACATCTAGTACATCTGCTTCTCAACTTGTATAACATTGGCCATACAACCGACACCGACTTCATTTCACTGCCACGCTTCGTTTTCAACATTTTCAGCGAAGGCTCATACAACAAGCATCGAATAAACATCATCGGACAATCAACACTCTTGGAAGCCACGCAGCCATTCTAAACTTCTCCCGCGAAAGAAAATAAATCAAAATGTCTTCCCTGCAGAGCAGCGGGCACATGAAGCTCGTCGGCGCGGTGGCTCATTCCTGGCTTTTGACCAGTGGAGGGGGCGTCCTTGTCAGTGGCGCCAAGTTTGCCACCGGCAACAAATTTCTGGAGCAGGAAAAGGCTTCGTCCTACGTGGTCACGACGGAATTTCTGGGGCAGCAAGAATCCACCGCAGCGTATGGCGAAGAAGAAGAAGGCCAGCAAGGAGCCTCGAACCCGCAGGATGGTGAGCAAGCTACACCGGCTGAGGAAGACGGGGCGGTTGTACCAGCTTCGACTCAGTGCCCGCAAGACCAGCTCGGCGCGGATATGGGCCGGTTTCACTACGCGCGCCTGGACCTGAGCACCTCGATCCACCTGCCGCCCCATGACGAGAAGCAGGACGGCGACGTGGTCCGGGACGCCATCAAGGCCAACGGCGGTTTCCCGGACAAAATGACCTGGCAGGCGTCCTTTTCGTTCCCGAATTTGCCCAAGTCGAATTTGGAAGCGCTGGACGAAACGAACGTCGACGTGCTGTGGCTCAAGGCGGCCAACGACAAACCGTCGGACTACGTCACGGTTCTGTTCGACGACGCGGCCGACGAACAGACCCTGCTGGGCCCGATGTCCACCTACACGAAAATGATTCACGACATGCTGCGCAACAAGGAAACCACCTGGGACATTCTCTTGCCGAAAATTTTTCTGTCCACTTTCGTGGCCAAAGCGAACCTGAAAACCAAGGACACCGAAATCGGCGACTTCACGACCGAGGACCCCGAAGAAGTCGGGAGGAAGTTCGCGCAGATGGTGGACGCGATGGTGACATCCCTCGCGTTGGACAACCTGGGCGAGAAGTTTTCCTTCATCATTGCGGAGAAGTACTCCTACATTTTCTCCCTGGCTTTCCCCTACGTCACGAAGATGCCGGCCCAGGTCATCCTTCTGAACGGGAAGGTGCACGAGGCTCGGTTTGCGCCCAACACGGACCTGCAGAAATCGCTGGTGAACACCCGCGTCATCCTGATGCAGGCGGCGTACGACGCTGCCGCCATGATGGACGGGGCCGGCACCTACCTGAAGCACCCGCTGGCCATGTTCGGAAACGCCTCCGCCGCGGGGTTGAAAAGTATTGACTGAATCAATAAGTTTTGTATAGATATGGAGTTTATTTTTCGTCATACGAAGATACGATAGCACGCAAGTGAGGGCGTTCCACACTTGAATGACGAAAAAACCTGGCCTCAGTCAACGACGTTACCACTGGGGTATCAGGGCAGGCTATTCCTGCCGCGCGTCGGAGGAGGGAGTTGTGCCGAGCCCCGCTCGATCTAATCATCATCGTCATACGATAGGTTCAGGTTGTGCGCTCAGATTATGTCGTGGTCTTAGTGTCCATTTATTCGAATCATGTTCGTTCAGCTTTGTTCATGTGTGAAGCAGAAGGTTCAGTCAAAAAGACACATGCCGCTTAAATGTTAATGACAAAAATTACACACTCCCCCCGTCACGTCCTCACCACAGACGCGCGTGATGCGATGCTGAAGGAGGCGACGGAGGAGGAAGGCGAGACCAGCAAGCGGTCCGCGATGAAGCTGCACAAGTCCAATGCGGACGGGACCAAGCTGACGCACGCCAACGACGTGAAGGAGCACTTCCACATCTTCTACTGGATCGTGCCCGCCATGGACAATTTCCATCGCCAGCAGGAGGGCAAGGCCATCGTCGGCCAGAAGTTTCTCAAGGGCGGGAAGCGCATCCGCCACGAAGGCAACCTGGCCCTCACGCTGACCGTCGACGCAACGATGGCGCAGTACGCACGGAACTACGCGGCCACCGACATCATCAACTTCCTGCAGAAGATATCGAGTGAAAACAGTGTCTGGGTCTGGAAAGTTGTATGTGGTACTATAATATTTGAGAACCCAGCATGCATGGACAATAGCAATACAAAAATAGGCAGCTGCCAAGCATGACGAGGAGGTGTTGGGGACGAGTTTTGATGTGCTTGTGTTGCGTAAGTACAATTGTTCCACATGAGAACATGCACTATTGCAATGTCGAATCAATCGAGCACACTAAAATGAACTTTCGCAGCATGATGCGTGACAAACTCTACAGACGTGGTGTTAATAGACAAGCTTGTTGACAAGTCTACTTGCGATCTATCTTCCAGACCGCCCAGACTCAGACATGTTTGCCACGTCGATGAAAGAAGATGAATGGCATTGACAACCCTCAAACGCAGAAGCCGACCCACGACCCGGTGAAAGTCGTGGTGGATGACAATGAGCCGGGCTGCTGCGGTGGCGCGAACGACGAGGAGGAGGAAGGCGAAACGGGAGCGGAAGCTGCTGCGGGTGCTGGCGCCGCGAAACAGGATGAAAAAGCCAAGGATGCTGCGGACGCCGCGAAAACTGGTGGCGAAGCCGCCGGGGAAGAAGAGGAGGAGGACACCGACGCGGGCATGTGCGCCACGTGCGGGGGCAAGAAGGAAGGCGAGGAGGAGGAGGAGGGTGCTGCTGCTGCTGATGACAAGAAGGTGGAAAAGTAAGTGCGCTTCTCTTGGCGAAATTTGTTCAAGTAAGTACTTCGATTACTCTACTTGTTCTTCGAGCAGCACCACCAGATTGTCGAAACGCTGTCTAAGGGTTTACTAGGGCTCAAAGGGTTCAGTTTAGGGCTCCTATTTAGGGTTTCCATTTTTGGGTGTTCTTTCAAAAAAATTAATGCAGGGTTTTTACACGACGACACCGACAGGATTTTTGCTTGGGTGCAGCAGGACCTCCTTATTCAAAATTTCTCATAATTTATTTTGGAGTTGCACTCACGAGTAACTTCGCGCGCAGAAACACATTAGAGTTGTATAGAGGGCGAAATCTTTATCTTCGACATCAAATTGAAATTCGGACTTTGTCGTTGCGTTGGCCGGTGGAGGTGCTACAGGATGTTGGTCTGAAAAAGGTCAAGGAAACAATACACTTTATCGGATTTCAAGAACCGAGGTTTAGGGCAGTATACTACCGATGTACGTAAAGTTGCACAACTCATGTCTCTATACATACGTAGTGAGTGGCGCATTTGCTAGTTTTCTTTATACAAAACTTACATAAACACTACAATCACGTCTATGTAAACGACTCAAAAATCTCTATCCATCCATCTTCCATCAAGCAGACTCGGGACGGACTTCGGTCGCAGCCTCGAATTCTGGATGGAGATACAAATGTACTAAATCTGGCCTTTAACAAGAAAACAAAATAAAAGAATCCATGAATAATTTCTACAAAACCGACAGTTATTTTGTAAATGGTTAGTTATGTGGTGCTGGCGCTCCAGCTACCGCTTCGACATAGAGAGCTTACAGCGGCCACTACGCGCGTGCATCAAGAGAACTATTACGAGGCCAAATTTTGCGCACACGCGACTAAAAGGAAGAAACTGTACTAGTGTAAGCAAGAACTACTAGCCATGAAAAAATCTTCAAACATACAGAGCGCTCCTGCGAACGGTGCGGAAGCACAGATGATCTTTGACCCACACAAATATCAAGCGTTCACAGATGGATTTTGAGAGTCCCCCATCGGAAATTCGACATTCAGATCACCAAAGGAGAAGATCCGCTGCTGCTGGACCATTTCTGTCGTCCCAAGCACGAATAGAGTTTGTCGATCTCGATCCCAACGAAACATGAAAAAAATGCAGAAGCATAGTGCCTTGGTTCGTGATCACCACAACAAACCTGCTCATCTATGATCCACAGAACGATGATCAAATGATCGCGAAAAAACTGGCTACGGCTATTCGCAGTGTATTCTTCTTCTTTCGCGCTCTGCTGACCCTCCACAAGGGCAAATAGAAAACTTACTCACAACAACGTGCGGCAGCAAAGAGGAAGACGCTACGGTGTGGAAGTTGTAGTACCTGTTGTAGACAAGCAATGACTTCTAGAAATCGCGCGACGTAGTAGAGTAGAACTGCTTAAGGAACAAAAGTCAGTATTTTTTTCTAGGTTTAATTGCTACTTTTTCTTTTTTTTCGTACAGTTGTAGAAGAGAAAACAGCGTACAGAAAATGAGGCTCGACACGTCCATTCTCCGTTACCTCACGAAGGAGGACTTTCGGGTGCTTACGTCGATTGAAATGGGTCAGAAAAACCACGAATTTGTGCCCACGACACTGATCGAGGCAATTTCCAATCTCAGGAGAGGAGGTATAAATATTAGCAATGGAATGGATCCGCTCTCTTGTCCGTACTTTTGATTGGTATGCATGACCAGCACTGTGTGAAGAGAGCTTCTCGCACGAACGCGCTTGATTTCTTCGATCCACTGCTGTAGTTGCAAGCGACCATCGGTCGTTGATGAAAATCAATGCAACAAAGCATAAACCAAAACCCCATAACGAACTACAGGTTGCCGCAAGGTCCTGTCCCTTCTTCTAAAGCACAAGCTGGTGGTTCACGACGGCAAGAAGTATGACGGTTATAAGCTCACGTACAACGGCTACGATTTCCTCGCTTTGAAGACCTTTCTCTCGCGGAACCTGATCGACGACGTGCAGATGACGCGCATCGGGGTCGGGAAGGAGGCCGACGTCCACGTGTGTTACGATCAGAACGGCAAGAAACTCGCTTTGAAACTCCATAGATTGGGGAGGATCTCCTTCCGATCCATCAAAAACAACCGAGATTATTTGCAGCATCGCAAGCACGCCAGCTGGATGTACTTATCCAGACTCGCGGCGACAAAGGAATACGCGTACAGTAAAGCGCTGTTTGACGCGGGATTTAATGTGCCGAAAGCGATTGACCACAACCGACACGCCATTTTGATGGAGTTTGTCGACGCTTTTCCGCTCTACCAGATGCGGATGCTGAACCGACCGGAGAAGGTAAAAATATTCGTTCATCGGTGGATGTGGATGTGCATGGCAAATCATATTAAACATAAGCGAATGGATTCTATTGTGAGTTCCACATGCGGCCAACCTACATCTTGACGAATATTCATTTGTGATGCAAAAATGACTTTTACGAAAAACAAAAACAGGTGATGTCCTCCCTCTTCCGCCTGCTCCTCAGACTGGCGAAAGCGGGGATCATCCACGGTGATTTCAACGAGTTTAACCTGATGATCGACACAAACGAAAAAATCACGCTGATCGACTTCCCCCAAATCGTCACCATGGAACACACCAACGCCGACTTCTACTTCGAGCGGGACGTGAATTGCGTTCTGCGGTTTTTTCGAAAACGGTTCAATCTGGAATGCGAAGAATTCCCCACGTTTGAAGACGCGAAACAAATGTACGAGGAGTTGCAGCTAGAGAACAGTGGTGGTTGTGGTAGCACAAAAGATCATGCTGATGATGAGTCATTTTCTAGCAGCATGATGTCGGGCAATATCAATAGACCCGGATCATCTTCGACAAAAATCCAATTATCTGCTGGCGGACTGCTGGAATCGGAAAACATGCTTCTGCTGGAGACGATTCAGGAGAACAACGAGGAAGATTTTTGCGAGGATGAAGAGGACGATGATGAAGCAGAGGTTCAGGCTGAGAGTGAAGATGCTGAAGATCTAGTAGAAGCCGAAGATAATTCCGCTGACGAAGCTGCAGGTTCAGATGAGGAGGAGGAAGGTGTTGAAACGGCTGAAGGGAAACAAAACCAGGACAATTTGAACGACGACGATATTGAGGCCATGTATGAAAGAATGGCAAGGCTGGAGTTGGCGGAAGAAAATGTGAATGCCGCGGAACTGAACGGAATAATAAATGTGAAAGCAACTACTTCGAGTAGACAAAAATGCTCGCGGCCACAGGACCTGAACGCTTCGACCTGCGCGTCTTCTGTGTCCGAAGACCGAGAAGAAGCCTCAGAATCATCCGAATCAGAATCCGAGTCGGAGAATGAGGATAGAGCTGCAAATGGAGAAATGAATACGAAGAACCCCGGCATCGTCCAGGACCAGATCCACGTACTGCAGCGGAAAAAAGTGCAGCGGAAGGTGTTAACCGCGGACGAAGTGAAGAACAAACTCAAACAGAAGGAAAAACAGCAAAAATTCAAAAACTGCAACAAGAATAAAATGCAAAGGAAAATGAAAAACGACGCCACCCAGGCCTGCAAAGAGATGGGCGGATTTTAAAAACATAGATTTAGGAGCACAGGACAAATGAAAAGAATTGTCTTATTCTTGCACAGCGACACTATTGAGCTGAAGACTTTTGATCTTCGAGCGAAACAACACCGATTACAATGAGCTGCCGCTACGGAGTTTAGCGTGAAGCTACTTTAGTACATACATCAGATAAACCCGCCTCCGTTATCTACTTGGTGTTCGCTAGATTCTCTCGACGCCGTGCATACAACCGACAGAGCGGGAAGAGGACGATGAGACAGTTTCTTTCAGGAGTGGTTCTCTTTTCGGAGTGATTTGTGTTTCTGCGTATCATACGTGTGCATTGTCAACATCTGTGAGTGTGGGAGGTGCAGTGGCGCGCACGGGCCGCACTGCATTCTCCAAGTGCACAACTAACTCATATGTTGCACCGTGTGCGCCGTTTGCTTCCTGTTTGCTAGTTGTTTGCCCCGACAAGCGCGGCTTTGAGAGTTGAAAAATCGAACCTTCTCTACACTGAGCTTCGCCGAGTGCGAGGAGGAATTCCCGGAATCATGCCCCCTCCGCCCGGGGGATCGTTCTTCAGAGCCGGGACCATGTTTTCCTCTTTCAGGCAGGCGACAACGGGTTCGGGCTCTAAATTCAATTCCTCGTTCTTCTCCACCCGCCCCACGCTCAACACGGCGACCATCTTTGAGGCAGTGCAGTCCCGTGCATTCGCGACCCGAAACTTCGCGGAAAGGCTACGGCAACGGGCCGGGAATAGGTTCGCCCTCAGCAGGACAGCGGGGTACTTATGTTGTATCTTGATGTATAAACAAAAACAAGCAATTACGCAGATACCCTGGGTTGCCTCCGTCGGCGTTGCCCAAATCGATTCCGCGTGAAAGAACAAGCATGGTGCGTATCCATACACAAAAATACGTTCTACTGTTTACTTGCTCACCGTGATTCTAGTACCGCACTCTTGTTTAGGTCCGCTACCACTGGCCGCGCAGTGACTGGAAAATTTTCATCCTCATCCGCGGGCAACGCGGGTGCTTCGTCCGCCCGTGCCTTCAAAAATTTCAAGCTGAACGAGGGCGGTTTCCAGTGGTTTTGGAGAGGAGGGGGTACTACTGCTGGAGCGGGGAGAGGAACATCGAACGGGTCACAAAACTGGTTTCCGACCGTCGGGCTGGGTGTGGCCGTGATCGAGGAATTCGTGCTGGGTTTAGTGGTTCTCGGCTTGGCGTGCGGTGTACCTGGCAACACAAGTATGGCCATGATCGGACTCGTCAGTGTGGTATAGTGAATTTATGTTGACAACTTCTCGATGGTGTTTCATAATTTCTGGCGGCAACAAAGGCATAAGCATAGTAGATGTTGTATGCTTCTGCATGACAAGGTCCTCTCTTCCCGGTGTGTTTCTCATATATACGCATGCAAAAGAACGACCAAAGATGAAAAAAGCAATCACAGATCGGCTTCTCGTGGGATTTGATCGGTGACTTGTCTCTCTCCGGCATGAATTTGGGCAGTATCGAGCAACAGGGCGTGGAATTTTGTACCTGCATTCACTCCAGCCATTGCCTCATTGCCGCAGCGATGCTGACGGCCTCGGCGGGAAACTAGACGGGCTGTTGTAAATCAATGCTGCTGGCAGAGGACGCACGAGTAGGCGGAACAAAAAAAAACGATGCAGCGGGTTGATAAAATAAGTACAAGGGACATGAGGTGGAATTTAGATTTGCGGAACAGGAAATGCTTCATCTCAGTCAAACGTAAAAGCAGATTGAAACATAGATGAAACAGTCCCGAGGAGATCCGAAAGGTGCGAAACGCGGCTAGAGCTACTCCTGCTCCGTCCCCTTGCTCCTTGGGTGATGATTTCCATTAGAGAGTTGATACTGCGAGGACAGAAAAAACAAGACAAAGTTTCACTTTGTGGAAAACGGTCAGAGTGCGTGTGAGGGAAGTATGAATGTGTGGTCGAGACAGGAGGAGCTACCTAAAAACCTAAAGCAGCTGGATTGTGCCTCTCATAGGATGCAATCAGTTTGTTCTCGTCGCAAAAAATTTTAGATTGTTTGACCAAGAAAAGACGACCAAACTTCTGAGAAGTTGTGTGTGATATTGAATATTTCCACATTACGTCACAAGAAACTACTGCTAAACCTGAATAAACCCAGACCAGAAGATAGAAATGTTGTCCGTGATGCAAGGAAACACGGCGAGCCAGCTCGCGCGGGCCGTCAACCAGCAGTCAGCCACCACGTCAAGACCCATGATGCAGAGCCTTCGTTTTTTTTCCGCGAAGATAAAGCCAATGCGCGACCCGGCCCGCCCGTCGCCGCCGATGACTCCCTACTTTATGTATTTGGCGCAGTGGAGAAAGTCAGCTCCGGCAGACGTCAAGGGCAAGGATGCTGCGAAGGTCGCGGCCCAGCAGTGGAAGGCTCTCCCCGAAGCAGAGAAGGCGCCGTTTCTGCAGACCTACGAGCAAAAGAAGGCCACGTACTAGAGTTGTTCCAACATCATGCTTGGTCTTCGTTTTCCTTCGATTTAGTGCGGTAAATCCACAACTCTGTCATGCATGATGACAGTAATATACCGCACTTGTAATTTCGATCTTGAATCTGTGATGCAAAAAACGCAAAAGATACGACGCTGCCTTTCGTGAGTACAAGGAGTCCGGAAAGTTGGATGCGTGGAAAAGGGACCCAGAGAAGCCGAAGAAGCCTTTGACTGGTATTATGTCGGTTTCTCAAGATCGTCTTCACTTTCATAGAATTATGCGCAACACTCAAATCCACACGACAATAAAGAACTCCCTGTAGAAGTAGCTACGCTGTTGTTCTTTCTTCGAATTATATATATATGTCGTGGAGTTTCACAACAACAGGTTTTATGCGGTACTCCATGGAGTGGCGAAAGAGCAATGGCGCCGGGCTGAAAGCCACAGAAGTAACGAAGAAAGCGGCAGCTGCGTGGAAAGAACTCCCCGCGGACAAGAGAGCAGCCTACGATGGTGCCTACAAAACGGAGAAGGAATCGTATTTTATTTCTGATTTTGTTGATGCATGAGATTGAGATATTTGAAGGAGGTGGGTATTTTTCTCTTTTTAGGCAGAACAAATATGAAGTTGCACATTCAGAAACTTTTTCCTAATCCCAACAGGTATGACGTCGCCATGAAAAACTACAAATCTAGCGGCTTATGGAAGTGACTTTGTTATTGATGAAAGGGTTCTTGTGATGCAAACGCTGTAGTATGAGCACGGCACGGAATCCAAACAACGCTTGCACATACATGCCTATCGCGTCTGGCTGTCTGTATCTCATCAGAAGGCAAGACCTTTCTCATTGCATATCGCAAGGAGGCAGCGTTTAAGGAAAAGACGGGTATTGCTGCCAAGGAAAAGCAGGCGGCGGAGAAGAAAATGAAGGTATATTTGCCTGTGTGGATGTTTAGAGCAAAATGCGAGAAATTATGCACGAGATCAGATCACAACATCCGTGTTGCGTAGAAACGCATGACAAAATACCCTTCATATTACAGATGAAGATGCGCACCATGGCCATGAAGACGAAGACCCGCATGCAGAAGAAGAAGATGCAGATGAAAATGCGGGCGCAGATATGAAAAAAAAACAGACGACTGTTGCCGTTTTTCCTCCGAAGCAGAAGTAAGTAGACAGACGGCAGAAATTGTGATGAAACATGAAACCCTCTGTGAGTTTCAATCTCTGTTCGCTCCACGGCGTGGTAACGGGTGTTTAACAGTAGAAATCTCAAGACTTTGCACGGGCTTCGAAGAGGAACTAGCAGCAGCTTTATCTGTGTATAAGAAAAAATGAAGATGAAGATGCAGGCCATGAAGAAAAAGAAGATGATGCGTGCCATGAAAATGAAGGAAAAGTCCAAGATGCGCATGAAAAAAATGAAGGTCGCCAAGGCGCAGCGGGAGGTAGTTAGGATGATCTTTACGGTTGTTTGACTTTATTTCCGGTCTGATCATTCTCTGACTCTGATGGTGCTGCAGGATGTTTCAACTTGGTTTCAATTTTTGCTCGAGGTGGAAAAAAAAAGGCAATGAAAATAAAAACAGCTGAAGGCCCTGAATAGTCAGGCCAAGAAGCTGACCATGCTGGTCCGGCGTGCGGACAAGATGTCTATGAAGATGAAGAAGATGCAGAAGAAGTAGGTCTAAGTCTGGACGTGCGCCGAACTGAAAGACAAAACTGCGCTTCGCATCGGATTTCCTGGGAGCATTTGCTCGTGGAGGGCAGTAAGAAGGGTAAAGCTACTTAATTTGAAATTTGTCGGAAACTAAATACAAAGACTCCAGTTTTATCGAGATTTGTTCCTCAAGAATATTGATTGTGAAGGAATTTTTCATCAAAAGCTTACAGTAATTTAGGTTTCTCCAAGGTAAATATTCATGGCAATTTTTTGTTTGTGGTGCCACTTCTAAACCGTATTTTACTAACCCCCTCATCATGTTTTTCAATTTGTTATAGCTACACAACCTGATTTGTTACAAACTGACTTCACCCAGAACCACCCTATTGGTTATTGTCACAAAACAAAACTAATGATGTTTCGCTCGTTTATCGTCATCCTTGCAGCAATAGCATCATTTCCACAGGTTCACGAAATTGTTTGAAAATTAAGGTTTGGCGCTGAATAAAATTATATCAAGTTGTCTGTTTTACAGAGAAACACCCAGGAATATTAGACTGCTGGCTCACATAGTGTGGTTTTATGCCCGCACCACGGCGGCATGGAAAAATGAAAATGAAAAATGTATATCTACGATTGAGCCTCAAGTTTCGGAACATCAGGAGGATATTATAGCAAGATTTTGGAAAACAAAAATTGACTTCGTCGTAGGCATAAGTGCGGTATCGCTTTAGGTGCGGTAGCACTCCACCGGGCTGCAGCACTCCCCCGTCTGGTTTTTCTCGTGGCCTATTCAGACCTCCACACTTCCTCCATGTGCACACAGCACGCATCAAATGATCTCGAACTCAATCACGACCAAATCTTCTTTGCGATCACATTACGCGTCATGCTTTACAGATGTGATCACTGTGCTCGGATACAAAATGCAGCAGCAGCTGCGGCTGTTGCTTGCGTTTTGTACTACTGACACCGTACTGCGGCCAGTATGGGCGATACCTCCGCTGGTAGGGAGTACCACTGGTGGCGCAGGTTCCACCCTCTCGCCTGTTCTCGAGGGTTCGCAATGCGGCGGAACGGGGGTAGACGTTGCGCAATTCTTGGTGGAGCAGCTGCACCAGAAAGGATCATTTGGGTCGACGTCCGGTAGCTTTTCCATTGGGACGAAGAGCGCTGGAGATGTTTCGTTTTTCTCAACGAAGCTGCATGAAGAAGACCCTGATCGTATCCAGCATGTCCGCATTTTTTTTGGCGCAGCGGAGTGCGCGCGGTACGAGGAACCTAGAAGTACAACTACCTCACCGACAGAAATAGACGGCAATGTTGCACGGGCGCTACAATCGATAGGCCGACATATCCTGAGGAAATGTGTCGAAACACCCCCCCTGCGACAGGCGAAGCCACAACTTCGCTCTTTGCAGTCTTTGCCTAGGAAGGTGAAAGTACCGATCACGCTAGTAAGTGAGGAAGGATCATCATCTGAGGACACTCCTGCGGCTTCCACAATAAACACCAGTACCCGACTCATTGGCTACTTCATCTACAGCCGGGACAAGACACCGCTAATCGAAAAAGTGTGGCCGAACACGATTGTGGGCGACGATTTGATCCAGATTCACGGGCAGCGGCTGGAAAAAGCGGTGGCGTTTTTGCGAACAACTACACCTGGCAGAAGTGGGTCGTCCTCGTCGATAAAGACTCCCTGCATCGAGGTTCACAAACTGGAGCAAATCGAGAACCAGCAAGCAGGCTCCTGGGGTGGTGCGGGTAGTAGTGTAACTACAGCGATTCCTGGAGGTGATGAAGGAGATGTTGAGAGGACCTTTAGTAATACGGAATGGGGCGGCGCTTCCTTCCTCCCCCGTCGCTCAAGCTTAGCTCTGGAATGCCGCTTGCTGAGCACAAGCACAACGCTGCTTGGCGGTGTCGATCCCTCGTTAGAAACAACCACCACGACAACATTTTCCGCGCCGAATAAGAACAACCTTCCAGCTGCAAGGACGCAGGGAGATGAATATCAACATGCAACCCCGACCGCCAGCGAGTTAGAAGTCTTCGACCCGGACTTCGGCCGGGCGTGTTTGATCGAGGGGGAACGTGATGAAATCACATTACTGCATGATTTGCGGCTGCAGTTTGTGCACAAAATGCAGGAAGTAGTGCAGGAGCCGATCGGAATCAAAACGAAACGGTTGGCGGCACGGATTGCGAGCAGGGGCAGCGGCGCGGCCTCGCCGATGTCCGCTGGTGACCCGCGTCAACTTGGCGTGTCTCAACCTACGAAGATTTTTCCGCACCTTGTTCGACCCCACAACGACCTTCATGAAGTTAAGAGTCCCCCGTTATCAAACTTGAACCTGCTTTCCGATTTCCAAGACGAAGCGACGCAAGGTAGAAGTACGGCTGGTACAACCGCCACAAATCTCCCCTCCGGCTCTTTCGCGGGCGGAAATTTCCTGAGACTCGTCGGCCAGGGCTTTCAATCGGATGACGTGGTGGAAATTTGCGGCCGCGTGTGTGAAACGAAGAAGACAGGAATGAATAGTGCGCTGACGAGTGAGTTTCTCAACGTGAACTTCCTGAGCAATAACATCGTTCAAGAAGACTCGGAATTGCACAATGGTATCACCTCGTTTCAGTCGCGGGTGTGCGAAACGCCGGAAATGGATCTCGGATTGACTAGTTCATCTTCCGGGGGCGGTGGTGTTGTTGGCAGCGGAATCTTGGGATTCAGTGGAAGTACAACTACCGCAGGATTTGGATCAATTCCAAGTTCAACATTCAGCACAGCCGCCGTTTCCACGCATTTTTCAGGAAGTGTTGCAGCTGCAGCTGCTACACTACCTGGATCATCAACTTCTATGGATTTGACGCATTCTCCTGGTCCAACAGCACAATCGACGCAGCAGATAAAAACTCTCGCAAAAACTACTTCTATTTCCGACATGCCATTCCCTGATGCAAAAACCTGCGACATCGTGGTGAAACGCGCTGCGACGACGTCGACAGCTGCTCCGCTGCTCCCCGTCGCAGTTCTGAAAAACCAATTCGAGTACAAGAGCTCTCTTACGCCGATGCTGACGGAAATGCAGAGGATTTCCAACTCGACACTACGAATCAAAGGGGACGCGAAGAAGCTCACCGGGGATTTTACTCGCGTTTTCTGGAATGGTGTGGAGTGCGACAATGTCGCGAAAGAGGAGGATGGGTTGGAAGAAGAAGTAGAAGATGACACGACCGCGAATCATGTCGACGCTGCGGTTTCTTTTCTGCAGAGGACTTCGCTGAAAAAAGGCGCTACTGCGAAGAGCAAGAAGCACAAAACGGAGAAGCGCAATCAAGAAGAAAGCCAGGCGAAAAAGAATAGAAGAATCAAGCACCACCATAGCCACAAAAAGTCTTCGCACAAAATGAATCACCGTGGAGGGCCGCAGAATCATTCATCAAAAATGAAGCATAAACATTCCATCGGCCGCATTCTAGCGCGGAAATTCGCTGCTCGACTCTTCCGGAAAAAGCTCCAGACCCGGTTTCTCAGCGCATTTGAAGCTCTCGTGTCGGACGTGCAGCGAGAGAAGAACCATGCTGGTGCGGAGTTGGAAGAGGCAAATGAAGATCTCCAAGATGATCATCGTCGTGACAGAAGACTGCAGGAAAGGTTGAAGCGACTTTTGAAAAAGCGAACGCGGCGAGGACGAGCGCATCATCACCACGGTCATGCACAGAAGAAGAAGCATAGTACTACACACGGCACTGACGAAGACGAAATCCCAGCCGGCTCAGCGGATGAAACAAGTTCTGGGTCTACCAGGATAAACGCCCGATACGTGGTTGTTAAGAAAAGCAAAAGTAGAACACCGATAGAAGCAGGATCCTCTTCATCTTCCCGCCCATCGCATGGAAGAACCAGGAGAAGAAAGCATAGAAAAAGGAAAAATAAGGACCAAGTGGAAATTTTCGTCACCTGCCAGGACATGTTCGCACCGGCGGGTAAGGTGCGGGTGTACGAACCCACAATCGGCTACGCGTTCGACGGAGTACCAAACATGAGCGTCTTTCCAGAGGCGTTTCATGAGAAAGAGCAGCCGAAAAAAAGGCCGGCGTTTCTCCCGTCCTCGACTTCTGCGAGTGGCAACGAGGCAGGAAGAACAACGTACGATCCGTTAAAATCCTATGCGGGGGAAAGGTGCGAAGTGGCGGAGTCGGATTGCCCGCCCGGCTGGGCCTGTTGCGAGTTGGAAGAGGGGGAGAGCCTGTTGCGGGCAGGTAGGAGTGTCACGAAGCACTGTGCACCGAGTTGTGTTTGATAGTATGAATTCTTTTGCGGGTCGATGCAGAGTGACGAGTCGAGCTCATGTTTTTTCCCAGCGCGCACTGCAATCTGCAGCGCGTTGATAGGTGTTTCTCGTACTGGCTCTCGAAAATTGTTGCTGCGAGTTGTAGTGACGCGGAACAATCGTAGTTCTCGCAGTGTCCATCAATGCTTTCAACGTTGTTGTACAGTCGCCGGTCCTAAAGCCACAGGTAGTGCAAGCTATGTCTACAACTGCTGTTGGTGAGTGTCCCTCCGTCAAACTCAAATCATGCTTCGAGAGGTTGGAGAGGCTGCGAGTGTGGTCGCTCGTGCTGGATACCGGGAGGTCTTTTCCAAGGAGCGAGCGTAGTTGAGGAAGAATGCGGAGGCAAGAAAGCAGACTAAAGCACTCACGCTTTATTGGTAGTTAAATTCGTGTCTGTCCTCGCAGTCGTGACTCTTTGTTGAAACAGTGCAATGGATTTTCGCAAAAAAAACTTTAGGAACTCCTTTTTTCCCTTTGGCGGTAGTGTCTTGTGGCACGACGAGCCTCCAAGTTTGTCGTGCCGGTTAGAAAATACGAATACCAAAATAGATAGTTTGTGGCGTTTCTGAATAGTTCTTCGTTCTTGTTAATATACGTGCAAGATTTATGTCATTCGGCAATTTGAATTTTGAAAATTTTACGTCGTCCTTTAGCTTCGGCCTTATTCATTGACTGTTTCTTTCTACCGATAAAACGTTTACCCTACCTTGTTTCTTTCTGCCGATAGTGATCGTGTACAAAATAGAAAGCTTTCGCCACCTCCGAGAAAACAATTTTTTTTGCCACTTAGGACTGGACTCTTTCTCTTCTCACGTACGTAATGGAAATTTTGATGGTATGTAGTGTAGCGTAAAAATTGAACTATGCCTTGCATGTATGTAGAATTAGAAACCACTGTGATTACAGTCAAGGTTCTTGTGGTCGGTACTGGCAAAGAAAATTTATGATTTATGTGCCTTGAAGCCTTAACCTGTTATTTCTGAAGTTTACCTCTCTCCTCACTTGTTTGTTTCGAATTTTTAAAGCCGCTGTCTCTAACGTCTACGTCCTCAAGTTTCGGTTTTGATCTCTTCTCTTGGGTGTGTCTCTTCTAAGTGTAAACGAACTTTACCGTACTACGTTCAACTTCAATGTCATCCAGACAGACACAAAAAATCAAAACTTGTCAAAATTTTCTACAGCGCAATTATCACTATCACTGCGATTTTCTTTACTTCCACTTCCATTTCCTTACTTTTCAAGCACACTCGGTATTAGTTTCTCCGGTACATGAGCTGCCGGAGTGCTAGCCTCCCAGGCGCAGAACCGCTGTGAGTTTTCAGTCCCCTGCATCCGCACACGCCCACGACTGCTACTGCCAAAATGTTGTGGAATAATTGGTGGCGATCCTGTTTTCCGTTTTTCCGGCGGTCGAGCTCGTCGGACGGGGCAACCGCTCTCGAAGAGTCTTCGAGTGCGGCAGCGGGTCGTGACGTCGGACCAGTTTCGGATCCGCTCGTGGTCCCTATGGCGATTGATCACAATTACGACCAGGATGTTGATCTTCACTCTGGGAGGGAACAAAGATGTACAGCTCAAAAACATGCTGGTGAAAAGCAACACTCTTGTACTAAGAGCAGCCGGGAGCGGGATAAAGACAACAAGCTTCTCGCACAGCCGCTCCTCGACCAGATGGAGCTTGAAAATAGCAACACGGCTGCTCCTCCTCCACTAATTTGTTCTAAGCCTCCACTTCCCCTCCCTCGCAACAGCGAGAGCGCGCAGTCTTTGCCAAGCTCGGAGGCAGAAACGGTAGCTTCGTCGGATGAGGTGACAGCAAATAGTGCAGGACCTCCGCTGGCTCTGCTGCAACGGGGGCAGCACAACAAAGTAGACGTCGGCAGTGGTAAAAATGGGTCCTCCTCCTCCGCAGGCGGTTCCTCCTCCTCCACGACCCCCTCTTCCGCCGGCTCCGCGAGTTCAGCCTCCTCTAGTGGCTCGTCCGGACGGAAGGAAGGCAGATCAACAGGAAACTACAATAGTTCCCAGCAGGAGACGTTGTTCCCTTCTGCAGAACATGTCAACACAGCCACGACCTCGTCTCCAACAGCCAAAGAACAAGAGGAGAGAAATATGGTACTACTGGAAGAGCAGACGCCCGAAGATCCGCAACAAATTCTTCACCGGTCGTCCAGCGGTCAAAATTTTCGGAGTAAGATGCTGCACCGGTTAAACAATGAGGGAATTCTGTTGAAGAAGGAGCAGCGAGCGCCGAAGTCGCAGTGCGTTCTGATCCTCGACTGGGACGACACGCTGCTGTGTACGAGCTACTTTGCAGCACTGCAGATCCGGGAGAAGAGGATGACAATGAAGGACGAAGAAGCAATGGTGGTGCTGCAAGACCTCGTGCGGAGGCTCATCCTGTTTGCGAGGGAGATGGGTACAGACTCAAGTAATTTAAATTGCATCTCCAACTACCCTCTACGGTTGTGTTTGTGATCTGATTGGGTCGAGCTGTTGGTTTCTCAGCATGAAAAATGCAATGAGGATTTGGAAATCGAAATTAAAATTTGCATGACAAAAAAACTCAGGTTCCGTGTACATTATCACGAACGCGATGGAAGGGTGGGTCGAATACAGCTGCGAAAAGTGGCTCCCGAACTGTCTCAACTTAATCCAGCAGTTGCCCATCATCTCGGCCCGCGCGTACGAAAACCAATACGATGTGTCCATCTGGAAAACCATGGCGTTTCGGGAGATCTCGAAGAAGATGGACCAGCGACCCGTCACAAATCTGATCGCGATTGGGGATTCGGTATAGATTTTATTCGCAAAAAACAGACTGCCGCTATCTAATTGTGACGCGAGTTTTTTGGGGTTGGGAGCGTATTAAAATAAGACAAAATAGTTGTACTTTCTGGTGCATGGAATTTTGCGATGCAATTTTCGCAACGACCCCGCTATAGCCGAACTTTCTTACCCATCGCAGATCTTCGAAATCCAAGCGGCCCACGACATGGCCGCGCACTTTCCGCAAAGTCTGGTGAAAACGGTGAAACTCGACCAGCGGCCTACACCCTCGAATTTGGTGAACCAGCTGCAGCTCGTACTGAAGAACGTGCCGAGTATTGTTTTGTCGGGAAAAAACATGGAGGTGAGTTTCATGCGGACGAATAAACAAGTACAAGGAGGAACTTCTAGTGCTTGTAGCACCAATGCTGCACCACGGGAACAAAGCACTAATGGCACAGCACCTCCACCGGCGTCGGCGGTGTGCAGTGCAGCTAGTGAGAACAAGAGTGGAAGGTAGATGAAGGATGTGACGCGGAGCTGCGTCATCTGCTACAACACCCTGCAGAAGTTTCGCGTTTTGGGCGGCGGGTGCAGGTCGCACAGACTATGCTGGTTCGCATGCGTTGAAATCGATCTTGATGTTTCAGCTTTTGACCTTTTGAACTGAACCCCATTTGAAAGACCGGAAGCAAGGAAAGTCAAGAAACCCGATGAAAATCTGTGCAGCAATGAATTCATTTTTTCATTTACGAAACAATTTCCATTTCCCGCCCCCGGTGCCGTCTCATATCGGGAGGTCTTTCTGAAGATACTGCAACTAAAAACTATGTTTCACTGCGCGGTCGGCCTTTCTAAGTGTGTCCTGAAGTTCGTTGACATGTCTGTGGCAATGCGAAAAAAGATCACCCGGCAAGGGCACCTCCACTGCAAGTAGTTGATCAGTTTTTTTTGCTACGGCGTTCAACTACAACTGCGGCGCAAGAACGCGATCTATCTGACGCGTCACTAGCATCTTTCTCCAACGTAAGTAGTTATGCGATAGGTCCTCGTGCGGATAGGACATAAATATGGAAGGCCGCTCTGATGTTGATCCATTTGAGAAGGTCTTACTTAGACGAACCAGCGGCCTCCTGGATGGGAGCAGGAGAACTATTTTTTTTCCGCTAATCAGTGATTGTGATCAGTTGATCAGTTCCCAACTTCTTCAATGTTTCCTTAACTCGGACTGACTACAATTTTCGTATTACTGATTTCAACTACCATCTTCAACAAACTTTTTCGACCTGGTGGTTTTGCTTTTTCGAATCCTTTATCGAACAGTCTACGAACAAGTGTCTTTTTTAAAACATGAACTTCGGCGGCGGAGACAGTAGCGGCGCCGGGGCCGGCGCGAGTGCCGCACAACAGCAGCAAGCGCTGATGCAGATGCAGATACTACAGGTGCAGAAGCTGCAGTGCAAAATACTGGGGAACTGCTTCTCAAAGTGCGTCTCGGATATGAGGGCGGAGCTGTCAAACGGGGAGCAAAACTGCATCTACCAGTGCACACACAGGCTCTTTGACTCACAGCTGTATATTCTTTTATGTTGCAGCATGTAGCCTGATGCTCGACATGTTGATAGATGATTTTGAAACTTCACCTCCATGGTGGATGATGTCAAAATTTTGTATAAGTACTCTTGCAACAAAAACAATGTAATGCCAGCAACGATGGTGCGATGCCGATGCTTGCCCGTATGCATCCCATCTCTGAAGTGGACAAGAAATTCACTCTCTCAGGTTCTTGGAGAAGCGACTAGTAAGCCTAGGACAGAAAGTACAAGCGAGCGGCTGACGAGCGCCATAACACCTATCCATGCATCAACCGCTCGCGACATCAGCGACATCACGAAAAGAAGTAGATGCTTAAACGAGGAGCCCGATCTTGAGACTTGCCAAAAGAAGCGACACCAAAATAAAAAGGAGAAAAAACCACTACAACACGACGCTGCCAGGCGAGATAATTCCGAAAGCGCGACAAACTCTTGTTCTACCTACAGCAGCACGAAGATCATGTAGCTCTAAATGCATGACTTTCGCTCTCGCTGCAAAATCGCGAAAAATCGATTGCGAACAATAGCTAGATCGTGATCCTCCACATTAAGTTACGGTTGGAGATCCAACTTGTAGTTCTGTCGATACACAACAAGATGGGAGGTCCTCGCTCTGAAATTTGTATACCGGTGCATCTCGCATTTGCAAGTTTTATTGACGCTGACCTGTTCTTCACATTTTCATATTCTGCAGCACCCGGAACCAGACACGCAGCTCTTTCGTTGGAAGAAAGGTTCATCTTGCGAGAATCTTTTCCAAACAGAAGAGCTTCACCTTCCCTAGTACAGTTCCCCTTTCTTACCGCTCGAATACAGTACTTGATGTCTGTTGACCCCCACTTCAGTCGATTTCAATTTCATACTAGACCTCTTTAACCCTCTTCCCCCCAAGCCACCCCGATCATTTATACCATGTCCGCCGGCGAGGTGATTTTCCGTCGGTGTCCCATCACCAAAACGGACATGCGACTTCTGGAAGACGGGAACGATTTGAACGACGCGTTGCTCGATTTTTTCCTCAAACTCGGGCAGTATTTGATCCCGAAGCAGCACAACCAAGCCCTTCCGAACCTCCACCCGTTGTCCAGCCTGTTCTACGGGAAACTCACCGGGGGGCAGGCAAAAACCGGGGAGGAGGCGTGGGAGCAGATAAAGCGCTGGACGTTGCGAATTCCGAACGGGATCTTCACGCCACCGATCATCGCTCTGCCGATCAACGAAACCTTCCTGAACGAGAAGGAAAAGCCCTGCGGCAGCCACTGGTGGTTGGCACTCCTAGTTGGCGCAAAAAACGCGGCGGAGAAGCAGGAAGAAGTCGTCTTAGAGCAGTACAAGAAGATCGGCGCCGCGGCGCCCCCAAAACCGCTGCACAAAAAAGCGGGCGACAAGGCGGAATTGCAGGTGCAGGACGGGGAGAAGGTATCGATAAAATTCGGGTCTTTGGTGAACGGGAAGAAGGTGGACAAGTCTGAGCAACAGGAAAAGGATGCGCGTTCGTCAAAAGAGGATAGGCGAGACGGGCACAGCAGCGACGAGGAGGAGCGACATAGCCGGAGACGCAATAAAGACCGCAGTAGGGATAGATCGCGGCCGGAGAGAAGGTCGAGGTCGCGGGATCGAAGTAGAAGATCCAGGTCGCCGCGGGAAGATCGGGATAGACGAAGAAAAAACCGGAGGTCTTCTCGGGATAGAAGGAGTCGCAGCCGCTCACGAGAGGACCGCAGGAAGAAGGAGAAGAAAAGAAGATCATCCGCATCCTCGGACGAGGATGTTGACAGAATAGACAAGCACAAAGAAGAACTATCATCCAAAACAGTAGCGAATAAAGCACCAAACAAGTCAACAGAGCAACTAATAAGTAAGCCTATCCCCAAAGACATCAAGCGCAGTTTCTTGTTGTGCGTCGACAGTATGACACGGCGAGTGGTCGAACTGAACACCGATAATTTGAAAGAACAGAACAAGGACGCGCTGAACGCGGTGAACAAGCTGAAGAAGCAAATAAAAAAAGTCTACAAAAAGGGCTCACTTTGCCGCTACAGCGTGGAGATCACCCGCGTGGAGCAGGCGGGGCACCGCGTGTGGCTGGATTTTGACGCGCGGGGCGACGGATCTGTCGGACTGCTAGAGCACCCAAAGGAGACGGCGGAACTCTTTCTCTTCGACAAGCAGGGAAACAAAATCAAAGGGATCAAACCAAACGACATGGGGCTGCGGATTAACAACAACAATCGAGGCTCCGGGGTGTTGCAGTACCGGGGGATGCTGGAGTTTCTGGTCGACAGTCGCGATGATTTCACCGGGCAGTTCCAATTCCGGTACGGCCCCAGTTGGGAACCGATCGGACTGGAATTCGACGGCTACGCCTTGTCAAAATTCCAGAAGGAGGTCGCACGGTACCTGCAGGGAATGATGAAGAAGGAGTGGGAAAGAGCCAAAGAGAAAGAGAAGAAGGCGCTGAAATTGTATTGTGAATTTTTGTTTATTGGTCGTTTTAGCGTGTTCAACAGGCGCTCCACTGGCAATCTTGAGATAGATTGCGTGCGCGTTTACGGTTTTTTGCAGATTGCGTCTCAGGATTGTGGTTTTTGTATGGTGAGCAATGGATTTTTTGGGTAGTATTCACGATTGTGGTTTTTGTATGTTGCGCAATGTTGGCGTTGACCTTTTTGGGTTGTACTTACGACCGCGCATGATAACTAAAACGGAAACAGGTTCGACAAAACGTTGATCAAAGCGGTTGCAGTGGACGCTCCACAGCAGGAGAACTTGAACGATTGCGGGGTGTTCGTGCTGGAAAATTGCTTGAACCTGCTTTGTCAGGGCAACGACTATCCGAACCAGATTCTCCACAATCCGCTGAATCCGGAATTGAAGTGGGTTGGCCAGATTGAAGTGCGGCACAGGCGGCGACAGTACTTATGATAAAATTTTCTCACCCACTTTGGTCGTGATCCACCATTTTGTCAGTGACCACTGCTGGCAACATGCAAATTAAGTTTCTCTGGCGTGGCAAGATTACGTTACCGAACGAAATCCTTTTTTTCTCAAATAACTACAAAACAGGCTTCTCACCTGTGTGCAGCATTTGTTTCAGATGAAGGAGATGCTCGGAACCGCGGATATTGAAGAGATGCTGAAGAAGGAAGGCAATCTTGCGCAACAGCTCTACGACTTTCTCACCTCGGATCCACCAACGGAAATGGTGCTGGATTGAGCGCGTAGCATGTGGTAAAGCACGGTGTCCGTGTATGGACGCGCCTTCAGGGGCTAAGTTGTACTCTCGACTCGAAACTACAGCTCAGATGGACAGAAGAAATGAACCGAAAGCGAAACTTTCATTCACATTCCTCGAACGCCACGCATCGTGCCAGTATCAATTTCTATAGTCGACGACTTCAACGCGAAAAACTACGGAGGATGTCATTCCTCTTTGAATGGAAATGGAATAGCACAAGCAGTGCCATGATGAGGGTGTTCGTCTTCCGTGTCCCTGTTGCTACAGGGACCAAGCGAGAAGTAAAGATGGTAGTACAGGAGCGTAGAAAACTAAAGCCGTGTGGATGCATAAGAAACATCAATCTAGGCACTAAACAGGCGTTTTCCAAGAGTAACGAACTTGTACCAGTGTGTATGATCCCCCGCGATGGTGAGTTTGTGTGTAGTCTAAAGCGCGTAGCGACATGATGCTATACGTCCTACAAAAAAAAAGCGTGCAAAGGCAAACCATTGAGCTTAGCACATGGAAGGACTTCTACTCTGATCGGTGCCGTGTGTGCGAATACTCGGGCTGAAACACAAGAAAAAATCGGTTCGTGATGAAGATTTAAGCTGGCAAATCGTACGAAGCAGCAGCATAACGTACAGGAAAAGCAACTGCCACTGCTCGGAGCCAGCCCCTGAAAAAGATTGGCTTCTACATAATTAACGTTCGATTACAGAGCAAGTACGCGAAAAGTACACATTTATTTCGTCGCCGTGCTAGGACAAGTATCCTGTCAGTGGCCGTCCTCTGGCACCACTTGAATATATGAGGAGGCACAAGTGAAAACCAAAACAAAGACTGTCACCCAAAATAAACCCATTTCCCTCTTCTCATTTCCCATTCCAGTCACAGAAGCTCAAACCACATCCCTCCCGAAGGAAAACAAAACCTCTCTCACCGCTCGCTCAACTTTTCAACCGTAGCTCGCTCTTTGCGAAGGAAAGACTTAACAAGTTTTTAGGTCTAGTAGCTCCTAAAAAAACTCGCCAACCAAAATGGCTGACGACGAAGTGCAAGCCCTCGTGGTGGACAATGGGTCCGGTATGTGCAAGGCCGGTTTCGCCGGTGACGACGCTCCGCGTGCCGTCTTCCCGTCCATCGTCGGTCGCCCGAAGATGCCCGGTATCATGGTCGGTATGGACCAGAAGGACAGTTACGTGGGTGACGAGGCCCAGAGCAAGCGTGGTGTGCTCACCCTGAAGTACCCGATCGAGCACGGTATCGTCACCAACTGGGATGATATGGAGAAGATCTGGCACCACACCTTCTACAACGAGTTGCGTGTCGCACCGGAGGAGCACCCAGTGCTGCTCACCGAGGCTCCGTTGAACCCGAAGGCAAACCGCGAGCGCATGACCCAGATCATGTTCGAAACCTTCAACTCCCCAGCCATGTACGTCGCCATTCAGGTACTACATAAATTTTTTGTATGGTCTAACCCGTCGTCGGCTGTGCGCCGACTTTCTCACCTGTTTTGTTTTCACCATCGCGTTGTATGTGCGTGCGTGGAGTTTTTTGCTGCTACTGTCCAGAAATTGAAATTTGAATTTCTAAGTCCACGAAGCAAGAAGTCCTTCGCGGTGATTGGTAATGTCGTCCTTGCATTCAATTAAACGCAGGCCGTCATGTCCCTGTACGCTTCCGGTCGTACGACGGGTATCGTGATGGACTCCGGTGATGGTGTGTCCCACACTGTCCCGATCTACGAGGGGTACGCTTTGCCGCACGCCATCCTGCGTTTGGACTTGGCCGGTCGCGACTTGACCGAGTACATGATGAAGATCCTGACCGAGCGCGGTTACTCCTTCACCACCACCGCCGAGCGCGAAATCGTTAAGGATCTGAAGGAGAAGCTGACCTACGTCGCCCTGGACTTCGATGCCGAGATGAAACAGGCTGCGCAGTCCTCGGAGAACGAGAAGACCTTCGAGCTGCCGGATGGCAACGTGATCACGGTTGGCAACGAGCGCTTCCGCTGCCCCGAAGTGCTGTTCCAGCCCTCCTTCATCGGAAAGGAGTCTTCCGGTATGATTTCAATGATTGTTTTCACACGAAGAAACTTGTCATGCTATTGCACAAGCACTTGACATGACATACTTGTCATGCGTGAAGCAACTACAAGTCACGGATGTTTAATCTTGTCTCTCCCACTGATCCACAGGTATCCATGACACGACCTTCCAGTCGATCATGAAGTGCGACGTGGATATCCGCAAGGATTTGTACGCCAACGTTGTCCTGTCCGGTGGTACCACCATGTACCCGGGTATCGGTGAGCGCATGACCAAGGAGTTGACCGCCCTCGCCCCGTCCACCATGAAGATTAAGGTCGTCGCGCCCCCGGAGCGCAAGTACTCCGTGTGGATCGGCGGGTCCATCCTGTCCTCCTTGTCCACCTTCCAGCAGATGTGGATCTCGAAGAACGAGTACGACGAGTCCGGCCCGACCATCGTCCACCGTAAGTGCTTCTAAGCCGACCGCATGGAGTCCCCGTCCGATGTTGCGATTGGGATACGTGTCAAGACAAACATGGCCAATACATTAAATCCGAGCTACTTACTCGTGAGATGAGTTTATTTCCTCCTAGAGGTTGTGGAGTTTCGTAGAACTATCAGAAGACAAACACACAGTTATCGGTATGTCACCACTCGTTGGTGTACTACAGACTTTTTAATCACTACAGTAAATTACAAACAATTTCCAACTAATTTTTGTAATCCGCCTGTCCATGAATATCCTTCACAGCTGTTGCGCTAGTACTTGCGGTCTCTGTCCGGGCGGGTTCAATTGACTTGATTCGTGCAGAGGCTTCGCAGGGAAAAAATAGATGTACGGATTATTCGTGCTTGACTTTTCATGTATCAATCAGCTCTACTAATATCAAGGCGTCGACTATTCAATCTGTGTATGGTTCGATATCTTCTCCTTCTTACGCCAAAACTACACTAGCGATGAAGTCGTCCGGTATGCTGCAGCTTTTTCAGCGCACTGGGACGTCTTTTTTGCCAAACGAAAAATCTTTTTGAGGAAGGTAGGTACCCGCGTCTCAAAATCAAGTCCAGCGGCGCCGAAAATATATTTCGGCGTCGTTGGGAGTGATACAGCGATGTGGGGAATCGACTAGGTTTTTCACTGTAGTTTTTGGCTAAAGCACTGACAACGGAAGCGGTCCTGCGAAAGTTGCGATTATTTGTGGAGGTTCTGCTAGAAGTAGCGACAGCTTTTCTCGTACACTCATGGCGAAAAAGAAGGATATTGTCCGTGTGACAACGAGATGTTGTTGGAACCTCTTTTGGTCTAGACTTGGACTTCGTTGTACGTTGATACAATCTGTACATTTGTAGCGTCGCGCGCGACAGCATGGATTACACCCATTGAGGAGATTTCTTTTGTTCAACAGATGAGGCTCGGTCAATATCTCCTCCAATATTGACAGCTGAACTTAGGCCAGCTGCGTAGCTCGGGAAATAACGGAAGCTCGTGAGAACTGGACGCAATAGATCCCGAGTAGTCGGTCTTTGGTCTCGAAAAGAAGATCTTTAGGAATGAAGGGTCATGAAGTCACAGCCGTGTTTATACTGCCTCTGCCACAAGATCTAGATTTTGTACGATCCAGTGACCATGGCCTTCATGATACGATGACAAATTACCAAAGATCAAGTGCCCGCCCGACAGAAGGCGACACTGAATCATGATCAATGAGGTTCTCGCGTTTGGGAAAAAAATAAGGTGAAAATCAAGGTCGTTTCGTATTTCGGTTAGAACGAGTTTCTCTGATTGAAGACCGGACTGTATTAAGTAGCGACTCACTCTCATGTCTCTCTTGTGTTGCTCGCACTTTATTAAGCGACTCCCTGACACTCTTTCACGCAATCTCATTTCGCGCAGTTTGGCTTGCCGGTAGAGAAAGTATCTGAGCATTCGATTAAGTGTGATTTTGGTACGTAGCAAGAGCTTTCTCGAAAGATTTCTGATAGTTACTTTTTTTTTTACGCGACTGGGATTTGGCAAGTCAGAACTTGACTGAGTCAGCACGTTTTAGCGCTGTCAAAATGAGGTTACGTTCTCCCAAAGTTGCATTGTTCATCCTCGCTGGAATTGCTGGCCTCTCGGTCCACCAACCTGCAGCTGTGCGCGGCGCCACTTCAGCCAGTGCTTCGCAACCAGAGAATGAGCATCCGCGTTATCATACACAAGACCGCCGATTAGACGACGTTGATGCTGCTCACACCATCCAAATTCAATCCCCGATCACGCCAAAAAACTCAGAAGCAATACCAGAACACTCGGAAACAAAAGAGCTGCCTCCCTCGTCGTCCAGCGAACCACTTTCCCCAGTCGACCCCTCCGAGCTCCATCCACCCCCAGAATTCGGTTCATTTTCCTACTTTTCCCGTTGGTTCTGGTGGCTCCTCGTTGCCTACTTGTTTTTCGCCCAGGCGACCGCGATCGCCGAGTGGTTTGTCCCCGCGATCGAGGTGGTGTGTGAGAAGTACGGGATTCCGGAGGATGTGTCGGGGGCGACGTTGATGGCTTTGGACGTAGTTGCGGCGACTCTGTTCACAAATTTGATGGCACTCTTCGTGACGCAGTCGGATTTTGGGGTGCAAACGATTATCGGCTCGAACATCTTCAACCTCCTGTTGATCCTCGGAATCAGCATCCTCGCTTCGCCGATACAACCGCTAGTTGTCGACAAGTGGCCGTTTTTCCGGGACTGTTTCTTCTACCTGCTGTCGGTCGGCCTGCTCTACTGGGTCTTGCGCGACGGGGTGGTTACGCTACGCGAGGCCTTGGTTCTGCTAACCTTCACGGGATTTTTCTTTTGCGCCGTCGGATACACGGACCGGGTTCTGGTTTATTTCGGGGTGCGAGAAATAAATGGCGGTTTTTCTGCTTTAAGCTCGAGGGAAGAAGAGGAGGTCAAAGACGCAGCCAGCGAGGATCTCGAATGGTCTTCTGACTGTCCCTTTGTCCCAATGGATGAGCAAGCGACCATCAGCGTCTCGCAGACGTCGCGAATGGAATGCAGAACCACTGCCACAAGTCACAAGCTGGAGATACACGATAGTCATTTTGTCGCCGAAGGACTGTGGGAAAGGAATTTTGCGACATCCTCGGGCGGGGGCGGACTATGTAACAAGCAATCTCGTTCCAGCAATGTGATCGGGACAAGTGGTTTGTCTTGCGCAGTGGAGATGACAAGCGCGAAAGGCAATTCACTTTGCAGTGCGTCGGGCAGGGGGCAGAAAGGAGCAGCTCCCGCCTCTACGCTTCATGCGTTGTCCCCCATGGGGCTAGCGTCCCCTTTGCTAACCAGTGGCGAAGATGACATGTCGGATGGGTCAACCACAGCGCATGATAGTTGCAACGACGAAGCCGTTATTGGGGTGACATCGGAGTCTAAAGCATTCTCATCGACAACAACACCCAGGAGCGCAAAACAGCAGCAACAGCAGAGTAAAAAACTTTACTTCCGCGATATCCTGGGCACGACGCAGCTCGAAGGCCCGACGCAGATCAGCTTTCGGGACAAAAGTGACGATACTATCCGCTATTTCATCACGTTCTCCTCTGAAGCCGTATTAGGCCAGGTGTTGGATCTGATGGACAAACAGGCCCGAGACAAGAAATCTCAGCAACGCATGTCCTCCCCGAAATTTTCGGTGACTGGCAATATATCGCAAATCTGCAGCCCCGGAGTGCGGAATTGTCAGAAGGCGTATTTGGTGGCAGCCCTCCCCATCAACTTCCTTTTCGAATCCACCATGCGGTGGTGTGACCCGAAGAACCCGAAGACTGAGTCCCTTTGGCTGGTCGCGTTTACCATCTCCATGTGCTGGCTCGCGGTTTTTTCTTACATCCTGGTCACGGTGGCGGACATCATCAACATCCAATTCCACATCACGCAGGCCATTCTCGGGGTGACACTATGCGCCGCCGGGACGTCGTTTCCGAACCTCTGGGCGAGTTACATCACGGCGAAGGAGGGAAAAACTTCTATGGCAGTGGCGAATGCGCTGGGCTCGAATGTGCAGAATGTGTTCATCGCACTGGCGTTGCCCTGGGTCGGGAAGACGTTGGTTTCAGAGAACCATGAAATTCCCATGGTCACTCCGGGGATTATGGACGGAGTCGCGTGGATGGGAGGCACTTGGCTGCTACTGGTGCTGCTCGCAGTTGGAAACGACTATGCCCTGCAGCCGTGGATGGGATATTTGTTTCTCAAGCTCTACCTCGTGTATTTGGTGGATGCGTGCTTCATTCATACGAGTTGAGTCTGTGAAAGCCCTACCACGGAAATCAAGCGACGATATGAATGGGAGCAAGACGAAAGCGGTAAGGATGTCCACATCAGTCACAGACCGCGTTTTGAAGTTCCGCAAGTAAGAAGTAGACCATGAAGCGACAAGTAAGTACACGTAAGTAGTGATCATTATTTCAGCTGCTGACGAGAGTGAGACGCCGCCACGCGCCGGCGATGATTGGAAAATGTGTTCCTGAAGTACAACGGGGAGAATATTTTTGGTAAAACAAGGAATCAAGTTGAGGTCATGGAATCAAGTTAACTGGAATCAAGTTAAACCCGGAATCAAGTTACATGGAATCAAGTTAAACCTGGAATCAAGTTATATAGAATCAAGTCACTACCTGGAATCAAGTTGAATGGAATCAAGTAAACCACCACAACTTCACTTCCATCAACCCTTCGCCTCGCAATGCCTCCTTGGAAGAATCTATCTGTTGCTCTTTTTGTGTTTTGTGATTGCCATACCCTCGTGCCTAAAGTTCTCCGCTATTTTTTTTCAAACGCGGCCACTTTTATCAAACGCGTCTGGCTTTTCTTCCTCTGGTCGATAGAGACGTCGCGGATAATGTTAGAGCTAGGCTTCGCGCGCTTGTCTTGTTTCGCGACCCTCTTTCGAAAGTTGTCGGGGCTTTCGCCTGACGAAGTTCCCGGGGTTTCATTTGTGCTTCCTTCCTTCGAAGGGAGGGTGTGTGTCTCTGGGGATTCGCGCTTATTTCGCCTTTCCTCGGAAGAAGAAGATCCATCCGTCCCTCTCGGAGTTCCATGCCCGCTTCACCTCCTCTCGGGAGACCCATTGCTCGCGGGATTCCGTTTTCATTTCGCCTTCCTGGGGCTGGTGTGTGTCAGTCTCGGAGGATTCCGCTTCGCCTTCCTGGGGAAGGTGCTGTCTCAGGGGACTCCATTTCGCCCTCCTGTGGAAGGTGTCTCGGGGCCTCCATTTCGCCTTCCTTGTACTTAGGCAGGTCTCTCCGGGGATTCTGTTTCGCGTCTTTCGGAAAGTATCTTGGGCGCCTCTTTCGGAAAGTATCTCTACGGGCCTGGGCGCCCTGTAGCCCTTCGCAAAATGGCCCGGACACGTGAGGACTGCGCAGAAAAACGGCAAGCAGGACGCGCGACAAAGATCAAGATGACTTATGTCCTAGGGAGCGCGTCAGATTGGCGCACTTTTCTCCCAGTGCTCTGCTATATATTGGATGGCGCGCGATATTATATATTCGGTTTCGGACGTAGTGGCTTGCAAAAGAATCCGATGGAACGCACAGCGCCAAACGCGAAGGAAAAAGAAAAATTGCCACTGGTCTCGCAGTTCGTAGCTACTTTTCGCGAGAACTTCTGGATAAGCATCCCGGCTAGCGGGCGTGACGGTGATGATGTGTAGCGGTGGTTGGTCCCTCGTAACTAGATAGTGCGTGAGAAGTGTCGCCCTACTGCCCCGATGTTCTGTTCTGAAGCTCAAGCTCCGGCGCCACTGTCCAAGTGGGTGCTGCGGAGTTTTCTAGGATTTGCGAGGAAAATCTTGGAAAATCTCGACTCCACCGATGAAGAAAGGCTGTTGTAAGCTATGGCCTCAAAAAATTGCCGCACACCTGCAGAGCTGTTTTTGTCTTTCACAAGGATTGGTAGCTGGTGTAAGGTCTTTGGCACTATGAAAACATCCAAAGCCTCTATCAACCGCGTTGCGGCAGTATATTCCTCGAGGGAAAGTAGAGCTGCGACCCCCTTTCAGCGCGACAGCGTTGCAAAAGAAATCTCGTCTCTTCACCAATAAAGAAGCAAAAGCCAAGGCACACAGGGCCAGCTAAGCTCTATCTCCAACGCACTACACAGCAGTAAAAAAGAAAGATAGTGCTAGGAAGTTCCAAAAGGAGCTCGACGGGCCTTTAAATATCAACTTGGACCTCGAGGATGATGCCGCAGGAGATGAAAACATCAAGCAAATTATCCTGAGGAAAAACATCCCCGCACCAGAGTCAAGACGGGGACTTTGCAACACAAACGAGCCTGGGGCTTTTGGGGGTCACGCATCACAAGTTGCAGTCCGTAGTGTAGTGCAGGTTCGCAAGGTCAGCTGCATCAGAATCCTTCTGCTCATCCTGTTTACAGCATTACAAATTCCACAACACGAGTAACAATGCCTCTCCTGGCGATGCGCATTACAAATGTTCCTGTCATTGCAAATCTGCATGACAGCTCTGGTGTTTGCGCAGACTCTCAAGTATGTCCATGTGTGTTTCTGTGAGCTGATTTGCTTTGGCAATCCACAATGCACAACACGAGCCAAAAAGTGGCACAATGGGGGAGGGGGGTAAAGTGTGTCGCGTTTTGTTTAGCATGACAACTCTGGCGTGGGGACGTTTTTACTCAGGATAAAAATGGCCAGCGCATGGAGGAGCAGTGCTGGCGACGAGCAGGAAGAGGGCATCCATAGCCTTGGGGCGGTGAGTCATAGTGGAGACGAAGCGCGTAAGCGGGTGAAGGTCTTTTCGTCCGATGAGGACGAAGACGAAGACGCGCTGGATTGGAAAATGTGTTCCTGAAGTACAACGGCGAGAATATTTTTCGAGCGCAGCATAGAGGTTGAGGTACTACACAAGTAAAGTGGGGCACCACGTGAGAGAAGAGCTGGCACAGTGACGCTGGCATAACATTCATTTAGGAAAGTCAACTCCGCAAAATAGGATGGACGTGAGGATTCGAGTGTATCTATAGAAGCTGCTACGTTTTAGTATTATTTTTTGCGGTGATTATCCATCGTGGTCGAGTGACAGACAGGCTGCTTGCAGAAGCAGGTCAGGCGTCATCGCCAGTAGCGTTGTCCCGCCCCGAGAGTTTCTTCTGCTCCTGTTAACACGACCAGGGACTGCCATTTCGAATTATATCCCCGTGCTACTCATCTGACTGATTCCGAAGAACCCTTTTCAAAAAGAACAATCTTCGGAGTCGTTTTCTGTCATGGTAATTCTATCTAAGCTGATGTCGAAATGAGAATGATGTAAAACTCCAAGATGAGCACCAGGACGATCAATTATTCAAATTGAAATAAATGGAAGCTTCAGTTATCTTTCTGTATCCCTACCAATAGGGTTCTTGCTGTCCACCAGTCAGTGACGAGCGTTTGGTACCAAAGAAAACCAGGCACTAGAGGAACGCATGAAGGACCACACGACAACTGTTTCGCCCAGGATGCTCAAGGAGGACTTCAGCGCTACGAAGAACGACGGAGACGTCGGACAGGAGCTGTTGCACGACGACCCAATCATGCAACAAGATGAACTTCTACAACAAGAGGAGCAAGAAGACGTGTCGGACATTGGAATCCGCGATTTGCTACATTGGGTTACCCCCAAGGAGAAGCGGGCCTACTACTTCGGGAGCGTGAATGCGGTGTTTTTCGGGTTTCTGCAACCCGCGATGGTGTACTACCTGGGCGAGGTGTTCGACGTGGCCGCGCAGCGGTATGGCGTTCTCAAACGTTCTGAACTGTTGCATGAATTTGTAATGCAAGAAGAGGAATAGCTATAGCACAGGACAGGTGAGAGCGAGAACCTTGCGCGTCTTGCATTACAGATTTGGTGCGGATTCTAGTGCTATTTAGCCCTCCGACAATTTGCCATGCGAAGCAGCTTGATCGTGTGGTGGCTCATGGTCATTTTGCATGACAAACCATGTAACAGCTGAGAATGTAACATTTGAGAACGCCATAAGCGGGACCCGAACGACACTAAGGCGTTTGCGGATAAGATTCAGGAGATTTTATGGATTTGGGGGGTGATCTCGGTGCTGAACTGGGTCACCGCGCAGTTCTACATGTGGAGCTTCGAGTATGCAAGAAACAAACCGTGTAAGTGTAAATTTGTGTTGCAGAGGAAGCAAGACACCTAGACTTGTCATGCTGAAGATGCGTCAGAGTTTCTTCTCGTTAAGTGTTTTCACGCACTAGCTACGCATGAGAGGTTTTCTCTGTCACGCAGAGGAAATTTGTGATGCTGCTCCTCCAAGAAAGTTACACTTACACACTTTTTTTCCTGGATATCGAGTGGGCGGTGGCCAACCAGCTGTACACGATTCGGAAGGAGTACTTCGAGAAGGTTCTCTACCACGATTGCGAGTGGTTCGACGCGAAGGACCCGCTGACCGTCCCCTCCCGGCTGATGGTCGACATCCGGAAGATCAAGGAGGCGCTGGGCTCGAAGATGGCCATGGCGATCATGAACGTCGCCCAGTTTTTCGCGGGCGTGTTCTTCGGGTTCATCGTGAACGCGGAGTTAACCGCCGTGTGCTGCATTCTGTTACCTCTAATGGTGTACGCGACCTATTTATTCGCCACAGCCTTAACCGGCTACTCGCAGTGGATGGCCAAGTACTACATCAAGTCCGGCGCCGTGGCGGACGAGATCTTCGCGAACGTGAAGACCGTCGTGGCGAACAATGCGGAAGCGCGAGAATTACAGCGGTACGAGGACCTGTTAAAGCCCGCGCGGGTCGGGAAGGCGCGGGTGGCGGTGCGGGTCGGCTTCCAGCTTGGCTGCATGGACGCGTGCTGCTTTCTCGTGTACGCTTTGTGCTTCTGGTACGGCTCGCGGGTGATCGCGGACGACGGGAAAAATGAGTTTGACAACTCCACGTTAGATGGCTCCGACGTGATGAAGGTGGTGTTCAACCTGGTCATCGGCGCCTTTGGTTTGGGGCAGGTCGCGCCGGCGATCCAGGCCTACGCCGAGGCGAAGCCGGCCTTGAAGAACATGAAAAAGCTAAGGGAGGAATGGGAATGGAAGATGAGGCACAAGAGAAACGCGACGCCCAGTTGTATTGGTATTGCGGGGAATGGAAGAAAAGGTGCAACCGCATCAAGCAGTTATACCATGACAACGGGCGGTGACATCGTCGCAAAAGCTGTCAGCTTCCAGTACCCCACACGGCTGGACGCCCCGAAGGTTTTGAGCAATGTGAATTTCGAGATCAAAGCCGGATCGAAGGTGGCCTTCGTCGGCGAGTCCGGGAGTGGGAAATCCACGATTATCCAGCTTTTGGAACGGTTCTACGACATCGGAGAGGTTGTTGATGCCGTGGTTGATCCTGCTCTTGCCGCTGGCGGTCAACAAGGTACCAGTCTTGCATCCTCCTCTCTGTCCATCGGGGGCATCGAGTTGAAGGATATGAGCATGAAAGAATTGCGGAAGCAGATTGGCTATGTGCAGCAAGAGCCGGTGCTGTTCGAATGCAGTTTGCGGGAAAACCTGCTGTCCGGTTTGGAAAACGAGGACGAGTTTGGAAATACCCAGACCACTACGAACGTGACCGAAGCGGACCTGATTTTCGCGTGCAAGCAGGCCCAAATCTGGGACCTGATTCAAACCTTCCCCGACAAACTCGACACTTTGCCCGGCCAGGGCGGCAGCCAGCTGTCCGGTGGCCAGAAGCAGCGCATCGCGATTGCCCGGGCGCTGGTGCGGAAGCCGAAGATTCTGCTGCTGGACGAAGCGACCTCGGCACTGGACTACGCGAGCGAGAAAGAAGTGCAGCGGGTCATTGACCAAATCGGGACTACAAGAACTTCTTCCACAACAAATTCCGCCGAAAGCCATAAGATGACGGTCGTCATTGTCGCGCACAGATTGTCCACGGTGCGGAACTGCGACAAGATTTTTTTCCTGAATCGGGGCGAAATTCTGGAAACCGGCACGCATGAGGAGTTGCTTGCTTTGAAGGGAGGCTACTTCAAACTGGTCGAAACGCAAGCCATGTACGATGCCTTGCAGGAGAGGAGCGGCTCGAAGATGCTGATGAACAACACGATAACTATCGGTGGTCAACAAGAAAACGAACTCGACGTAGAAGTTCCTAGGGTCGAAGAAACCACTGCAACTACGAATTATGTCAACACCGATGGCGCAGGCGCAACGACCAACCCGCTTAGTACGAGCTCCCACGACCAGGCCGCCCTCGAGAACCGTTCGAACTCGAAGGATTCGAAGCGATCGACCTCTTCGAAGGACAAAACGACGTCGAAAGATGAAAAAGATGGCGAGCTTGCGGCGATCGTGCCCTCGGTTTTGAAATCGGCGGAGGAAAAGGAGGCGGAACGGATCGAAGAAATCGCGAAGAGTTACCAGCTCCCACTGAAAAGGCTGCTACAGCTGAACACCGCGTCCGAGCTGATGTTCTACCCGCTGGGGTTCATGTTTTCGCTGATTAACGGGTCAATGCAGCCGACCATGATGTGGATCATGATGGACGCGGTGGAGTACTTGTACTACGAGGACAAGGCGAAGATGCAGGACGGCGTCAACGAGTTTTGTCTCAAAGCCGTCGGGTTGGCCGTGTGTTTGCAGTTGGGCTTCACCTGCAGCAACGCGTGCTACGGGTACGTGGGCAGCTGGATGACCTACCGGGCCCGGATTCTGATCTTCAAGACCTATTTACAGCAGGACATGTCCTTTTTCGACATGCCGGAGAACTCCTCCGGCCGGTTGACCGCTTTGTTGGAGAAACAATCTGCGGATCTCGGCTTTCTGTCGGGCGAGGCGTTCGGGTCCCGCTGCGAGATGCTTTCGTCCATCACCCTCGGCTTGACCTTCGCCTTTTTCGCGAGCTGGAAGCTCGCGCTGGTGGTGCTCGCGGTGCTGCCGCTGTTGATGGCGAGCATGATGCTGATGATGGTGGCTTTTCTAGGTTCCATGGAAACCGTCACGACGGACTCCCCCGAGGTGGTGGCGTCCGGGAACGTGATCGCCGAAGCGGTGCTGAACATCAAAACGGTGAAGGCCTTGACCGCCGAGGGGACCTTTTTGTCGAAGTTTGACAAGATGGTGTTCGCGATCTCCGAGAAGGAGCGGAAGAAGGCCTTTTGGACGGGTTTGGCGTTCGGGTTCTCCAACGGCATCATGGGGCTGGTGTTTATCCTCAGCTTCTGGTACGGGGCCGAGCTCGTGAAGGACGAGGGATTGAGTCCAACCGACATGTTCAAAGCGGTGATGTGCATCTTCTTCGCCGGCATGGCCGCCGGGCAGGCCGCCGCCACCGTGCCCAACACGGCGCGCGCGCTCGCCGCGGCCCACGACATCTTCGCGCTGGTGGACCGGGTGCCCCTCATTGACAACACGGAGGAGGGCAACAGTCGGAAGTACGAGTTGGTTCCGACAAGCAGCGAATCTTCCAAGCCGTTTGACGCTGTGCGGTTCGAAAAGAATGTTCAGTTTGCGTACCCGCAAAGGCCGGAGCTGACGATCCTGGATTTAGCGCAGAACAGCACGGAGATGGTGTTCGCGTACGGAAAGTCGATCGCCTTGGCGGGGCCGAGCGGGAGCGGGAAGTCGACCGTGATGGCTTTGCTCCAGCGGTTTTACGACCCGGTCGCGGGCGAGGTGAATGTGGTGGAAAATAGGGAGAAAAAGTCGATCGATTTGAAGGACTTGAACCTGAAGTCCTGGCGCGAGAAAATCGGCTATGTGGGCCAGGAGCCGGTGCTGTTTAACATGAGCGCGCGGGAAAACATTTTGTATGGGATTGAGAAAGAGAAGCGAAAAGCGGTGGACCTGGAACTGCTGGCGAAGCAGTGCCATCTAGACTTCCTTGCGGGGGCTGGTACTAGCGGTACAACGAAAGCAAGTGGGACGATTGTCACGACGAGGGGAATTAGTACGTCATCACCTGCGACTCCCTCGTCCCGGCTGTCCTGGGACGAGAAGCTGGGGCCGAAGGGGTCGAAGATCTCCGGCGGACAGAAGCAACGTATCGCGATCGCTCGCGCGCTCGCCCGAAACCCGTCGGTGCTGCTGTTGGACGAAGCAACGTCGGCACTGGACGCGGTGAGCGAGAAAGAGGTGCAGGCAGCCTTGGAGGAGATCCAGAATGGCGCAGCAGGGGGGGCGAACACGAAGTTTCTGACGGTCACCATTGCGCACCGGTTGAGCACCATTGCGAACTCGGACAATATTCTGGTAATGTGCGACGGCGCGGTGTTGGAACAGGGTAGCCATGCGGAGCTATCAGCGAAGCAAGACGGCCTGTACTACAAACTCGTGCAGACCAGCTCGGCTGCGATGTAGCAGCAGCCGTGTCGTGAGGTCAATTGAAGTTCTGCAAAGAGTAGAATTTTTGAATGCGAAGCACAACAGAGCAATCTGTTTATAGTTGTAGTTCTTTTTTAGAGGCTGGTGTTAGTAGTTGTGATTCGGCACTGCTAGTTTGCATTATTGTTCCAACCGGCGTGGTCGTAGTTGCCCTTCCACCCCACATTTTCTTCCTGGGCCGTTATCAAGTACTGTCACTTCTATACTCAGCTCCTACCCACCCTCGTTGTCGTTTCATCATATTCTTTACGAAGTACTTGTATGATATCGCCCTGAAATATCTGGTGCGAGCGCGTCTGAGTCACTACCCGAGTTTCGTCGTGGGATTTCTCAGGTGAAGAATGAATTGAATGAACGAAAATAAAAGAGGACGAGGCTCTGGCTCGTCTTCGTATTGTTTCAGGAACACGAGCTAAGTTACATCATCCCAACGACAAACAGAGTCAGTTGTACACGAAGACGAATACCAGAAAAGTGCGCCGTTCTTTCCCAGCGATTACGCTGAGGTACTTAGGTAAATACTTAAAATTCCCAGTAAGTAGCGCCTGTCTATGAGCAGCAGTTTCTACTTCACCTAGTCCAAGAACAGGGACGAGAATAGGAGTATCAGATCGCGCTCTGTTCCTCTAAGTGAGTGCGGTCGCACATCGTTCCGAAAAATATTCATATTGGCAAAGAAGTAGCACCTCATACTCCTGCAGGTGTCTTCTCAGAGAGTCCAGTCATGATCCGCTGGATCTCCCATGAAGGTGATCGCTCGAGCTCTTTTTTCGTGAAATTTTGCTTCAAAAATTGCGATCTTTTGATCCTCCACTTGTAAAATGTGGAAAAACGAATTTTTGAGAAGTCCAACGTGACGCCGGCACCAGAAGGTTAGTCACTATCAGAAATCGCAAAGAACCTTCTCGCTCAGCAGGACAGTGGGGCGGTTTCTGAAAACGTTTTCAGTTTTCAGTTGTGGATTCATTTATAAAGATGCTTTTCTTGTTTTCGCCAAAGTAAAATTAAAATTGAGTACTTGAGTTGTATCTTGCATCTGATCCTGATGTAAAAAAAAAATGCACAATGATGTTGTGGGACAATGATAAGTCAAGGTCTTCACGACCAGTTGAAATTAAAGCACGTAAATTGAACGGACGAAGAGTTGTGTGTCTCCGTTCAACAGTTAAGACGAGATTGCATTACCTTCTATGTGTATTTTTAGCTTTAAATGGTGTTATCGTTTCTATCATTGGCGATGTTTCTTTTGCTCAACATGCTCTCGCGACGTCCAGAGTTGTTGAGTCTGGGATATGGGTAATCGATTTGGTAGCGGAACAGCGCGAGCAGCGAAGGGCAGCAGCAGCAGCACAGCCTTCGCCATGCCGAAAAAGGACTTCTTTTTCCGCTCCCCGCCTCGACGACGGAGTCGACGAGGTGCTCGCGGCGGTGAGCCAGGCAGCCAACCGGCTTCTAGATGGAGGAGGAGGAGGTGGTGATGCTGATTCAATGGGTGCTCCTGCTTCATTCTTTCCTGCTGGTGAGCAAATAGCTGAGGTTCGATCTCCTGAGCACAGTTCTGATTTACGACCGCCCCGCCGCACAAGACCTCCACGAGGGCCTTGGCGTGCCTTCACCTCTGCTTCTCGGCTGAATGCAATCAAACGGACAGAGGTCGTGGTCGATAGAAAAGGAATTTCTAATTCGCTCCCTTCTGGGGCTGCTCCACCTCGAGCAAATTCTGCTGGCGAGACAGCTACAACAGGCCAAGCGGTCCAGCCCGGAGAGGACGACGAGAGGCCTTTGAGCGCCATGCATGTGGATGCGCTTTCTCCGGCTGTGATGCTGGTACAGTACCACGGACTGCTAGTGGACAACTTCCTGCAGCTTGGCGCCTACCACCAGGACCCGGTGCAGGTCACGCAGTATCCGTTACGCAAAGATGGGGAGACGGTGGTCGAGTTTTCCCAAGAATTTCTCCTTGCTTCAGCCGCAAGAGGAAGAATCATTTCCAGTCGAAGATCGGAGGAGGACGACCTGGAGCAGGCACACAGGGGCGGAGAAGGAGGACACAAGAAATGCATGGAACAAGAATCGAACCTAAATCGAATTTCCGACGCCGCTTTCCCCGTCGCGTACTTACTAGAGAAGCTCGTCAGGAAGAAACATGCCGCGAAAGATGATGTAAAAATGCACAGGAGCGACGACGAGGACGAGCTTTTCAGCTTGCTGAATGAAGAGCTTTTTACCGGGCTGAACGGTCTTGGAAGGAATCAGGATCATAGCAAGCTTTTGACGAAGCAACTCAACGTCTGGGGTAGTGGGGCGTCAACTGCTGCTCCAAAGAGCGATGACGCTAGTTGTACTGAAGATTATGCGGAAAGAACTGGTCATCTTTCTAGACACCAGCGCACCGCTGCAACACCAGTAGTACCACCTCGTCATTCCAGCCGCAGCCTCATCGTTGTTAGCGAGATAGCCACTGAGTTGATCCGCCAAAAAAGTATGGAAACGGCACGAACACAGCACACGACGGACGTCCGCGCACTGCAAGAGGCGCGCCGGTGGTCCGCGAAGACTTTGGCTGCGGGGTTCGGATCGATGTTTGTAGAAAATTATCATCGTAAAGTCGCTTCAGTGACGGAAAAAGTCAGGCTCGACGGCAGCTCGTTTGACAAAGATGTTGAAAAGATGGAAAGTACTGTCGTGGAGGCACGAGGAGCCGACCAGACAGGAGTAGAGGCACCAGGTGATGGTATACGACGCTCAACATCTGCTGGCGCTGCTCCGATAAGGAGCAAAGCTCTCATGTCCTTTCTGAGTCGGGCGTATGCAAAGAAGTTTTTCTATGAGCTTCTGAAAAATCGCGGGCCCAGTAGCCGACAGAACTATGCGGAAGAGAGCCTACGGGACGCAGAGGAGCAGCAGCAGGGAACAAATGTGCCCGAAAATCCTGATCTTGAGCATCACGGGTTTGCTTTCGGCCCGACGCTGAAAGTTCATGATATTTCTTCAGCAATACAGGGACGAGCGGAAAGCGAAGAGCTGTCAAACCCGTACCTAGGTTTTGTGGACTGGTTGATCCGACAAGCAGAAGATGGCCAGCAAATTGACCGGGCCGAGGAGCACCAAAGTGCGGAAGTTGACGAGGCTGTTGTTTCGACTACAACTTCTGGGCCTTTCGCTTTCGGCATAGATTCAACATTCGCAGAAAAAAATAAGCCTGCTTCTCTCGTCGGCCGCGAGACGAAAAGTTTATTCTTGCGTCTACGCCCAAGGTGGCACGCGGTGGACGAGGAGCGGCAGCTTTTTGTGCTAAAAGTTCCCGTGAGAAACAGGGCTGATGTTGGAAGATTAGTGAAAGCATACCTACCCGAAAACCCCGCGTTCTTCATCTTCGACAAAGCATTCATGTTCGCAAATGCGGCTATTCGGACCGAACAGCACGAAAGGACAGCTAAGCTGCTGGAACAGTTTGCAACCGAGCTGCTCTTGGCTACGCCGCAAAAGGACCATACGACAGGTGGACTCGCTGCAACAGTCACAGACGTTGGGGAGGGGGAAGACGCGACAAGAAGCTCGGAGATGAAGCACGTCGCATACAAGTTCATTGGGAAGGACAACGGGAAAGTGTTAGCCTTTTCACCGGTGTTATTCCACAAGGCGGGAAAGGTCACGCACTATGAAGAGCAGCAGGAGAAGCCCGCGAAAGCTGGTGCAGGAGAGTCTGTTTCCCGAGCAGAAAGTCCTTTGAAGTCGCGTCCTCGCCCGGCTGCAACCGAAACGGAAACATCAACATCTTCTTTTGGCGAAACGTCTACCGGTAATTTTCCTAGCCCTTTTGACTTTGGAATAAAACCAAACCCCCCAGGACAGCGCAGCTCTGTAGTATTGCCTGTGGACGAGAAGCAAGTTTCACCCCCTTGTTCAGAAGTCGTTTCCTCGAAAACGGCAGTGAGTTTCGAGCGGAGACTGGTTTTACTGAATATGCAGAGACTTGAGGAACTGGAGCGGGAGGAAGCCGTACCAGATTTGTATGAGGGGCAAGAGAAACCGGAGCCACCATGCACGGCCGCACCCGCGGTCGCGGATTTTGCATCGGTCACGGAACTCGTACCTGCAAAGCGGAGTAGAAGTAGCAGCCGCAGATCAGCGCCAGTGGCTAAAAGGAAGCGGTCTTCATTTTCTCCGGCGAAAATAAGGAAGCGGTCCGCGAAACCGAAGCGTTCTACAAATCGGGCGGGGCTACGGCGCTGAAAGCTTGTTGCATTATCGATGTGCGATGAATATACAACAAGTTGTGGAGCTGATACTGATTGGAAAAATACTTGCGGCAAGGATTTACGAATTTTGCGAGGGGTATTGATCATATCAAGTTTGTAGCATTATTCAAGCGCATGCGCACTCCGATATAATCGCAAAAAAAAGCAGCTTCCACACACGTAGTCAGGTGACCTTATGATGATTCACAGTCAGGTGACCTTATGTATGATTCAGACAATGCCGCACACAAATGTTTTTTTTCTCGTGTTTTTCCCCTGGAAAGCGCGCATGGCAGACTTCCTGAATCGTGTGTTCGTTGAAATGGACAAATCCGCCCTGGGTGTGGGTATTTAGTACTTATGAGGCTGATGTACTTCTTACGTTTGTTCCCGACGCAGAAGTATTGTGAGAGAGGTGGGAGTTGCAGTTGCACAGTCTCTGATATGTTGATAGATACGTCTGTATACTTCTCTTCTTGGGTGGTTCGCCTTCTTCCTGCAGGTCGCATAAAGTTGATTTACGCGTATTAATTTTTCAACAAAGTAAGAACATTTCGTCCTTGAGAAAGTGAAAAGTACAGGAACGGTTATGGCAACAGTCTACAAGTCGCAAACTTTCATCATCTTCTTGCGCACCAAGATAAATGGGCCGAAAAACGCCGGCTGATTTGTTTTTATTTGCTTGTCTGACTTCCCATCTCTTTGTATTTTCGTTCATCTACTTCTACACCAAAAAGAAAAATTTCTTTACAGTAAGCACCCAGTTACTCTAGACGAAGATTATGTACGACGATTTCGATCGTGTCGCCGGTTTTGCGTTGCCCTCTCATTCTGGTGAACACAATCTGCCGGACCACTATCGTCAGCAACGGGAAATGGCAGCGTCTAGTTATAATTTATGGATGGCAAAGCAAAGAAATATGTAGTCCGGGTCTGGAATTTGCATTGCGTTTGTTGCATGCCTGCGCAATCTGTGTTGCATGACCTGCAACAGCGCAGCCTTGTCTGTCATCCAAAAACGCATTTTTGCATGCGGATGCGTGCGACGTTTCAGAGGGCGTTGCAAAACCTTGCCATGCTCGACGGCTGCAAGTAAGTAGACGCGTTTCGATCACCTGTAAGTCTGCATCTTCGCAGGTTCCCAGACCCAGACATATTTGCAAGTGATATGGTTCTGCTTACACGAGCCACGAGCAGCACGACGAGGCAGATCTGGTCAACATGGGCGAAGAGCATCGACACTCATCTTCGCGGGGAGTTGTACTAGAGCACCAACGCCGCGGGGTGTCAGGGTCCTATCGGCATCACGACCGCGGCGGCCCGGCACCAGCTGGCCAACAGCACGTGCGGTCTTACCGGAGTACTAGCAGCAGTTCTTCCTCTTCTACGAGTAGTTCGCATGTTGACCACGCTCATTCGCAGTATGCTTATCGTGGCGCACCACAACGGGGGCAGCATCATGAGTTGTACAGCAAACGGGCCGCGGCAGCAGTGGAGCCACATCAAGCCTCCCAACCGCCGCGACAGCCGGCACTGTCCGCCCGCCAGTGCAAGAACTTGTTGCAGCGACTGCAGATGCTTTCGAAGCTGGCCAAGATGCACATGGTCGGGTTGCCGGACGATAATTATTTGCAAGACAGCAAGGACCCGTACGCCAAAATTCGTGCGCAGGCGGCAAGGATTGAGCTGGCAAAACACCGGCTGGCGAACCTAAAAGATGCGGCGACACAGACAGAGGGCGATTATGGTACTGGAAGTACTTCTGGTGCCCAGGTGAAAACAATAACTTCGTTGGCGAACGAGTCTACTGGCGCTGCTACGAATGTAAACAGTAAGCAAGAGGCTGGTATTGAAAAGTGTGAGATCAAGAACTACATGGCTCTAGTGCCGACATCCCCCTCATCTCCAGGAAGTACACCTTTGTCATCTTCTGCTTCCGATGCAGCCGCAGCCCCGAGGAGCAAACAAGACAAAAAAGCCTCCCCCAGTCGTCCGAGCGCTTGTGGCGAAAAAGTGCCAGCAGAGGAAGTAGCACCTAAAACAACGACGACGGCGACCCTTGGGCAGGACGTCGTACAGATGCCGACAAGTGATGTTTCTGGCGTGGCGGGCGATGAACCTCGTCCTGGAGGTCGTGAACGAGAGAAGTCGTCTGATGAAGGAGATCACAGGGGTGAGGATTCCTGCGACCAACCGAGGAAAAGGAAAGTGGTGCTCTGCAGCCCCCCGTCGAGTAAGAATGCCTCCTCCAGCTGCACTTCAGACGCGGAAGTCACGCACGATTTGGTGGAACATCTGCATGTTTCATCTTCGCGCATGGATGTCCGGGAAAAAATGAGTGACAAGCACATGCAGGATGTGATTATCGCCTCTTCCACCTTTATTGGTTCATCAACCGCCAACAATAATTACACCGCAGCCGGACCACCAGGAGCTGACCAGGGTTCTCCCCTGCCCTTTTTCCGCGACGAGGGGACAACTGTTGTGACGACTGATGTGGACGACGAAGATGGTGAGCAAACATTCGACGTTCCGGGCGTTGTACATGAAGATGAATCCGTCGGAGGTGCAATTGTAGAGATGGAGATGAACATTATAAATCATGCTAGTGCTCGTAGTACTGTGACCCTAGTAGGTGGAACCGTTGTTGCAGATGAAAACGACGACGCTGTTGACTCGGCAGCCGCTCGCGAGCGAGAAGGCGAGATGCAAAAAGTGAAAGCCACCTTGTCCTCCCCTGATAAAGCGCAAGAAGCGGAAGAGGAGATGAACATGAATCCGGAGCTGAGCGAGTTCTGGCGACAGTGTGAATCGACGTTGCAAAAGCTTGACGTGCCTACTATTGCGAAGAATCCGGAGCTGCGCCAGTTGCTGTGTCGGCACTTGTTCGAGAAGCACGGTAGGGAGATGAGCTTGAGTTACTCCTCGTCGTCCTCGGCAGAAATAAACGCGGGAGCGGCCAGCAGCAAACCTGCCTCAAAAAGCTCAACACCGGTAGGTGCACTGTCCTCTTCTGGAAGTAGTGGCGGCGTATCTGCAGGTTTTGTCTCGGGCGCCGGCCGTTTTATGCTGGACAATTTTGCCGCCGCGCCCGCCACCGAATTTGACAGATTTTTCGAAGAATCAAGTACTTGAATTGTCGTACTAGACACGCTTGGTTTATGCGCTTTTTGCAGCACAAATCTTTTCGGCTGCCTTGTATCTATTCGCACGATGATGCTTTTTTTTGCCGCACCTAAAACCAAGGATTTTGCAAGTGCTGCATTAGAGGGGCCCACACGATGGACGTTGTCGATTTCAAACTCTGGTAGCGCGGGGGATGATTGTAGTGCATACGCTTGTCTTCGAAAGAGTGCGAGTTGAGCTCCTCCAGCACGTTGATACTGTCGGCGCCGCCCGCATATCCAAGGAAAAAACCGTTTCTCTGTCGTGAACTTATGATGCAGAGGAGGCAAGGCGAAATCAGGCAAGAAAAGGGATTCGCATTCATCTTTTCTCTGTTAGAAAGAAAGTTAGTGCCACGACACATGCTTGATTTTCTGTGTCATGTGAAACAAACTTGCCATGTCTTGCCAGTCCTGCAAAATCAAGATCACACTGGAACGCTTTTTCTTTCGTTCGATACCGCAGCTAGTGTGGGTAATATTTCGCTTGCAGGAAAAAGTAGAGATGAAGTAGATCCAACCGCCAGTGGGTTTGACCTAGAACTTCTTCAAGCGAAGAGCAACAGGAAAAGGGAGAATAAATTCGTCGTGGGCCGTTTCGATCAGGAAAATAAGCTAAATCCGAGCGTCGACGAAGATTTCACACTCTCGGAAGACGAAGATGATGAAATTAGGGACAAGCAAGCAGACGAGCCGCGCTCAACGGACCACCACGACGAAAAGGTAAAAGTAAAAGTATATGATGAATAATACCGATACCCGCATGGATCATGTAAGAACGTTGACACGGCTGCAGAGCGAGCGCGATGCATATTTCTACGTTCTGTTTCTGTCTTGTTGTATACGTTTTCTTTTTTTTGTGAAACAAAACAGGAACCACTAGAGCGCCCGCGCGAGGCGGAGGCAGCGCCGGAAACCGAGCTACCGAAGGCTGTTGTCACTTTCCCAATAGCAACGACGACAAGATCGCAGCGCCAGCGTGAAGGGGGACTAGAGGACGGGCAAGAATTCCGGTTCGCGCCGGACCTGCTGCAGATGCACCTGAGTAAGACCAGTAAGAGCAGCACCAGCAGCAGCAGCAGCAGCTCCGCTAGCAGTTCTGCTTTCTCACCGGATAGCGAAATGGTTGTACCAGCAGACGTCGTTGCAAGGCAGGGAGAAAGCGGCGAGGAGCGGCGAGGTGGAACACCAAGTAACGCGCCGGACCGCCCGGTAGATGATTTTCCTTTTGCCGCCCCTGGTACCTCTTCTTTGTCGAAAAGCACGAACCGCACACTGAGCCCACAAGCACCCGGAGATTTGATTACCTCGGGTTGTGAGCGACCTGATGGCGAAGATGGACAGGAGGAAGACCACAGCGTCGCGCGCCCAGGTCAACCTCCGCCGAAAAAGAAAATCCTGTCCGTCAGCAGACGCGTTGCGGGAGTCTCGTATTGCGTGCAAAAGCATCGAGTTTTCAATCTGCATGGTACCACTTGTTGTAGAGAGTGGACAAGATAAAAGGATGAAAGTTGACGAAAAGGTTTGCGTGAACTTCTACAGCAGCAGTGGCTTTTCTCTTGCGTAAGCGTAGGCACTTCATCTTCTACAGTATACGTTTTTGTTTTACATTTCGAGGTTGCTTGTTGTATATCTAATATGCACCTTGTATTCATCGCGGTTGCGGTAGTACGAATATCGGATGCGGTACTTTTGCAGGGGATAGAGTGATCGCGCCATCAACAACGGCAGGGGGCAGTGGGACCACGACGGACCGCGATCATTCGAATAATTACGCAACAAGTCAATATGGGCATGGTCATGGTCGGAGCTCCGGATTGCCGGCTACTTCCAGCAGTAGACGACGCACCTTGAGCAGAAACAAGTACAACGGACAACCTTCCCACGTCGAAGTGGGTCGAGATCCTGTTTTGTTCATAGAAGCAGCTAGTACAACATCTACATCAAAACACCCCGCCAGCACAACTGGTGCAACACCAAGCGCGATCTCCGCGAGCGCTCGGGGCTCGGGGTCGGACCGTCGCAGGAGTGCGCGGGGGGACCGGACTGGTCGGGGTCGACTAAAACAAGCAGTGGCGACGGTGAGCAACCAGCACCTTCTCGCAGAGGCGTCGCCGCAGAGTGGTACTACTAATGTCGGATCGTCGTGGTCGCAGCAGCTGTCTTCAAGTCAGTCCCGTGGATCGTCCAATCACCACAATTTTCAACCGAGCGGTCGGCGAAGGACGCAGTCCATGGGGCGCGACGATGCGAAAGACGTCCAGAAGCCGGGCGAAGTTCAAATACAGCGAAGCAGCTACGAGGTCGAGGTTGATCCTGCCAACGGCGCGACTGCGAATCCAGGGAATAAGAGTAGCAAGTCATCTTCTTCTGTTCTGTCCAACAACAAGACCACCGCCACGCGTGCATCCACTGCGTCAAGCAAGCAACCTAGCGCGTCGAATCTCGCTTCCGCTCGAGGTTCGGGTAGACGGAGCACTGTGGGCGCAGGCGGTGCTGCAGCTGCGGGGGCTACAGATCAAAATTATGGTCAGCACGGAAGTTCAAGTTCATCGTCTGCGGAACTTTTTCATCACGGGGAAACTACAAAACAACACCCTCTGCATCACGGCGCCACAAAGATTCCTCCACCGCCGACGAGCGCCACGAATCCCCGAGCGTCGAATAACAAGCAGTATAGCTCCGTCCCCTACCCGACGGCGGCCCACAACAATCCACTTGCCGGCGGTGCTGCTCGGGGGGAGCGTGATCGTGAACGTAATTATTCGAATCGCGGTGATGCGACCCTGTATGCCCATGACGCAGGAGAGGGTCCTAGTGGGAGTCCTGATAACAGGACCAATCATGCGAAAGAACGCGTCAGCGTCCTGGTCAATCCGCCCCCGGGCGACAGAGAGCAGTGCGGTTCATTCTTGCAAGGAAGCAGTACTCCGGTTTCCGAAGCTGCGCCGAACAGGAACTTGCACTCTTCCAAGTCCGCACGGCAGTTGAGTCGAGGGACGAGTCCGCGAGAAGGAACTTCGGGAACATGTTCTGCTTCGAGCAGCAGCACCACGAACTTGCTTTCATCAAGTAGCATAAACAACTACATGAAAGCGGGTTCCTCTGTTTCGTCGACCGCTGTCCCCGGAGGTCGCAGAACGTCGCTCGGGGGCCATGATAGAGTCGGATCTTCAGGCTATCACGCTGCCCCGGGTACTACAGCACCGGCATCCGAACGGCAGCACAGCGACGCGTTCTTACCTCGGGGCAGGCGTCGCCCCTCGGCATCCCGTAGCCCACGGGAGAAGTTGGAGCACCGCAAGCCGCGCGACAAAAATAAGATGTCGGCTTCATCATCATCTGGTAAACCCGGAACAAGTACTAGTAGCTCCGCTCCATCTGGGACAACAACTACGATGCGAGGACAAACTGACGGCCTGAATAAAGTAGATTTTCGCGGAAAAACTAACACGCGCCGCGACGAGGACGAATTCCAGTCGGAGCACGGTATGAATACGGTCACAACTACTAGTCCGCGACGAAACATCAGCAATTTCAGTGACCACAAGATTGTGATGCCCATCAAGATGGTCGAGGTTCAGGAGCGTGAGCGGGTTCCTGACGTCTTCGAGTTGGTCCAGAACAGCGCCAGGCAGACACCCACGCCCGCGGGTGGAGGTTCTGGTGCGGGCAACTCTGCAGCGCTCTTACGGGCGGACGTGGATCTTCACAAGGAGGTTGACGTCGAAGTCGTGCCCGCGGAGGCGAATGAAAATTCGTCGCCGCGACGAGAACCTGCTCCCGGTTTGGACGTGGAGCATCAAGCAGAGGCTTTGTCTCCTGTTGAGGCTGACTCAGTAGCTTCAGGCTATCCAATCGCACCGGACGACCGCGAGAACAGAACACAATATCGCCGTGGTGGTCAACAACATCAACAAGAAGTCTTAACCACGCCGCCGCAACCTGCCGGAAATTATAACTCTATCGAGTTGAAGGAGAGCATTATCCTTGCCACACCAGAGCGGCCGGGGCCGAGCTCGTCTGCAGCGGGTGTAGTTGGGCGGGGTAAGAGGAGATGTTGTTGTTCATACGTTTCTTGTATAATCATGAAACTTGTGCTCGAGCTTGTAATGGTAAGGTAAGGTATTTGGATGATGTGCATCTCTGGAACTACTGCGTCAGCAAGTTCATTTTACAAGAAATTTGTCAAAATCAACATGGCAGGCCAGCCAAACGGCGCTTCTGCCACGGGCAGCAACACCATCGCGGCTCCGCCACCGTCAAGCTCTTCTGCTGTCGCGCCGTCGAGGAAAGCAAAAACCGCCGCGGCGACTCCGGAACCACCACGACACGGGAATCATTTTCAGTACAGGTTTGCTGTGCAGTGCTTAATACTTTGTGACGAACATGATCAACCACAGAGCGAAAGTCATACTGTCGGAGCTTTTGCTTTTCATCTTTCAACTTGGTTCGAGGTGGAAGTGCATGCTTCGAAACCACCTTCTACTCTCCAAATAAACCAGGATTTCCACTGGAGCATTCAGCGGAACACCCAGCGGGCAACTGAATAGTCCCGGCAGTGCGCTTATGCAGTGAAAAAAGTATCGTGCCAGAACTAGTAGGAATCGCTCATTCAAGAAATTTGTGCATGCTCAACGCTGCTTTTGTATACTAGAAGTGGTACGATGCTTTTGCACAGGATAGCGGTGATGGAATTTTACCAAGGCGGGACAGGAACGAGACCGACGACCAATGCCTCGTCTCTGTTACGAATCCAGCAGCCGAAGGTTTTGCCGACAACAAGGGTATAAATGGCGTGGCTTGAGCGTTTTGTCGAGCGTATGATACTTAGTACTATCGAACAGGAGTCGTCTTTATTGTGCTGGTCCTTAGTACTGGAGTCGTCTTTATTGTGCTGGTCCTAAAAATAAAGAGACCGGTACGCGCTGAGGCCTAGATTTGTAATCACGATGCTACGACGAGGGTTAGTATTTTTGTGTCGAGCATACCATCGGGGAAAGCAGGGGGCCCCCGCCTCCCGCCCTCTCGCCCGCTGGGTATCCCGCCTCCGCAGGGGGCCCCCGCCCTTCCGCCTCCGCAGGGGGCCCCCGCCCTTCTTCCGGCCGGGCCGCCCGCGGGAGGCCGGAGGGGGCCCCCGTCCTTCTCCGCGGTAAGTCCCTCCCGCGCGCAGGGGGCCCCCGGCCTCTACCAGCGGTGCCCAAGGGGGCCCCCCGCCTTTCTCTCCCGCGCGCAGGGGGCCCCCGGCCTCTACCAGCGGTGCCCAAGGGGCCCCCCACCTTTTTCACCTACCCGCGGGGGGCCTCCGTGTTGGTCGGGGTCCGCCGCCTTCTTTTCTCACTCGCATGCAAGGCCTCCTGTCGCGTACATCGCTCCGCGCCCACAACAGGGGAAACGCAGCGGGGGCCCGCCGCGCAGTCGGCCCCGCTGCCGCAGGCAGCGAGCTCGCCCTGGTGTCCGGCCGTCCCAAGCGGCAGCACATTCATGGGGCCCGTGCGGCTGAAGTGAACCAGTAGCGCCGCCTAGGCCTCTTCGCGGGGTCAACCGCAAATACGCGGCCGGAGTGAGCCAGTAGTCCCGCCTAGGAGGCCTCTGCGCGGGGTCAGCCACAAGTACGCGGCTGGAGCAGGGCAGACGTACGCAAAGGCCCGCGAATAACGCCTGAACACAGGGCGACGGCTACGTGGGACGGCGGGCACAGAGTTGGGCATGTTGACGCGCTGTGTGCGGCCGCCGACGTGGAAGTGCTGCCCGCGCGTGCCGAGGTGATCGGCCTGCGCGAGCGGGGGGCCTCTGCAAGAATTAGGGGCAACAGCCGTAATGGGCTGTGACTAGTGTGCGCGTTGGTTAGGAAGACCGCTTGACTTTTGTTTTCGTGGAATACGCCTGTTCGTTGTGTGGTTGTCAATACGCCAGAGCGACAACTTTCGGGGCCGCGAGTTGTCGCTCTGGCGTATCGTTGTCGTTTTGGCGTATTGACAACCACACAACGAACAGTATGTATATGGCGTACTACAGTGACAACCACAAGAACCCGAGAGACATTCCGCGCGACAGGCAAAGACCAGCAGTGCGGTGGGGAATACTGCCCGCATGCGCCGCCGCACGCACTACGCGCGCGGGAGAATATTGACCCCAAGCGCTGGCGCAACCATTTGTCAGGGCACGCAGTGCGCTGAGCAGTCGGCGCCGTGCTGGTAGGACGTGCGGACCCTGACCCGCGTCGGCGAGGGCCGCCACGGTAAAAGTAGACACGCGCGCGGGCGATAAGCGGAAACACTGCCCACATGCGCCGCGGTGCGGGTCGCGATTCCCCAGCGTGGCGGTCGCGACCGACAAACCACGGAAACCGACTCCGGTCGAAAGCCGGCGCGTACCATCGCGATTCGAGATAAAATCGCAGCGCTTGTTCCGATTTGTGTCACGGCGAGACACATCGTAAAAAAAAGGCCGTGCCGTCGTGATTCGGCTGCGCGACTTGTGCGAAATATCGCGGAAAACCAGGACAAAGCAACTCCGCAAACAGGGCCCGTAGCAGCGCGATTCGCGACACAAGTGCTAGGCTTTTGCGCGATTTTTTGCACGGTGCAAAAACTCGCGCAAAAGAGGCCCTACCATCGCGATTAGCATAGCAAACAAAGCAACTTTTGCACGATTTTCACTAGTTTCGCGACAAATCCCGGGATTCGGGAAATCCCGGGATTCCGGAAAGACGTTAGTAAAAGACAAAAGCAAAAACCAGAAGACCTTGAACGGCCAACCCGCATGGTATGGTGCGCGTAGGCTACTGAAATCCTTATAGTTTCGCAGTGTAACAAAAGCCGTTCGCGTTCCACGAGGGCACCGCGCCCGGGTATATGCGCAAGGTTTGACCCCAATCACAATGGTAGTGCAAATAATTCTAGGCCTCAGCGCGTACCGTTCTGGAATCAAAATGCGTTCTCGTGTTCAAGAAGCCATCACACCTCAGATCCCTCGGATGCAGTTGGACTACAATTTTAGTGGAGCTTCTGCAGCCGCAAGCGGCAACCTGCCGTTCCGCTCCATGGTCGGCGTCCAGCATCTTCCTGGGTCGCCGGTGACCGCCGGCGGGCCGCTTATGGGGTCGTCCACCGGTGGTCAACAACACCAGTTTGCGGTAAACAAGCCCTCGTATCAAGCGCGAAGTCTCTCGCCTCCGGCGCCCATGGTCGGTGGCACAACCCTCGTGTTTCCCCCAGCAGCAGCCGGCGGGCAGAACGGGAAGTCTGGGGGAAATGGCGTTGGAGCAGCAGCAGTTCCCTCTCCTGGTACGGCAACGAATGTTCAATTCGAGGAACCCGCAGCAGGGGGAAGTCAGCAAATAGGTACAGAAACTACGGGCATCAAATAAGTTTCAAAGAAATTCAAATTCTTAGAAGCAAAAAAATAATTTAGTCTTTGCTCCTCTTTTCGAAGACGCACTGACTTCGTCGTGAGTAGCAGAGAATGATGGTGACATATCAGGTAGCGCCGCCAACAATCTTCCCTCGGCAGCAGCTGCATCGGCAAACGCCAGCTTTTTTCCGGCAACGACCACGACTGGTGTGATGAAATTTCATCCCCTGAGCAGCCAAGTGTCGCCGCGGCTCTTTGATTTGCAAACCCGAGCTGCTGGAGGTGTTCCTCTGGCTACAAACAGCCGCAACCGGAGCGGCGGGAAACCGGCGCTGCAAAATTTCGATTTTCAATCCCACGGGAAATCTCAAGTTCCGTCGCCGGGAGGTGTGTAAGTGGCAGCAAAGTAAAAGGTGCGGGGCAGCATCTTTGGGGACAAGTTTTGACTCTCTCAAGAAAACATGCTAGATTTTTGGCGTAGATTTTATCCATTGTCGAGATTCACCGAAAAGATGAAGAAGCGGTTTGGGTCTCTTCAAATCAGAAGGCTCTACTGCTGCATGTGCAGCATCGTGAACAAATCCAGGTTAGTCTTGCAAAAAATTTTTCAATAAGATAATTTAGCCTGCCCCTGCCGAGCTGATGCGGCCCTGTTACAATCCCTGCTAGAGCTGTTTTTCAGTTCTAGGCCTTCTTCCCCAACGGTTAGAAATTCTCTGTATGCTTCGACTCAACATGGAGATAAGTGTCGTGGTTCACAGCATTGCCATCTGCGTCAAATCGTACCGGTTTTCGTGGTTTTTCACGAAAGAACATACAATTTTCATGCTTTTTCTCCATACCTCACCGTCGTCCTCTTTGCCTCGTTCGTGCAACACCAATTTGCGTCTTTTCGTCATCGTTCTCCACGTTGCAAAACTACTCGTTGCGAGATAGGTCGTTCGTCGCGTTGTTCTTGCGTTTCCTCATTGATTTTCACGTCAATCGAGAAGCTGTTTTACCAGTAGTTTTGATGCAATCGTTCTTGTCGTGGCTGTAATGTGTTTTTCGTCCTACAATCCGGCCAGCTTTACCCTACCCCAAAAGGACATGACTTTATAGAAACTCTTAGCCGCCGAGTCTCCACATACCTATCTGCGATAGATTTCATGTTTTTTCTTCCCACTATATTTGTAGTAGAACGACCGCGACATCATGATCCCGACCCCGAAAGTGATTTACTAGCAGCGGCGCACTAATGAAACAAATCCATTGTTCATCAGATTACGATTATCAGTCATTTTACCAGTAGACCTACTACAGTAGAACGAACTACATGTGCTGTTTAGTTTTCACAGTTCCGTGGTCGATCGTCCGCAATGGGTCCTTTGGGTCGCCGGCCACCGCGACACAAGGACCCATATACGAGCGGTTTCTGGCCCAGGCGAAGCGCGCGCGCTTCGGGTCGCAGCAGTCCGCGGAAAAGGTCGCGGGGTTTCTGTCCTGGCGGTTTTCCCAGCTGTGCCTGCTGCCGTTTTTTTACTTGATCCGTGGAATCATCGACATGACGGACGTGCGACTGTACGATAATTTCAGGGACCACGTGGAGGAGACCGTGCCTAACAACAGTACTACCATGGCCCAGGAGGTGGTTGCCGAGCTGGCTCCCTTTTTCCGCACGTTGGGCCTCGAGGACCGGTTGCTGGATGCGGTGAATGTGTGCAACATCCTGTTGCTACTCCTGTGCATCGTGTTCAATTTCGGGCCGGAATACTTTTTGAAGGGAGGAACAGCAGCTGTATCAGAAGTAGGGGAGAAAAATCATGATAGCTTGCGGCCTTCACGTCGAAGTGACAGCGCCGGGAACTACAGGAAGACGTCTCGCACCCCAGCTGAAGATGTCCTCGAGGGTAGTGCGACTTCTGCGACCGAGGAGAGAGTAGAACTTCTATCCGAGGATATGGATGGTCACAGAGCGGCGGAAAGCATTTTGATGCGGCTCAGGGCGGGAAAAGAGACACGGCAGCGTCCGGAGGTAGAATTTGAAGGAAGTGGTAGTAGATCTGCGTTGGCTGTTGCTGAGGATAATGCTCTAGTACGAGGGGAGACACAACATTCCGAAGGTAGCGCGCCAGAAGGCATAGACGTCACAGCAATTGTAGAGGGGATCATAGAAGATCAAGATCATGGCGACGATGATAGACCACTGACGGAACAGGATATTATGACTATACTGGAGCAGCGGCTGTCTGCGGCAACACAAGAACCAGGTGGCCCAGAGGACGCGAGGACCAGCGACGGTCAGAGCAAGAAAACTGCAGGCGAGAAGCAGGAAGAACAAGATCCGACTACTGCGGCGGGCGCAGTGGATTCCTACCTGAGCATGCTGATTTGGCTGCAGCGCGTGGGCGGGTGCATCCTGATCCTGAGCTTTGCGCTGAGCATGTCGGTGCCCTTTGTGTTGTATCTCCTGATCCCCTTCCGCGCCTGGATCGACGGGACGGGCCTGCAGAAGGTCTTCTGCGTTCGTATAACCCGCTCAGGTGTTACAATCTCAAACGTTACAATAGAATCTGGAATTTGTGTTGCAAGAAGTGCATTATCTAGCCAACTCTCATAGAATTGCGCATGACAAGTTTCGGAGCTCCGAACCGCACTAGAATCTGGCGAAATTTGTATTGCAGAAAGCGTAACGCTCTGCGAGTCTGTCATGCTCATCATGCAACACAAATCCCAGATTCTATTGTATGTAGTGAGGTCACCGAACGGCTCTAACCAGGGAGTTTTTTTGACAGTCAGACAGCAAAACGGCCGTCAGTTTTCAAGCCGCCGGAGGCGTTTTTTGACATAAAAAATTTATAATTATCAAGCGGACGGGGCTTTGCCATCAAACAAGCCCGGTCGAAAACTATCGATTCGCACTGGATAAAACGACGCAGGGGAGCCGGCAAAAGGGGCGCCCTTCTGAGGCGCCCGCCGCCTTAGTTTCTGGCGATTTGGGGCGCCCAAAAAGGGGCGCGCAAAAAACGCGCCCAAAATCAGAACAGCGAAACAGCATGGCACGGCCGCGATTTCGGAGCATTTTGGGCGGCCGCGAAAGCGGCCGCCTTTTCGCCGGTTTCAGAGCCTGGGAAGCTTTGCAAAAAGCGCCGGCGTGAAAAATAAAAACGCGAAAAAGAAAAAGCGGCCCGCACGCGCAAAGCCAATCCGCATGCTATGGGCCCGATTTTTCTTCGCTTTTTGGGCGCCCCCCGTGGCACCCGGATCGGCCCCATAGCATGGGGGCTGGCTTTCGGAAAGGAATTTCGGAAATTTTCCAAAATTTGCGACGTTTCCCAAGTGGCCGCCATACCGTGCGGCATAACGTTACTCACGGCGGTATGGCGAGCCCATAGAACGCAAAGCCGCGGCCAAGGCTGCGGTCGGCAAAAAAACGCCCACGACCTCACTACCTCCGCCTCGGCGGCTATTATTGGTAACGTTTGAGATTGTAACGGTTGAGCAGGTCATAGTTCGGGGCGTCGCCTACGTTTTGACAAACGTGTATCCGGTCGACCGGCAGGTCAACGAAACGCTCGTGCTCACGGCCAACGCCTTTGCCTACACAAGAAGAACCAACAGCAGTATTAGAGACGTTCAGGCCGCTTGTCGTGCCTGGTGCAACACTATGTCTTCCGCCCCGGAGAACTCAGGAGACTCTGTTGTCACTAACTACAGAGCAAATGACCGTTGCTTCGGGGAGTGCCTTTTTGCAAAAAGTGTTATACCGGAGAAGAACCAGGTGCAGCAGGAAATTTTAGCAAAAACCTCTCCAGGCCGCGGGATAAAGAACGATAGCAATTGGACGACCATGCCTTCTGTTGATGTTTCCAGGAAGGTTCCGGACTTACTTTTTGTCACAAAAGATGGAGGTGAAGTAGACCCTTTAGCTCACGTCTGGTTTAAGGACGACCAGGCTCACGCGGCGCAGCAATCTGGCGAATATTGGTGGCGTGCACAAATGAAACACGGTAACCCGAAACCGGAACCCAAAACACCAAATACAAGTTCTACGGCCCCCTTCGACCTCCACTATGAAGAACAAGACGAAACAGAACCCAGCAACAGCATGATAAGCAAAAACCGGGAGTTTATTGCGGGCCAGTTGCGGTCTGCGCGTTACGACCTGCTGGGTAGCCAGGACCTGGACGTGGAGGCTTTACTCCAGAAAGAGTTAGAAGCTACAAATAATGGCGGGGATCACCCTGAGTCAGAACGCGGAAAACTAGACCAGAATCTGACTTCATCTCCCCCGACATCTTCTGCCACATCACTTTACACCTACAACGATGTTGATCCGACTGTGTCCCTGAAGGCCGATCCGGCGCGATTCTTTGCTGTGGACCAATTCTGTTCGCACCACGGCAGCGCCTGGAAGGACCAGTTCGATTCCTTCGCCCTCCCCTGCGCAGTCGGCACGGCGGACGCGTGCGATGAGGTTCTCGGGCGGAAAAGGCCGTTCGTTAGCGACGAGGAGACGACTTCCGGGGGTCCTTCTTTTATTTCCGCCGAAGTAGAGGAAGATGAAGAAGATGCATTCGATTTCCCCCAAAGCCAGAGTCCCTTTGTTGGGGCGACTCCTAGTACAGGCTCGTTGGAACAAGACGGAAAAAACTATGACTACACAAGAGGTTCACGTTCATCTGGCAAGATCAAAAGCAAGTCTTCTTGGCGTACCGGCATGAGTGTTTTTTTGGAGCACCAGACGGCACGACAGACGAGAGAAGACAAACTGCATTGGGACACCGACCACATTTTGAATGCTCCTCCTTTCGCCCCCGCTGCTGCAAATGTTGAAAATGAAATTACAAGCTCGTCGTTGTCAAAACCGGTTTGCCTGGACTACGAGCGAAAGGAAAACGATTACGGAAAAAAGGTGCAAAGGGCGGCGCTGGCCTACATGAGTACGTGTCTGGAAGAGATGTATTTTTACCACACGGGCCGGTATTGCGAGATCGAGCCGTTGAGATGCGATGCGGAGGTGCGCGCGGAGCTGAAGAAGAAGGTGTTGGAGACGAAAGCGGAAAAACGCGCGACCGCTCTAACGCCCCCTGCTTCGGTGACAAAAGATTTAGAAGCTGTGCCGCCGGCTCCGGAAGAGATTTTTTCCTCTTCGAGGATTCTTCCTCGTCGAGGACTTTTATCAGGAATAAATGGGAACGACTTCATTGCAGATGATCATGCCGAACCGCAACTTGATCATGTAATAGCTGACGGAAATAAAAATAATTCCACCAATCGGTCCGAGGGTAAAAACAACTACTCCATGCAGCTGCACCAGAATCTCAGTTCAATAGCACCACAAGGACGACCAGTACGACGAGACGTCATGAATGCAGTAAACGATCTTCGTCTAGGTCCGCCCGTTTCCCACCACGACGTACATTATTACGATTTGAATCGTGAGCCGATAGGACAAGACGGGCAAGTCGGAGTAGTTCAAACAAGCTTGGAAGGGTCAAAGGTAGAGGAGGAAAATGACATTAATGTGCTCAGCGCTTGGGATTCCGATTTATGGGAAGAACAGCGAGAAGAACGACATACCCTCGTGCCCACGGAGGAAGACGTTATTTGGCGCGTGGCAATGCAAAGTCACATTTTTCCGGACTGGTGGCAGCGACCCCGGTGGGTGCAGCAGCAACTGTACGGGGAGAAGACCTCCTTCGTCGGCGTGCGGTTCCACCAACGAGCGAAAAGAGCGTTCCGCGCGGCCTTTCGCGGCTACGAGAGAAATCAGGATGTTTCGGACGAAGCGTCAACTTCTGCTTCGCCATCGCGACGACCAAGAAGTGGTGTGGCAGAATCAGGACGTGAGAGGGAAAGCGGATTTGTCGCAGCTTTTTTGCAGAAACGAAGAAAGGGGACCCGGCGAGCATTATCATCTCAGAGGAGCGGAAATAAAGCTGGTTTTCTCGCATTTAAAACGAGAGGTACAACTAGTAGGAGCCATAGTTTCGGGAATATCCACAGTGGGAGAGCATCAGTGGTACAGACGGAAAAAGATGACGAGCAGGTGGATGAGGCAGGAAGAGGCACTGATAATAAGAACCATACCACGAGGGGTTCTCTATCAGCTCCCGGAGGCCGACAGGGGCAGGGGCGATTAGACCGGCGTGGAATGTCCTCGCGGAACGCCACAGGAAGTGGTGAACAGCGCTCGTGGTCCTCCCGTTGGCATGACGCCCGCAACCGGGAAAGACACCAAGGTGTGCTGCTGACCCCGGCCGAAGCGACCGAGGCCATGGAGCACGCGAGCGATTTTATCTTGCGGAACCAACTGAAGTCGGCCGCATTGGAATCCCTGGCGGAGATCGAGCGGCAGATTTTGATCGCCCTGTCCCTGACCATGGGCACCATGGCCTTCATCGCGCTGTTTCCAATCGTGATGGCCCTGGGGACGGGGTTGAGCCAGGCGCTCTCCAACCAGCGGGCAATTTTCGGGGAAAAATCGGGCCAGAGCGCCGTCTGGATCCTGCTGTTGGTGCAGATGTTCTCCTTGCCGTTGTTCGTCACGGCCATGGCCCTGATTCAGCAGCTCTTCGGAGGGGAAAAGTACTTCACGCTTCTCCTCATCTGCGTGGTGATTTTCGTCGCCCTGCCGCTGTTCAAGGTGGTCCGTTTGTCCAACGAAGACACCATGGTGAATTCCAACGCCGCCAAGGCGATTCGCGTCGTCGAAGTGTTGGTAAAGATCTCCTTACCGATCGCGGCGGTGTTCTGCCTCGGGATGCTGGTGTACAACAAGTTTCTTGAGGTGTTCTACTGGGTGGAGCTCGACTACTGGACGCTCGCGACTTCGCTGATCTCCCTGTTTTGTAACTTTATGGCGCGGAAAATGGTGACGGCGCTGGTGTGCACAGATTTGCTGGTCGCGGCCTACTGCTCCATCGAGCTCTGGGAGAGCAACCACTTTCAGGACCCCATGAACGCAAAAATCGTCCAGGACATGGCCGTTTTCATGAACGTGACCCAACCGCAAATGGAAAACAAAACCGACGCGGCGCAGATGATGGCCCTCGGGAAGCAGCGCATGAAGGGGTACGGCGAGCGTTTGAAAATCTTCCTGCAGAAAGCCAAGAGCGGGGACACAAATGATGGCAGTACCGACAGAAGTAAATTAGAATTAGTATTAAAAACTGGATCGACTGATGTATCTTCCAGTAGTGAAATGACGCGCCTGTTGCAACCGTTGAGTTACAAGGAACTCTTAAACCGCGGACGTGAAGGGACCGAGGAGAACCTCTACAACAGGCAGCGAGCCTCTTCGACCTTCATTCGCCCGATCGGCGCGAGTTTTTCGCGAGAGCGCCAGGAGATGCTTGGGGGAGAAGAGATAGTACAAACGAACGCAGCGGAGCATGTAGATGGTCGTCCTACCGTGGTTCCAGAAGAGGACGACGAAAATGTGAGTAACCCGTTGGGCGGCCCCCGACGGTCGATATCGATGTAAGTGAAAGAAGTGATGAATCATCAGCATTATCTTCAAAAAAATATTAATATTTTTTATATTTGTATAATCAGAAGGCTCACTTTTATACGCGGTTAAAAGTACTTGTGGGTAAGAAGGATGTTCTGCTTCTGGCACGAATGCAATTGCATGTATGATACACTAGTAGGTACAGCTCATTTTTGAAGTTCGAAAAAAAAAGACAACCCGCCAGTCAGTGTTGTCCCCGTGTGGGAACTGCAAACGTAATTGAAGCGTTGATCTACGCACGTCGTGCATGTTCTAGTTCAGAGTCAGCTGTCGATTTTGGTCGTGGTTCACCTGGATCTTCTCGGTCAAATTGTCTCAGCATGGTAGAAAGAAAGTTTCAACTGCCTGGAACATTCGTCCGTACAACTCTTGAGGACACCTACCTGTCGTTTCGTTTTCGTCTATATCGTTCTTTCGCGCGCATTTTGCGTATTTTTCATATTGGATGTCGGCTTTTTCGTGTTGTTGAAGTCGGTTACGTTGTGTTGTGATGTTCTTTGTTGAGACAGAAAGCTCATATCCATCGTGTACCGTACTTGCTTTGGTTGGTGCGATCAATGTCAATGTTTCTGCTTCGTCCAAGTTTTTGTCGTGTGTTTTCGTCGGCTTCACACTTTTGAATCATGAATCAATCTAGGCCGTCGTTCTCCTCTGAGTCAAATTGACAACCCGTTATCCTTAGCTCTATGACAATAGAGTTTCAATTTGAAAGTCCAGTTTAGAATGTCGATGTAGTTCCACAAGCGGTAGGAGTTTATACATGCCCCCTTTCTTTTCTTGATTTGTTTCCCCCACGATGAAAAAAGCTTAAAGCTATATATAGTTTCACAGAAGAAAAAAATCTCTAAACACGATGATGAGTATGAGGGCAAAGATACATGACCCGGGCACCACGACCAGAGCAAGGGGCTTCCGCTTCCACGCCTGCATAATTTCTAGTCTGGTCCCTTCCTTAGTGGGCGCGTTTTTGATCTCGGAAAATAAGCAAGAAAGTGGAAATAAAGCGAAAACCACCGAGGAAATAAGCGATCATGGCGTCGACGAGTGGGTACAGCAAAAGGAGGCAGAGGGGGAAGGGTGGCGGAAGAACAACTGGGTGACCTTTAAGGACGAGGTTTGCAAGGGGCACGACGTGCTGACGATCGAAGCAGCGGAATGCAAGTGCCCCTTCGGGACGGGTTACATCGGCGAGATTTCGTGGCCGGACTACTCCTTCACGCCGAACACACCTTGCGCTTTGGCGTCCACTCGCAAGGAGTGCGAAGAATTCGCGGCCGAGAAAGGAAGTAGTAGTACAAGTTTTGGGGCAGCAGCAGGAGCAGCACACCAGCACACAGCGACCGGTGGCTCCTCTGTGGACTGGGAATGCGAGTGGGTTCCCTTTGCCTACAGCCAAGACGACGCACCGCTGAAGTACGGCGCCTGCGTGTCGCACGGACCCAACCACCCGAAAGACGAGATCGCCCCCGGCGTGATTCTACTGGGTTGGTGCTTTGTCTCCGGGTACGTCCTCCACGCCTCCGGGCCCTACTTGTGGCTGCGCTTGCTGTTTCGGCGGACCACACGGCATTTGTTGAATGCCGTTGGAGTTATCGGTGTGCTCGTGCCTCTATTGCTTTACCTGGTCAAGCCCAACGCCCAGGAGGAGCGCCCTGCGGCGGCCTGTGCGTCCTCGTATGGGATGCCGAGCGTGCATTCGTCGGTGGCGACGGCATTGATGACCCTGTACCTGCTGCAGCTCGCCTACGCCACGGACCGGGCGTCGGTCCGGATTCCCGGCGCCTTTGAGAACGGGGAAAGAAGGAACAAGCGTGCAGGAGGGGGTGACCTTGAGCGCGGTGGGGGCGATGAAGTTGACAATACGATGATCCTTCCGGAGCGACGCAGACACCTGGGCAACGAAACGTGTTTACTACAGTGCGCCCAGAACATCTATTTCCAAACGACGCAGTTGTGCAAATCTCTGCTGTCGTCTTTCGGCAAGTGCTGCTTTTACTCCGATGAGTACGAGTATTCCCACGGCGAGGCGGTCTTCTGGGCCGGGTTTCTGGTTTTGCTGTGGTTTCCGGTCGGGCCCTGTCGCGTGGTGTTGCGGGACCACAGTGTGTCGCAGACGCTGGTTGGGAGTTTCATCGGCTGCTTCTTCTCCATAGTGTGGTTCCAGGTCACCCGCGCGCTGGAAAGCTGGTTGCTGCCCTGGATCGGGAGAACCTATCTTTTCGTATCCAAAGGAAAAATCCCCCCTCCCCATATCGAAGAGTTATGTTTCCGAAAATTTGTGTTGCTGATTTGAGGTCACAAATCACATTTGTCCTGCAAGAAGACAAGGGCAGAACCTTCCGCCCCATTATGGAAGCGATTTGTCATGCTGTTGGGCCTAAAAGTGAGCCGTTTGTCGTGCTGAGCAACTAGACCCATACGCCCCTACCTAGCCGGGGGATCTGGCCGTAATGCCTCTCTGCAATACAAACCTGATTTGTGTACGCAAATCCTAGATCGCTGCCACGCGGAGCCACCCCCGTATTTCACCCCCAGGGGGTTGCGGACCTGGCAAAGCCGATGAGTTCGGGCTGCTGACTGTTCCACCTTCCCTAAGTGTGATCACTGCCGCCTCACGCCTCACAAATCCAGCATCAGAAATTCCGTTTTGATATGGGGAGGGGGGATTTTTCCTTTTGATATTTCGGGCTGTTTTCCCACGATTTGGCGCCGCCCTTCTACAAGTTCCGGTACGCGGTGAAAGCGGAACACGTGCCGGAATTCGAGCGGGTGAAGAAATTGAACCTGCCCGAGGGCCACGAAAAAAAGATTCGTTTGCAGCAGCTGCACCGTTTAGCAGCGGAAAGGATCATTCGGCAGCTAAATTTCTACCGAACCAACCGCGAACTGCAGCACGAGATGGCACTGAGCTCCGCGGGAAACGGGCGGATTGGTGGCGACGAGGAAGTCTTGAAGCGGCGTGCGAAGGTGCAGGAGGTCATTGATCTGCAGCAAGAAGTTGCGGACGTCGTTGGGTTGAATTTGAAGGACGTCCTGTTTCGCATTCAGAAGGGAACAACTGGTGCACAAGTCGGAAGTGCTGCTGCTATGTTGACGGGGGAAGGAGCAGGTACCAGAGGATCCACTGTACCAGCGGAGCAGCAGTACCGAGCGCGTCCGTCCGCGGCTGAAGCGGAGCAAGGGGGAGGTGCTGTGAACTCCGACGGTTTTCTCGTCACTGCTTTCGCCGGAGGGGAGAGTGGAGATGTCGAGGGCACGACCGGAGGGGGCAACGCAGTACAACAGCCCCTGTTGGCCAGTGCCAAGAGAAGCACAAACGCAGACGCCCGCATAACAACGGGCATTTATCCGGCAGGCGCTGGAAAAACCAAAACTTCCGTGGGAGGCGCAGGAAGTAGTGCGGCTTGAGCATCTCCAGGGGCACAACTACAAAGTACAGAGGGCGAATCGTAGAAGGCCCGAAAATGGAAATCATCGACTATTCTGTTCTGAAGATGACGGCGTAGAAAATTACGTACGAGTACATTTAGAACGTAAGTAGCTTTTCGCAAAACTTGATTTAGTTCAAGTTCACTGCCTATGTTTTTATCGCAACCTTATACCCCCGTACACTAAACATTTCACGCCTAATATACCAGCTAGCACTAAATACACGAATAGGAACCTCGACTCTAGACAGATTGTAGGCAAGAGCGTTTTTCTATTTCTTTTTTCTCTTGTTTAGAAAGTTGAAGTAATCGATCCTCGCCTTTTCGTCCGTTTCTTTTGGTCATGAAGGTCGTTCTGTACCCCAGAAGACTTTCAGCAGTAGAGCAAGCTTGACCGCGAAATTCAAATTTTGTGATGGACCGGCAAGCTGCAATAGTATCGAAAGAAGAAAAAAAAATTTCGCAGAGCACAAAACAAACTTCATTTGCAACTGTTTTTCCCCAGTACCATACTAACGTGCCACGCGCAACCAACCAGGAGTCCCACTTTGACTTTACATCCTTGTCTGATAACCTCGTGTTCGCTTGTCGGGCCAGTTCCAGTTGATACACCTGCCGAACGAGCTGCTGTCTTGGTGTGGCATTGGATTGCTGACATTTCTTGACCATCTTTGGTCGTTCGTGGGTGCTGTAGTCAGTAGGAAGATCAAGACCATCTTTTTCTTTGACGTAACAGTTGACACAAGACGGATTTACAACAGGGTCTAGGACTTGCCGGAGTCGTTGCAAAGCATCTCCTGCAGTCAGTGATGAATAGTTCTTGTTGCTTGTTCTATTTTCACCCATTTTTGAGTCAGAAACAAACACAAAGGTCAAGAAGGCCAATATCATGGTTGTCTAGAGAGAGGTCCTGCCGCCGTCTGGTTTCGCTTTTGTGCTGCTCTTTGCATTTCGACGTGCTCTGACCTCGCTGTGGCGCTGTCTTTTTTCTGCTTGGAAGCCTGCGCCAACTTGCACGATTCAGGAGCCAGCAAAAAAGCAAGAATAAGAGCCCCATGTTGGCGCAAGAAGGCCACCAAGCCGGCGACCGCCCGACGGCCGCCACCGCCAGCCGACCTGTATCCAATCTTCAGAAGATTCCGTCATGTCAGGACAATCTGCCAAGCGCAGCGCCAGGGTCTCCTTGCGCGCTCGGACAAAAGAACCAAACTACCACCATTACGCCCGGCAACATGACGACCAACAGTCGCGATAATGTTTCGAGCTCCGCCTGCAGTTCGACCTGTAGCTGTCGGCGCTGGGGCAGGAGGCCGGGGGAGAAACAAAGTTCCGAGCTAACAAAATCTGAAACCGACGACGAAGGCCCGGTAGTTTTTCCAGGCAGCCGGATGTACATCCCAGTGGGCAGCACGACTGAGAGCGGGCCAGATCGGGAGGGACAGAGCAGAAGTGAGAAAGCTTTATCGAGATCGAGTCCGCATGATGAAAGAACCTACCGCTGCACCGGAGCGAGCCGGTCTGCGAGCTCTCCTGCAGTTTCGTCCGCTCTCTGTCTGCGAGGTGCATGTGAAGAAGAAATGCTAGCCCGGAAGAAAGTTTGTCCCGCGGCCGATGAACAAGCATCTGAGGGGCCAGCGGTCGCAGTAGTGGCACCTGAAGGAGCACCGGGCGTGGTGGTGCATGCGCTTGCAATTACATCCTCACTGAACACCAGGCGGAGAACGACCGCGACAAGGGAGAGCTCCCGCAGAGAGCATAGCAGAAAAGCAAGTTTGTTTCGTATACAGGAGAAGGAGAACAAGACAACTACGAGGCAAAATACAAGCACCGAGCTGCTGTGCCAGAAATACAGGGCGATGGTACAAGACAGTGCCACGACACGAAAGGGACGCTGCAGGAAGTTGGAAATCGAAGCGGTCAACAGGAATGCCAGCCGAATATGCAAGACTGCAAAGATCGGGGGTGATCTTACTAGCCTACAGTCCCCAGAGAAGGCTAAGACCACGAGAATCTACGGGGCCGCGCGCAAAAGTCAGGCTATTGCCTCATCAAAGTCGAAAACATCAATCTTCTCGATGCTGAAGAGCCTTCCGCTTTTGTTTTTCAGCCTGTTCCTACACACAACCACTCCCGTGGTCTTTGCCGTGCCTTCACCAGAGTGGTATTTGCCCGGCGTCACGCCCGTGCAGTACCAGCAGGGGCAGCAAGTTCCGCTCTTTGTCAACAAGCTGACCAGCGTGAAAACACAGCTTCCCTACCGCTACTACACCCTGCCATACTGTATTTTTTTCGTCTTGGTCACTTTTCGTTTTTCGGTGACACTGACGTCAGCGTGACACAAGCTTTTTCTTCATATAACAACATGAACATCGTCCCGCAAGCCACAACTCCACCCCTCAACATATTTACACAACAGGTTCCCCCGACAAGCTCCGCGAATCTCGCGGAAACCTGGGCGCCTCGTTGATGGGGGATGTGGTGGAAAATTCACCGTATGAGGTTCGCATGCTGGAGAATACCAACTGCAAGAACCTGTGCCAAAAACCGCTCACCTCGGAGGACAAAAAACTTTTCAAGTTAATGATCGACGAAGATTACCAAGTCAACTGGATTCTGGATAATCTACCAGGTACGAATGAAACTTTTGGTAAAATAGAGTAGAACATCTTCCTCGGATATAGCAGCTGGCTGAAGTTGTAGTACGCAGTCGAAAATAATGCCAATGCATCTTGCCCCTTGTCCTTGCCTGGCTCAATATTAAGGTTGTTATCCTGGCGCAACTTTATGCTCATTCGGAAAAGGTACCACAAAGTACGCGCGGAAAAATGCTGGAAAGGAAGACTACACCTACATGGTTGGATTTCCCGTCGGGCTTGAGCAGCGCGGACGCTATTTCCTGCACAATCACGCAAAGATCATCATTCAGTATTGCCGTTTTCGTTTTCCATAAACTGGCGCAAAATGTGTCAATGATGAGATTGTGATTCAGAATGAATCTATCGAAATAGTCCACCACAAACTGCAGATACCACTCCTCTCCCACGGAGTTTGCGGGCTTCCGCATCGTCGGTTTCGAGATCGAGCCGCATTCGCTGACCAACCAGCAGACGGACCAGTGCCACGAGGGCGAGACCTCCCCGGTTTTTGACCTCGACGCGCAGGACTCCGTCACTTTCACGTATGACGTTTTGTGGAAATTTTCGGAAGACGAGTGGTCGGGCCGTTGGGAGCGGTACATGAAGGGCGCGAAGGGAAAGATCCACTGGTTCAGTATTCTGAACAGCGTCATGATCGTGCTGTTCTTGAGCTCCATGGTGGCCATGATTTTGTTGAGAACCTTGCACCGGGACATCTCGCGCTACAACGAAATTGCGACCAGCGAGGACAGTGCGGAGGAAACAGGTAGGAAAAGTCTTGCGAAATGAAATTTGTTATAGGCGGCCAATGAAGCGCTTCTTCTGAAATGCGTAGCAGGGCATTGTTCCAGCTCGTAGAAATTTGATCAACAATGAATTGTGAAAGGACAAGAAACTCACAAAACAGGCTGGAAGCTGGTGCACGGCGACGTTTTCCGCAAGCCGGTGCACAGCAAGCTCCTCGCAGTTTCCGTCGGCAGCGGTGTGCAGATCCTCGGGATGAGCATGGTGATCCTCGTTTTCGCCTGTCTCGGCTTGCTCTCGCCCCAGTACCAGGGCTATCTGCTGCAGTCCATGCTGCTCCTCTTCGTCTTCATGGGATCTTTTGCAGGGTATAGAAATCGATTTAGAACTTCTACATAAAACAAAAACTGTCGCGGTCCTACAATGGATGCATTCTCGAAGTATAATTTGTCTCCTTGTTGCGCACCACTGCGACGTGCGAGCAATAACATCTCAAAAACAAACTGCTCCTGATGCAGCTCGGACCATTCATTGTTGCAGGTACTACTCCGCCCGGCTTTACAAGATGTTCAACGGACAGGACTGGAAAGCCACGACATTGTTAACGGCCTTCTGGTTCCCGGGTGTGGCATTCACTGTGTTTTTCGTCATTAATCTCTTCATTTGGTATATGGAGAGAAAAAAGTTTGTCACAGTCACTAACTTGGAGGTTTTGCATTACATCACAGCTTTTCCTTGTATTGCAGAAACACTAGGGAAATCCCTCATGAAGTTTGGCTGTGATGCATTTTTACGCATGACAAACAATTTTGTATTGCAAGAATGCGCGATGAGTGATCGTGACGAACTTTTTTTCTTCGATATGGTACACGGGAAGCAGCCGCGCCGTGCCCTTTTCCAGCATGTTCAACCTGCTCCTGCTGTGGTTCGGTGTCAGTGTGCCGCTGGTATTGAATATCTTGACGCACCATGATGGGCGGCGAAATCGTTCTTCATACATTTTCGCTGTGGAGTTTTCACTTTTCAGAGATAGAAAGACATCAAACCATGATCTCTGCTTTCCCCGTCATGCGCAACCATACCACGACGGCTAATGAGTATGAGAAGTGACAACTTATTCTTCTTTGAAAATGTTTTTTCTACCTCGGCACCGCAGGTGTTCTTCGGTGCCTACATCGGATACCGGCGAGACACGATGGAACTCCCCGTCCGCACGAACGCAATCCCACGTCACGTTCCCCCGCAACCCTGGTTCACAAAACCGCTGATCACATCAATGATCGGGGGCGTCTTGCCGTTCGGGGCGGTGTTTACGGAGCTGTTCTTCATTCTGTCGTATAAATTTTTCGAATTTTTCATTTTCGGTTTCTCGTTGTGCACATTCCACCAAAATCTATCAAACGCGACAAGGTTGGCACCTGGCATGGGGAATACCAGTACTCGAAGATCAACAATAAAGTCACCGCTTTTAGTACAGAAAAATGAACACGACCACAGGTCCATCTGGCAGCACCAGTTCTACTACCTGTTTGGTTTTCTTTTCCTCGTCCTCATCATCCTCGTCATCACATGCGTGGAAATTTCCATCGCCCTGGTCTATTTTCAGCTCACCTCGGAAGATTACCACTGGTGGTGGCGGAGTTTTTTCAGCAGTGGCAGCAGCGGTTTCTACGTTTTTCTCTACGCACTGCTCTACAAGGCCACGCGTATGCAGATCGACGACTTTATCCCGTCGTTGGTCTACGTGGGCTACATGGGCTTGATGTCCTACGGGTTTTTCCTTCTCACCGGTGCTGTAGGACTCTTGGGGGCCTTCTCCTTCGTGAAAACTATCTACGGAAGCATCAAGATCGACTGAATGTTGTGTAGCTAGTACAAGCGAAAAATAACGCAATTTTTACGATTCCTCTACAACAACACCTAGTCGTGCACAGGAGTGGAGCTGCGGCAGTGGAGCTGTTTGTTGTGCCTTGCTTTCTTTCATCTTCTTGCGCAAAATAGCCAAGGATGATTCCTGCAGGAGGTTTCTACTTATTTTCTTTTCTTTTCAAATCTTCATGTTGGATTATTGGGTTTATTGCAGTCGCCTCATTTATGTTCTTTTTTCCTGTTGAAGGTTTTGTCCAAAAAAAAAAAATGAACCAAACCATGATCGGAAGATGTTAGTGTTGATATCAGTTGAGTAGCTCCTCTTAATGTCGGCGTGCAAATGTACTTGTACTGTTTTCGTCCACTTTGTTCATCGAGTCATAGTTGCGCGGCCTATTTACACCAACCCTCCGGTACCAGAGAGGCGGGCAAGTTGTGACCCGACCACGGAAAATCGCAACTACAGCAAAATGACTTTCTTTCTGCGCATGATGTGGTGCCGAGAAGAAGGCGAAGAGGAATTCCAATGCGACTGTGCAGAAGAGCAACTGGAGAGCCAATGACTTGATAGCGGTGTTGAGCAGTTGCACTTCCAATGAGTCAGCGTTGACCCGTCCGACGTCGAGAGTGAGAGACACAGAATGACGCGAGCTGTCCTGTTCTTCGGACAGGATTGGTGCGCATGATTTTTACGCTTTTTTCAGACACGATAAATCAAAATCTACCATCAAGTGAAAGCAAAATGACTTGAACAATACCACTCAGCTAAGTCTAAGATGAGCATCGGCGGAAGTAAAAACACGACGACGTCGACGACCGGAGCTGCTGTTTCAGCTACGTCTAGAAAGAACAACTCGAACAACCGTCTTTCATCTTCCGTCAAGATGAACCGATCGCCGTACAACCTGACGACAGCCGACATCGAGAAGCTCATCAGCGGACGCAAGGAGGACGACCAGAAATTGTTGCAACAAAAGGGAGGCGTGAACGGCATTGCACAGCTCTTGAAAATCGATTTGAGTCGGGGACTGGATTCGGACACGGTTTTGGGTAGAAGGGAAATCTTTGGAAAAGAAGAGGAAGAAGAAGACACAAGAATAATTGCCACTACTTCCACCTCCTCGGCCACCGGAGGTCCCGCAGTTGCGACGAGCAGCAGCCACATCAAGAATTTTTCCGCATCAGGACAACAAAATCTTCAAGGTGGAAGTAAATCTTCCCAAAATGGCAGCTCCTCCTCGTCCGGCACTTCTACAGGAGAGCAAACTTCGACACGTCTGCAGCTCTTCTTACAGCTGTTTCTCGCCTCCGCGCAAGATTTTATCCTCTGGATGCTGGGCGGCAGCTCCATTGTCGCCATCGTCCTGTGCGTCACGGTGGAGCAGTCCATGTACAATTGCTGGGTTGAGGGTTTTAGCGTGATCATCGGCGTTATCCTCTTTGTTTGCATATCCGCCGTCTTGGACTTTGCGAAGTTCACGACCTTCGCGAATTACTTGGAATTACGCTGGAAACTACTGGTCGACAACTCAGAGTTCCTCGTCTTACGCGACGGAAAGGAACTGCAGGTCGTCGGGAGGGAGATCGTGATTGGCGACCTGGTGAAGGTGACGACGGGCGACATTGTGCGGTTCGACGGCCTGTTGGTGCACAGCAGTCCGGATTTCTGCCTGTTAGTGGACGACGATATTACTGCTATTGTTCCCAGCGATAACGTTGCGCTTCAACAGCAGGTGGAGCAGGCTGGTGTAGAAGCTACCGATGTACAACTAGCAGCGGCGAAAAGCAACAAGAATGGGAGTAGAACACCCGGAGCCGCTGTGAGGCAGCAACTGCTGTCCACTACCGACGTGGATCTGGAATTCACCGACCCAGCGGTCGCATCGGACGAACAGCGAGACGAGACTAATGATCTTCCCGGGGCCGCAGTAGCGTCCGACGCAATTTCTCCGCGAGACTCCTGGATAATTTCTGGCAGCAGCGTGCAGTCCGGACAGGGCGTTTACCTCGTGCTTGCCATCGGGGAGAAAACGCAATGGAACTTGGCAAAAGAGAAGATGATCGCCGCTGCGAACAAAAACCGAAGCGCGAAAAGCGCGGTTTCTTCCTCGGTGGCCGCGGCGAGGAGTTTGATGCTGAGCAAATCGCTCTCCCTCCCGTTCGGCAACTATTACACTGGTGGAGCGATGAACTCTGTTAGTCGGGAGGGCAGCACTGATGTTGAGAAAAGTAACGCGAACGACCTTCCCGTGCAGGAATTCTACAAAAGAACGTCTATGGCGGGCAACGCAGAGCAGCAGATCCTGACGAAAAGATCAACTACTAACGACGGCGAGGACAGTGTGATTGATACGAGCTCGATGCTAGTACTACCCGCAACTTTGAAACAGGAACAGGAGAGCTTGCACGGCTCGGAGTACAGCTACCATAACCACCTACCGTACGGTGCACCTCCGGGTGGAAGCAGTAACGCAGCAGGCAGTAGCTCAGGCCGAGCAATACACGCTCAACAGCAAGCCGCTTCTGCTAGTACAACTTCTTCAACTGCGAATCGCCCGTTGACCGAGCAGGAGCTGAAGCAGTTGAGAAGACGGGAACGCGGGGGCGCGGAGATGGCTGCGGGCGGGATGCCGAGCTCTTTGACGGTGTCGGAAGTCGCCACGCCCGTTTCAGTGAATTTCATGGCGGCGGCCGGCGGGGCGAGTGGGGTTGCCGGACTGCGGATGCAGAATTTGCAGCACAATTTGCGGATGAGTACGAGTACCGGTCAACACGCGCAGCAGCAGGAACAGTACGGCGGGTCTAGCTCCTCCACGGCACTTCTACAGCCGCAGTCAAACGACGTACTAGCGCAGCCGGAAAGGATAGGAGTACCGTCCTCTCACCAAGTGCTCGAATCGAACAGCGGTTCTTTAGCTGCTCTTCGTGGCAGCGCCAGCGCGTCCTCCTCCTCCCACCACCGCACATCTAATCCGGCTCAACTTTTCTCGCAGCACCACCGACCGGAGACCATTCAGGAGGAGAATTTGGACGACATCTCCAGCCAAGCGGCGACGACGACGGACAACATGAGCCAGAACTACGTGCACCAGATGTTGCAAGACGACGAGGTGTTCACCTCTACCAGCTTAATCGTCCGGTTACAAGAAGCGGCCGCTCAGCTGGGCAAAGTTGGAACTGGTTGTGCGCTGCTCGCGTTTGGCGCGCTGGTGGTCCGGTGGCTGACGCGCAAGTGGATTTTGGAGGATTTGCCCGCGACGAGAGACCAATTCGGCACGGAATTCGTGTCGTGGTTTTTGTGTACCATCAGCTTGATCGTTGTGGTTGTGCCCGAGAGCTTGCCGTTGATCGTCACCTTGGTTCTAATGCGGCAGATACAGCTGGACAGCGAGAACGGGTCGCTGTTAGGGTCAATGAGCTGCAGGAACGCCGGGGTAATGAACGTTGCGGGTGGAGAGCAGCAGTCGTCGAGCGGGAGTGCAGCTGGTGGTGGGGAAAGCGAAGAGAGCAAGAAGAAGGCGGAGTCTAGTGCAAATAATACGTCCACCGGCGCTTTGAGCAAAGCTGTCTCTACTACTGCTTCCACCTACCCGAGCTCCACACTGCTTATCAAGCACCTGGATTCCCTCGAGCGCATGGGATCCGTCACGTCCATTTGCACCCAGAAAACCGGGTTTCTCACCATCGAAGAGGAAACGAGGATTACGGGGTGCTACTGCGCGAACAACGCCTTCCTGGAGCAGAACAACAAAGCGCTGGGGTTCATCACCGTTCTGAAACGGGAAATCTCCGGCACCATGCTCTGCGACCTGCTTTGCCGCGGGATCTGCATGAACAAAGGGGACCGAGCGGAGATAGAGGAGATACCACGGTCACCCTCCTCCTCTGTTTCCCCAACCGGGAAACCCAAACCCCTCTCCAACTGGAAGCACCTCGGCCCCGACCACACCGACTGCGCGTTGCTGTCGTTTGCTTTTGAACTGGGCTACGACTACCGGAAATTCACTTCCAACGGCCCGCAGCAGCAGCAAAACGAAAAGAAGAAGAACCGTCCTGGTGTGGTGTCGAAAAAGAAAAAAACCACCCGGAATTCCTTCACCGTTCGACCTTTCACCAGTGAGAAGAAGCGCGCGACAGTGGTGGTAAGGGATTTGAACATGGGCGGGCACACGGTTTTTGTGAAGGGGTCCGTGGAAAAAATTCTGCCCTATTGCACGAAGAAACTGAATCTGGATGGGTCCGAATCGTCATTCCCAGCGACGGAAGAAGAAGACAAGTTGATCCGGAGCGGCATCTTCGGGCACAATTTACTGGATCGAAACTCCGAAAACAACAGCGTGCCCTTTCTGGTCGCGCTGGCTTGCAGAAGGTATAGTGCGGAAGATCATATGGCCGCCGCTGATGCGAACAACAATTATGGGCAGCAGTCGCAATCCGGGTCAAGTTCTAACTCGAAGGCAAACAGCGCTGTCTCTGGTGAAAATAACAACGATGAGAATGAAGACAGCTTTGAATGGACGCTGAAACCCGCGGTGAGCAGCAAGAACACAGTTTATTCGAGGCGGAATTTTTACAACAACGAAACGCGAGTATACCAAGAGCAGCAACTCGACGACGATGACCTTGACGAGCGTCACGGTGGTGTCGTTTTCTCGGAGGCGAATAACGGGATAGATTTTTTCCCACCAATAAATTCGGACGATGAAGAGATTCTCACAGAGAATTCCACCATCAACGATTTGTACGACATCGAGACGAATCTGACCCTGATCGCGGTTTTGGCAGTTTCCACGCCACTGCGACCCTCGGCGAGACCCGCGGTGGAGAAGTGCAGCAAAGCGGGCGTCGACGTCCGCTTGATAACCGGTCTCTCCATGGAGTCCGCGATCATTTGCGCGCGGAACAGTGGGATTTTGAGAAGGGGGATTGACTACAACCCGTGGGACCCAAATATTGTCTCCGATCGCGCGGTGTTAACCGCGGAAGAGTTTCGGAAACGAGTACTGGTTTCCACGGGCGGTGGGGGAACAGCAAACCAAGAACAGCACAATGCCGGCGAGGTTCTTATGGCACTCTCAACTGTTACATTCTCAGCTGTTACATGAATTTGTGATGCAAGAGCGGCAAAATTGAAAGGGGGAAGATTGCGCCTTTTGCATTACAAATTCCGCACAGATTTAGGTGCTGTCTAGCCCTGCTTCGTAGATTTGTCATGCGAAGCAGCTTGACCACCTGGCGCCTTGAGGTAATTTTGCATGACAAATCATGTAACAGTTGAGAATGTAACGTTTGGGAGCGCCATAGTTCTAGAGGAAACCGAGAAGGTTCTCAACCGCACCGAATTCGACCAGGTGTGGCCGTATTTGCGGGTCTTGTGCCAGGCGACTTCTTTGGACAAGTACTTGCTAGTGACCGGGATAAAAGACTCGACGTTGTATCAGGACGAGCAGGCGGTTTTGTCCCTCGGGATTTTCCCGGACAGGCAGGTGGTTGCGGTGACGGGAGAGAGCGTGACCGACGCGGAAATTCTAGAACAGTCCGACATCGGGTTCGTCATGGCAGATTCGAACAACTTATCCACAGCTGTGGCGAAGGAGTCCGCGGACATTTTGATCACCACGTCGGAACGAAATCTGGTCCCTGCTGTCACAACTGGTCTGGCGAGACCTGACGGATCTTTAATAAGAGGAGAGCCGAACAAGACTTCGAACAGTAACAACAAGACAACCAAGCAGCCTGACGGCGGTTTTTCCAGTTTGATGCAAGCGACGAAGCTTGGGCGGAACGTTTACGAGTGCGTCTACAAATTTCTCCAATTCCATCTTACCACCACTCTAACCGCCTGCATCGTTTTCCTCGGCGGGGCGGTTACGTCCGGGGGAAGCCCGTTAACCGCGATGCAGCTCCTTTGGATCGCGGTTCTGATAGATGTGCTAGGAGCGGTGGCTTTGGCGTCGGAGCCGGCGACGGAGGATTTGCTAGAACGGCCGAGCCTGTTTCTCATCAACACCAGCTCCATCAATTCCACTACCAGTAACTTGACCAACGACTCGCAGCTTTTTTCCGCGCAAATGCTCTACCACATCATTTCCCAAACTCTCTACCAACTCGCAGTTCTCGCCACCATTCTGTTCGGCGCGGGCGACTCCGGACGCGGCGAAACCTGCGACATGCGGCACCCCTATTTCCCGGCGCGGAACTGCGACGGGTGCGGCGGCTGGTTGGACCTGCCGAGTGGGTTTGACCGGGAGCCCTACGTCGATTTTCCGACCCAGCACTACACGCTTCTGTTCAACACGTTTGTGTTTTTGCAGGTCTTTAATTTGATCAACTGTAGGAAGATTTACAACGATTGGAACGTGTTTGCGGCGATCACGAAGAATCAAACGCTGATGCTCATCGTTTCCATCATCGTCATTGTCCAAATCTTCATCGTCGAATCTGGAGCCCTTTTCAACGTGCTGCTGAATAACGACTTGACCACGGAGCAGGAGAGAACGAACCACCTGATCTGCAAGTCCGTGAACCACGCGTTTCGCACGGTGCACCTTCCGCTCTGGCAGTGGGGCGTGTCTCTCTCCCTCGCAGCTGGGTGCATTGTGTGGCGGATTTTTTTGGTGGCGCTCGCAAAGTCGAACTTTTTTACTTTGTTCTGGAAAGAGGACATTTTTGTCAGCGGTTTTGGAACGATAAGCGGCATCCGCAGGTGGAAGAAGGGCGGATCCTCTACTGCGAGTGGAGGAGCCAATAAGGATGGGAGTGGGGGTGGAAATAACAGTGGGAACAACACGGACGGCGTCAGTCAAACCGGTACTGTGGGGAACAGTGAGAGGAACGGCGGCGCGGGGAAGCAGGGGTCAAAACGCTTGGCGGAACGCATGAATCTGAACTTGGAAAATTACTTCTCGTTGTCTGGAAAGGGGCGGGAAAGAGAAAGAGCGGCGATACGGCACTTTTTGCTGACCTCCTCGTCGAATGGCGGATCCGCTGCGGGGGGCGCTGGCGAGTGAAAATCGTTTATTGTGATCATCACTCACAGATACGCTTACGCATACGGATTTATTTCACATCGCAACTACTGTGCGAGTGCCGGAAATAAACGAGTTTGAATTGCTATTGCGCCATTTTTGTGTTGGCAGACAAAAATAAACGCATTTCCATTTCCCTACAGTTTCATGGAAGGAGGTTTCAAGTTTCTGCAGCCCGCTCCACGAGGACCGCATGGAGTGCGATATTGTTGGAGCAGCTGTTGGGCTTGAGTGAGTCGCGAAAGGAACTACACGCGAGGCTGCTGTAGATAAAGCTCCTCTCATGATATCATAGGAGCGAGCAAAAGAACACGCATCTTGACGTTAATGTAAGTAAGTGTTAGAGGGAGTTTCAAGTTGGTGGCGTGTTGCAGTTGACCATAGCGGAAGCTGCGACAACTGCAGCAAGGCCACGCAACCCCAGCTTGATCTTCGACGTTGAGTAGAATGGCAACTACATGAGAGAAAGACATCGAGCGATTATTACTTTCAGCCGCCGTGTATTTTTCCTGAGCGCTGTAGTTCTTCAAGGTAGAGAGCACGCGCTGTGTCGAGAGCTAGCACAAAAAAGTTCCAAAAAGCAACAGGGCCCAGATCATACTCGGTCCTTCCTCACAAACCCAAACAACTCTCATTTTCATCCTCCTTTTCGTACTAAAAACCAAAACACAAATAGGCAGTAACTATTAAATGGCTTGTTGTGACCGCATAGATAAAGATCATGGCTTTACTTAGACAAAAGCAAGGAGCACGGGGAATAGCTCCCCTTTATGATCTCTTTCACTAAGCACTTTGCATCGCACAAGCGATTTGCAATTGCGTAACGCGCAATTATTTTTCTTTTTTCATTTTAAGTAGACTTAGACGCTATTTACAAGATGACAACGTACGGTACTACCGTGTCGCAGTTGCGACAGGTCTTTGAAGGTCGTGACAATCCGCAGATGCTCAACGACCTTGGTAACGTAAACGGGATTCTGGAAAAGTTGAAAGTGAACCCAAAGGAGGGCGTCAAGCAGGCGGATGTCGCGGACCGGCAGCGGGTGTTCGGGGAAAACCGCATTCCCGAGAAGCCGGCACAAACCTACATGCAGATTCTCATCGGCGCGTTTCAGGATTTGACGATCATCATGCTGATCTGCGCCGCCGTGGCGTCGTTAATCGTGTGTTTCGCGTTTGAAATACCCGAGCACCCATATTACAGTGAAAAATGCCCCCACCCCCGAACTTGAAAGCATTTGTATTGCAAACCTTTCCAAATGAAACACTCGCCCTCTTGCATCTATCAGCATCGCAGGTTTTCAATCGTGAATAGCAAAGATTTGTATTGCAAAATGCCCCAGCAAGAGTGGCGCTTGTCATGCAAGCGATGCGATACACGCCTACATTCTGCATCAAAAAGATTCATACTCCTTTCATGCATGACAAAAAGTTTTCATTTGGAAACTTCGCATCACAAATTTTTGCAATTTAGGGGTGGGGGGCACTTTTCACTGTAATAACCCAGACTCCCTCTGCTGGATCGAGGGGACGGCGATCATTGGGACAGTTATTCTGGTATAAGACGCAGAGGCTCAGGCACTGACAGTGCAATGGGTGAAAAGTTTACTACATCGTGCATGTAAAAAGTAGTAGAGTGAAGGACTGTATTAATTTCTGTTTGCATGCAAAAAACAAGTCTTTTCTTTACCAAAGAGGACAGCGAAACATAAATTTTACGAGGTAACCAACGTGGCTGCGCTTCAAGATTACCAGAAAGAGCAGCAGTTCCGGAGACTCAACGCCGAGGTCGAGAACATCACCACCAACGTAGTTCGTGACGGCCAGAGAATCGCGGTGTCCCGATACGATTTGGTTGTCGGGGACATTGTCCGACTTTCCATCGGCGACATTCTGGAAGGCGACGGCGTCTTGGTCGAGGGGTTTGACGTCGAGGCGGATGAATCCGCGTTAACCGGGGAGCCAATTTTGATCAAGAAAAACCCCGACGCGCCCTTTTTGCTCAGTGGAAGCAGTATACAGAAGGGACAAGGAACGTATGTCCTGATTGCGGTCGGGGTAAACAGCGAGAAAGGGAGAATTCAGGCGCTGGTAGAAGAGCGATTTCTTTACATAAAGAAGATGGAGGCCATTTGTTCGAATCATGTTGTTGCGTCACGTAATCCCGGTCGTTCCAAGCGCACTTTTTCTGTATCCCATCGAATACAAGGAAATAAAACATCATTGTTTCAAAAACCTCAGGTCCGTGGGCACAATGTCGCGCTAGCAACCGTGGAAACGGATGACGGTGAGAAAAAAGAGGCGGAGGAAAAGAAAGAGGAGGAAGATATGCAGCTGGAAATCTGTTGTGAATGTCTTTCTAGTTGATCAAGATGCGGAAGCCGTGGCTACTACCACGGCTTCCGCATCTTGATCTTCGCGGAGTTGTTTTGCAAGCGTCTATTGTTGCACACGAGAAAGGAAATGCGTTTTCGACCTGTCTTTACCGTACGCTTGAAAAAGACAAGCATGATTTGCATTTGGCATCTCAACAAAAATTTCGTTCCCACAACGGAAGAAGAGGAAGAGGAAAAGTCCCTGCTAACGAAGAAACTCGACGACACCGCCGAGCTAATTGGTGTGCTCGCAATGAGAATCGCGGGGATTGCGCTCGTCGGAATGGCCTTGAATTGGGTCATCGACCAGGGAGAAGACAGCTTCTCCGACGGAAAGGCCTTGCGCGACGAGGCTATCCAGTGGGTACGTATGGAAATAAACCGTTCTCTTACTAGTGCTTGTTATGCAAGACGATGTTGCACTGCATTCCTAATCCAATTCCAATGTTGATGTTTTGGTCACGCGTTTGAAAGATAAGATGGAAAATCATAAATGCCCACAAAACCACCAGATTATCATGGCCATCACGATCGTCGTGGTCGCCGTCCCTGAGGGTCTTCCGCTCGCCGTTACATTGGCCCTTTCCCTTTCCGTCGGCCGCATATGAATTGCAAAAATGTCTGGGTCTGGAAGATTGCAACTTGTCATGCTAAATCTGCAGCATGCAAAAATCTGTGTTGCATGATTACCAAAAGTCGTCCAGTTTTGACCAAGTCGGGAGGTAGTTTCTCATGCAGGATAGGCATTAGAAAGGTCTCGCAGAATCTGTCATGCTAGGTCCTGCATTCCAGACCTCATGGGTCATGGAAAAGCAGCATGACAAACCTGGCATTTTTCCAGACCCAGACATTTTTACATTTGATACCGCATGCAGGAGGACGAGTGTTTGGTCAAGCGGCTGGATGCCACCGAAACCATGGGCTCCGCCACCTGCATCTGCACAGACAAGACCGGGACACTTACGCAGAATCGCATGACGGTGGTGAAGTCGTTCTTCTTCGGCGCGAACGCGGCGGACAACACTGTTCTGACGACCGCGACGGAGACCTGCGGGGCTAAGTCAAAGCAAGCAATAGCCGCGGATAGCTTCAAGCAAAAGGTGTGCTACGGGATCTGCGCGAACAAGGCCGAGGCGGAGATCGAGTTTGACAAGGTGCTTGACCGATGGACACAGATGGGGAACAAAACGGACTGCGCGTTACTTGCCTTCAGTCACGACATGGGATACGACTACAAGGTGTTGGACTTTTCCATGTCCATGGCGAAAAAGATCTACCCGTTTTCCTCCATGCGGAAGCGGGCGGGCATCGTGATGCCGCACCCAAGCGGGTCGGGATTCCGGGTGTACGTGAAGGGTGCGTCAGAGATGATTCTGTCCCTGTGCAGCAAGAAGTGCGACTCGTCAAGCGACGCGGAACAAGAATTCACAGAACAGGAGAAGCGGGAAGTAATCACCAAAGTCGTCACACCCTTCGCGAAGCAGTCACTAAGGACAATCGGGCTCGCCTACAGGGACGTGTCCGCGGGCGAGAGTCCGGATTGGGACGCAGTTTTGAGTGCGGAAGACGCGTCCAGAATCACCGGACAAGCAGCGGAATGTCCGGTCTTTGAGACAGAGGTAAAGTCCCGGTAAATAACTTGTGTGTGCAGCGCATTTGTGCAAGTATGGTGATTTGCTGTGTCATGCGAAAAAAAAATGCAAACGCCACGAAATGAAAATACACATGATCAAGTAGATGTACAACATGGACAAACACGAGTCTGCATGTGTGTCCAGAACTTCTTTACAAATGACAAAACAGCTCACATTCCTTGGCCTGGTCGGTATCGAGGACCCACTTCGTCCCACCGTCGAGCCGGCGATCCGAAAGTGCAACTCCGCGGGCGTTGACGTCCGCATGGTAACGGGCGATAACATTGACACAGCGGTCGCGATCTCCAAGCAGTGCGGGATTCTGCGGCCGGGCATCGACATCGATGCCAGCTCCGGCGAAGTTTTGAACAACGCCGCGCTGTCCGGGCCGGAGTTTAGGAAGCGAGTGGTCGATAGCAACGGCAAGATCAACCAGGAGGAGTTCGACAAAATCTGGCCGACCTTGAGGGTTCTCGCAAGGTCAAGTCCAACAGATAAATACTTGCTAGTGTCCGGTATCATCGAGTCTGATCTGTTCAAGAACCGGAAAATTTGCGAGGAGACAAAGATCTACCCGGACCGACAAGTGGTCGCCGTCACGGGCGATGGGACCAACGACGCGCCGGCATTGAAGCGCGCGGACGTCGGGTTTGTGATGGGGTTAAGCGGGACGAGCGTCGCAAAAGACGCGGCGGACATTGTCATCACAAACGACGACTTTTCCTCCATTGTCGAGGCGTGCAAATGGGGCCGGAACGTGTACGATTGCATCAGCAAATTCTTGCAATTCCAACTGACCGTGAACATCGTCGCGGTGACCCTGGCGTGCACGGGGTCGTTTGTGGACCGCGAATCACCCCTGCGAGCCGTGCAGATGTTGTGGGTGAACTTGATTATGGACTCGCTAGGGGCTTTGGCGTTGGCAAGTGAGCCACCAGTGCCAGAACTGCTGGAACGACCACCGTATGGGAGGAACAAACCGTTGCTCAGCTTTCAAATGAAGTACTTTGCTGATTTTTTGTGTGCTTTGCCTCCGTCATGCGATGCAGCAAGTACCAGAAAACGAAAACCTAAGGCTAGGCTATCTTTGTCATGCGGAAAGTGTATATAGTGAAAGTGAAGGTAGGAAAAGTGAAGCCATTGCTCGATGCCTGTGCGAAAATTTTGTCAGGTTCAACATGTTTGGGCAAGCCATTTACCAGCTCATTGTCCTCTTTGTACTTCTTTACGCCGGTGCCGGAGCCGAGAAGGGCGACAAGAAGCCCGCGGAGGGACAAGCAAGGAGGTTTTTTATGCCATCTGAAGTCGACAACAGCGGAAGCGACTACGACGTGTGGCACTGTGACGCCAGGGAATACAAGCAGGAGTACTACCAGAAGGCGTTTCCCACGCAGTCGGCGTCATCACCTCAAACAGACGCCCAAATCGACGCCGCCCTGGCACCCTATGGCGGGCTCTGCAGCAATTGCGGAGGCTTTCTCGACATTCCAAATGGTACTACATCAGGCTGCAGTTGTTGTAATTGAAGGTATGGTTTGTGTGATAAGGAGGCAACACGGGCCTAGCGAAGCGGCCCGGGTAGCCGACGCGGGAACACAAAGCGGATTTTTATAAGGAGATACTCCCTTCCCCACCGGTCGACGTTGTTACGGTCCCGGGAAGACCTAAAACTCGACCCAAAGTAATTCAAGTCAGCTCTCAAGTGAGTTTTTTTTTTTCAAGCGGCCTGCTGCCGCGCGTTTTTTCCAAAATGACAGTAAAAATGTATTCGCGAATGCGCCCTGCGGTGTGGTCTTCATCTCCTCCTCTCAAAAGTAGTTCCTCACGTCAAGTTTCAAGTGAAATTTTTTCAAGCGGCCTGCTGCCGCGCTTTTTTTTCAAAATCACAGTAAAAAATGTATTCGCGAATGCGCCCTGCGGCGTGGTCTTCATCTCCTCCTCTCAAAAGTAGGTCCTCACCTCCTTCAATTCGCCTGAGCGGTCAAAGCAAGTTTCAACTTGTCATACACTCAACATGCCCTGAGGCACTGTAGTGGCCCGGCCACCTTTCCTTTCCTCTATTCCCTCTGAGAAAGCAAAGCTGTAGCGATCGCCTGTCTGACACGATCGCGCTTCTACTGAGCCTGCTGCTATTTCTTCACTTTGGCACCACGGTTGCACTCATCTACTAGTTTCAGATCTTCTTATCGCATGTGCGACAAGGGACAACGAAGAGCCCGAGCCCGAAAGGTGCCCCGTGGAGGGGCGGCCGTGGTAGGCCTCGCACAGGCCTATGTCCTGGCGCGGCCATCAATCAGGCTTCATTCCCAACATGACGGCGCGCTGAGCGTCAGTGCGACTGCAAGTACAAACAACCCAACGCACTCGCACCCCAGCGTGAGGAATTCGTCGGCCCGCCGCTGGGGTCAGTTCTTGGACCTGTGTTTTTTTTCCAACATTGTGTTGATGCTCCTGGGGGCGACGGAACAGAATAGGGCTGTCCTTACTCATGTGGTGTCCTCCCTGAATTTTGTAGACGATTTCACCTTAGCGGCACTGCAGCTCTCGGGCATAGCGACAGGGCCCGCGTCTACTCACCTGCAGCAAGTTGAAGCTGTTGGAAATAGTGACGGCGTTACTTCGTCCGGGGCTTCTGCCATGTGAATTTTTGCAAGGGGTTTGCTTTTTCTCCCGGCTCTACAAACTACAAGTTTTTCTAGGCCCGGCCTTCACAAAATATCAACTACTTACATTTGATAGCTTCAAGTGCACTGGCTTGGCTCTACGCCCGCCGTTGGCCGTCCTATGTCTAGGGTCCCTCACTCTGTGCTGCGGCATGAGTGAGCGTATCAACATAGGGTGGGCGATTTTTCCGCTACACAACGCATATTAGTTCGGGCGCGCGTCGGGCCTGTGCCGGTGCCCGTCCAATAGTTGGCGCCACTATTTCAAGTGAGGACGAAGACACTGCGTCTATCGGTTGTGATGGGTGGCAGTATTAGTGTGTAGACCTTGTGGGACTGACGCCCAAGCTCTTAACCGTTGCAGTGTGCATCAGGCTGCAGTTGTTGTAATGACACATCTACCCTGGTAGAACCTTTTCGTGGAGTGACTGGAGGGAGTTTCCCCCCGTCCGTTTTTGTATATGGGCTGGCAGATCCCTAGAAGCTAATGCCTGGAGTTGTTGGTCTTCCACCCCTCTGAGTGGGGTCGGGGAAGGAGCCAACGCGGACGTAGTCCGCAGGTTTCGCTGGATAGTTTGCTTTGTGATGGATTCACATCGTTCTCGCGTTCTAATGAATGGTAGCTCATGTGCTCAGAGTGCACCGCAGTGCCATTCCGCCACTGAGGGCGCTTCCCAGCGGGGAAAGGTGATTTAGGAGGATTGCGTTCTAATGAATGGTAGCTCATGTGCTCAGAGTGCACCGCAGTGCCATTCCGCCACTGAAGGCGTTTCCCAGCGGGGAAGGGTGATTTAGGACGTTTTCGCTTTAATGGATGGTAGCTCATGTGCTCAGAGTGCACCGCAGTGCCATTCCGCCACTGAGGGCGCTTCCCAGCGGGGAAGATGGGTGTCAGGATGGTTTTGCGGTTTTTGCAACTAGTAAGTGGATCAGGAGGTGGATGTACTAAGATGCCTACTCATGGATATTTCTGTTTTTCGAGCCCGTGGAGATATGGGTTGTTCTCTGTTTTCGCTCCTCATTAGGGCAGGATGTTTCATTCCGAGCTCTGGCCCTCAAGCTCGGGGTCCTAGATGGGCTGGCTGGAGTTTGTTTTTGTTCGCGCTTCTAGGGAATATGCGGCAGTGCTGGAGAGCATTATGGTGCTGCTCAGGGTGCAAGGCGGCTTTTGCTCGCCCTTCGATATGTGGCGGGTTTTTCAACTTACTTACTACCTACTACTCCGAGTAAGGGCAGGAGGCTCCGAAGCCTCGTTTGGGAAGCCCTGTCGGGGACAGATACCTCGCTGTGCTGGTTTTTAGCTTGAGAGCAGCTACTCCCCTGCCGGGTCGCGTCTCTACTCCTTTTTACACCAGAGCGGCTTCGCTTCGTCCTCGGTCTCAATGGGTCAGTAGTATAGTGCTGCGCGGGGTTGTCAGCGAGTGTACAAAACCTCCAGCCGGGAGCGCATGGGTCGAGTGCTAGAGGCTTTGCACTTAGGGATACGAGGTGGCGGGGCTCGCCGCAGTTCTATGGGCGATTGTTTTTGCTAGAGTTGGCCCTGTTGACGGCGGTGAGGATACTTACTTTGTTTCGGATGCGCGTATAGCTTGCATCCCGTTCTTGGGGGCGCGGAGTCAGTGTCTATTCTATCCTGTCTGTTGGCCGTTTCGATAGATTTTAGGCTGGGGCCTGGGTCATTTTACACATTGGAAGTTTTCCGCTCAGGGGCCTGTAGTGCTACCCTCTGCTTCGCTTTGTTGATACTGCGGTCTAGTGCATGCCGTTTCGCGGTGGAGCTTCCCGGTCCTGGGGCACTTCTGTTTTCGGAAGGTTGGCTAGATGCCTCACAGCGCTGGCACTTATCTCGGCGGCTGCCTTTTTCTTTTACTTTTTCGGATTGGCCTTACAGTCTCATCTGCACCACACCAGGGGAGCTCCGCTCTGTCCTCGGTCTCGCCTTGCTTTGGGAACAGGGGTCGTTTGGCACTGGCGGTACCCAATCCGTTACCCTTGCGAACTTGTTCCCTGGCTGGGGCTGGTGGTTTGGTGTCTCCTTCGTTCGCCCTCTGTTTTTGTCCATTCTCCCGCCGCTTGCCGCAATTCCGGCCCGCGGTCTTCTGCTAGTTTGCGCATCGCCATCAGTTTTCTCCGCCCGTGCCGGCGGGCTTTCCCGGGACGGGAAGTGAGTGGCGTTTTTCTCTTGGCATTGAAGGACTTTCTTTTTCGCAGTTTGGGAGTGGCTTTTGGGCTTGTGTTGTATGTCTTGCCACCTCGCTTGGGCCGGGTGCTATCTGTTCCCCGGAGGTATCAATCCTTTCTACGTTTTGCGGCTCGCCACGAGGGGACGGCGGTTCGGCGCTTTCATTGCAGTGCTCCTCTTGCGGGTTTTTGGTCTTAGAGTGTATCGCGTTTTGTGTTTATCTTGGTATCGATGGGCTCCCCCTCAGTGGTTTTCCGTGTCGGCTAGGGGCCGTGTCCGACTTTTGTGCCTTGCGGGCAGTTGTCTCATCAGGTCCAGGGCGCAGAGCCTTTCGCGCGGGTTTTTGGAGTTTATCAAGAGGACGCTACGTGGGAGTTGGGTGGATCCCTTCTGGGGAATTGCCTGTTGCTTGCTGCTGGAATGTGGGGGGTTCGAGTGCTTGCTGTTCCCCGGTGGTATCCTTTCTACATTTTGCGGCTCGCCACGAGAGGGTGGTGGGCCGGCGCTTTTGATGCAGTATATCTTGTGCGGGATTTTGGCCTTAGAGTCCATCGTGGTGCGTGTCTATCTTGGTGTCTATGCGTTTTCCCTCAGGGGTTTTTCCGTGTCGGCTAGCGGCCGTGTCCGGGTTTCCTCGACATTCCAAATGGTACTACATCAGGCTGCAGTTGTTGTAATTACGGATGCACCTCGGTGCATCATTTTCGCGTAAGTGACGGAAAGGACGAGACTCCTATGGAAAGGGCTAGCAGATCCCTGGTAAGCTAATGCAAGGCGGCACGACTGGACCCGCAATTGAGGCGGGGGTCGTGCCAAGGTTGGTTTTTCTTTCGATTGGCTGGACCCAGTCTAGGTTGACTGGGGGTCGATGTAGGTTTGCCACGGCAATGGCCTGAGTTGGCGGCGCGACGACTGGACCTGGTCCTGGTGAGGTGACTGGGGGTCGGGATCGCTCAGATTCTTCGGTGAAAAGGCCAGGCGGCCTGTCAGCTTCGTGGAGCAGGGCACTAGGGCTCAAGGACTTGGCATGGCTTGGGCGCGCAGTGACGCCGGTATTGCTATTTATTACCTAGGGCACGGCTAGGATGGAGCCAGGAGTAGCGTGGTATGGCAGTGCCCGCGCGCACGATATGGCTAGGAGGCAAGGAAGCGCAGGGCTTTTTTACTCTCTACGTAGAGTTGTTTGTGTCTTACCTCTCCACCCTCACTAGGTCGGACTCGGAAGCACTGTTGGTGCTGGCTAGGATGGGCTTATAACTCTCCCTCCGTGCGGGCTTTGGGTGCACAGACGGGGAAAGCGAGGAGTTCGCAGGAAAGCGAGAAGTGGGCTTGGCCCATTCTCTCAGCAGCATAAGTGGCGGATGTTGACAGGGGTTACGAACGTACTGAAAGGAATGGCTCTGATGACTTGGCTGGCGGAGCGTTTTATCTCTGGCGTGGTGTGACGCCACACGGATTGGCATCGGCATAGGACAGGGCTCGCAAGGCAACGTAGGAAAAGACGAGACTCGAATAGCTTCGCCCGCTCGGTTTGACATCGCAAACTTGCGCTAGAAGGAGCAATTTTCACAGAGTTCACAGTCTGGGGCGGGGAAGCAGCGCACGGGGCAGCGCGACGGTACTTGGCATCAACTGCAAACAGCAGCTGATCTGGAAGCGATTGACACCGCGACCCGAGCGCACGACGCGCGGGGCGGTAAATCATGCCTGGCAGGGGACACACCTCGGGCAGATTCCGCGTGAACATGCATGCGCGCCGCCACCTGCACCCGCTAGGGGGACGGCGCATACTTGCATCAGGCCGAGCCCTCTTTTGAAAGAAGATAGAAGTCGAACGCCTCAGCTCCATGCCCGATCGCTCTAGTTACTTAGCAGGCGCTTGGATCTCCGCCCTAGGCTTGAAATATTGACTTGATTACGTTCTTAAATTGGCTGCGCTAGTGGCCCGCACTTGAATCATCGAGCCGTGGATCGTTTTACGCCGTAGATTGCCGGAGAGCGGAAAACAGCCGCGGTAGGCGCGTAGGCCGCTCAACATGATAAAAGTCTCACACATCGCATGCCCTCGGCCATGCGCATCCTATTTCCAAACAGCGACCACCTATTTCCGTCTCGCCCATGCAGACATCACTCAGAGCGTTGGTTTTCAGCGCGCCTCTGTTGTCATCTTCATCCATTAGTTTAGATCTATGATCGCCGCCAACGCTTTTACTTTTCAGCCGGGCGATGGCTCGCAAATTTGCCGCCTAAAAGGCTGCCGATTTTTTTCTAATATTGTGGGGCCCACATTGTTCCGGCTTGTGGCCCCCCTTGTTTCTTTTCGTCGTGGCCCCGTGAGTCTGGGGCCCCAAGGGTTCTAGAGGTAGTCCGGGCAAGGGTTTTTTCGCCCGTAGTTTTCGTAGGTTTTGGAAATTGGGGCGCTGGGGATTTTTTTTAATTTTTTTGGCGAAGATTTCCCGCCCCGGTGTCTGCAGGGCCCGTGGCGCATCGGGGCCCGGGGTTTCCAAGGTTTGCGCCCCTGCGATCTTAGTTTTTGCCCCAGAGGAAAAGCAGCGCGTGCGTTTTCCATTTGTCTCGGGCCGCATATCAATGGCCCCGGCCCGCCCGGCCGAGGTTCATGAGGGGCGCAGAAGTTGGATTGGGGGGGGTCTAATTTGGGCTCTAATTTCGCGTCTAATTTGTTTCTAATTCCAGCATAGGGAATGCGGAAGGGTTTGCAATGAAAAAAATTAGCCGTGATTTAGCCAGGAATTTAGGCGCGAAGTTAGTCGCCTGCCTTAGCATCGATTTAGGCAAGGAATTAGCCGGGGGCAAGAGGCGCCCCGCCCGGTCTGCTTCCGGCCAGGCGGCTGTTGTTGATCATTTCGCCGGGTGGCTTCCCGGTTTTTTGTGTGGGCGAATTGCCGCCCCCCCTAATCTTGCACATCGCGCCGGGCCTCCCCTCGGGGTCGCCTCCCTTCTCGGCCATTTTCTCTCTGGATGGGAAGAGCCCCAGGGCGCTAGGTATTTGGCCGCGAAGTTCTTGGCCCCGTTCGTTTTTGTTGTCCCGCCCCCCCTGATTTTTGCCCGGTGGCCTTCGGGTTGGGTGTTGTCTTTGCTGGCATTGCCGCCACTTTCTTTTTTTGTTTTCCTTCGCGACATTAGAAAAAATATAGCAAGTTTTAAGCCTTGGAGAATGCCCGGGGCCGGCTGCCTGATACTTTTTTCCTCCAGTAAGCTGTCTTTTTTTCCTGCTGCGCTTTTATTTTCTAGTTTCTTGAAGACATTGAGATACTTAGCCGCCACGCACACGATGTCGAAGGAGGATCATGGTTCGGGCGAGCGCGGCCGATTTGCGCCAATTCGCCGGGATGTCATTTACCACCGGCGCACGGGTGCGCAGAAGGAGCACAGGGAGCCGAACGCTAGGGGAGTTGCGGCGGAGTACATTTGGGCCGGGGATTCGAAGGCCGCCAGTGGCCAC